TAATCCTGCAGATCCTTCGTAGATACAGCAAGAAACTGCCCACAGGCAAAGGTTTTTGGGAAGAGATTTTTAGCTGGTGCGGTGATTTCCACCACAGTCATGTCCATTTTTAAGAAAGAACTACCTAAGGTTATCCAGTATTGTGATCTCTGTAGCCTTTAACGTCTATGGTACAGTGATTTCTACAGATGTGCTAAGTCTTTTAATGACATATAAAATTATGAAATCCTGAAGACTCTTTAAAATTTGTTATGATGTTGAACATTATTATCACACAGTCTCTCACAGATTGGTCATATTAGTGAATTTCCCATCTTCATTTCAGAGGGACATGGCTTCTTTAGTAGAAAACCTTTTTTTATACCTGGTCACATCACTAACCTGTTGCAAATCAGCCTCATTAGTTAAAAGGTGCATTTTACAACTTTTTCAGTGTTTCATTGTCCCGTCTTTTTGATGTTTGTTGCTGGCATCAAATATCAAAATGAGCACATATTTTTCACAAAACAGTAAAGTTTTGACTTTTGATTCACTGTCTTTTGAACTAGTTTTGATTTGATGTAGAGCCTAAATGACGTGTACACCATCAAACTATGTCTTTATTGACATTCTCATAAAGTTGAGGTTGTGACTTAAATGACGGATCACTCATCCTGTGCTCATCTTTTTAATCCAGAGTTGTATTTCACCTTATCATCAACCTGACACATGATAATTCTGTACAAACTGAGTAAACCATAAAGAAAGATAACAGTTATAGTGATACTGCTCCTGACATCCACTTGTATCCTCCAGAATCTTTTCCCCTTTTTTAAAAATAAGTGCTGGTTATTTTGGCAACCATAAATTATCTGCTCAAATCTTCGGTTTAAAATCCCATTTCCACTGAAAACTAGGTGGCATGTTTTGTTTCAACACACCAGAGGCCTTTGGCATATGATAATACCTTGTCTTGCACTAGTGCTATGTAAAACTAAATTCTGAGTTTGTTTGACAAAGTCTTGGCTCGCTTGCTTTTGTTGTGTGTGACTGGATCAGATCAAACTGAATGGGCAACAGTTGTGTTGCACTTACTCTGACTGTTTGAGAGCCTGCACATAGAGACTGACACTGGATCAAGAACAACAGTGAATTTAAATTTGGCTTAAAGTAAATAAAAGAATTGGCAAAAAGTTAAGCAACTTGGCAGGATTGGTGGACAAATAAGGAGCAATGTTTGAAATCTTTCTTAAATTGTTTCCAAAGTGGCTGTTTGCAGCGTGTTTATTGAGGAAATATTTCTGCAGAGTTACTTCAGCAGTTTCCCCTCAGGTCCCAGAGGAATTATTTATGAAAGCGCTGTCTTCCCTCTGCCCCCTCTAAATTCAGCGCAGTCAGTCTCAAACTAACCCATTACAGGAACATCACTGGTAATGTATAATAGAAAAGATTAAGAACTAGCCTGCGGTGGCAAATACCCTTTGCAGGTTGGCAGAGTTGCCATTCTGTTTTTATTTTTTTGGAGGAGCATTTGGCCTTAAGATGCTCTGAAACAGCAGCGAGTCTCATAACCGTCCCTGTTAAAGCTGACTTTTTCAAACAGATCAGACAGTGTCAAAAGAAGGAATGATTTGCATCTCATTTATGTCTCTTTCTTGTTTAACTTCATTCAAATCAGTAAAGTTTGAGAGGAAATAATGAATGCTCTTGGAAATAAAGTGGCAGAGACTGTATGAGTCCACCCACTGGGTTACTTGCTGGTGAAGGTTAAGTATTTAATCCTCCAGTTTGTTGAATCAGAAGGAATATTTCTCAACACAATTGTTGATTTCATGCCCAGGGACTGTTTCCCTGCTTGTGATTGAAAACCCTCTTCAAATTGTCCTTCAGCCGTGTTGCATGAACATTTTTTTATACTCGTTGTGCTTCTTTTGAGAAACCCGGCATCAGACTCACCCAGAACACTTTGTGTCAGGTTGGCAAGACCATTTTTTTTGCTGGTTGTGGACAAGCAAAGACCAAGAAGAGGAATTTCGGCTATTTTTGTCATCTCGGTGGCTCTGAAATCTACACTTTGTGACACCTGTCTTTGCCTCTGTGACAGGTTGTGTTGAAAAAAAAAATAACACTTACTGTAGCTGAGATTCTGAACCTGTGGTGAGGCATCAGGTTGGACAGAACAGGAGCATTTGAAGGATGGAAATCTCTTTTTCATGGGCTCCTGTCCCAGCAGCATCTTTGAATCCTGGACCCTATATAGTGCATTCCATGATTAAAAAAACAATACTCTTGCTTCGGATAGGAGAAGGTGGTTTAGTTTTAGGAGCCAGTGTGGGCTGAAAGTCTCTAAATGAGGGCTGAAGCAGTGGGGTAAAGTCTTCCTTTTTCAGGGATAGACAGTTTGAAGGTCGCGTGATCCTGCTGGCCCTGACATCAAGTCCGTAGAAGTCCACCAGAGTGTCAAAATGAGTCCTGTCCACTCTATTATAATACACAACAGCTTGTTTTTTGGACTCTGATCAGTCGTCAAAGGCGATTTGTGGTGCTGGTAGATTGGACAATGAGCAAGGACCAGAAAAATGTCAGTGTGTTGTGTGTGTGTGTAAGAGAGAGAGTGTGTATGTATGTGTGTGTGTGTGCATGTACATGCTTGGTAGAGAGGTTCTGAAGGCTGGGATTGGGAGGTGCGGGGTGGACAAGTGACTGTCGTTGATGGCACTGTGGTCCTCAGAGCGTCCATCTGTGGAACAGAGTGGGAAGAGAATTAGACTGAGTCACAGGGCAAAGCAGACTCGCCAAAACCCTCCTGTGCTGGGGTCAAACTCAAGAGAGCAGTCCAGATTTTACTTTAGAGGTAAAAGAGAAAATATGGGGAGTTCATTTGGAGGCAATCAAGCTTAAGCAAAATTCACACAGTCGTAGTTTTGGTGCAAAAACATAGAGGCTCGAATGAAAGAATTAATTCATTTTCAGCTGTGCTGCCCAGTTTTAGGTGAATTCTCTTTGGTGCACGCAATTCATATCAGCTCGAGGATACTTGGTGGGCAAATAAAGAATGAAATATTCAGCATCTGCCACTCTGCTTGCATAAATTTTACATAATGTTTTAGTTAATTTATAATAAATGCTTTGAGACGTTACAGACAAGCTAAAAGGTGAGATTCAGCCAACAGACTCATCTTTCTCTTCAATCGAGGATCAAAAAATCTGCACCTTGAGGTATTTTTCCATCCACATTCATAAATTTTCTCTATCACTTGTGTGATTCATTTCAGCCACTGGTATTCTGAGCAGTAGGAACACCACACATGGCTTGATTTCCATCTTTTGTCATTATTAATTACTCTGATTCAGAGCACTCGCCTCGTGTTACCACAACTTGAATTGGCCTTCAATTGCTCTTGAATACAATTTCATTAAATTAACAGCTCGAGGAGGGCATCATTAAATTTGTCATTAATGTGTTGAATAAATCAATTGACATGAAAGGCTTCCCATTTCCACTCTGAAGCTCTACAGTGTGATCAGCCGGTTAGAGAAAAGCAACCACTGATCTGTCTGTGAAATGGATGTAATACACTGCTTCATAAATATAGTATGTATAATGTCAATCAAAACAACATGGCAGCTAAACACAAACAAAAAGAAGTACATAGAAAAAGAGTACAAATAAAGAAACTAACAATATGGGGGCTACGAGTGAAAATTAGTGTTACCATGTTAATTGTAATGTGATTATTAAGGTTAAAAATTGACATGTTAATTGGTTTTAATAATGGAAAGCAATTTGCACAAATGAGGTCAGCCACTGGAGGGTCTTCTTATTGTCACTTTGATGGGAAATGACTTCACATAGCTCTTGGATGGCACATTTCTCCAAAAAAAAAAAAAATTCCCAGGGGGCTCAGCTGACAAACAAGAGCAATATGCACTTAATGTGAATGGGAGTTCAAGAGTTAAGAATCAGCCTAAGCTACTGTATGCAAGCTCCTACAGGTGCAGCTACTTAGATTGAAGTAATTGGGCAATCACATCATAAAGCCTATGTCAGTGTGTTTGAAGTGCGCAGACTGCCATGGACAAGTGAGTGAAACCGATATCAAACAAACAGAGGAAGCTGCCAATGTGGAACTCCTGAAAAAATGCAAGTGCTGTTGTTTTATCCAGGGATCCCTGAAGAGAGAGCACAGACTAAAAAAGTGTCTTCAAATGCAAAATGATGGCATTGTAAACGTGATTAAAAATATGACGAATCGGTATCTAATTATAAGTCCAAATTATTTGACAACCCTAAACAACATGCATGCATGATGGATAATATGTTGTTGTTTCAAGTCTCTCACACAAAGTCTTTGATTTTATACTCATACAACTGCCATGTTTAATTGTAAAAAGTAATTGCCCAAAAAATAAAGCATCCCAGACATACCTATGAAATCCTGAATGCATTACAAACTAAAAAAATCTAACCTTTTTCAAAACAGGGGTTGATACGTTCTTGTCTGGCTTTGTGTCAGGGTCAGCACTGACTTTCAGATACATCACTTCATGTGACATTGAACTTGAGGTAACAGATTAAGTAAACTTTGAATATTATCCATTTTATGCTCTTTTTCTTTATCATCTGCATAAGGACACAGTACATCTCTCTTTAAATCAAGTATCTAATTGTTGAAGTTAAATGAAGTCATTTTAAAATAATAATGCACCATTGGTGTGTTGGCATTGAGACATTTTTTTCCCTGATCCCAGGATTTTCCAAATATTAAGACTACAAAATTAAGAATTATTACTGAAAAACTTGTGAAAATAAATAAATAAAAAATTAGATGTAATGAAGATTATTTAAAATCGTCCAAAGTAGGGGGTGAAAGACATTTAAAACATTAAACTTCACTGATTATTTGATGGTTACCCAGCTGTGAATTATTAAATGTCACTGAATAAATTGGTATAAATTTGTTCTTCAACAGCACAACCTCCTGAAAGCATTCTTGGGAGCACACTGAGTGAAACTCACCTCATTTATTTTGATTGCGGATTCGCAAACACCTCCTCTTCAGCGGGGGCTCTAGCTCAGGGCTCCCAGCTGACGATAAAGGGGCACTGATGGAGCAGGACAGGATGGCCGTCTTGTCAGCGCCGGGCTTTGGCACAGGCTGGATGACCACACAGCCTCCAGTGGAGAGCAGCGGCAGGGCATAGGCGTGCTCACCCTCCTCCAAGTTGGAGTCAGGGTCTGGCTTCCCCTCCACTGCGTTCGCCATCTCATCTTGTACTGGGCCTCGCTTCCCAGGGTCCCAATCTGCAACCGAGCAATTGTTCTCTTTCAGAGCCTCACGCTCCAACTCGCCATTTGCTGGCTGCTCCTCTGCCTCTCCCTCTCCTGGTGCAATCCTGTCTCCTCTCTGATCAGGGCAAGACTCAAAGTCAGGAGGAAGAAGAGGATGCCATCCAGTACCATTGACTATGACATTACACAGAGCAGCAGGGTTAGTTTGAAGCTGGGGCAAGGGTTGGGGCTGGGTCCGTGCTATGCTGGGGAAGGGTGGTGGAGTTTGACTAGAGGTATGGGGATTCAATTTGCTCACCATGGGATCAGAATTGCAAGAGGGGCTGCTGTTGCTGGAGGGTGAGCCTGGTAAATCCAGTGTGTTAGGCTGTGTGGCCCCCTCCAGCTCTGTCACAGCGAGGAGGCTCTGGGAAAGAATCCCTTCATCCCCATCACGACTGGCTTTCCCTTCCCTCCCAAGCCCTGCAGCTGGTGGAGATCTTGACTCAGCCTCTGCTTCTACTTTGACCCTGACTCCAGGCAGCATCCTCTGAATGACCTGGGGTTGGCATGACCTCTGACCTACAGTTAAATCAATCACCCCGTCCATCATTCCTGGGCCACTGTTTGCACAGAGGTTACCTGAACCATCCTCTGCCTTTACAGTCAAGTCCACCAAAGCTGCCCTGCTTCTGCCCGAGCATACAGAGGAGACATGCCCCGCCCCTGCTGAATCTACTTTCTGCTCCCCTCTGTCACCCCCAGAAGAACCTGTAGTGTTGAGCCCAGATGTTGACCCTTCAGAGGACTCTGGAGCACCACGTATTGGGCTGCTGTTCTCTGACTGGTCCCTGGAATTCTTAGAGCTAAAGGGAATAGGGATCGGAATAGGAATCGGGACTGGAAGGGGTACAATAACTGGGTAAGGGACCAAGAGAGTTGGAGGGGGTACCAATGGGGCCAAGGATGGCATACCAAAGTTCATCATTGGGGGCAGTGGAATGCGTCCATTAGGCATCATGTTGACTGGGGGGAAAGGGGGCAGGCCTGGCATGTGGATACCAGGATGAGGGGGCATCATACCAGGGTTTGGATTTGATGAAGGGTGGACATGTGGGGACAGCAGGGGCCTGTGCATGGGGCTTGATGCTGGACCAATGGTCCTGGGTGGAGGTGGTGGACCAATACCAGGGATCATAGGGTTTGACAAGGGGCTATTGGGCCCTGCAGGGTGGGCAGACTGGCGAAGAAATGGTGGACGGATCTGCTGCATCATTTGATGCTCCATGAACAGAGGCAGGGGCATGGGCCCCCGAGGTGTCATCACCATGGGAGGGCTACCAGGGGGAACCCCGACAGGTGGGTGCAAAGAAGGAACAGGAGGAGGAGGGAGTGTAGGGCTCTCATGGGGTCTTGGCGTAGGGATCTTGGCTGAAGAGGAGGATGGGGAGCAGACAGCAGTCGTGTCTGAAGGGGAAGTGGCAGAAGAGGTGGAAGGGGCTAAACAAGAGTTGCTTGAAGGGCCCCCTGGGGAGGGAGCTTTGCGCCGAAGGTCCGTCAGTGGAGTTCCCCAAGATTCAGGGGTGAGCAGCTGAACTCCACCACCACATTCTAGTTTACCATCCCCACCTGCCCCATGTCCAGGATTACACAGACCTCCGGGTAGCGCAGCCTGCGTCTCCTTGTAGAAAATGTCCATCTTATATTGATTCAAGCATTTGGCACTGCAGAACTGCAGCCTCCGCTCACCAGCACCAAAGTCCAGGTACTCCTTAGTGTGGCGAATATGTTTACACCAGTCACACACCTGCAACAAAAATACACAGAGTGCACACACGGCATCAACACCTGTCACACTGCAAACACGGGCATCTAATTTGTTTTTAATTAAACACAATCAAATTTTCCTCAGTACACTAGTAAGCAGAAGCTCAGCCTCCAAACCATCTGGAGACACACAAATAAAATAGAGTTTGTCTTTTTTCTTTTGGAGACTGTTTCTAAAAACATAACCTGCCAAGAACAAACACTCGACTTTCAGGTTAATATGAATGCACATCCATGAGTTGAGCTTATGCAGCTTTCTCTTGTCTTCATTGTTATGTTTTCCTTTCAAAAGGTAAATGCGCATCTGATAGCAGTCTGGCACTAAGTGTTATTCAAGTGACTTTGTCTTTAACTCTCTGTCCTAACAGGAAACACTCATTTACACCTTCTGTTGGCAATAAAGATACTCTCCGTCTCATTTAACTACAAGATCCCTATGAGACAGACGCCCCCAGCACAACAAGACAAAAAGATTATTTCCTCAGATGGCCTCCTACACTTAAAAAGCAAGTGTGTGCCACAGGAGACAGACAATGTAGCAATATAGTGTCAGCCTAAATGCTAAACAAAGTACAGGAAACAGTCGAACTGCATAGAGCTGCACGAAAACCTGCTTTTGAATGTTTCAAATTTGATTTTTATACATCAGGTCACAGAAAAAATGCAGCATTCAAACTCTAACATTCACCAAAAACTGGTAAAGTATTTACTATAACCACTGTATTTGCTTGTTTTGCGGATAATTTGTTGGCTGTACCAAATGTGATTCTGAGGTAATTACTGCTGTGCATATTATAACAGAAAATCTTTCACTGAATTAAAGCTCCTGTGGGGGATTTTTGCGAAACAGACCAAACTCTGTAATGATCCCTCATTATGACCAACACAGGCAAGACAGACCATCAACAATGAGAATAACAATTTCTATATGAGAATATTTAATGCCTGTTAAAGCTGTGCGGGAGTCCGTGTCAGATAAGATGACTGAAAGAGAGCTGAAGGAAAAATCTTATTGTTTCAACAGCGAAAAGTTGCTTAAAGGGTTAAATGAAAAAAGTCAGACAGAGATTCCTCACACACTTGAGAGCGGGACAGCCCTCGCAGACTTAACAGGAATGCTCCTCAAAGTCAGTGAGTGGGGGAAGGTGAATGTTGTGATCAGGTTTTATTTCAAGAAACTCCTAAAAAACTCCTAGAAAACTGACTTGTGGCATCAGCGACCATTTCTATTCATTAAAATCACTTACATCTATTTTAGTTTGCAATATCTTTCAATAAGATTTAAGTTTGGACTCATCATGACTATGCGACAAACACAGAGTTTAATAAAAAAAAAAAAAAAAGACCTTAATTACTTGCAAGAGGAATAAAACATAAATTTATGTGTGAAATCGACGATTTTTACTTCAAGAAATGTAAGTCTCCCTTAAATTGACAAGTAAATATTTCTTTTTCTATTGGCAGTTTAATATTTTTTAATGTTTTTTTTTTATTGAAAAGCAATCAAGGTCTTATTTTTGGTGAGTAATCTTTCTCTCTGCACAGATTCTAACTCTGAAATGATGTGAGTTTTGTGCAATTATTTATTTTTCTTTTTAGTCTTTATACTCAGTGATATCTAAGTCTTTACACATCTTGTTTAGATTTTTGGATGGTTTGACAAAAGCACCATATTTTTTACTTGCACCACCAATCTAATACTTACAAGAATCTATATTTTTAATCATTTATTCCTTTGTATGTATTGCAAAATAAAGATAATTTCATAAGCTTTAAGCAGAACCGACTCTGTATGCAGGGGGCAAACATGTAGGGCCCAAATTGAAAAGTTGTCTTTTTACTTCAGTGATGTTGCAATGATCCCAAACCACCCCGCTATGCTGTTTCATCACCGTTATACACCTTTACAGCAGCAAACTTGCAAATTTCCCTCCAGGCAGAAAATGAATGTGACCCTGGTAGAGCAGATAGCAGTGGGCGAGCCCTGAACACGGCGTTACTCGTCAGGCCACACACAGCTCACTCTGTCAGCTCCGGGAGGAGTGGCAGGTCCTCGCTGGAGATAATTAAGGCATTAATCAGTTGTCAGACCCCTCAACGGCATCCATCCATCAGACAGACCCTTAAGCCCCCAAGCTGAATGTTAATAAGTTGAGGGATGCAACCGTAAGGTGGATAAACTCCTTTTTCAGTCTGCATGGAAACATTGGTTTATTTGGCAGGATCTGGTCTGGCAGCAATTGAAAGAAAGTGAACTCCCATGGTCTGTTTGGGCAGATGCATCGTAGCACTGGACTTGAATTCAAAAGAATAAAAAGCATGCTGTTGTGCAGCTGCTACACGTGTAAAACATGAGGTTCTTTAGTGCAGAATATGTGTTTTACATCAGATTTTCTCATGTAATATGATTTGGATGAAGAGGGAGCATCTCGCAAAAGACAAAGCTTTTGTAAGATGTGCCAAAACTCCACATTCAAATTAAGATTAGAATGACTTTCAGGGTAAATCTCTTAATGTAAGACATGAATAGAAGAAGGGACAAGCAGATATGGCACTAAAGTACCTGCAGCAAGACCTGATCAGAGCTTGGACTACAAAGCAACTGCTATTCTTAACCAGTATGCTTGTGGTGCTCAGATATCCGTCCTGTTCGAGCTGCCCATTAGTCCTGGCTAATTCAATGAGCCATGACTGAGTAAAAGTCAAAAAGGTGCTCTCACAAGTTGAGCTTGATAATGGTAAGTCCAGGATATTCTAAATAATAAATGTGTTCAAATTTTTCCTGGACTCAGAAAGACAGATGGAGGGCACTTAACGACTTTCTGCACAGTGAGTGAGAATTTCACTGCGCATTACGCTAATGGAGTTGTGCTTTCTCTCCCTCTCCTTCTTTTTGCTCTCTTCTGCTCATTCACAGATGTTTGCAGTTCAATGTAATTATGGTCATTTATTTCTATCGTGGCCAACGAACCAGCGTTGGTGGTGCAGTTTAACCGTTTGCATTACAACAATTATCGTGCTTCCAAGCAGGCATCAGTTTCTTCCTCTTCACCCTCTGACCCTGCTGAAAAACCAATGGCGTTTGAGGGTCGCAAGAGCAGGAAGAAACTACTTTTAATTTGAAACTGGTTTACATTAACTGGTCATTTCAGGTGTTTTGCAACATAATGATCGGGAGCATTAAAAGGGGTTCAAGAATTGGGTAAAGCAAATCACAGCAGAAGGGTCAAGAGGTAGACTAAGAGTTTGCAGAGGAAGATTAGAAAGTTTCAGGCTGTGAAGAGAAGGAAGGTGTGCAGATGTTGAAGATATTGCAGAGGAATGTGAAGGATTTTGATAATGAAGAGGAAGATGAAGAGGAGGAGGTTGCAGAGAGTTAAGAGGCTGGAGGGTTTCAGACGGTGCCTGAAGTGGTTTTGCATGTAGGATGAAGAGGTTTCTGATAGTGAAGAGCTTTAAGCAGTAAAAGTGCAGCTTGTATATCCTCCTGTTAAGGTTGAAATATAACTCTTTTGACACTTCTCAGATTACTGGTTTAATCATTGAGTGCTAAACATAAGGATTAAAGCCATGAAAGCGAACCTGCTGCTTGAAGTGAGACAGTCCCTCAGCTTTTAATTCAGTCGTTTCTTACTCTGGACAAAACTCTTTTAATTTCTGCCTATGAATGATGTGAAGGAGTGAGGAGCGCCGTGATTGTTGTAGTTTGGATTCAGCCAAAACAGTAAAGGACACAGGTATCTCTAAGCTCCCGGTCAACTGGAAAAAGAAAACAGAATAAAGCCTCCTCCAAATTTTACGTAAGAAAACTCAAGTTGGGACATATGTGGAGACCATCTGCAACATATGGACTTTTTACTCAGATTGGCCAGAATATCTGTCTACAGTGGCGCCATATCTGAGTTGGTAGAAGTCACTGATCCTGCATGCTTTATTGACTCTGTTCCCAGATAGAAAAGTGGATCCCCATTGATTTGAACCTTTACCATCCTACAACTTACAGTTTCAAGATGGCTCTTATGGGGTCAGTATTGCTCTTATGTAATTTGGGCCAAGACAAGGTTGACCATACGTCCTCTTTTACCCGTACCTGTCCTCTTTTTGGGGGGTTGACTGGCCTTGTCCGGGAGAGTTTATCAAATCCTTCAAATGTCCGGGGTTTTGTATGGAAGTTTCTAGTTTGTGTTGCGTGGGCTTACTGAGTTAAAAGCGTGTAAAAGACACTCAATCCGACCTGAAAAACTTTCAAAATAAACTACATGTGACCCTGTGACTCGGCCCCCACGTAGTTGTGTCCTCTTTTTGGGGATTCAGAATATGGTCTATTAAAATCAACAGACAGAGAGCCAGTGAAGGAAACCAAGGATTGTGGTTAGAAAGTGAGATAGTTGTGAAAGGCGAGAAAAGGATTTATGGGTGATACTAGAAAAGAAGGAGTTACTTTTGTATAGTTAAGAAAGAATCATTCAGCATGTTAACATGCAAAGTTAAGTCAAGCTACAGTTACAACTCAGGAAGGCGATTTAACTGGACTACTGTCTTTGTCACACTTTACATGCACTGGGCAAGAATCAAATTATTGACAGAAACATATCTGCCTCTGCTACAGTAGCTGGTAACATGACTCCTTTCATCTCATTCCTATCCACTAGTCTCCCATTCATCATTTTATGAATCAAAACAGCTGGCAAACACATTGGCAAGAGGCTAACGGATGTCACTTTTACAGGCCTTTTCTTTTTACAAAAATGAAAACCTAGAATTAAAGTTGCTCTCTCTTCTCTGATAGTTCTATCTGAAACTTCATCTTCTGACTCTAAACACCCAGCAACAGTGTTAAGAGTAAGTATCTCAAATCTGCATTGAAACTAATTCCTCTAAAACTTTGAATAAATCTGGGTTTTAAGAATGAGAAGTAAAACTTCTATGAGCAGATGGACAAAACCTTAAGAGGACCAAGACTTCACTCCCTGTTCTGATCAAAATTGGCCAACAGCATCATTATCAGTCTTTTTCATTCTAGATTCAACTCATAAAATCATTTTTCACAAAGCCAAATGATCCTGTAAAGCTTTATATTTTACAGCACACACTCATTCAATCATAAATAGCTCAATGCAAAAATGATGGGACAGATCTGGTGGACTATATTTGACTGTAACTACAGAAAACAAGAAAACATAAAGTAGGTGACAGTGGGCTGATCTCAGCTACCTCCTCCGATTCAGATTAAACAAGTTTACATTACTATAATGATCATCTCCAAATCTTAAAGAGATATTCTGGCATAAATGTAAGTAATGTACATTCATTCTAACTTAGTGTTACTGTGTGTTTGACCACAACTTAAATTTACGCCAGAATATCCCTTTAACTAAAACACAACCTCATCTCAAGACACACCATTCCCTTATATTGAACTTTGGCTTTAAAGGATATTTTGGTGTGGGAAATTGTGTCTTTTTCTCTTCAACTTTTGGAAATTTGAAAAGCAGAATAATTAGTTTAAAGGAAGCCCAGTGTTGTTGGACAGCTGCAGTCAGACATTCAGGCAAGCTGTGGTAAGAAGGAAAGTGAGCAAACTGACAGTGGCTAGCCTAAATACAGATGGCGCTGTCCCCCATATGTGCTAATAAATTCCAATGCAGCCTGACAACTAACGCATGTCTGTGATCTGGGAAGAGTTTGAGTGTCAGCCATAACAAGAGCTGTTTGAATCACTCTTAAGAAAAAAAAAAGAAAAGAAAACCGACTCACGATTCTTCACAACATTACTTAAAGTATGGTACCTTTCAGCTGTGCATGACAAACAAGAGGTCAGCATACATAGCAACAGTTGATTTCAAGCTATTTTCACAAAATTAAACAAGTACTTCCATTTTATAAAGTGTGTAATTCATGTGGATAAATGTGAGAGTACAGAAGGCTGAGCTGAGTGACAGTGTGCCAAACATTTCACTTCACCTTCAAAATTTTCTTTTTTTAAATTTTAAACCTCCAATTAATCAATCAATCAATCAGTCATTGAAAGAGTCTTTGTGTCTGTGTGTTTTCAGCTTTCTTAACCTGAATGGGGCGCTGACTTTCACAGGGGTGGAATGAAGAATGTCTGCACACACAAGAATGAAACACAATTTCTATCCTTTCTGTCTCCAGTTATTATATCTTCTAAGAAGAACTTTATACATCCTCGAAGGGAAATTAAAAAACTTTACTTTGACTATTATTATTGTCTTTATAAAGAGACCAAGTATCGATATCATGTTAAAAATGAATATATGGTAAATAAAAGGTAAGGAGTCCTTTTCCCTGATGGCCACACACCATAAAACGCAGGCGAGGTGGAGAAGAAGAAGCAACTGCAAGCTAGCTGTAGCAGCCCTCTGAGAGAAGAATTTAAACTGACACTCAAAGATCCCTTATTGTGTTATTCATCAAATCAACATTTGTATATTCTAACCATTATTCTAACTGTTTTCATTGTTTTTGAATGCAGGACATAAAGCAACCTAGATGCCAGACATTTAAAAAACTATATAGAAATTCTGTGTACCAATCAATTCCCAAAAAAGTTTTGTTCACAGGCGTCACAATGGGGGAAAACCATTCATTTAGATGTCAATAGAAATGGAAAATGATTAAAGTTAATTGTGGTTGTTAGTAAAGTTTATTGAGTATGTTCTTGTCCTGGACTTGCCTTTCTTCAATTTGACTGATCACATTGTTTTACCTCTTGGGATAATGACTGCTGTGATTTGGCGCATTAAAATAAAATTTGATTTGATTTATTTCTGAAGTTTTCTAAAATATTGCCACAGTATTATTATTATGATGTACTAATCTGGCGGCATGACAGCCCTCATTCCTCAACAAATCATTAAACTCTGAAAATGGCAGGATTTGAATCTTAAGGACTTGTCCAAGGTCCCAAATCCAAGGACTAAAAGAAAATGTGACAAATTGAAAAACTAGAAAAGCTACAGGCATCTTGTTGCATCCCAGCCTCAGTGGTTGATACCAACAGAAGCCCTTGAACAAAGCCAACAGCCAATTATAGTTCACCCCTGATTTCTCAGCCTCCCGGTAACTGTGAGCTGAGTTTTTACAGGGGCTAAATGGTCCATGACACAACCATGGTCCAGTGTTATCACAAAACATACAGAGTGCCATAAAATCCTGATTATAAATATGACTGTAAGGCAGAGATTAGTTAAAATGCTCCTTTAAAATCAGGATTAGTATGATGTGTGTGTTCAGTCTGATTTTGTTGTCTTAAACACAAGCAAATGTACAAGATTTATCTTATTTTAACAGTCATGTGTTTGTCAAACAATCCCTTTAAATCCCAGCACATGATGTATAATGGAAATGAACAAATCAAATGATAATGCATGGAAAAGGTTGAAAAGCTCAAATTAAAATATCCCTAAATGTGTTACTATAAAGTGCCACTTCCCTACTATCTCTTATTTTTGGGCTCTAGCCTCTCTGATATCTGCTTTTACAGTGATGCCCAAATATGAACCAGTCCATTGACATGTCAAGAAGCAATGATGAGAAAATTATACACTTTAACAAAGAACAACAGCAAAACATTTGAGTGCATTAGCCATCAAGCTTAAGCTCTATCTGGTGTTAAATGGTTATGGTCCTTACAAGCACATCGCTGTTTGTCTTGAAGACAAGCCTGGGCGTGTCCTGAGTAAAGCTGTGCTGGGGTAATTTCCCACCGAGGCCATCGTCGTCTCTTGCCTGGGGGGAGAAATAATGGCTGCGCTTTACGAATGGACAAAATAAACAGGTGAACAGAAGCAACAAGGAAAAACTTAGAAATGGAAAACAACACAGAGAAAGATGAACAGAAATGGTGCCTGTAAAATGGGTGAGCAGTCACTGGTTTGAAGACAAACCAATCAACAGGATCTTTTAAACAAAGCTGAATGTGTAGAGTGAGTGAGTGTGCATGCATGTGTGTAGTTGAGGAGCTTATAAAACACTTATTTTAGGCAGTCAAAGTCTCCACACCAAAAGAAATTCAAAAATCTAAGATAAGAAGAACTTTATTTATTCCAAAAGGGAAATTTGATAATTCTATCTATATGCTGAGAATTAATTTTATACTATGACTCCACATGATGAAGATGTGAAATACAATGTTCAAGGGTTCCTATGAATCTCTTTTAATTAAATCTGTGCAGCAGTTCAAGTATGATCCAGTGATTAATGAAGGATGCAGATCGCAGATTTAGAGGCCTCACATACCCACATCCCTTGTTGCTAAGGCTTTTGCTCAGGGACACAGATTTTACCAAAAAAAAAAAAAAAAAGCAGTAACAATGATTTACCTTTACTCAAACTTGTCAGTGCTTTAAAATGTCACAGAACCCAAAGCTGTATTTCAACAAAAGGGCAGAAATATGCAAAAGAAAAATGAACTAGTCATTTCAATCTAGCCACAAAACTAAAATATGGTTGCTAAGTTACCTTTTAGCTGCACTAAAGATGCTGCCCTTTAAAGCCAGTCAGTCAAAAGAGACAAAGCTTATTTTTGTTGTGTATATTGCTGTTACAGTTGGTCCTTATTTTGATAAGTGCATCCCCTCTGTGGCACTGGCAGCCGTTTAAAAAGTGCTAAAACTTTGAGGATTCAAGTTGCTAAAATCTTTAAAGTGACAACAAACAGGAAAGTTTCATTGCTGTGGAAATGGGATTGATGTGGTTGGCTGCAAGGATAGTAAACAGGGGAATCTCTTCAGTGCATGTAGGACAGAATTACAGTAAGACTGATTGACTGATCATGTTATAATACATCACACTCATGGCTTTTGTCCCAGAGTCAGCATAATAGAAAACAATGCAGAGAACATTATTGTGACTTTACTGACATTGTGGCCTAACCTGAGTCATTTTGGTTGGATGTGGCCCTGAATGATTATCAGGAAGAATGCTCATGCCGATCAATATCAATACCGTGATGCATACCTTTGCTTGGGCGTGTGCAGAAGCTCACCTATACCAAGGAAGTGTACTGTGCTGCTGGAGCTCATGAAAGAGAGCACTCACACTAGTCACACTTAATTGACTTTGGGGATGAATTGTGTTCGGGCAAGGTATGGATTCTGGGATAACTAATCAGATTTCAGGGGGTCCACGCCATCCCTGAACACCCTTTGTTCTGTCTCTGAGCACTGGTGCTGTGTTTTATCATATTACAATAAAAACTAATTCAAAGATGTATTCCAGACGGATAAAGAACCACCTTTTCACACACTCTTGGAGTCATTCATTATGCACAGTAAGAAAACAGAGGGATTCGCTGCTCTTTTTGGCAGGTGTGGGCAGTTTTACGACAGGAAGAGATGTTGAGAAGCCTTGCCTGGCACTGTGCCAAATTACTGCAATGTATTTCATTTAATTAAATGCACTTTTACATAATATAGACCTTAGTGTGTGGGAGATTTAACCTCAATTATACATGTTCATCATGCCGTTTGTAGCCCCCAAACGAACATTTCAGACTGAGCTGATATCGTTAAGAGGTGAGCCGCTGCCCTGAGCAGCTCTCCCTGATATCCTGTTTTTTAAAACACTCACTACAACCTTTGATTTTTTTCAGAGGTAACTCAGCCTTCAGACTGTTCATCTCCTGATGATACCAAAGGGCAGTTCTACGGTTTATTTCACATTTCTTGTCCAAAGACTGATTAAGTTTGCCTCCGCTCCCATCTGCTTCTCTCACCTCCAGGTAGGGTCTCCAATTCCAAACCGTGGTATAAATCAAATATTGTTGCGTCTTTGTGTCTCGTTAAGCATTTTGCTATTTAAACCGGAAAAGATTCAGTATCTGAATCTGACAGGAGGTCTTGTTTAGCGCTGACATTTTACAATGGAGCAGCAGGGATTTTTTACTTTCTCACTAAAGGTTACAGAAAACAGAACCAGAGATTAAGGGGTCGTGGTTATTCAGAAGCTGTCTGTGCTCTAAATGAACACTGAGTGGAGACTGACCCATTTCAAACACACACCACAGACACACACAGTGCATATATGCACTGTGTGTGCTCGGCAGGAGCACAGACACACTCATATACAGGTACTCCAACATACACATGAACCCAGGCAGGCATTTAAGGACACACACACACACACACACAAAGCTGCACCATTGTGCTATTATTCTGTCTCCAGTTTGTGCTGTGACCCTCTGGACCCGCGCCAGTTGATTTGCATATTGTACTAATGAGGTGTTGGCACTGTGAACGAGACGTGAGGCCCACACAGGGAGCCACACACACACACACACACACACACACACACACACACACACACACACACACACACACACGAAGGAGGCGCAGTTAGACAGACAGACAGATAGATGGATGGATAGAAAGATAGATAGCCATGTAGCATCATTTCCAGTTGTTTCATTCTGTTTAAAGGTGTGTTTTTCTCTTTGTGCGGCTCCATCATGCCAGCAGACTGCAGCTGCCACCCAGCTGAAGTTCCTTAAAAGAACGACAGAGCAGGACACCGGCCGCACAGCCCCTCTCTGGCGTCTCCACCGTCCTGAGGGGACGTCACACCAGCTGCCACCGCACTACCATCCATCTGGGCACAGATACACGTCCAGGTGTGTGTGCCCGTCACCTGCCAACTGAGCTGCGCTTCCCAAAGCAAAGACGCTCACAGGCAGGCTTTCAAAATCCAAAGACAAACACAGACGAACGCGGCAGAGCTCATCCCAAATCCTAAAATGAAGGTGCAGTCTGCACATGTGACAGGCGAGAAAGCACACTCCTCCATAAAATCTCCATTGTTCCTGTTTTGAAAAGCTATCCAAATATCATTTTCATTGTGTTTGCAGTGCACTGGGGATATTTTCTCACACATGCAGAGGAGTATGCAAAGATAACCGAGGCCATGATCTTTGCCGTCGGATTTGCAAGAGTGTGCGCATAAAGAAACAAAGATTGACAGGTTGTTTGGTATGGCAGGCAGCATTTTATGACCATATTATGTACAGAAAGGCGTTTCGTGTTTCAGTTTCTCTTGAAATTTCTTCTCCTAATGTTTTTGAGATTCCATACAGAAAAATATTGTCACTTGTAGCACTGCCACCATTAATTTTTCTGGGTATAAGACATGATAAGTCACTAACTGATTTGTACACACTTGGTATACTTAAATATGTGAATTAAATATACAATAACATCTTTTTGCGAGCTTGCCTCTCTGCCATCTCCCCCAACTCCCTGTTCAAACTAAGTAGATCTATACACTCTGTCCTAATGCTCACTCTGTACCTCTGCTTTAGTAACACACACCTGCCCACCTTGCTCCTCCCTTGCAGTGCTACACAGTAGCCCCTCTCTAAACACATTTTATGGCAGCTTCTTTGCATCATTCATTGTGCATCATTTTGAGCTCCTGATGTTGACACATGATAGCCTACATGCTCCGCAGTGAGGGAGTGTGCCAAATAGGACAAAACGGCACAACATATCAAGCTGCGCAGTAATAATTCCTATTATTATCAATATCATCTTGTTTTATGATTATGGCAATATAAAATTATAATTGATATTGATATTAGATTAATTGCCTGCTCTTCTTTCTTGCAGAAATGATATTGCAGTGGATTTTTATCTCCACATGTAGTTTTTACGGCACTATTAAAGACACAGATGGGTTCCACTGTGCTAAATCCTCCTTTAAGGGATCGAGCAAATGTTAACTCTAAATATAATTCACTCTTGAATATCAACTTGGCTTACAGATTAAGAGTTTGGAATTGGCTAGTTGTTATCAAGACTTCACGAGGTTGCAGGGCTTTAAGTCTTCATCACACCATAAATGTGCAATATGAGCCCGCATACTCAGAGTGAGGTGCAGAAGCGCTCAAGTCAAGTTTATTGCAGCCACAAGTTTAAGAATAGAGACAATGGCATCTGGGTTCAGGTGCGTGTCTCTACTTTTACAGTCTTTACGCCTAGTTAGCTGGAGTTACTTTTGTCTTTATCTGAGCTGAATGGCTGGCAGCTACGAGATAATCACCTTCCTCTCTGTGCCCTGAAGCTGTGTCAGGCAGGCCTCAAGGCTTCCACCAGTGAGCCTGAGCTGCAATATGCAGACACATTACACACTTGATCACGCACACAAAATTTCCACAAGCAGCAGCAGCAGCAGTCATACATTTACAACACACAGCTAGACTCACACGTACACGCCCAGACACCCTCTTCTCTCTTGTTCATTTTGAGTGTGTGCCCTCCATGGCAGCTGATGGAGATGCAAAGGAAATTGTGGAGCAGGGAGGCAACCACGGGGCGGTGTGTGGAGGAGACACATTTGTGTGTGTGTGTGTGTGTGTGTGTGTGTGTGTGTGTGTGTGTGTGTGTGTGTGTGTGTGTGTGTGTGTGTGTGTGTGTGTGTGTGTGTGTGTGTGTGTGTGTGTGTCTTTGAGGTGATGTGACATTTCTGGGCTGACATGAAGCGGCACTCTGCCCCCTCGCGCCTGAAGGGAGCTCCCGGGGAAAGACACTGATGGAGGTCTGGGGTCTCCAGGGGGGGTTTCATGGTGTGAACAAAAAGCTCTGTGCTGAGGCAGAAACGACCTGTAAAACACAAGCTGTCTCCTCTCTGCCTGCATAATGACTTTTTATCTTCTGGATTGGATATGTTTATTTGTGTGAAGTTTGCAGATATGGAGAGTTAATTATACCCTGTTCTGCGGGTGATATACAGATTTATGTTTACTTTTCCATTAAAGCATAAAAGTTGGTACACTTATAAAGTTTGGTGTCTTGAATATTTCTATATTTTACTTTATTCTCCATTGCAATGCTCTTAATAAGATTTGAGTTTTCACCACAGTCTCTTCGTAGTGTCAAATAACTCGAGTTTTAAGCTTTTAATTACTTCTAGGACAAGAATGCAACTGATGCATAGTTCAATGAACCCAAATTCAACTTTTGGATCAGAGCTGATGTGGGCTTCTTTAATCAATAGAGCAATTTGAGCCACTCATTTCTCTCTGATCATTGAAGTTAGCTGTAACTGAGCATAACAGCAGCGGAACACAAACATTCAGGTGAACTTGGCTCCATCCACACTTACTGATGTTTATTAAATAATATTTTTTCTTGGTCAGTGAGAATGGAGGTTCTTAAAGCCGTCTTTTGTAGTTGGCAAAAATTAAAATTTGAGAAAGATCAGAAACAGAGTGACATTAAGATATTTTAGGAAGGAGGTGGGACACGATGCTGCTAAAAGAGGAGACATGCAGGTGTCAGGGGCAGAGTCAGGATTTTTCCAGGGGTTCCCCATCACAACATGCCAGCGCCCCTGGAGATTTTTGGCTTTTGGGGTAGAAATAAAGTTCTCCATTTTAGTCACGGTTACTATTTACACGTCAAACACAGAACAAGCCAAGGGTCTTCAGCAATAACACACAGTGTTCTGCTGGTTTTTGGGATGTGGTTGCCTGCTGACGTCAGTCTCCTGCAGCTGTCTCTTCAGGTGGTAGGTGGTAGCTCTTGGCGATATTTCAATCCAATTTGACACAAATTCTTTATTACTTTTGACTTGTCAGCTAAGTCATCTGGGAGTTTTTTTATGATGATGTGGTGAAAGGACAAATAAGGCGCACAATAGAATAAATTTACTTGTCAATTTGGACCATAAACGCATCATGATAACGTTGACAGCCTTAGTGAATAGCTCTGATTATCTACTGCAGAAGTTTTTTTGTTTGTTTGTTTGTTTTACAAAAAGAAAATCTACCAAAAATCCACCACAAATATAAATCTGTTGCTGCACTACTGTATGGTGGTGAACTGGTGGAGTCTTTTTTTTTTTCATGAATCAAACCAGAGGGATGAGGCTAACACGTTCTACAAAAACTTCATCTTTCAATGTACTGCGGCAGCTCATCTGAATCGAATGCATTTCTACTGGCTGCAAACTGTACATAGATTGACTTTGATTAGTGTGTAAGTGTTCAGAGCAGAGGGCTGTCTCTCCATGTATGATTTATTTATAGTGTGTCGGATTGCATCAGTCAGATTTTGTAGTCTATGCACACACATGTGCACCCAAGGCAAGCCTGAAAGCACCAAACCCCCTCAAAACAAATTCCAATTCCACTTTTGGCCTCAACAGACCAGTCTGCAACTGTGTTTTTTTTTTCAGGGGAATTCAAGCCTGAAAACTGTTGAACTCCAACCAAACTGCGGATTCAGAGGAAAGCAGATTCTGACTCAGTGTGAAAAAGAAGCATGCTAAAGTCTACACCTTTCTGCTGCCATGCATGCTTCACACTCACAGAGGGTAATTCATCACTTGTAATTGCCTAACTTAATCTCGGCACTGTGTCAAATGAGCAAGCATGTTTATCGGTGTGTGTGTGGGTGTCAGATAGAGGGAGGAACTGTACAGAAGAGTGTAAAGGCGTGACCACTGAGCAGCTTCTGCCTGCTGAAAGCAAAACTCCCCCCTTCATTTAAATGTTGTGCATTTTAATCCTAAAAACTGTCAAAGATTCTGACTGCTGTGCAATTAATTCTCAGTCAACTTTCTCCTCAGCTGGCGTCTTTCTATCAAAACTAGCTATTGCAGGACACATGGTAAGTTGCAAAGTGCAAACAAAGAGAAAAAGAGCCAGAGCTTTGTCTCTGAATTACGAGTGGACAGAAAAAAAAGAAGCAGTGAGAGTGAGGTGACAGACAGAATAATTCAGTAGTTTCAGCAACAGGAGCAACACCTTCCATACAAACTAATCCAGCTTAAGGTATACTGTAAACAGGCACAAACTAAGTGATTAGCCCGAGTTAAACCATCAATCATCTTTGCCACACACAAACACACTCCACCAAATAAAAGGGTTATGCAGAGATGTGAGAAAGTAGCAACCATAGTCACCCTAGGAGGGGATTTGGTTTCATGGATGAGGCAGCTGAAGATATTTCATGCAACATAATGCTGAGCCGTTGCCCGCCCCCCTACATCCCCCCTCCTCCCCCGTGTCTCTTCTTCCCTATTCACAGCACACGCAGACATGAGATACTTTTTTTCAGCCATGATGATTGTTTTTTTCAGTTGGGAAAAAAAGGGAGCCTGCAGGACGTGTTGTTGTGGCCAACCTTGTGGGTGCATGAGAAAAGAAACGTGGGTATCGCTTACACAAATGGCCTGCATGAATGTACCAGAGCCAGACAAAATATAGAATCTGAGCCGCTGTGGTGGAGCAGGCCCTTCCTGTGTTTGTGATGTTGGAACATGTGCATTCGGCTGATGGATGAAGCAAACATCAAACATGGCAGACTGGCTTCCAGCAGGGACGTATGCATGTAAACAAATTTTATTCCTAGAGTCAAAAAGGCTGAGAAATGACAGAGGACGCTTTTTGCTGCTCTGTACATTTTGTTCTTCAAATACATGGCTTCAGTCAAAGTCTTCTACTCATAGTGTGTTTATAAAGTATCTTAAAGCTAACACATGACCCATTCAACATCAGCACCGTTGTTTGGATGTTGATCTAACTGGAATAGACTGTATAGATTAGCAATGCTCACAACTAAACCTGTTTGAATTACCGTAATTGACTTTCCAAAGTGGTGCAAACCACAAGATAATGTTGCCCATTTCGGGCTGAGCTAAAAACTGTGAACTGCTTAGTTTACAACCCATTGCAGCTGCTTTAACTTCTCTTCTTCTCAGTGTGTTTGCAGTATGTTCAATGGGACAAATTGTCTCTATAAATTAACCTCTTTGTCCTTCATTTCTGTCCATCTAACGTCACCTTGCAGTTAAATATTGACCCCATAGATGACAGCAAATCCATTCAGGTACTTTGCCCGTTAGTCCTGGCCCCCGCCCCCTTTTGGGTGAAAGCAGTCAATCTGAAGTGATTGTCAGTGAACACAAAATGAAAACTGTCTTTATAAAGTATAAGGCTTAAAATAAAATAACTGTATAGATGGATAACTATTAGAGACTAAATCTCACAGTCAGTAAGATGAACATATTAATCATGACATTTTTCATAGGAACTTATTTTGTCAATCAGAAAGTATGAAGTTTAAGTTTAAGCTACCTAGGCTTTGTAGTTAATAAAAGAGATAGTCTACAGCTCCTGCTTTTAAAGAACGATATAAACAGCTAAGAGACACGATTTATGATATAACAATGGAAACTTTATTTTGGGTGAGGATCTGTGCTCCAAATAGCCATGAAATATTATGATTTTCCTATTGTTGGCTATTAAATTGCCAAAGACCCTGAAATTCCCATTTATTTTTCTGGATTTTGTTGTCGTTTCTCAAAAGAGGTTATCAGATCCAAAAGCATCCCAGTTGTTGCAAAGCTTTTACCACTTAAGGTGTAACCCATCCATCAGCTTACCAAACCTTTCAAGCCAATTTTGTTCATTGGCTAGCTTTACATTTTATACACTGATTAATTTTTATTTAAATTTAATTCATGTTTAGATTAACTGACTTAATTAAAGTCAGTTAGAAAGCTTTCATTTGTAAAACTGTGGCATTGAGGTGGTTAGTTTACCTGGACCTTCTTATAGCTTTTTACCTAAGTGTCAAAAACCAATGTTGGGTGTCATTCAACAACTGTTTTCATGAAGGTCCTTAAAGCTACAATATATTATGAACAGGATCATAAACTATGAATCTGCTGTACAATTTTCAAGAGGCACCGTGTTAAGAACATATTGAAGAACAAACTGAGGACCCATTGTCCCTTTTCCCAGTTTGCATGTCACAACTTGATCGAAGTTGTTCCTTTTTTTTTGCAATATACTCCTGAAAGCCTGAAAGCATTTTTTTTTTGTTGTTGTTGTTGTAAATAAAAGAGACTAAGTTCTATACTGATGTCTTTGTTTCAGCTACAAAAGCAAACCAGAACATCAAAGTAAAGACTGGCCTTTACAATACAACTTTTTTTTGTCTACAACTTCCAATTATTGGTGGACACCAGTTAGAACTTTTACATGCAAGTTAGGGGCCATAGCTCGATTGGGTAATTTAACTGGACTACTGTCTTTATCCCAGTTTACATGCACTGGGCAAGAATCTAGATACTGACAGAAGCATGTCTGACTCTGCTATGAAAGGAGGTGGCATTGCGTCACTTTTACGGCTCTGTGCCGTTTTGTCTTTTGTAAGTCCTTTTTCATCCTCTTACGTAGGAAATGTGTGTCCATACAGAATATGTACATCTTTTTTAAAAGAACAAAGGTTGATATAATCTTTATTTTTATCACCTTAAGTGGTTAAATATTATCAATCTTATTAAAGCAAAAGCTCCAGGGTGCTGAGCAGTTATTTTCAGTGAATAATACATAATCAGCTTTCACTAGTTGAAACTTGAAGAGGAAAACCTGATTGAATATTATTGTTTTAGTAATTAAGTTAATGAACTAAGTATGTCTTAAGCAGCAGACTGATTGCTTATCTTCATGTTAACAAATTACACCTTAATTAAGCCGTTAACATCTGCATAATTGAAGTATTTTGAACCTGATGGTTCACACAGAAGCTCCCTGAGTGTAAGAGCTTATATGTAAAGATTTTCTCTTAGTCTGATATGATCTGGGCTGTCACTTTGAAACTCAGACTCTCCTGCAGCTGTAACTTGCATAAGGGGCTGTCTCTGGGGTGAGAGAACAGGCTTTGAAATGTCTGACAAAAGTCTGAGGCTTATTAATGGGGAGCGCGTAGAGAATTGGACAGAGCCTTTGTATTTTTCACATATTTTTTTTACTCTACACCTTCACGTACCTTAAATGCCAGCTGCATTTATTCCAGCTCCACTATTCAAAAATGTGAGTCATGAAGTCGGAACATAATGCAGAGTTAATTAGGATTAAAACAGATGTCTGAACTGAGCAAAATTATAAATGCACTTTGAAGGATTGACAAAGACTATTCTTACTATACAATCAAAGTAAGAGCGAGACACATAACTCTTCTAATAATACTCATTATCTTTGTGTAAAGACTATGAGCTGCTGAGAATGCTGGATTTATTATAAGTGCAATGATCAAAAACTAGTTGCTTTACATTTGATGTCACATTTAAAGCCTCTTTAAATGATCTCTGGTTGATTTGGAGCCGACTTGTCAACTCTGATGAAAGTCAAACGGCACAGACCTGTATCATCATCTTCTCTGACCTCCTCAGGAGCTCAGCGATCAAAATGAAATCAGTTCAAAAGCTTTGTTCTGATCTGATAAGAGTGTCACTCACTCTCCCAGGAGGTTTCAACATGTCACAGTTTCCAGACAGATCATTTGTCATTGTTTCAACTTCAAGTATGATGAAAAACTACAGACTGACTCTACAGTAAAGTAAATGTTCAGGTAGAAAATGAAAACATACAGTATGAGCAACAGTACAGTCAACGCAAGGCTTAGTTTGATACTCATGCTTTGGAAAAAGTGTCAGAAAACAAAAAAAGGCATCACTAACTGAAATGAAAAGACAAACTCTAAGTGCACTCCTGTCTTTTTCCTGCTCCAGTGCCGTGCTTGAAAAGTGATCATGTTTAGATGAAACTGACTTCAGGACAGACAAGCAGGAGTTAAAAACACGTCATACTCACAGCGTAATTCCTTACATATCCCAGCTTCAGTACAAGACAGAAAGGAGATTGTTTAACTACAGTCATAAAGAGGAAAATGAAAACACAATGACAACTTTGACTTTTGCTGCCTTTCATTTATGCACCACACTGACCAAGTCTTTTTGGAGGTGACTGCTTGAAGGTATTCCTGTAGTAAAAGCAGTGATTTATAATGCTTTGCTGCTTGAATTTATTTCCTGTTCAAGCCAAGTGTGAAAAAGTAATGAGAGGGTTTTTAGGTTGACATTTTTGAAAAAGATCTTTAGTGACTCAACTTTTAGATGTCTTCAGTCAAAATAATTGCTGAGGTTACAACAGATAAAAACAAATCTGCTCACATTTTAAAGACAATCAAAATGTCATGAAAAACCTATATATAATGTGTGTTTATGAAGAGTTTACCAGATAATGTAACGTTTCCTGGCAGCCATACGAGAGGCTGTCAGCTATTAAAAAGGCACCAACCCAGTCTCAGAGCATTTCACAAGCTTGAAGTAAATATATTTAAAACATGGACATGAGTTTCCCTTTTATGTGTCAGTCAGCAAGAACTTCATATGACTGTATGACTAAATTTTCTGCTTGCAACACGGTGATCTTTAAGTAAGCAGGTAATTTACAGAGTCAGAGGTCTGTTAGGGTGGCAGTTGGAGAGTGATTAGAGGACTAGACAAACACAGGATTTGCACCTGAGCCACTGGAGTTAAAGTTCTGTCCAGGATCAAAAGTAGCTGAATTATCCTCACAGGTGTAAGTTGCACAAAAAGCATAAAAAAAACAAGACCACAATCCTATGTACTTGAGTGGTTTAAATATAACCAAGAATTTTCAAAAATGAGAAATGGAGCCAATGAGAAAGTGCAAAAAGCTGCAGTTCCTGGAGTGTCAACTTAAGGGTGGCTCCAAATGCCAAAAATACTCTTTAAGTTGCATTCATAGTCAGATACAGATATTGATAGCAATAATGCTACCTATGATGAAAAAAGATTAAAAATAAAATAATAATAATAATGATACCTATGATGTTGTGGCTACAAATGCCACTACCAACATGGATACTGGTACTGATACCAGTGCAGTTATGAATACTGATATATGGATTTGTTGAAATTTTAGGGATTTCTGGGGGAATTTTGAATGTTACTAACTCTGACACAAAACATTGCTTAAATGCCTTTCGCACATGTTTTATCACAAATAAAACATTAAGTTAACAGTTTTGATATTCAGCAGGTTAAACATGAATTTTCCTTGGCAAAAGCGATGTGACTTATGTCCTGTGACTCTACAAGCGTGCCTTGGCTTCAAGCATGTGCCCCTTGAGGTGGTAATTTGCCTTATCACTGAAGTAGAGACATGGAGGTATAGTGTCCATGTATGTAATCAATAGACTCATATGAAAATGAGCCATTTTTACAGCAGATACTAAGGTTATGAATCATGCATACATCTGCATAATTTTTTGTGATGACTGACCTGAATAAAAGGGCAAAATTAAGTCCATGTATTCAGCCACGCACATAACAGAGTGAGACTGGGTGGATATCATGATTTTGTGAATGCTCTTTTCAAGTTTTCTTTCTCATTTATTAGAAATATTTTGCACTTAATTTTTACTGCGGATACACTGAAACTTAAAACAAACAGCTCAGTGTAAGTAATGTCAGCAATCTTACTGGTTCATCCTTATACATAGCTTGGCAGCAGCACTACAAATAATATTTAATATGAAAGATATGTTTGCTAAGATGTGAGCCACAATAACTCCCTAAAATAGCACTACATCCAAACTGAACTTATCTCAAGTCCCTTTTGTACCACACAGGCCTGGAATATTCTCTTCAGTAGATCACTTGTACAGTAGTTGTATTATCATATATATTTAGAGACGTCATTTCAGGCTACCCTTTAGTTCATGTTTGGCATCTTTCAATATAAAAAGGATTCAGTTTAGAATTAATATCACCTCAATGATAGATAGGGTCATTCAACAGTATTATTCTCCTTCTATAATGAGGAGGGCTGTCAGGCTTGTAAATTGTGATATAAACAGCAGGAAACAAGCATTTCCAAAATGAGTCGACGCTGTCTTAGCTCCCTGGTTTGACACTCAAATAAAGAACCAGTTTTAGAAACAAGCTCCCCAAAAACAAAGTTACAGCCAAACTGTGTCCTGTCAAACCACAAGATTGTGGTTTGTGTAGGGGAAAGTGATAGCATCCTACAGAGTATTCAATTAGGATGGGTTATTGGTGGGAGATATGTCCACTTTAGTGAGAGCTGGGCCTAACTGTTGTCCTGTAATGTCTCTTGCAGCTAACATACGCTAATCTCCCGCACAGTCATATGCTCACCTAGCTTAAAGACATAGTAAATGTACAGTAAGTGGTCAAAACAACTACTTGAACTGTGTAGTGTAAGACTTGTGTCCAGTTTATTTAAAACCTTATAGATTATTACCCCAATCTGTGTAACAAGTTTCTAAGATGCAAACTGATGATTTACAGATTTATTTCACCCTGTTTCTTGAACTTTTGTAAGCAGATCTTTAATTTTGTTCTCCTCTGGGACTGACTATCACATTGAGTGTGACACTGTGTCTGCCATGGTGCTAAAAGATGTCTACCAGAGCATCAAACTAATGAGAAATGAGCCCTTTTACCTTGTTTCTCTTGAAATAGGCCCTGCGGCAGGCGGCGAAGCACTTCTCGCTGCAGAAGCTCTTCAGCTCACTCCCCATGCTCAGTGAGTAGCGTTTGACGCCGACCTTCTGGCACCAGGCGCACATGATCTGCACATTAGATGCATCTTCATCTGGACAGAAACATCAAACACAAGGAGAGAAAATGAGTCAGTTGTACCATGTGCTGCGGATAAGTTTGTTATTGGGCAGAAGAAGTCCACTTCTAAACAAACTCTGGTTTACTTTCATGATCAAACATTATAGAAAGTGTGTGCAGCAAGGGAGACTTACACAGTCTCTGAGAAATATCAACAATGTGCAGTTTTCCACAGACATTTTAAGAGTGACTATAAAGGAGGGACTTGCAACTACTTAACACATCCAATCTCATGGTTCACAAAGTTACAAAGAAGTAACACAAAAGACAACGGTAAGGGCGTCAGCTAAATACGGGCTCTGACTTCCACAATCAGTGCATCTCTATGAAAAACAAACCTTTCACTCAACTTTCAAGGCAACAGGATTAGCATCAAACACTAAGCTGCCACTTATAGCTACCAAGAACAGGGCCAGCTACCTCAGAGAACGTCTCAGACCTAACCAGTGTTTTTACTCAGGCTCACCGAGGGCTAAAGTTATCACAGCTCAACTCAGCAGGAAGTGCATACTGGTGAAATCAGAGGTTTTCTACTGAGTGCTTTCAGACAATGGAATCGTCATAGAATATTTTTTTATATCACACCAATTTATGGCATTTATTTCACATTTATTTTACACATAATATTGATTAAAAAAAGGTTCATCAGTTTTAAGAAGTTGAATGTTATCTCATTGCCTTGACCTAAATAAACTTAAAGCTTCTTTTTAAATAGGATAGGGCTGGGCAATAAACAGAAAATTTACTGATACCAAAATTTACAACAATAACTGACGTCATTTTGCCCATGTCAATATATTCTGTGTCAAAAAAATAAATAAGTAAAAGTTCGTTTTGGATGTGTGTCGGTAGGCTATGGTCTCATGTCCGTTTAAGACGCTGTCCTACGTCAGAGACGTGACTCCGCCCCATCCAGTCCATAACAAAGAGGGAAAGACAGGTGAGGAGATGGAGGACGGTTCAAAAGTTGTAGCGGCTGGAGCAGCGGCTGAAGTAGACAAAGTTAATGTGGGAGGGGGTGAGCAGCTTGTGGAGTAGTTATCGTCCATTTATCGTTATCAAGGTGAACTGCTCAATATATCGTGATATTGATTTGAAGCCATAATGCCCAGCCCTACCATATACTCAGGTGAGTCTATAGTGTTGCCAATTAGGTAAGTGTAATGTTAAACCCTTTTATAGCACTACATATAAAGTTTCCAAGTTGTTACACTGACACACAGATGCTTAAATCTGTTAAAAGAAAGATTTGTTCTTTGATCTGCAGAGTGGGATTTGTGAGCTTGGACAACTCCATTTTGCTAACATTGTTCGACTGCTTTCACAGAATTCTCCTTGGAAAAAGAAAAATGTCCAAATTGAGAAAAAATATTACCAATAGCAGTCATGACATGAGGTTTTAGTTACTATGGTAATGTGAATATATTTGTTTTCTCTTCATTGGTCAAAGGTACTTGGATGTTGTTTGCTCTGTGTGGGAGGCTGGCCTCAAGATTCCTTAACAAAGACCAAGAAAAAAAATTTTTAAGAGGAATTTTAATTTAAATGCCAAAACTCATTTTTTAAAGACAAACTTTCTTCCTTTAAATGTTTTAAGAGTTAGTTGTTTTTTCATACTACAGACGTCCTTAAAGTGTTACTGAGTGCTACACTTATTCAAATAGAGCCCCAGTGATGGTAAAATGTCTCTTGTGTGCCAAACTCTGACTGCTGGTGATGAGCGTCGGGCTTTTAGTGGCATCACTGTTGCAAAGAGAGAGAGAGTTCCTCTGAGATTCCCTCCTGTATCTCCCAATTATCACATTATGACTGTGCGGGTGTGAGGGTGAAAAAAATGCAGCCCCATTAGTCTTTCACCTCCTTATCGCACACTGGCCGGGCTTTTCACCTCTTGTTGAGCTTAATGGATCTTCAGGGTCGTCAGATCTTTAGTAAAGACTAACTCACAATTAAGGAAACTGCTCCCCTGGGTCCTAAAGATAGCACACCGGACCCGACATGCATATTTTATGTTCTTCTGAGTCCTCTGGTCCCTCTGTCTTTTTGAGCCCATATGGGTGCATACTGCAGTCGTAATAGAAAAACAAGACCGTGTTTAACCCTGGGTTTTCCAGGTGGGTGAGTCAGAATGTGGAGATTTCTCAGAATAATGTGTGTCGCAAAGTTACAGACAGAATCTAACAAACACGGCACCTTCATTTATTTTCATCTATGGAGACATCACGCAGGAGAATTGTTTTTTTGCCTTTTCTTTATTTTAACAACCTCATCTTAAAACACTCACATCTGCATGAGGGAGAAAAACCTGTCAGTAATTATGCAGCTCGATGCTAAATGCCACCATCATCTTCCGTACCTGCACCTCAAAAGGTCCTTTGTCGGATTTTGCGGGGCACATGAATAATTCAGCATATGTGTGAAGGTTTGGGGGGGCGGTGAGTTAAAGGGGGTGTCGACCGGGTGGCGTGTTGGTGCTGGGCTTTAAGTAGGACCACACCATCTGTTTCCCCGCCTCGGCAGGGCCAGCGGGGACTCCTCTTGGGTGATGCCAAGGAGGCTAGCTCCCTCCGCTGGGGCGGACCAACCTCCTGTGCCACAGCAGACGTAAGGGATAATGAAGCCCTCTGTCTGGCCAAGGAACGGGGACTTTTCCTCAGAGAGTTGATGGGGTTATATTGACACTCGGGCAGGTGGAGGAAAACAAGGTGTACAGCAGGTAGCTAGCTCATTAGTTGCCTGTCCCTGCCTGCTTTTTTTTTTTCAGGCCATAGCAAAGACAGAAAGTTTACAAGCTGCATAAACAACCAATTTCCTGTTAAGTGGTGGAGAATCAGTGAACAGGCTTTACTTTCATTACAATGTAATCTGTCTTGAGAACATCTGTGGATTAAATCTATGCCAGCTCCTTCTAGTTGGAGGATTTGTCATTCGGCGTTTGGGGTATATCACAAGCATCTGCAATGTGCTAGAAATGACCTTGATCTTTAGGAAAATTACAATGTAGCCTTGTTAAATAACAAGTGTGTAAGCAGGAAACAGTTGAAACTTTATGGACCAGCAGCTCTGAAGGTCCCCATGTGACTCAGATTTGATACTTTGTTTTTCAGCTACTTTCTCTGATTGTGTCTTTCCAAAAAGGTGTCAGTGTCCCCTACCTGCAGGAGGCTTGATCAGAGGCGGGGGGATCATGGGGACAATGATGGGCAGGTTGCCATGCTCCTTGTTGCCGGGCGTTGAGGTGGACGGTGTGGTGGAGGGCTCTGTGACTCCGTTCCTGGAGGCTGGCAGAGACTGGGAGCTGTTGGCTCGGTCTGGAGAGCCTTCACAGCTCTCTGTTGAAGCTGGGATTTTTGGCAACAAGTTTTCTGGAAAGATGAAATAAAGGAAATAAAATCCATCAGATGCTGAGAAACTCACTGCAAACCATACAATAATACCTTGGCCTGCTTTGCCTACAATCAGAAAGAGTCGCTATTTACCACTCTGGTTCTCCAGTGTATTATTTCCATTTATTACCAAGCTTTCAGAGTAGTCATCCAGCTGCATAAATAACTTGATTCTGATTGGTCAAAACCGCATAACAACAGTTCTAGTTTTTCATTCTGATTGGAAGAGTGACATCAGGGTCAACCACATCACATGTGCGATAACAGATCAATCCAAAAGAGCCAGACACACGTCTGCAGTTGGTGGTGCTGCATCTACATTTTAGTTTCTAATGGGAACAATGTTTTTTTTTATTATTCAATTAATTTTAGAGCACAAAAGTTCAGAATAATGGACAATTCACCAACAAGTAAAAGGAAACCAAAGAACAACAGAGAGAGCTGTTAAACACACAAAGAATAATGGCGACATCCATCAAATTGAAGAAAACAGACATGCAGCAAAACCAAACTGCATCACAGTATAGGCTTTTGCAGTGTCATCAAATCATTTCTGATTCAATGCTTTGTGCTGGCTTGTTTGTATCTCCAGTTGGCAGGCTGGTAATAAACAGGATTCCGTATAGTGAGTGACTGATAATGTGAAGCGGGGGTTCTTGTCTAAAATTAAGAAAAGTAAAAACCAGCCCGGAAAATCAAAGGAGATCAAAAACACAAAGAGCCTGATTTCAAACAAATTTACAAAATTCAAAAACAGGCTAACATAAAAAACAGAGCAGAGCATGTTTTGGATAATGGCAGAGTCTTTAGACTGTGTAATGTAGATAAAACGGCTGCAGACTTAATCAGTTGTGGGCTGTGTCCCTGTTTATGTCTCTAATAATGTCTGTTAGAGCCCAATATGTACCAATGACCCAAAATGTTATACAAAAAATGTAACAAAACCCGAAATGTAATAATTGGTCAATTATGTAAAAAGACACTAAGCCCAAAACTTAAGTACTTTGTCCAAAATCTAGCAAGTTTTCCCTTTCCAATTCAAAACTCAAAAGTCGTTTTTTTCTGCTCTATCAAACATGTGTGAGTGGCTTTAGAGCTATTTTAACTGTTGCTGATTGGTGGCCAAAAAATACTGTTTGTGACGGGAAACTACCGTATTTTACCCCTCTTTCCCGATTTCTTTCTGTATTAATATTCTCCTGTAAATCTCCCATATTGAAATATATATGTGAACATTTCCCTTATATTTTTAAGCCAAAACTTGACCGGTATGAACATATTTTACAACAGAGATCTGAGGTGAGATGACAGGTCAAACCAGACCTAACATCATTTTCCCCTTTATCTGACTCTATCCACAGTCCAGTCCATTCAATAAAGGCTTTAGAAGTCAAAATTTATCTATGGAGAAAGTTTGGGGTTTTTACAAAAGAAAAAATGTCAGGGTCACGCTTGGCAGAGGAAGAATACATCAGTAATGTTTTACAACATGACTGATTTTTTAAGTGTTATAAATTGGCATGCAGCACAGGATCCAACGGAGGTGGCAGCTGATAATGATGAATGCTGCAAACTTAGCACTTAATGTTTTCACATCTCAATACAAAAGAAATACTGCACTATTCATTACAGCCTCATACCTTTGAGGACAGAGATGTGCTGAGGCGTCTCTCCGATCTCCAGGTTGTCAGAATCTCTGAGCTCCACCTTGTCGTAGCCGTACCAGCCCAGCAGCTCGTTCATGGTGTTTTCTGCAAAACTCTGCAAGTGAAACATTTGACTGTTAAGACTGAGGTCCCCATGCAGTAACTTAACCCTGTCAGGCCTGAACCCTAACATTCAAATTCATTAAACAAAGTGTCAAAATAGACTTTAAACTATACATCAGTTTTTGTTTATAAAAAATGAAACATATTCTACTTTTGTGACAGCAGTTCACAGAGGAAGAATGAGGCTCTACAGACCAAATTTAAGAAAGGAGGAAATTCTGTGCTAAACAGAGGGTTGTAGAGATCCTGAGTTGTAAACTATTAGCCCCCATGCCAATGGACAAAGAGGATATGATAAAAACTGGACCTCTCTGAATCAGAGGATACCAGCAGCAGACAGCATCACTCACTACCCAGAGTTCCCTTCCTCTCCAACCACAGCAGCTTTTTTGGCTTTTCAATTTTCAGAGGTTAAATAAGAGAAACTAAAAAACTGAAGGTGAGTATGTGGCTGGATTTCCATGTTTTTTACTGCATCATGACATAATCTGTGGTTGTATGTATGTTTATGTTAACAACATGCACTGTTACCTGTAGAAAGGGAAGACTGAGATGAAATAACACACAATAAAGATGATAATCCACACTGTGTCATTTATTGACAACAGTCATTTAGTGTGCCATATATAGGACCCACTCGGGCATGCCTTTTTCCTCTGGCGGGTTATCTGTGCACATGTATGGGGTTGTATTCATTTGGTTTTTTTAAAGGTAAAAAAAAAGTGATCCCACTGAAAATGTAGAGATCCAAAAAACATGTGTATTAATTAGGATTTACCTTGCTTTACAGGTTAGAAATATTCAGAAAATACAGAAGAGCAAATGAAAGACACAAATTTCACACCAGAAAATATCTTTTCAATTGTAATAAAGGATTGAGACAGGAAGGATGAAGTTACCACTTTAAAGTAAAACGCAACAGTCCAGTTCTTTGTTGCATGTTCTCCTGAGACCTTGACTTTGTAAACCAGCTTCTCAGATTTTTCCACAATACCACATCTTTCTTACTAATTAGGCAGACATGTTCGATCCTCACTCCAACTTAAAAGCTGCGCACTGAGAAAAACCACCGAATGTCTTCTTTTTTTTTCAGCAGGTCCTCTTTATCAGAACAGGTCAACTTAATTGGGTTTCGGTCTGTCCCACAGCTGCTCTGTGAGCACCCAGCCAAACTAATGGTCTGTCTGGTGGAACAATAACAGAGGAGGATGTTATCGGGGTGTAATAAAGACTGTGATAAGAAGGCTATCACAGCACATGAACCAGCATATAGAGAACTTATGGCAGAACAGTAAAATAGAGACAAGAAAATGGTGAGAGCAGAGATAAGGGTTTGACTCATGGGCTGATGATCCTTTATAGATATGTCAAAGCTCTCCTCTTTCTGAGAGCTCATGTGATTGATTGAAAATGGTCTGGATCCTGTCTGCATCTAAAGGGGTCATATAAACCTGGGAGGCTGTTGATGAAAAGGGCCCTGAGGTGAGGAACAAGAACAAAGTGAAGCTATTTGTTTGTGTGTCACCAGTGCAATCGCATTTTGAGGATGCTTCATACTCCTCTCCAACATAGCCTTCTTTCCTCTGCTCTTTTGTTGAACATGTCTAATGACACATAACTGATTAAAAGGTAAAAAAAAACAACAACAAAAAAACTCTATTGTAGATATGTTGTCAACATTACTCATTTACTTCCACAGCCTACTCCTCAAACAACCCCTGTTTGACTCGTTGTGAGGGGAAATGTGTGAATAAACAACTTTTGAAAATGTCAGAGGCAGGCTGTCTGGAAGTTCTTGAGAAGTGTTCAGGACTGCATATGCGGAGGGGCTTATACTAAGCTTAGCCAACTGTTTGCTGGCTTTCATTCCATTTATAGCTCAATTACACGGGAGAAGCACTGCTGACTAATTAAGAAAGTGAAGACCAAACTGCCATAAAAGTTCAAGTGTTCCTGTAAGTGGTTTTCACCGTATAATGGTTGAGTATTAAAGGGACAGTCTGTAGTATTCAGCAGCATTAAGCAGAATAGACTTGGGGAAATTAAATGTAATATTTGTAAATAAGTTTAAATTCGGGTCTGATCACCTGAGTACATGGCTTCCTTGTTCACAACTAGGGATTGGCGATAAATTATCGTTCACTATATATCTTTACAAAAATCCTCCATGATAAATATTTGCCATCTCATGGTAAATACGAAAAATGCAAGTTGATGACATAAGTGCGAGCAACAGACTTGCAGCCATAGCCCACACAGAGCAGAATAACAAACAAACATGGTCGAAGGTAATGAAGAATACGTCTCTGAGCAGTTTGTTACTGAATGAGGCTCCACATGAGAGATTTCCTTCAAGATTGGGGTTTAGATGAGTGCAATCAGGTCTGCCTGACTTCAGACAGTAGATCTGCTGCTGTTCACTGTGTGCAATAAAAGTTTTTTCACAAATGTTGAAAACGTTTTCACATTTGAGACTTGTTTGATGTCATCAATTTTCTCCATAAACTACCACTCAGACTTTTGGTTAAGTATCTTATTTGACTATTCCAACTGGTGTTCTCAAGACAAAATGAGTCCAAAATATAGAATGGAATTATAATATTTTTTATCTGAACTTCTATTGTTATCGCCAGAATGGCAAATCTTATCGTGATACATTTTTTAGTAGTGAAAACTTGAAGACTAAGGATGATCTTTATGAAGCATGACAGGAGCTTTTTGTCCTTTGAGGCCACTGTAGCTCATGAAACAACAGGAGGGTGAGTAAAGGAGTGTTTCAATCAAAAATCTAACCTTTAGATATGCCTAAACTTTCCTATTTCCTAGATTGGTGCAAACATGTACAGCTGAATAACACTGAAAACTAGTTGAAGTGGAGTATTAGAGCTGCCAAAGCATTGAAAAACATAAAATGCTCCATACGCTTCATGATTAACAGTATTTGTTGTTGCTTGTGGCAGATTCCCCTTAGAGTCTTTCACCCTTTCTCCATTTTTCTGAAGCACAGCAAAGCAAAGAGCAGAAATTGGCTGCAGGTAGCATAAAATTTAACTCCAAAGAGGTGATATATGGATGTATTTCCTCTGTAAAAGCCACTCATAAAACAGTAAATAAACACTTTACTCAAAATAAAACCATAACCCTGCTAATGCATACACTCCATTATCTCTTTACACCTCTCAGCATGCACACTTCCAAAAGCATCTGTTCACTGAACCTTTTCTTTTCTATAGGCGTCAGCTACATTTTGGGCATTTAAGTTAGATGGAAATGTTTTGTCTGGAAAAGGCAGCGATGGCTGAGGATGATCAGATGTAATTATTTGGTCCGTGTGATAAATTATTATTCACAGCTCATCAAAGTATCTGCTCAGAGGAAATGCTGCTCCTTTGTGCTCTAAGTAATGTTTTCAATATTAAAGCAAAATACATTTCTTGAGATTTTCTCCAAATGATGAAAAAGCCAGACCAGAATTTGTGCTCAAAAGCTGCAAATAAAAGACTCAACAGCAGCTTGAAGAACCCCATCATATGCATCAACACTCACCCTGCAGAGATTCAACAATTCAGTCACTGGTGGGCTTTACTCCAGATTGTATTGACAAGACACAAGTCAGTTCATGATTACAGCCAGTCCCACTTGACTTCATTATATTATCATGACAGCAGCTTTCACTCATCAGTCACTACATCAAGCTGTTTGATGTCAATTACAAGCTGCTCCTGTCAATATGTCAGACTGTGTCAGAGTGGTTCAGTGCCACCCAGTTCATCTGACTTTTTACTCTGAGCTATTCAGCTATAACTATTTAATAATATAGATGTACATGAGTACACACATTTAAAGTCAATGTTTTGTCTTCAAACCATAATAGAAAAAAATCTATCATATCAAATATTCTCCCTTTCACTGCAGTATATAGATTCCTCGTGAACTACAAAGTAAACGGACTCCATTGTACATGGGTCGATTGTGGTTAATCAAGACCAAAGTTAATGTCTCCATGCACCAGGAGCTTTCGGTGCACTTCATACCTCCATCTGCTGACAAGCTTTCTTCTCATCACCTGCCCACAGCGCCAAAACTACTACCAAATGTTTCGCTGACCATGATGCTGTTGTGCTTGACTGGTCAGCCAACTCCCCTGACCTGAACAACACGCTTATCCTCTCCATACCACACCATACTGGTGGAGTACTTCATGGTTCAAGAGCCCAAAGCTAGTACTGAGTGTGTAAATGGATATACTTTTATACTACACTGAACATATTTGTACCTCCGATCCTTTTTGAACTGATTTTAAGAAAATGTCCTAATAATTTGAGATAATGGATTTGTGACAAAAAGTCTCTGTCCTAAATACTAATTACATTTTTTTTTTTTATTCAAAGCTCCTTTGCGGAGCTGTTGTTTTTTTTTTTTTGGTACATTTTTAAAGTAGACCTCCATTCACATTTATGCCTTTTCATGATAAAATAAAAGCAAACAAGTGACCATCAATGAGAAGGTTAACAATTTTTTACTGTAATTTTAATAACATGAAGCCGTTGGTGGGGGTTGTTGTCATTGGAGCTGCTCTTTAAAAAAGCTCTGTCTTTATATTCTCATTAGATATTCATCAAAAATATACAGTATGTAAATTACACAGATTTTTGTCAGAGGAAACTATTTTAACATTTCAAGGCAAAGGTTAGTAAAGACTGTTTTGTCCACAGGGGCCGCCAAAGTTGACACAAACAGGACCTTTAATCATTTTAACCATTTGAAATTTCTAAAATAGTCCTTTTGTTATATGATTATGTTTTGAGCTGCACTTGTAAAGCTTTTTCTGATTTAATTTGCTAAATTTTCCAATACATAGTGGTGTAAAACATTTATACTATATCTTAATGCAAAAATGGTTTGCCTTACTATACCACATAACTCAAAGGCTCCATTGGCTAACTCCAACACTTCTCCTGCGACTGTGAACAATCAAAATAGCGAGTCTTCAAAAATCAGGTCTGCAGAAAATTAAAGAAAATAAGAAAAATAAAAAGAGAGGATACAGAGAAAGGTGTGAGGAAGCTCATAAACAAATTTCTTACAAGATTTGAAGAGGAAGAAGAGGAAGCATCCCACAAGAGCAATCTTCATCGAGATAAAACAGTTAAGTTAGCACGGCCACCAACGACCAGACACAACCGAACCTCACTGTTCGAGTCTGTTGGCTTGTATTAAACCACGTCTTCTCTGACAGTAGATGACAACACAACAGGCAACACTGCTAGGACTTGTTGCTCTAGAGCTGAGAGAATGAGCTGAGGAGACAGCAGGTATATAGATGGGCAGACCAGAGTCACCAGCGCTGGTCACAAGTTTGGAGCAAAAGAGGAGAGAGAGGAGAGAGATAGACATGGCTGAATGAGGGGCTCACTCTCTGGACAGAGCGAAAAAAGGTAATTGTGCAACAGACTCAGAGACAAAAGACGGGGTTTTAGAAAGTGCAATTATGTTTATGTAACCAGTGCCATATATTACACAAACAGTGTCTGTTTTACATCAATATATTTGAAATATTAGTTTTAAAACAGGAATATGAATTATCAATGACTCATTTAATGTCAGAGACTATCTTAATGTGTGTCAGAGTGTGTGTTAGGGAGGGGACCCTTTGCCTTTTTCCCAGGCCTGCTTGTAAATATGCAGCCTATCAGCATTCTGACCACTTAAAGTGCTTATTAACATGCTCCAGTTTACACACACATTTGCACACTTGTGCTGCAGAACTACATGAGGTGCCTGCTCTTTAGGATTGAATATAAAGCAGATTCATCAACAGTTAATTAGGGGCTCAGAATCCTTTCCAAACACACATCAACATGCTGACCAGTGGAGCTGAGCTCAAACACCAAAAACCCCAATTAGTAGATAATCAGCTGTAACCAATAGGCTGCATCTTGATATTTTTACATTAATAGTGCAGATATGGCCTTAATAAAAACTTGAAAGGAAATTGCTAATTAAATATTGATTTTACTTATATATCAACTCTGAAATCACAAAGAGCCCTACCAGGACAAACCAGACGGTCAGTGAGAAGACTGACTTTATGTAAGACGAATGATAAATTAGATTTTGCTTTTGGTTTGGCTGATATTCTCCTTGACAACAGCCAAAAGCAAGATAAAAATCAAATTAATGAATAAAACCTGAGCTGAATAATAACAGCCCACTTAATAACAGCTCATTTATTTTACTGCTTTACAACCATTTTTGCATGTACGTTAAAGGTAAATGGGTGACACTACACATTGTAAATTCACCTCTGCCATCCCTTTGGTGAGACTGAATACCTAGAGGATCATTTAAAAAACAAACTTCTAAGTTGAGTCCAAAGAGTGTTTGCTAACTACTGGATGAAGGTCTCAGGAATTGATTTGTGATCCCTTGCGGGAAGAAAAGTGACTGATTCTGAAACCAGAATTTCCATCCATCCATTTTCTACCACTTATCCCCATTGGGGGGTCATGGGGGAGCTGAAGCCTATCCCAGCATCTCAGGGTGAAGGAAGGGGACACCCTGGACAAGTCACCAATTCATCGTAGGGTTGACATATGGAGACGAACAACCATCCACACTTACACCTATGGGCAACTTGAAAGTGGCCAATTGACCTAAACCCACCTCTGCATGTTTTTGGGATGTGGGAGGAAACCGGCGTACCCGGAGTAAACCCACGCAGACACAGGGAGAACATGCAATCTCCACACAGAAGCGCCCTGACCTGGATTCAAACCCAGGACCTTCTTGCTGTGAGGCGAAACTGCTTACCACTACACAACTGTGACATCCTGAAACCAGAGTTTAACTTGGGTAAATAAAGTAAAACCACAAGGTTAATGTATGTATATGCACAAATTCACTCTGCAGCTCTAAAATCAGTTGAGTAGGAATAGATCGTTCTACACATTGATACGGCATGGCCTGGTGGAGACTCTGCATGGAGCCTCCACACAAAACATTTGTCGATTGACTTAATAAATTGACACAAATTGAATTACCAAAGCAGCATACACAGGATATTGCTGTAAGTTGTATTGTAGACAGGAAAATACGATGGCACTAAGCTGAAAGACACACACAGAGACGTTTGTTTAGACTGAGGCAGAAGTATCTCTTTGTCGATCTGAGACACTGTGGTGCAGAATAAAGGAGACAGGCTGCTTCATCGTCATGTTTAGACCACAGTTTGTAGAGAAGTTCATAGTTGTTTTGTATTTTCCTCTCAGAATATTTGATCATTCATACAAGGCTTCTGGTTTTTGCTAATCTGTGGAACTGAACTGAAGATTAGGCATGCTTAGGAGACCTTATTAATGCAGAATGACAGGAGTTATTGATCTGCCTGTTATGGAATACCATTGTGGTGGTGTAGTCAGTGGGAAGGCATGGGTGCAGTCCATGGCTTGAGTCAATGACAGGTGAAGTGAGCAGCAGTTTGTGGTCATAAGAAATACCAGCATACATTTGTTTCTGCAGGAACATTTCAGTGCACATCATGAGAACGATCATAAATGTGTGTAACTCTTCAGATATCAAATTCAGACAGACAGCATCCGCCAATTAACACCGAAGCAACAATAAGAGGATGTGTGGCACTTCTTTCAAACGGTTAAGGTTTGATTAAAGCACTTACAGGCTCAGACTTTTGTCAGAGAGGTTTTTTCAAAAAGGACAGTTAAACAGTGAAGGCTGTTAATGAGGACAGCTCTGGTTTGAACGACACTGTGCTTGAACAATGATAAGTGACAGCAGTGTGCTCTCCGCCTGAAGGTTCCTGAGAATCTGATGAAGTGCCACAGCCTGAGCAGAGCTAAAGTTAGCATCTGACAGCGAAAAACGTATCCATGTGGTCTGTAGAGAAACTGATGAACATTTATTCATGGCATTTGGGACAACTTGCTGTCTCTGGGAAAATGGATTGGAAAACAAAAGGATGCATGCTGCACTGCCTGTGTTCACTGACACTGATTTTTGGTCACAGTGCCCACAACCTTAATATCAGGAGCAGCACTCACTGTTGCCAGGTTATGCACATTGTTTCACTTCCACTTCTTCTAGTTATGACTAGAGTCATCACCAAAATTAAGCAGTATTTATGCCAGTTTTAATACCACAGCTACAAAAACTTCTGTAATGGTCAATTTTGCTGGATGTTTTTTTTTTTCCATCTGACACTCTGTGCTGGTAGAAAAAGAGCCCCTGAACACAAAGACTTTTGACATGATGTATTTCACAGAAAAGTAATGGATATTATAACATTTAAAGAGATGTGGTTTTGAAAAGAGCAAAAGTATTGCAAATTTTGAAAAACGTATTAATGACGGTTACAGTCCCAATGAAATTTTACAAAGAAAGCTTGAACAGTCACATCCTGCCATGAGCAGCAGTTTGACCTGAAAATTGTACACTTCTTCGTATAGATCTGTTTTTCTTTTGACAAAGATGAAATCAGTAATCTCGCCCCTTCTTAAGTCTGATTGATCTGATCGGTGGAGATGTGGCATTGTAAGCCCAGCAGTGCTCTCATCTTAAACTATTTTTAAACAAGAGCCCTGATAGCACTGTGGGAAAAAAACAGCTGATGCCAAGAATGAAACGCCACACTGTACATCACACTGTTTTTTAAAGAAAAAAAAAAAAAGTGCAGGAAGAGAAAAATAAAATTGTGGACACAGGCCCTAACAAGTGACAATAAGGGTTGTAATATTCCATATTTAACTTTATGAATATACCATGTCTTGAGCCTTTCCTGCCATATTTCAGTTGTTTTCATTTTTTATTTTTATTACTATTATTATTTTTTTTTGGTTCCCTCACCATCTACTTATCAATAAAAGCTAACCAGACTTCTACCTGAGCAGTCATACTTAGTCGCCAAGAGTTTTTTTTTTTTTTTAAAGATTGTGATTTGAGCTGCATTGTTGTGACAGTCTGTTGTGCAGAAGTAACAGACCATTACCATGAACAGTTATAATGTGATGACCAGAGTGACTTAACAATGCAAAAAATGAAAATTTTGCTTTGAATTTCTGACATAAAGCCAGGGAAATATCTTAATTTAAGATAATACGTGTAGAATACTAGACTGGTGCTGCTTGTAAATGAGTAAAAAAAATATCTGTCATTGGAGTGAGAAAACTTTAGTTTTCAGGTTTCTTGAAATAATTGACTGGCTTATTACAATAGTCCATTCAAAGTTGTTTTTCATTCATCACAGGCAATTTGGGTCTTACATTTTTGGTATGTAATATCTTGAAAAAAGTCAAAATAATATATTTTCTGAACTTGCCAGATAATCTTGGCTTAAAATAAGCCTTATGAGATATTGTGACTAAAAAATTAGACAAAAACCCTTGCTGTGATTTGAGTCTTTGCAATGTGATGGGTAAAAAATGCTTATTATCCATGCCTTAGTAAGCCATTAGCTGAGATGTTCTTATTTGTTCAAAGCCATGAACACACTGATAAATGACAGCTGTGTAGCTTTGGCTGGTGCCAAATTTTTACAAAACTTTCCGATCAACTTTCTGCTCTCTTTGCTCATGTTTGACAACTGCAGCCAAGGAAATATCGATCAACACAGGCCCACTCAACAGTCCACAATCCCTGGCAGTGGAAATGATCCAAAACCATAGTAGACACTCCATCTGCTTTAACAGTTCTTACCAGTGAACAATTTTCATGGTGTTAACTTGAGTTAATTTTAAACTTTTAATAATAAATAAGCATGTCCAGTTTAGGTCTAGTAAAAGTGATGCTGAAAGTGAAAAGACAATTTAAAATGATTATCTGTCATTGTAGACGCTTACCATTATGAGGATAAAACCCTTCAGATAATACTAGGCAGAGGTGGATCAGGGTTCCCACTGGCTAAAACAGTTGTACAAAGAGATAATGCATGAACCCAGTAGAGGGATGTTTGTCAGGTCAAAATAAAAATCTCATAATCTGGTAAAGTCATGAGTGCGAACCCAGGGTGCACATTTGGAGCAATTAGCCCAAGAACAAGGATAAAACCTGAAAAGGAGCGAGAATCTGAAAGGAGAATATCCCCTTTCAGACAAATTAGTTGGATCAACCTGAATGTAGTCTCAAGTAAAACAGATGTAGCTGTTAAATAACCACATCCAGAGACAAAAACACAGCCTCTCTTTGAGTCCCTCTCTTTCAGTTCTACCATCCTGTCCTCTGTGTCACCCCACTACTTTGAGAAAGTGGGAGTAATATTAAGAGTGCAATCTAATCCTGGTTGGCGGCTGATGAAAGCTGCAGCACCAACTTTGGCTCTGGTTGAGCCGGGGAGGAAGAAGCGTTGGAGGCACAGAGGCAGCTACAGATGTCTGCATGTAACGCTGGATGTAAAGCTGTTTGATCTGGTTAAACAGAGACTCCAGCTCGTTTTGGCAGATTTATTCATCTGAAAATCTTCTCAACACCTCGAACAGAGCTAAAGGTCAACTGGAAAGGTGGTTTATTTTCCAAGCTGCAGAATTCGTATTTTTATACAGTGAGTGACTTCTACTTTGTTTTTATTCCCCAAATCTTTAGTTTACCACCACAATCTCCAAAAAGGTCTTGGACCTCACACCCCTCCATCCCTAGAGGAGAATAAGGAAAAACAAAGTTGATGAGAATCACAGTTCTCAGAGAAGGGATCTAAATGTTGGTGTTTTTTATCATCTTTTCTAAGTGAGCATCTTTAACTATGATTTACAAGACATTAACCATGCCATGGTGACCTGTCAACCAAGAAAGAGACATGTGTCCTCCCCCTTCTCCTCCCCTCGTTTTTTTCACTATTTAAAGTGTTATCAGTGGTCTTTGAGTTGTGATCATGAAGGTTTCAGCCAAAATTGCTTTACCTGTGTCATTTTCAACGGCTCTTCTTCTGCAGAGCTCCCGTAGCTCAATAGCAATTCGCCTCTGAGTCGTGGGTGGAGACAGCACTGCTCTGCACAAACTAGCACTCTTCATGCTAGCTTGCAGCCTAACATTGTTGGCGTAGTAGAAGAATCAGGTAACATAGGAGCTATTTAGCTCTTGGACATTAATGTCTTTGTGGACATGATGAAAGTTAATATCATAATTAGCTTTCTGATGAGCATTACAATCCACAAACGCACACGCTTGTTCCGCGATCGTATTCTCTATTTTTCCGAGTGTGGCCTGCTTAGCGGGGCGCCGGCGGTGGAGCTTGGATTTGCTACGCAGGAAATCTCACTGAATCTGAATCTGCCGTTTAGGTATGCCAGAGATTCACAGCGATTTAAATGTAGAAATACTCAAAAATACAATTGCGCAGTTAGTTTTCTCATGATACCGTAGCATCAGAAAAATGTCATATGAACATGTAGACAACAAGAAAACATGATTTTCATCAGAGTGGCTCTGGTGTGTTTATTGCATACAGTTTAAAAGAAACTGACATGACAGAAGCAATACCTCCACTTTGTGTTCTTCCAATAGTCCTGTGGGACTTTTGTAAAAGTACAAATCATCTTGAACAGGACCAAGGTTTTCTAAGAAATAGAATAAGTGCTGGTGCAAATGAAAACCTGTCTGCATCCTCCACTTCAGTCATTCAATGAAGAAATAAAGCAGTGACCATTTGTCTGCATGCCTGTATTTGAAAGATTTACACTTATCATTTATGGTACAAGTAATAAATAATTGTACTGTGTGTTCATTTGTAAAGTCTGTTCAGTAGACTGCAGCCCTGTGTTACCTTCTGTCCTTGAAAGACTTTCTGTACCATTCAGTAAACAGACGTATTCAATGAAATCATTGTTACCTTACACTTAACGCTGCCTGCTGTGTTCCATCATAGAGGTGTGGTGTCACAAGGATTGTATTTAATGAAATGCAAATAGTGCAGAGACAACATGTTAACTGTTGAAATTGAAAAATGTTACTGTTGAAATTTATTTGTGTATTTCAAATTTGATGACAACAACATGCTTCAGAAATGTTTGAACTTTAGATATTTATTAAACTGAATGCAAGTCAAAAGTCCAATTAAATCAGTGTATTCTGTTTTTATTCACATTTTACTGAACGTCACAACTTCATTGGAGTTTATGGTTCAAATGTTGTTTGTCTTGTTACACAAATGTTTCTAAAATGAATAGACTGTGATAAGAGTGGAAGGCCAGGAGAGACTGGGCAATCTTTACAATAGAAAGTATAACTTAGTTAAGATATTAAAATGGGTTTGAGAATACTAGTATATCAGATATCTGCCAAAACCTAGGGTCATGCGTTTCCAGTATTTGTCTTATCCCTGGTAAAAATGTAAAAATACATAGAAATAAATGGACAATCCAGATATCAATTTTAAGTCTTAAGATATTGTATGCTAAAAATAAGGATTTAATTTATTGACATGGGTGGAGTTGTTGGATATGTTTTTGAAATTTGGATAAACTAAGTCCTTATTTTTGATGCCCTACCAAAGAGGTTAACCTCCAGACTTGTCAGGTTAATGTAGCCTGTTCTGAGTCTGCATTTGAGTCTTGTTTATGCACTTTTGTTGAGTGTGAGAATAAAAACATAATCTCGTCTTTGGACTCATGTTCAGCCTGCTTCAGAATTGGTCCAAAAGGACAGCCATCACGTCTGTGTGTGTTAGCAGAGACTCCTGTTTATTTCATACACTAACCGAGGTCAAAGTTACAAAGAGCAACAACAGAATTTATAATCAAATATGTCATTTTTGTCTCACCTCAGCACTTAAGCCCATGTTTGACTGTATATCTGTGCTGTTCTCTCTCACTCTCTCCATTCCCTCACTGTAATATGCCAATTAATTGTAATTTAAAACTGAGCACCCTCACATCTTGTTTACAGCTCTGACATGCTAGCATAATATATAAGAATACTGATTGTTAATGAAAGAACAAAAACAAACAGAGTTTTAAATAATAGTCTACCTTTATTACAAGCCTGCTTCATATAAAGGCCTGGTACATTCTGTAGTAAAGGCAAAGGCCTCATTTGTATTTGAGAATTTACAGAAGCCTGTTAATGTTGGATAATTAGTGGATGCAAAAATGGTGTGCGCATATACTTCATGACATGTGCATATCTGTGAACACCCCGGTCAAAAAGTCTGAACCCTCCCCTCAGCAAATCAAAGTGCATCCACAAAAAGTGCTCGTCTTTGCTGCGGACAGTCAGTGGTGTTTTTCTAATCATCAAACATCATCATAGAAATGATCCATGCAGAGATAGACCTTCAAAGTAACAAGATGCTATTTTAAAATCAGACACAGCCATTTACTGCTCTCTTCAAAGCCACCAGACAACATTGATAAAATAGTCTTTGTATGCACCAGAACATCGGAGATGTTTGGGTACCACTTCCCAGACTGATTTGTGTATTTTTGTTGTTGGGAATTACCCAAAACTGTTGTGTTGCATATGAACTTAAGAGTTGGAATCACTAAAAAGAGTATGAGACTGTTTTTTACGACACTTTGAATGATGGTGGTGTTAAGCTGACATTTTGCATCTCTCATATATCCCTTCTCAGCTCCACATACCTGAATGTATACGTACTCTACATATATTTCAGATTATGTGTACAATCAAAATGTTTTGTTTTTTTCCATCAGATTTTAAATCACACCAATATTTAGTTGTATTCATCACACTGTCAGGAGAAAGAATTAAAATATTAACACGAGTAAATCCACTTTGTTCTCAACTGGCCAGCAGCACAGTTCAAGATAAGCTGGTGGTTTCTCTGAGCCTTTGCAGAATAATTAGTGATAATACTTTTAGCACAGACTCACAGCTGGCCCTTCTCCATCGTGTATTCAGAAACTAAGTACTGGTAAAAATACTTGTAAAATCGTGCCTCTCCTAGGTCTCCTCCCTTGTTTTCCTCCACTAAGACCCCTTCATGGTCAGCAGGGCCTGTGGTAATGATGGTGGTGGGAATCAGATACCTTGCGGGGAGAAACCAGAGCAGGTCACTGTACACCGTGATAACATTCCCGAATACACACGCCAACTTTCCCTTCGCCTCCTCCCTCTTCTCATTCTCCACTTTTCCACTCCCCTGCTCCCTCTCTCCCTCTCTCCTCCTCCTCCTTGGCCTCTCCCTCTCCTCTGCTTTCATTTCCCTCTACTTTCCTTGATATCTGATCCAGCAGAGACACTCAGATTACAGTTTTTACAGCTTAGCCAGCCCTGCGCTGTATACATTCCTTTCTCCTCTGTTTCTTAGCCCACTCTGCAGCCTCTCATATCCCCTTCATGCCCACTCCTCCTTCTCCTTGATTACTCACCGGGGCTTATTTTACCGTGGCACACATTAAGCAGCCAGATGAAGGAAACACTGTCAGACTGTTTGGTTTTTCAGAGTATGATCCTTCACAAGGGCACATTGTGTGTCTGTGTGTGTGTTTTTTCCTCTGGCACTGGTCTGAAATATTGAGGATGAGAGAGAGAAACAAACTGAAGCTTTTTTGTCTTTAACAGCAGAGTTTTTTTTATGTTCTAACAGAAATCAACTCAGTTTGCTGCAGTAATTGCACAGTGTTAATGAACTTTCTCTGCAGGTAGCAATGATGTTTTCAGGTTTACAGTTTCATTTCTACTTACTCAACAGTTAATTTGTGTTTTTTCATATGTGATACACCCAGATCTATTTAAAATGAATCACTTTTAGCTCAAACCATTTATCATTATAACACAGATATTTAAAGAATAGCTGCAGCTCTTTCCTACATCCCTGCCTTCTATTTCTGGATCGCTGTTTCCCTAAATTAAATTTGCAGACAGCCGCTTAAAGTGTGCGTGTGTGTGTGTGCATGCAATAGGAGATGAAATTCAAGGTTGCGTAATGAGCTACAATCGAACTTGTTTAGCCTATGAAAGTGTTATGACACCTTAACCACATCTGCTGCTCCATTCAGTAGCTTCCCCCTGCTATTGATGGAAGATACTGATGTTGCTCTGGGGCTGATTTTACTCATGCACCATCAATACAGCACTATATCTGTGACATGTCCAAATGTGTGCCATATTTTGTTTGGCTTTCGAAATAAAATTTGAGACACATTTTCGCTGATAACAACTGAGATGCTCCACAGATCAAATCAACAATGAAGTGGCCTTCATTTAACGAACTGACTGAAATATCAGTTTTGCTGAACTCTGAGTAATGACCTTTGCTCTAGCATCGAGCATCAACTACAAAATCTTCAAACTTGGAAATAAAATATTTTTCGACTGATGGCTGAACAGTTAAGTCATAGTTTTAAAGGTTATTGCAATTTTGGCTTTCTTATAATCAAAGATTTGTGACTGATAGCAATCTTTGACTGAGAGAGCTGCGATGAATCCTCAGTCAATTCTGTGTGTTAGTAAAGCAGAGGGGCAGAATGAGCACAGGGTGAAGCTGCAGCATTAACAAGCACGAACAAGCATTACTTAACATTACAGAGACTTATCAAGCAATAATGAGTGTTAACAAGCTTTAACAAGCCAATGATAGCTTGTTAATGCTCTAGGAAGTATAGCACTTTGATACTATATTTGACCAAATGTTTGTGGTCAGTGAAGGTCAGAAATGACAAATTTGTTGCACCAGTTCTGGTAATAGGTGCACTGGAGGATATATATGCTTTTTTTTTAAAAACAATAAAGAGGACAAACTAGTCAATACATTTAACAGGAAAAGATAATTGTAATAAATGATTATGATCTCAATATTGATTAAAACAATTGTGGTTTTCATTTTAGCCATAATTTTTCAGTCCTAAACCAAATTTTGTCTTTTTTATATCTTAAATTGAGTAGTAATGGTATATTAAGTAGTAGGTAAGAAGACCAAAGGTTTTTCTTTCAGAATCAAATCCCTATTCTCTCTTCTTTTTTCTTTTTCTTTTCTTTTTTTGTTTCATCCAAATGAGTCTGGTTTATGTCTGTGTTCGACTTGGGTCATGTCTCTCCTCACTGCTTACATGCTCTTGATGCTGTATGTCATGAAGCCCTGAGATTCACAACAGCTCTTAAAGCCCTCACTCATCACTGTTTGCTTTATGAATGTGTTTGTTGCTTTTCCTTGTCTGCACATAGACTAAAACACTGGCAACTATTTATTTACAAGTCTTTTTCAGGTCTACTTCTTTCTAAACCTTAAACCAACATCAGTCAAAGGAGTGAAGGAACTTTCCTTTCTGTCAATTCTAAAGGTCTGAACTAAAGTGGGAAAGAGCATCCAAGTTAGCTGCTACTTAAACCTAGAATGACTTTCCAAGAGACCTGTGAAAATAGAAGTACTTAATGATATAGCAGTTAGATTCTCAATCAAACCCTCCCCTGCTCAACCCGCCTGTCAGTGAAGCAATGGTGACCTTTGGGAAGAAGCTCCCATGATATGAGATAGGTACAATCCTCCATTTGTCAAGATTTTACGATCAAAACACAAATTATTCTGTATCCAACAAAAACCACTCTTTTCAACATTTTCCCAACAGTGTATTTTAAGCAGCCACTCATTAAATAAAAACATGCATGTGTCTAGTGTGTCCTTTGTGTGCTACAGTAGAAACATGGCAGCACTAGATGGAGGCCTCCATGGACCTGCTTCAATGAAGATAAAGCAGGCTTACTAAAGTGAAGAGAAACACAGTTATACATATTTTTAGGGGATTTTTCACCAATATAAATGTACCTTTAAATTTCATATTCCTTTTTTAAGACATCTGCATCCAAGATTGTCCTGCTAAATGCTGTTAAACAGGCCCACAGTTGTGGTCTTGGCTTAAAGGGCTTGGAGGCAGGCCTATCTGGCTGCCAAAATTTTGCTTGATATATTTATTTATTGTAATCATCTTTTTCTGCATTTTCTTCTGCATTAAATGTGTTATTACATCTTGTATTACGTGTCTGGCTCCTCATTGTGTGTTGAAGACCTCATTCTTAAAAAGACAACTTTCATCCCAGTGAGTTTCTCCTGGTTAAATAGAGGTGAAATTGAAACATAGCTGCGGTTTATTTTTTACTCTGGTACAAATGACTGAATCAAATGGCTTTAAATGTGCTGAGAGGACACTTTAAATGACGCTCATAAAGATTTCCTTCATTCTAAAAGCTCCACAGAGACCACCCCAAGTGCTCCCCTGATAAGAAGAAACATGGAAATTTCTCCATGAAGAGACCCTGCCTGACACCCTCAATCACCAAGGCAGCAGGAGGATGAATAAGCTGTTATTCTCCACAAAATGATCAGCGGGACAAATATTTTTCAATTAATTTAAGACATTTTCCAGTTTAAATGAAAGAAATTCCCTTTTTGTAAACCTTTGATGCATTTTTTGAAAACAAGGACAACTGCTCATGCTGCAACTCTGTGGCCAAAGGAGAAAAATACATAATTACAGCACTCTACAGCAGTGGTGAAAACTAGCTTTCAATAGCTGCTTTTTTAAAGATACATTAAATGCAATATTACTGTGATTTACTGCCTCTTTCTAAAGGCTATATCCATAATAATAAATGCACACTCTGCAGCTGAGTGTGCCAGAAAAGCAGCTGGATTTTTCATCTATAAAATAAGCACTATTTTCATTATATGTAAAGTAAAATACAAGCAGCACTGACACACAAACACAGCTCGTATTCTGGAGGTGTCTAAACACAAAAAGGCTTTATTCCAGGGTTGCTTCAGGACTCAGCTCCCATCCCCTTTTTCTCTTAAAAGCCTAAAATCACAATTTCCACTCCTCTCCTTGATGTGATCACCTGCAGTTCCACCCATAACAGCCCAACACTCTGTCCCCGGCCAAATGTGTACAAACAATGAGGAGATGAAGACAAAGCGGACACACAGCCTGAGCCTCACACACACCAATGCCAGGAACACTTTCTTCTTCCTCCACAATAAACCGCGCGGAGCTCAAATATCACAATGTGCACCGAGCAGGAAAAAAAAGCACGAATAGAAACAACGTGTGTGTGATTATTTCAGAGGAGAGCCGAGCGGGCCGAGACAATGTGCTCTCTCTTGTCGAGTGCGTAAAGCTCACAGACGCACATCTGGATCACACGCCTCTGGGCAGCTGGGCAGCACACACGCAAACACATACACAAACACACAATCACAAAACATGCGTGCACGACGGAAATCCACGCAGAGAGCATTGTGTATGGCGAGTGTTTCCCCATTGATTTATAGTAATTATGCACACTGGCTGGTTTCCGCTGTGCTGTAGTGTAACAGTATAAATAGTAATAGTAGAGGCACTGTTGACGCCTTCACTGACGCACCGGATTTTCCATTAACTCTCGGCAAGCCCTGAAAGGCAGGGCACACAAACAGAGAAATTCTGACATGAAGCGACAGGAACGATCCCAGAATTTCTCACTGATCCAAAACTTACTCGAACAGCAGCAGCGAATGGGTGCCGCATCCATTGTGCAGGCGGCGTATTGGCAGGGAGCGCTGCTGAGGCTGGCACTCAGCGTGGATACATGACAATGGAACTTGAGTGGAAAAATCATAAATCAAAGTTTGACTATCGTGCAGCCAAATTCACCTGAGTGCATCTTAAATTTCCACTGAGGACGCCTTGTTAGTGCCTCAACAGACATGCATGCTCTTCACAACCACTCTGTTTCCACGCGTAATCTCATGCAGTCGGGCACACGGGGCTCTTTTACCTTCATCTCTTCATTTATTTCCCTCTTCACCGGGTGAGCTGGTTTTCGGCTCCTTTTATTTTCCGGAGGTCTGCCCTCTTTTTCCATCTCTGCCATGTTTTCTCTGTGATACTTCTGTCAATATTTGAGGTAAGGAGGGGTGAGGAGGGGGTGAGAGAGGCAGCTGTTTACAGTCGCCAGACGGCGGATGTCTTGCAGCTTTTCAGCGACCCGAGTGACGCTGCTGATGCCGCCGAGGGCTCGCGGTGCCCGGCTAAGTCAGCCATCTTCTGCCCGTATCTTCCACGGTCCGTGCACCAGTGGTGAGCCGCCTCTGTGAGTCAAAGGAGAGGTTGAGTGAGGGGAAAAAACGAGACAGGGGGAGGGGCGTGCGCTGAAACATTATATGACGCGTTGATGATCAGAGGTAGGCTATTTCTTCTCGCTTTCCCAGGGAGTGCAATCAGAGCAGTCACATCCACTTAGCGCTGCTTCTTCATGGTGACAGGCTGCAAGTAGCAAACAGGTGCCCACACAGTCACTCAGACACACTTTTGTTCTGCAGGAAACTCTGACAACCAAGTCATGGTGGAAAAAAAAAACATTACGTTTCTTTGCAAGTTTCAGACTTCACTGTTTCAGCCATTTATCACCACACACCCGAAACTAAACTCTGTAAGTTCTTGCAGGTTGCATGTGCAGAAGGACATTTTCCCAACTGGAGGAACTATGCATGTGTGGTGGGTTTAGTGCCTTGCTCAAGGACAGATCAGAGAGTTAGTCAAATGTAACAAAGAGTAAAACAACTTCTCCTGAAATGAGAAAAAGAAAATTGGGGAGTGCAATCTGAAAAGAAGACCAGCCTGAAACAAATTCATCATTGCAGAAAGAAAAACACCCCCCATAGGCCAAAGAAAACTTTTCAGGTGTGTCAGTGTTGTTGTAACTAAGGCACCCTCCTACAAGTGAAGACACCATTTAACCTTATATGTGTTGCATCTTCTCGGTCTGATTTCTACCCCTCTGGTGACAGTGTGCAACAAGCCCTCGGGTGTCCCAGCTCTGAGTTTGATAACATTTTCCTAATTAGTAAGACGCATAATAAAGTTTTTCATTCTCAGGCATGGTAAAGAGAAGGAAGATTAAAGACAAACAAAAAATAAAGGTGCAGAGTGGATTCAATTTTTTGTTTTACCCACAAGATGCACACAGGTTAATTAACTTGGTACCACAAGACTTTGACTAACTTTCCCAGATTATAGAGACAGGATGATACTTTTTTACCTCAAGATTTAAACTGTGTATACATAAGCTATTATTTTGTGCACATAATACAAAAATCTTTACTCTTTTTTGGGCTCCAGGGGTCCACACCATCCAAAGTTTAGGAGTAAAACAAAATCAAAACTGATGTGTCAGATTTCTCAGCAGTGTAGGATCAATAAATAAACATCATGTGCCTTTCAATGTGAGGCAAAGACTAGACTAATACCAGAAATGTCATTTTTCAAATACCTGTAACATGATTTCAAGTACTGTGATTATGTGAATAAAGCATCTAGTTTATTTGTCCATTGAGGAGATTTTTGGACATATCTGATATGGAAAACATCAGCGTTTTTCCTCCAGATCTTCTGAATCTTCTAATGATATAAAGTACCAGCAGTCGACATATTACAGTTTTTCAGTAGCCAATGCTAGTATTGAGAGAGCAGCTTGGCCGATATCTGACGTATGATGCCAACACCACACTGTTGTTTCTTCAATATAATAATGCAAACAAATAAGAAACAATCGTGACGAATTCCAGTAAATTTTATATAATGTATAGCCTAGATCATAGTCACCAGAATTCATGTCAATCTTGGATTTGATTGGCCGTAAAATGCATTTTCATTTTGAAAGATATTGGTGATATCAGCCTCTTGAGGGCAGATGCTAATTGCACCAAAGCCTTTAATTGGCCAACAGATTTATTGGTCTATCTCTAGAAGACATACATGTCTAGGCTGCAGGCCTTTGTTGAAGGGTATTTTATTCAAGTATTGTTATGAAAATGACTGCAGTGCATTTAGATGAGCTGTGCCGGCGCCCTGGTGCATGACTGTCATGGCAAACGTGGTCTCTAGGAGGAAAAAAGAAGGTTTCACCAGGTGTAATGCTTTGAAAAGGGTCTTTATTTTTAATTTGTTCATGTTACATTCTCTCATTATTGGTACAGGTAACATTTACTTATGTAAACTCACATGCATACATCTCAGCTTGTGCATGTTTATGATTGCAGTCAGTTCTGCGCTTCTTCTCTATAGCTGCTTTAACTTTGTTCAGCTCATCTCTAATGTTCAGTGTTAACTTGATCAAAGGTAAAGCTACTCTGAGTGTATGAATCAGATCCAGATCCCTTCAGTAAACATTTTTGCAGTTGGCATGAGTTTACCTGTTCGCGCTGTGTGCTGTCCTCTTACTTCCATTGGAATAACAATGAGTTGGCAGGTGGAAAGCCACGGAGAGTGCTGGGGGATGCTGCTCATGGCATTGTGACACCCATTTGAGCCGGAAAATCAGCAGAGGAACAGGAGCTGTGAACCGTGATGGGGGGTCAGGGTGAGACGACTTGTGTGTTACACTGCTCCACTCTCCATGCCTCCTAAATCAGCAGCTCACCTGCAGCACGAGTCCTGCTTTGAGCTTTCCCTCCAGCCACAGCAGCCAGTGCCTGAGATGATTCTTCTTACACTGTGACTGTCAGAAAGAATGAGCCACACTTATGTCTTTTTTATCACTACATGAATTACACCGAATAATTTGAAATTTAGAGAGATACTTGGAGTTTATATTCGTTGTGACTATATTACTGTTACTCTAAAGCATATGCGCCTGCAGGTTTTCCTCCAAGCAGTTAAAGCAGCAAGATCCTGAGAATGGTTTAATCAAAAACAGGCTCAAGGCTCTTTTAAGCGTGTAATAAATGGTTGTACTGTATGTTTGTTTGTTTAGTCTATTCAGTAGACTGTAGCCCTGTGTTACCGTCTGTCCTTGAAAGACTTTCTCTGCCATTCAGTAAACAGACGTATTCAATGAAGTCATTGTTACTGTACACTGAAAGCTGCCCACTGCATTTCCTTACTGGAGCACAGAGTCACATATTTTTTATATTTTTCTATTAAACGAAAGCAAAATTGAAAGAGTTAAAATAATCCTGTTTAAAAGTTTATTTTTGCTTTCGTTCACTGTTTGTATAATGTTTGACCAATGCACAGGAGTTACATTAAATGTTTGTGTAGTTTAGTTTAGATAAGATTTAGATTACATTAGATAGAATTTGATGTTTACAATAAAGAGGCAAACAAACAGACCAGAACAATGTTTGATTTTATACTCAGTCTGCATCTTCTTTAAAAATTTTCAGACATGTTCAACCCCCATTTCTAAAGAGATGGTATGGTTACAGTGTTAATTAAAAAAATATATTTTAATGTTTTGCTAATAATTTGAACCCCATATCAATTTGAAAATATTACAGGGAGATTGTGTTAACTGTTAAAATTGAAAAGGGTCATCATTTAATAAAATATTTGCTTATTCAAATTTAATGACAGCAACATGTTTAAAAAAAAAAGGTGGGACAGGGACAATAAAACATTGAATAGGTTGTGTCATGTTTAACATAACCCTGGAGGAAAATCCCCCGACTGCAACAAGTCCATTCAAGAGAGGGGGAGTCCCTCAGAGGTAAAGATGGTGAGAGGTTTAACACAACGTGAGGGACTGTGTGAGAATAGTTCTGCAATTCCAGAATAATTCTCCTCAGCCTAAAACTGCAAAGAATTTGAGGTTCATCAGCTACAGTACATTATAGAGATGAACTGATTAATCAGTCAGCCATTTATTCAGGCTGATAATCAACATTTGAGCAAAATCCATGTACCCTAAGTGAGGCAAGATATTCCAAGTTAGAAATATTGCCGTCAACATTTGTATGTAATTTACCCATTGAGCACATGTCTGTTTAAGTGTATGTTTGTCTGTATATTGTGTGTGTCTTTTATATCTGGACCTTGAGTCTGTCAATAAAGATTATAATATCAACATTAGCCCACATGAGGCTGATATTACAACTATCTTTCCAAAAGAAAATGCATTTCACAGCAACTCAAATCCATGACTGACTTGTGTTTAATATAAATTCAACTCAATATGATGTATAGAATAATGCTGTTTATTATTAAGAATAATATCAATGGTATTCTTATTTACCTTGTATATATTTTTCTTTCTTACTAATACCAAATAGCATCCGCAGGTCTTGTATTTTGCATCCTCCAATCAAGAGAGGAGGGGGATACCGTGGCTGTTATCATCACATGGATAAAACGCCAGCATTTATGATAGTGAAGTATATGAGCAACTATTTTTGTTCTTTTATTTTTACACTCATTTTTGAAAATTTTCTGATATACTGTGCAAAGCTGTCTAATGTCCAATTTTATGAAGAAAAAAATTACGGTGTTCCAGTGTCATTAGGATGAAAAGCAAACAGGGAGGCAGTAAGGGCTGTTCAAAGAGAAAAGGAGAAGCAGACAGCCTAAAACATCCTTATTACATTAAGGGGTTCCCACAATAACTCTGGAACTATTAGTGAACACATTAATGCACCAGGTCTGTACCACTCTCATTTAGCAGCTTTGTAAATGTGCAAATGGAGAGCAGCTGTGACCTCACATTACTTCTGCAGGGATGCTGGGTAAAAACACTGGTGTATGCTTTTTCTCTCACTCTTTTTTGACAGGATATATTTGTCTAGATTGTGTTATTTTTCATCATCTTGATCCTATATCTTCTGTGCCACCGTTCATCATATTTAATCAGTCCAATTTAGCTAAGAGCTTCAAGTAAAGGGTCCCCCACTGTATTCATGTATGTTTTTCTCTGTCTCACTCTTATCCATGTCTGTAGTAAAGATCTTTTTAATCTTTTACCAGACCTACTTCAGTTTTTCTCACTTATACAGCTTTAAATAGATGTCAAAATGCTAAACAAATTGGGTTTACAAATTGGACTTGCAATGTCAATGGTATGTGTATGTTGTTTGCATTGATGGACAGCGACAGAGGAAGTTTACTTAAGTACTACTTAGGCACACCTTTGAAATGACTGTACTTTTCTTGAGTACTTTTTTCAGGGACACTAATTCACTTCACTACATTTGAAAAGAAACCGATTTGTACTTTTGACTCCACTCTGTAGAGCAACCATCCTTCAGATGAGGAAGCTTGTATTGATTACTGCTACAGCAAAGAAGGTTGATGAGCTGTCAAGGCCATATTTTAAACTCTCGACTGAGGTTTTTTGAAATAAAATAAATTGACTGAGGTCATTTTGAAACATTTGCTATAATTACCACACAAACTTAACTCAGGCCTTCAAAAATTTGCCATCCAACCTGACAAAGTACGCTGAATTATGTAGCCAAACATTGATATTTTTCCAGAGGAACATTTTAAAAAGTTGTCGGATCTTACGATAACTTGCTGTTTTTATCCTGTGTCTGACTGCTGGTATTTTTGTTCTTTATTGTCTGCACATCTAAAAATCTGTAGGATGTTCGAATGTCTGAATGAATGACATCAACAAGTGTTTTTTAATAGACACAACGGATATATAGTGCAGACTATAGTGTTTGTAAATGAAAACTTTTAACAAGTAGTTTGATTGCTGAAGCACTCCAGAGCTCAATCTGACAAAGAAACTTCATTGTAATACTTCACTGGGATTATCTGGGCCATATAAGTGTCCACCACTATTGTTGGTTACTGAGTGATTTAATGCACCTTTTTGATACCTACAGACACTTCTAGGTAAATAAAAGCTGGTACACTAAATACTTCCACAGCTTTCTGCTATTTCAGTTTTTTTTTTTTTTACATGTATGACCCAGGAATTGTTTTTCAAAGTTAAAGAGAAACCTTAAATGTTATAGTATTTGTCGTTGTGGGAAAATAAAAAGTATAGCCCAAGTGACCATGTGTTGGTGTATGGTGTTTAGATTTGATAAAGAATGTGTTTCTGGCTGACTTTGGTTTAAAGTATTTTCGTCTTTTTTTCTCTCTCTCTTTCGAGAGGTCTTTAATTTAATTCATTTAATGTAAATCATGACCATAACTACGAGGCTGTTGGGGTTTTTTTTCTCTTAAGAAAGGGCGTGTTGGAGTTCGGCGTCAAACGTCATTACGTAATACAACGCAACCTATTACGCGTTTAAAGATGGCGGCACACAGTGTCAGGTCGTGTGTTGTGAAAGAGCTGGATTATTTCTATTTGACCGCATTTAAGAGTTGTTAGGAATGTACATTACGTAGTTTTTCTCATATGAACAAAAACCGGCTTGCCGTAACGTGAGCGGCTGAATCTGATGATACGGTTTTGAAATGTTGGCGAGGACCTGAATATCATTTACTTTGACTGTATTACTCTAAAACGACAATCTCAAAGAAAATGTTACCGGCTACATGGTCAAGACTGACATGCAGGGCTCTGTCCAGACAGGGGCAGAGGGCACTGAGTCTGTTCTCCAGCTCCGGACCGTCAAACTGGACTAAAGTGGTGTCGGACGCAGAGAAGATCGTCGGGTATCCGACCTCATTCATGAGTCTGCGGTGTCTGCTCAGTGACGAGCTCAGTAACGTCGCCATGCACGTGAGGAAGCTGGTCGGGACCCAACACCCTTTACTCAACACTGCAAGGTAACCCAGATGTCCTCTGATCTCAGTCCCTGGACTTTCTGTCTCTGCAGTGAAACCAAACTGCTGACAGAAATCTGACTAAAAACATAACAGTCTTCTTAATGCATTACATGCATTGAGCAGCTTTTGTAATCGAGGAGAGTTTTAAAGTTTATAACCAAGGATAAAGTTTAAAACTCAGTGTTCCGGCATGGATATCAAGCACCTAATCTACCTAGACCACCCAAGACCCCCATTCACAAACTACATAACATACACAGTTTGATTTGGAAACTGAACTCAATTGTTGCATCAAAGCAGCTGTTTTAAATGTCTTTTTAAAAAGTCTGATCTGATGTTCAGATTGCTCATATTTTGTCCTGCTTCAGTTTAAAAGAAATCAAACACTTGTGACTAAGAGATGCATTTATTAGTTATCCTTGAATTACAGATTATGGTGTCTAATGTAAGGGTAATGAGTGAATCAAATCCCAGCTGTTTTTAGGTGAGAAGCTGGGGATAGCCTGGACACTTGCCTGTGTGCAGTTTAGAGTTACTAGCTGGTATTTCTCTGCAAGTAAGCCAGGATACCGACATAGAGAGCATGTGTACACATCCAAACTCCACCTAAAAGTCTCAGCTGGTTTGAGTTGAGAATTGACTTGCTGTGAGGCGACAGTCCTAAACTCTCCATCACTGTGATGCCGCTGTGTTGAAAATATTTTATGATCTTGTTGAGAAAAAGCAGTTTTTCCTGATAGACTCTGCCTTTTGCACACAGTGCTTTTATTCTGAAGCTGTGTCCATGGTGGTTATTTGGCCCTTTCTTCAAGCTTGTGGTGCGCTGTTGCTGGACAAATGTTGTCATTAAATAAGGCTAGCTGCAGGAAAGCTATGTTAATGATCAAATAACAAGCAAGGGGAAGTATTTTATCTCCTTCAATCTCCCTCTCCCTTTGCTGCCATTTTTGTGACCCCTTCACGGCTCAGTTGGTGTGTGAATGTTTTAAACATTTCCTGATATGATTAAAAACAGAATCATAATGCTCTAAAATATACTGGTTTATTGATCAAATCTAATCAGGTAAGGAGAAATATAATCCAGTATGATCTCACAACCCTGACAGAAAGGTACTTAAAAAGGAGGACAGTACAGGTTTGACAGTGTAAAACAGAAAAAATTGTGCACCTTCATGTACTTTACCAAACCAGATCCCTCTGTGGAGGTGCTCTAATATAGGCATAATGATAGGGATAAGGCAACAGATCAGATTAAATGTGAACTTTTTGTGCCTATATTTCTTTTTGAAAGAACCCCATGCGCGGACATTTTTTAACAACAGGCAAATAATGCTGAAGCACTTAACACCCTGTATGCATGTGCACATCCCAACCAAATCAGGAACCCATTCAAAGAAAGTGAAAAATTCAATCATTTCATTTCAGGCCAGTAACCCAAAGATGGCCTGAATGTACAGACTCAAGCTTCAAGAATTAAATTGGCCAAAATAGATGGTGTGCCTAAGCATCAAACTTTAATGCAATATGTTTGATGGTATAGATTTGGGGTCAAACAGTGTTAGTCGGGCCCATTTTGGAAATAAATGACATTAAAACATGTAGATAGAGTTAACTCCAGAGACATTGAGTTGATTAGAAGTTAATACATGACCCATGAGTGGAAATTAAAGGTGCAGGGCCACCCCCTGGTCAATGTAATTGCTGAAAGTTTGGGTAGCTTCTGCAGTTGATGATCTTAAATTGGTTTGTTCCAGCTTTAATGCTTTACTTTGAGCAACAATGTTGAAGAAAAACTGACCACAGAGGCATAAATATTCAAGAGCATCTCTTCATGCCTGGGCCACCTCTTCCAGTATGGTCAATAAATCCTGCTTTTTTCTGTGAAGTAAATACTAGGATTAAGGGAAATGCTGTACATTGATTTCTCCTGCAGACGAGGACATTATACAAGACAGTTTACTGGGTTACAGCCTGAAAGAGACCAATTTTTTATGGCCAGTATTTGTATTTGCACAAAGTCAATAGAGCTGATTTGTGATGTAACTGCAAAGCCACAGTTATGTATTGATAAAGGAGGAGCGTCAACAGGTCACACCTGCCAACCAAAATCTGTTCCATCACTCTATCTGCACCGGCTGTCTGATGTTTTATCAAAGAAATCAGGAACTTAGAGAAGCAGAGAAGCAGAGAGTCCTCAAACTCAACACCGCCATGCAGACGGGTGTGTTGGAAACTGGAGCCCAAGGGTGTAATAACCTATACACCTAAATCTGATATGACAATCCATTTGGGTGTTGTAGGATGGAGGTGGGAGTGGTAAGGGGGGGAAGCAGGCCTCTTGACAGTCTGACTCCTCACTGTCAGCTTGGGTTGGCTGGTTCGTATTTCCCACTGTGTCTCCGCCATAGACACGCTGCAGATAAAAATATCCACAATAGCAGACAGGCAGACCCTCGTGGAGTTGGGTTTCGGTTTTTCCTTTCCTTTCATTCTCAAAAACTGCAGCTCAGCTAACTTTGCCCCAAAGTCTGGAGTTACAGCGAGGGGACTGCAGCCCAGGAGAGGAAACTTTGATTGCTTTAAGGACAGTCCTTGAGACTTTGAGTCAGTCTAGTATTTCCTTGCATGGTTCTCTCTCTCTCTTTTGGTATTTTCATTCCCTTACTCCATCTTCAAAAGCTTCATCAATTAATCGGTTTGAGCAAACCAGCCTATTCAAGTTATAGTGCTGAAGGTTGAGACACTGCCCTGTGGGCATGTTTGAAGATCTTTAGATAATAAATTTGAACCTGGAACAGAGATTGAGAGAAATCCCTCTTTCCTGATCAATTGTTACAACATCAATCGCTGCAGATAATACAGACCCCTGAAGAGCAGCTTAACAAAGAGTGGGATGGGAAACAATCATCATCAGTAGTCCAGGTTTAATTTTGTATTTAGAATATAGAAATCAAACAGTGCAAGTATGAGTGAACCTTTCCAAAGTGGCACCCCAGGATTCACTCGATAGCACAAGTGATAAGCATAAGTGATGGAGTGCAAGCTGCCAAAACGGCATTTTTTACAGTTTTACAGCAAAGATTCATGGCGAGTTACAGGTTTGACCAATAAAAGACAATAATCTGAAACATCATGTAAACATCATTGTCCAAATATAAGCCAAGCGCTAAAATAACTTTCATAGATGTAACCATCTTGTTTCCGCCTCCGATTTAGCGTTTTTGCGACTTGGTAACTGAAACTTTGGGAACTCTGGTGTGACGTCATTTTCAGCTCTGACATCTGACTTCTGAGGTAACTCGAACGCAGCAATAAGCTAAAAGTTTCTTATTGGAGCTTTAATTTTTTAAAATCTGCTTTCACTAAAAACATATTAAAACCTGAGGCATTGATTTAACAGTGTAAGAACAGTGAAATAAGATTCCTGGAGTCACTTTGGGGGTCCTTCAAGAAAATTTCTGGGGCTTGTCAGATGGTTGGTGGTATTAAAATGCATAAAATACATCAAATGAAGTGAAATATTTGGAAGTGGGGAATGGTTTTTATATTACATGACCTGCACAAGAGACTTGATTTGTTTTAGTGCTGTTTCAGATTCAGAACATGTTCACTACACAAGTGATGCAGATGATGTTTTGGCTTGTGCCACAATGGTAATCATGCACAAGCTGTGCTGCAATTACAAGGGGCTGGGTCCACAAACACCTGGGAATATACTGTTTAGGGTTCGAGACTGAAAAAGGTGAAGAACCATTGTTTTACCTGATGTTATATGTGAGGTAAACTCTTAAACTTTAGTACTGAGCAGCAGCATTAACAGTGCATCTTACATTTATTCATTTGTTGAAAAGTGCGAAACAGAGATGACCATAAAGTAACTAACTCCGGAAACCTGAAACAAAACCACCTCTAAATGTTTTTACAAACACATACTCCCTTGGAGAAAAGTCCTGGCCTATCAGGTACGTTCAGTCCTTTATGGCCTCAGTGGGGAAAAAAAGGCACACAAGGGATCAATATGTCGCATGAGGTCATACATTTGCATGCATTATTTCCAGCCCCTGCATACCACGGCTGAAGTTCCTAAATTCCTGCGCTGCAGTTGCAGAGCAGAAGGCGTGGTGACCTGTTCACAACCCTTTAAAAATGACAGCAACCCATTTCTCTCTCCCTGCTCCCTCTCTCCCACTCTGTAGCACCCACTATCTCTCCTTTTCCACATCATCCTCGCCCCACCCCTTTGCAGGAGGGCGGTTGTGATTGATTGATGTGTGCTGGTGTGGATAGTGACATAAATATTAATCATCTGACACCCTCAGGCCACTGGCTTACGTGGACTCCTCAAGAGGAAAGCCGCTTCATCATTTTGCTCTCTGCTCGTTTTCTGTTGAATGGGTGAAGCTTCTGCATCCATGAGTGTGCCCGGCTGGTTCCTCTTTGGCTTCTGAGTAAAAATTGACAGTGAACATAAATATATTTCATATGCTGTGATGAAAGACAGCCATAGATAGTGTCAGATGTATCATAATTTTGGGAGGAATATCAGCTTGAGATGTTTTATGGGGTTTTGGGTGACGAACAAAGCTTTCAGGTTTTTAATTTTGTTTCTTTCAGCACCACGGCACCACTGCGAACCACTCGCGTGTTTCTTCTGTAATCTTTTCTCACATTTTTATTTCTGTCAAGCCTCTTTTCCTTCTGTCTCTCTCCATCCCCTCCCTCCCTTCATGCTTTATCTCCCACATCCACTCTCTGTCTCGGGTTCCTCCACCTCCCCCTGTGGTGCAGGGGTGGGTCAGAGAGGGCGGGGGTGGTGGAGGTGGGGACTCAGGGCTGGTGGTGGGCTGGTGAAGCCGGTGTCTGGGCATCGAGCGGAGGGGGGCGTGGCTGCTTGTCTGCCTTGGAGCCCCTAACGAGAGCGTGATTCATGGCACAAGGGGCTCCCATAGGGACAGGATTAGAGGTGCTCTGTCTAACCGCTCCCCAGAGAGAGCAAAAGATATTTAATCTGCGCACCACGCTGGCAGCTCGCTCTGTGTGTGTGTGTGTGTGTGTGTGTGTGTGTGTGTGTGTGTGTGTGTGTGTGTGTGTGTGTGTGTGTGTGTGTGTGTGTGTGTGTGTGTGTGTGTGTGTCTTTCTTTGAATTTGTCAGAAGGTTGTTGGCAAGGGGGCGGTTCTGCCCCCCTCCCAACTCAAAAGATAAATACAGTCCTGCAGCAAAAATGATCAATTATACATTCTTGTTATATGGTTTTTACGAGGCACAATAAATAAGGTTCAACAACTGTTTTTGGAGTAGAGTTTGCATGTGTCAGCATGTCGCTGTTGAGAGGTTATTGTATTTCATTATTGGTTTAACAGAATCAAACTGCGCTTCAATGAAATTCAACAAAGACTCAATAGCATTAAAACAAGGTGCATGAGTAAGGTGACGGGTAATTGCATCCAATGTTGAAAATGTATATGTTATTATTTGATGAAAAATACATGCTTATGTTAAATTTAATGCAAAACAGCACATCTACCATTGTGTTGTATCACCTCTTTAAACGTTTTTCTTTTGCAAGGCTGCAGGCAGGCCACTCAAGCACCCTCTTCTACCACAATGCCATGCTGTTGGAGTACAGGCAGAATCTTGTTTGGCGGTATCTTGCAGGAATTTAATAGGTCTTTCTAAAAAAGAGTAATAAAAAGTAATTTTGCGGATGGCGACATATGTCCTGTAACCTGTATATATTGTTCAGCAGTAATGCTGCTTTCCTGGATGAGTAAGTTACCCACGCCATGAGCATGTCCATTCCCAGCCTTCACAGATTCCTGTTTTTGAACTGCACTATCATAACAAGCAGGGTGATTCATCCCTCCTCTCTTAAGGGCACAGAATGCCACGTCCATAAATCCCAAAAAGAATGTCAGGTTTTGATTTGTCAGACCACTAGAGAGAGTTTTACACTTCGCCTCTGTTCATCTTGAACAGGACCAGGCCTAAAGAAGTTGTGTGGACGAGCTGAGCCCATGCAGTGATCTCTACCACAGAACCACATTTGATTTAAACTCAGCGCTCCCTGGATCACAGCTGTCCAGTCGTAGTTTTTTGTTTTGTACCCTTAGTGTAAAGATTAGTCCAGGTTCCTTGAGTCTTAAAATGTTGTGCAGACGACAAAATCCCCAAATTTAGCTATGCTGCAATGGAGATAACCTTTGTGGAGTTGTTTTGCTGTTTGCTTGCACAGCTTCCCACAGTCATGAACCTCTTTCCATCTTCACCTCTGCTTGCACAGCTTCCCACAGTCATGAACCTCTTTCCATCTTCACCTCTGAGAGATGTGGCCCTTATAAAATGCCCTTTTTGAACCCAGCATATATTGGTAATCTATAGCTGATTAACCAGTTTAGCGGAAGGATGTTCCTCCTGGTGTGTTTGTTTAGCATTTTAACAGTACCATTTTTTTGCACTATTTGGAATTAGACATAGCCTTTAATTGAATTGCAAAGCCTCATCATCTGTTTTCGTCCACAGTCTACTCAGGATCCCCCTTTTTTGGAATCAGGAATGTAGAGCACATTTTACTGCACTGTGTTTTAGTTTAGCATAATGAAAATCAAAAGAACAAAATCTCTTTTACAGCAGCTGGTTTCAAAAAAATTCAAATGAACAAAGGCCTTTTTTTTTTTTTAATAGAGATCTTGCTGTGATGCCAAAACTGAGGGCTGTTATTGCATCAGCCTTGCTTTATTAATCTGAACCAAACAACACCTTATTGCTGCCAAAGCGTGTGATTTTCTGCAGTAAGATGTTACAGAAGCAAACAGGTGAGAGTGGGTATAACATACTGGTTTAGCAAGAATTCAGTCAATAGTAATGGTCAATTCCAATCCATACTGTGTAATCTCAACCGTTGCTTTGAGAGGCTCTCAGAGCGTATCACCCCAGTTCATTGACATTTGTAGTTAGATACTTCTACATGTCACAGAAGTTGCTATCTGTTGATTGGTTGTTTTAGTTTTTTCTAGATAGGAAGCGAGGTACTTGTCAATACTAATTGTATTATCCACAGGGGGACACCAGTCCACCTGGACCCTTTGTTGAAAAACCAGCCAGAGACGTGTAACTTCACTAGTTTGAACAAAACTAACTAGATAAATTTTCAGCCCTTTCTTTGTCTTTGCCTGGTATTTTACTACATAGCTATGAAATATAGGAACTATTTCAAGTCCAACTCAACTCAACAGCACCAAAACTGAGATTTTTTTCGTAGAGTTTGTGGAGACTGAGGCATTGAGATTCAGGGTAACTGGCAGCAGGTGTAACAGGAAACAGGCTCTTCAAAATTGAATACATGAGGGTAAAAAAATGACTAAATTTGAGGTAGTTTAGGTCTTTTCCATTCATGGTTTCCAGACGGTGTGCCTCCGTTACTTAAACTGTACGTTCGAATGCGTTAGAAATTTTAATGTATTTCTTCATGTTGATTCATTTGAGGTTTTTCTTTTTTCAGGGGATTTGTTTACGACAGCAGGAACAACCTCCAGATGAGAGGACTGATCGTACTGCTGTTGTCAAAAGCTGCAGGGCCAAGCCACACAGCCTCTGATCTCCTGTCTCAGGACATGGTCAGTGGCATCTACCCAAGGTAAACCACCTGAAATAACTGATACCTTTGAAGTGTTCAGGAAGCTTTTGAAATCATGAAAAACAAGGGAATACATGTGCGTATATGTGCTGCTGGTTTGTTAATTTTGGTGGATCTATCAGGACATCAACTGTCCCATGAGACTGCCATCTGAAACAGCTCTTGTTCTGATCACTTATTTCTCGCTTCGCACTTCAGACTTTGAGGACTCTTGGCTTAATTCACCTTACAGCTGTAGCTTGTGATGCTCAGAGTCCAATTAAGAGAAGAGATATTTGTTGAAGTTGAAGTACTATGTCCAGATCACAATAAAAAAAGTAGAATTATTGTTTTTTGTCTCTTTGTCGTTTAGAGAAATTACGGGCCTCATAAAAAATGGAGCAATTAATTGAGATGAATCGACAGTTTTGAAGTAAAACTGCACAACGTCTTGTTAAACTGAACATTTTCATTCGTGGTAGAACGTGAACAGCCTGCCCTGCTGTTATAAATCATATTAAACTGAACATTATCATTCACAGTTCAGTCCAAAGATTAGTGTTTTCTGTTGGCACTCTTGACAGGTGCAGAAATAACAGCAGAGCTAGTTTGAGGTTTCTTTCTTCATAGTTTTTACTTTCTATTCTCATTCAACTACTCCTGTAATACCGTGTAAGCCTACACTGTAATGTGTTTTTTTTGGTTGCTGCTTTATGTCTGTTGTTCCCAATTTGGTTGATGTCTCTTTGACTCAGCTCCTTGTTTTCTGACATCCCATGCTGATTACTGTGCTATTTCCTGACACTCGTTTTTGTTCTGGCTGCTGGTGAGTGATAAGCCACAAAGTTTTAGTGCTATACAAAAAAAAACAAGAGTAATGAAAAAATTTCCTTCATGTTCACTGATGCCATCAGAAATCAATGTTTTTTTTTTTTCATGTCGTCGCAAGATAGAGCTGAAATCATGTCTTTTATAAATGTGCCAGACTCCTTGCTGTGAATTGGTTTGTATGTGTGATGTGTGTGATCTGGTTCTCTAGTACTGCCTTTGCTGTTCATCTTTTTTATGTGGTGATGACCAGTCATGTTTAATTATTTAGCACAGCCAGGTGATTATAAAGAAAGCCAGGTAGTAAAAGGTGTTATCCCTTAAAGTCCACCAACATTAATCAAAGTCAATGAGTGTTGAACAAATATCAGTGTCACAGCTGACCACACGGGAACTTTTTTCTTTGAAACACCTGCTGGTAATTGAAATCCTCAGCTATTTGCCCATCTCTGTCTCTCCCACATATTTCCACACTCATGTATTGGTGCTTTTGATAAACAGTGGGTAGGAAACATGGATAAAATTGCTTTGTAGAGCCATAAATGTGCATGGCAAGCAGAGCATGAAAGGCGATTCCATTCGTGTCCCTGCTACACAGCTCCTGAAGGATAAATATTGAAATAAAATCTTTGCTCGAGGTAATTCTATCTTGTCCTCTGTGGTTATTGTCCATATCAATTCCTGTAAAAGAAGCACTGCATCATCTTGTGAACATGGCAGAACATAGGGAGAAAATAGGCGTAGTTTCAAGATGGGATGATTTCATTTTATTTGGCTAGATTCAGATTTTGGCAGAGTGGAAAAATATTTCTAAAACTGTCCTTTTCCCCTTGTGAACACTCTGAACTTTTTGCTCTGTATTCAAACTACCGAATAGAAAAAAAACCTTTTGAAATGCTTTTGAACAAACTTTTAGAGGAAAAAAAAACTCAGTGAAAAAAAAAAATCAACCAGTATGCAACAAGACCCAAACAGCAGTAGCTGCCATGATTTGAAGCTGTAATATGTTTGAAGATATTGTTTTTGTGAAAGTGTAGGAAAACTGTTCATGTAACAGAGGTTTAGATATGCCAAAAGTGTGGCTCAAGGCGAGACAGCGGCAGTCTCCAACATGTCATGTGCACACATCATTAAGAATGATAGTTAATATACAGAACACCAACAGTGAAGACCCCTGAAGAGTTTTCCAGCCTGTCAGAACACACAAAGTACACCTGTCAATTGTCAGGTCAAGATACAATCAGTTATTGATTAGGAATGTTGCTAGGAGACTAATTCCCTGTTTATCTTGATGATTGGTCCAAAGAAAAAAACAAAAAAAAACCATTATGACACATTAAAATTGAACACAAAATCACATCTGGGTATTAACCATAGACTGCATATACTATGGACAACTTGGTTCCGCCTTCCGCCAGTATACGGATTTGAAGCCAAAAAGATCTCTGTATATCTGGGGTTTTTTCTCCACTTCCTGAAACCAACATTGTGCAGTAGCATTGTACGCATTCAGTGGGGGGGGAAGAGTCACCAAGAGTCGCTGTGATGGCGCTCGACTCAAACACCGTATTCCTCAGGTGAGCTACGCAATCATCGTACGCCCATAGGCTGTATCAGGTGTCAATCATAGAAAACATGAACCCCCTAATAACTTTTAAAAATGGAGCTTCACAGAAAAAAGAGGACTAGAGCACAAACTGGTTTTAAAGTAAATACATGTCAACATCGCAACCAGGGGGGAGAAAATTTTATATTCTGTGTAATAAATTTCTGAAGTTTGTCCACAGCTCCATAAGGATTGCTGGAGGAGGTAGGATTTATGACCTATACTGCAGCCCATCACCAGAGGGTGCTGTTCTATGGGTGGCTTCACCCAGCAATGAGGCAGATGGCGTCCATTCTATATACAGTCTATGGTATTAACAATATCAAGTTGGTCTCCCACTGAGCAGACAGTAGGTATAACACACAAGGTCAGTCATCTGTACCTGATTACATCCAGGTAGCGGCATATTGAACCTGTATGACAGTTAAGTGAGGATTCAGCCCTATTGGCAGGTTGCCGCACTGTAGCTCAGACACAGAAAATGAGGCTCATTTTGGTCTAACAATGATAGGAATATTAATAAGCCGTTTAACCAATTAGATGTGGAGACAGCAGTGTTCAATCATACTGCAGTGTCTGACTGCTGAATAGGTGCACAGAGCATTGGAGTTGCTCCACTGGATTGCATCAACCGGGAGCCGATTGAGAAAAGTGCACAGGTACTTAAAATCCAGGGATCCCCCCCATCCCTTTTCAGTCAGGATGTATTTTTAGTCTCATTTGTCTTTATTTGACTAACAGCTGAAGTGCTTCAGGAAATAAAAAGGGAGAGAAAGTTGGTGAGATGTAGAAAAGAGGTCAGGGACTGAACCTGAGACCGATGCCCCACAGGCTTTAACCTTTCTGTACAGGGTTATTGCTCTAAAAACTAAACTAAAGCAGAGTCCTGGATTTCTTATAACAGGAGTAGCACATATTTCATACCATCAGTCTGAAGCTGTAATTCATGATCAGCACAAGTTGTTGTTTTTTTTATTATTTGAGCTGACACTAGTGTATTAATTATTTTCACGTGTAAGATATCAATTCTTAGAATGCTGCTGCCGGTAAAACATTTCAGCTAGCACCCCAAGGTCCGCTCTGGCTTCCTCACATGCTGCATGCAGCTCTGAACAGGGATGTGGATGCGTGCCAAGTGGTTTCCAGAAATGACTGCTGTGTTTGGCGTGGCTGTGTGCTGGGTGCCTGAAAGGTTTCTTTCTTGCCGCTGGCTGGCACGGGGCATATGTGTGTAGTGGAGCCGTGTCTGTGCAAAAACATCCTAATATTAGAATTAATTGGAGTAACCCAGGCGCCACAGAAGACACGAGTATGGTCCTCTCCGGGTTGTGAGGCCGAGCCGTGTCGGCAGGTTGTGAGTCACTACAGGACGAGTCATTACACACTCACCTCCTGTCACAACCTGGCGTGCGCACCACTGTGACACTGGATCAACGAGTCCAACATGCAGCATTCCCTCACTCGTTTGTGATGGATAGTCCAAACCAAAACACACACACACATCCACACACACACACACTTGCACACACGCACAGCATGACTTGATCACCTCATTTGCACTATCTTGCTCGTTCTGTCTCTCCCCCCAGCATTTCCCCCACCTCTCCTGGGCTCATTAGCACCTCTGATGGAAGAGATGGAGGGATGGAGGGAGTCGGGGTGGGGCGGGTTTTGGGGGGGGTGATTGAAACCTCCGGGGGATGGTCTCCTCCCTTCTGACAGGCAGCATTTGTAAAACATTTCCCACTCTGCTGCCTGACACTGATGATTCACCAGAGCACCACCATGATAGAAAGGTAGGTAGATAGATAGATAGATAGATAGATAGATAGATAGATAGATAGATAGATAGATAGATAGATAGATAGATAGATAGATAGATAGATACTACATAGATAGATAGATAGATAGATAGATAGATAGATACATACTACATAGATAGATAGATACTGGATAGATACATACTACATAGATAGATAGATACTGGATAGATACATACTACATAGATAGATAGATGGATAGATACTAGATAGAAAGAAGGAAAGACAGGATTGTGTATAGACTCCAAATATTGAACTTGTCTACAGCACACCTCTTAATTTTTGGTTAAAAATGAACAGGGTGTCTTTGAACACATCCAGTAGGCCGTCTGATGGACAGGTACCCTCTTTAAATCACACACAGGGACACACTCCGATCTGCAAGGCTGTGCTTGATGGCGAGGCAGACTGCGGAGGGAGGAAAATGGAACAGAACAGTCAGGACAAGGGGCGTGGCGAGGGGCGTTACACCTCTGCGAGATGGCATCGGTTGCTATGCAACTGGGCACCAAAGCTATTTATACACCGGCCCCCTTGTCCCCCCTTTTTTCCTCCCCAAGCTCCACTGCTGCTGATCAGGACTGTTAGATTGGAGGCACAGCTTGGGTTGTGTATTCATTTAGGGGTCCAATAATTTGTGTTATTTTTGGCTCTGTGCCATCGCGCTGTACTTTAAATTAAAAAATGGAAGTTATTGCATTAACTCTTTGAACAAGCGCTTGGGAGTGACGCAGGTTCAAATTGAAATAATCCAGCATCAGACATTGAACATAACGTGTTTTCTGCCACTCACAGGCCTTTGGTATTCCCAGTGATTTTGGGGGGTAAATCAATCTGCTTTATGACAACATTATTCGTTTTAGGGAGCATTTCTTTAAAGTTGCTTATGGCCATTTTTGCCTTAATTATGTAAAACAGCTAAAGAGAGACAGGAGATGTCCAAAAATGCAAGGAGTTGTGGATTATAATCTGATGTATTTCCTCTAAAATCAAAACACAACTCGAGAAGATGAGCTTCATGAGTTTTGATGAATTGCCTTGGGGCATTGACAGGTCCCACTCATCACAACACTGACATCCTTCCTCTGTGGGCGTAGGATCACAGCACCCACGGGGACACCAACAGTCTCCCAAAGTTCATGGCCTTGCAGCAGCTGGTTTGCCCTCCTCCACCTGTTGACCTTCTCTTTCCTTGTTTAAATAAATATGATCGGCCATCATACTCAGAGACCTTATCCTACCATACAGTCAAAATCAGGCATATATCCACCCGTGTTTCCAAAGAAACTTAACTACATTAATATTCTCAAACAAGCTCTGCTCCGGTCCTGGTGATCTCTGACTCTCCCAGTGTCCCTCACATGTCCAACAACAAGTGAGAGCTTGCAAGATGTCTAAGCGACACTTTAACATCAACCAGATTTGGTTGTACACAGACTGGCACAAGTGGAAAGTGAGGGAAGTCTTCGCTATTTCATTCTCTGGACTAAGAATAACAATCCGACCCTGTCAATAATAGTATAAAGCACTTGTCATGGGTGTAGTTTGACAATTTGTAATTGCCTGTTCAAACTATACTTCAGCTCATGGCTGCTGGCTGCTCCACTCTCCCACAATACAGGACCAGTTTCAGAAATTGTTCCCCCCACCAGTCAAACACACACGAACACCTGGGAAAATATGGTCCAGGCTGAAAAATACTCAAATTTCCCTTTAAAGTTTGTAAGTTATTAGAAGAATCCCTGGTGTGGCTTTGTTGGGATTTGGTCAAACTTCTGTTGCCTCTTTCTCAGCTCTTTCTTTCAACCAGATTTTTCGGACAACTAACCAGTCATAAGCATAACAAACTTAAATCTTACTGATGTGCACATGCACAAACAATGACATGTCTTCATCCTTGCTTGTCACAACAAAGATAACTGTTGCATTAGAGCTGTACCAGATAAAACTGGCATTGTAACCACTCAAATAGAGCAACACAAGTATAATGACATTATCCTGCAAAGAAGGACTGTTTCCCTCCTCTGAATGAGTGTTAAAACATTTCAGCACAGCTTGATTCTAGCTGCTCTAATTGATCTTTTTTTACCCTCTTTATTAACTTAATTATCACAAATGCTGCTACTTAACCTGTCGACTTTGACTGTCATAGGTTCCTTGATAAATTAGTTCATAAAAGATCAATGGTCTAATATTCATTCACAGTGTCTGTATAAACTTTATAATACTTTTTACTTTGGTATTCGCTCTGTAACCATGGTTCTGAGTCTGGGTCTTCTCAAGGTTTCTGCCTGTTAAAAGGAAGTGTTTTCTTGCCGTTGTAACTAGCCAGATGCTGTTTAGTGCTCTGAATGTGTTTTTTATTCCAGATCATGTTTGTTTAAGTTGGTCTTTAATAATAAAACAATCAGAAGGTCAAACACATTTCTAAAGCTTTTTCCAAGGACTAAAAAAGGGAAACAGACAAAACGATCATTGCCAGCATGCATAAGTACACCCATATATCCTGAACACAAACCTGTACCCACCCCAGCTCAGCTCATTGATAAAACTCCTGCATGCGTATATGTGTTATTGATGCAGAACCGAAAAGAAAAGACAATTATCAATGTTCAGTTAAAAGAGGTAAGATATAACATGGTCGTAGTCAGGTAATACCTGCATATTTGAAGTATAACAAAAAGGATTGCATAAACTTGTTAGTATTTAGTAGTTTATTTAATTTTCTTTAGTTTGAGAAAGTCACAGGATCTTAAACTCAATTGGAATTAATTGATCAAAAGGACAGAAGTTTTTATGCTTATACAGAGGAGTAAATATTATTTCTACTTTTGGTTCTCTATCAATCATTTTGAATCCGGAGCATCAACAAATCCATTCCATCAAGAATCAGTAGGAAATCAAACTTTACCATTCCCGGGGGGGATATTTAGTTGTATTCTTCTTATTAAACTTGCAACACCCACATAAGTCCAAGTGTACACACAGCTGCTTAGACAGGATCCTATGGACATGCACTTTAATAGATTATATAGATGTCAGAGTGAGGACACTGCACATGGACAAGCGCTCTGAGCACTTTAGGATTTGTTTCTTTAGTCAAGGGCACCACAACAGCAGGCAAAACTGTCGAACCTTTTGAACAGACTGTGGCATTTTAGCCACTGCACTCTTACAGTACAACAACGGTAAAGCAATAATTTAAATATTTCAATTCAGGCATGCGTTGAAGTAACTGCTTTCATCTAATGTAACATATGAGTAAAGGAAAGCTTCATCAGACCCACATAAGCCAACAGTCCAGCATCTGTCTCCTCCAAAAAGACTTTTTTGTATAAATGTTTGAGCAGATACTGTTTAACTGCACATTTGTTTCCTCAGTTTTGTTTTTTGTGCTTTCCTGATATACAGTCACCATGAGGCTGACACTGAACTATGAATTAAATTAGATAAATAGCAAAAATCAGCCGTGGCTCTTTCTTGTCTCCCTCTTCTTGTTACAATGAGCTCCTTTCTTGAAACCTGTCGAGTGTATCCATCACTCTGAGGCACCTTGAGCACACACAACTGACAATCTGTTAATTTCCTTTTATTTAAACCCTGAACTTATTAACAGCCATTCGGGGTGACCGTGTTGTTGCTCTGCGTCACCGAGCAAAGAAGCCAACCAGACAATGGGTGTGATTGAGAGGCGAAATAGATGACATTATTGAATTTTAATCACATCTTTTCCACGCCGACATCGAACACGGCAATTACCTGGCTACAAGTCGTGTGTGTGAGTGTGTGTGTGTGTGTATGGTAAGGGGTTGGAGCGCGGAGCAGAGACTGGCTCATCAGGTTCTCAAAGCGGCTGAAAGAAGGTCGTAAGTGGCTATCAGCGCACCCAACCCCGTCTGGATGGATCCCTCCTGTCGCAGCGTGGCGAGCTGCTCCCATATGGCGAGGGGCCTAATTATCCCCCACCGATGGCTGAATCAACATTTGATTATATCCTCCCTAAGGCTGTGCTGAAAGGCTCCATTCAAAGACCACTTTTATGTCTTTTCTCTCATAATCAAGAATGGCTGTTATTTGCTAATGATAAGTTTAATTTCTTCTTTTAAACAACCCCTGACGTGCTGAGTGGGAAGATGTCTAACATATCTCACTCTGAGTATACTGAATTTGACTTAGAAGGGTTTTGAAATGAAAGTGTAGTTGTTTAAAAATGTCTTATTATTCAAAGTCATTCCTCCATTTAAGTTTCCCAGTAAGTAAATTTCTCAGTTAGCAGTTTAATTAACTGTGGTGATCCCAGCAGGCTTTGTTTGCGAGTGTCATATATTTAAGTCAAATAAAAATAAGATTCCAGGATCTAAATGCTGCGCTTTTACTGACTAAATAAATGTCTTTTCCTTTTTCTCTGAGTTATAATGAAACCCACAAATGATTTTTGATTGTTCATTTGCAGCAAACCTGTACATGATGTTCTGAATAACTTTTCCAGCAGGCTAAACCTGCATATTTTAGTTACAGAGAAACAATGAAAGGTTTGTGTCAGAAAGCTCTCAAACTGTCAGCCTCTGGAACGCCTCTTTTAGAAGCTGTTGACAGGAAAAGCTCTGATTTTCATCTGTATTCTCTTTTCTCTGGTTCACAGTCAGAGGAACTTGGCAGAAATCACAGAGTTGATCCACACAGCCTTCCTGGTGCATCGCGGGGTAGTTAACCTGAAGGAGTGGACGGTTTCAGACGGCCCGCTAAAGGACATGGAGTTTGGGAACAAGATGGCAGTCCTGAGTGGGGACTTCCTCCTGGCGAACGCTTGTACCGGACTAGCTGAGCTGAATAACACTAAGGTAAGCTTTCAGACAGATGCAGACAGAAAAGTGTCCGATATCTGACATCAGTGATTCATAGAGGACTCTCTTAATCTTAATATGAGCCCCTATCAGTCCTCACGCAGTATTAGTCTTTGTTCTAACAGGTTCAAATCCACATCCAAAGTGACCCCCCTACATTGATTATGAATCAGGTTCAAACTGATTAAAAAAACTCCTGGATAACGGTTTATTCCCGAGAGCTGTTTGTCTTTCAGAGGCTTCTTAACTACTTAAAACATGTTGATCAACCAATACAAATAAAAGCTTTAAGGTCCTCCTTGACTGGTGCTCCAAAACCTGAATATATTGTTTAGCATTAATGGTGCCTGTACTCCTCTACATCCCAGTACCATTAGGGATGCTGACTTTTATCTGTGTGCTGTTAACAGGCTGGGCTCTCTCTCTCTTATGGAGGAGGACATGGCGTCCATGGTTTCCAAAAAGAATATCAAATTTTGATACGTCAGACTTGGGGGGCAGTTTTTCACCTCACCTCAGTCCATCTTAGATTGGATCCGGCTCAGAGAAGTTGACAGTGGTATACATATTTAAACATGGGTTTTTCTTTGCATGGTGTTTGTAGAGGACAAGGCAGTGTATTAGAGCAGGAAACCGGGAGAAAGCATGGAGATTAACATGCAGGAAAGAGGCCTCAGGCTGCACATGAACCCAAGTCACCAAGGTGAGGCATAACCTTCATCCATGAGGAATTTAACCAGTGGATGTAGTGACAATTTTTCAGTTTTTTAGTTTTCAAATAGTATCTAAGCCTATGCAGTGATTCCCACTACAAAGTTTATTTAATCGTAGTGCCATCTTGGCTGTAAATCTTTTTTGGCCTATTCTGAACCCTTTATCTGGTTTAGGTCTGTCTTTCTAACCCGCTGGGTTCATAAGTCAAAAATGTGGTTGTTGTTGATAATTTGAGGTCTTTTCTTTATATTGATGGTTAGTATGCCTGGGAGCTGCTTTATATTTCAGTCTGAAACTGAATATCATTTTAATAATCACTGTCTACTTCAGTGTAAGCAGGCAGCACAGACCAACTCCTCCGTTTGATGGTCGTCAGCCTCTTGCGTATGGAGGAGAGTGTGGTCAGGAGACAAGGGAATCCTTCTTATCGAGCTTTTTTTCTAGATGTGTGTTTGTCTGTGTGAGCGTGTGTGTACGTGGTGGTCATGTTAGTGCACCACAGATCATATCTACTCTGTATTCTGGTAACCCCCCCTACTGACAGATACTGTCACCACGCTGCTCCGTCAGAATGCGGTTGCCTGAGTGGATCAAAATAACCATCTATGCCCCTCTTGTGCCATCAGCAGGACCAGCCCTTATCACCTTCCCTGCCACTTCTTATTCAGCACACACAGTCTGGTTTATGTCTGATCCATGGCAGCCAAGGAGACGCCCTCTTACTGTATGGTGTAAGCAGCAGTCATGGTGGTACCTGGAAAGGAAAACTGGAGCTAGAGACGATGAAGATCCCCTTTTAGAATTGAAGTTGGTTTTCAAAGTGAAGCTTTTTCTTAGAAAATCTGGCTGGTTTTCACTCGGAGCATCTTTTGTCAAGCTAAAAAAATCCAAGTCAGACTTAGGTGGAAAAAAGTGTCGCATAGTCACTGTTGGTATTGAATAAGTATTTGCCATTACTGTTGTAACAATGCAGATTACTGTTTTATTATGATTAATGGAATATCTGATCTTGTTTTATAGGCCTAAATAAATAAACTCTGAGTTTACAAGACTGACTGATACACATTTGATAATAAGACATTATAATACTCAAATTATACACTGGACTGGAGTAGTGAGTGTGAGAAAACATAGACGAACTTCACTATCTAGCTCAGAAAGACAAAAAAAAGGTGACTCCTGTGCTGGCGAGAGGAGGATTAATAATCTGCCACAGAAGTAGTAGATTCCTGTGAGTGAAGTTGAAGTTGAATATCTTTTTTTAACTCAAGTTTCTTTATCCTTCAATTTCTGGTTTTGTATCTGTATTTATGCTGCTGTAATTTTAGAATTTTCCCCAGTAGGACTATTAAAGGAATATCTTATCAGATTGAAGAGTAGAGGAACTACAGTGAGAGACAGGGAGGACTCTGCTGCTTTTGCTGGCTGTATAGATGGAAATAAAAGTGCAGATAACAGCGAAAATGAACGTTTTTTCTCTGACACTCCCAGGATATTTACAGCCTGACATGAGTGAGATTATTAGGTATGTAAGTCTGTTCAGGGCTTCTGTGTGATAGTCGTTCAGTCGAGGGGGTAACGTGCACAGTGCACAAACACAATACACTGTACAGATCTGAATAAAGTTTCAAGGAGTCCTTTTAGGAACCATTTCAGCCCTAATCAAAAGCAACCAGAGGGAATATCACATGGAAAGTTTTTTTTAATGTAATAAGGGAGCAGACACCTGATATCCAGGAGTTACTCATGTTTGAAAAGGTTCAACAGAACAAAATGAACCCAGGGCAAACCACAGTGTGCTCATACTCACCTGTGTTTCTGTGAAGCTGTCTTTTACTCGTTCATGAACAGGGTGGAAATGAGATGACTGAAAACGGAAAAAGGAGATCATCTCGCTGGTCCAAACTTGAAAAGAATGAGTCTGACGTAAACTTTTAATTTGGCCAAAAGATTTTAACCAAATTTTATGGTGGCTTTCCCTAAACAAACTATTGTGCTGCTTTTTCTTCTATGCAGAAAAAAATCTTAGTGTTTCCTAGGGCTGGGCGATAAACCAAAAATTTACTGATACCAAACTTCACAACAATAACCGACGTCATTTTGCCCATATCGGTATATTCAGTTAAAAAAAAAAAAGAATAAATAAAAGTTGGTTTTGGATGTGTGTAGGTAGGCTATGGTCTCATGTCCCTTTAAGACGCTGTCCTACCTCAGAGACGTGACTCCACCCCACCCAGTCCGTAACTAAGAGGGAAAGACAGGTGAGGAGATGGAGGATGGTTTAAAAGCGGCTGAAGTAGACAAAGTTAATGTAGGAGGGGGTGAGCAGCTTGTGGAGTAGTTATCGTCCATTTATCATAATCGAGGTGAACCGCTCAATATATCGTGATATTGATCTGAGGCCATAATGCCCGGTCCTAGCCTTTCTTTACAAATGTTTTTCTTGTTGAGTAAACAACCTCAGTTTTAGCTCCTCAGTTGTTGTTTTTTCAGCAGCTTGTAACTGCAGACCACAGTCATTATAAGCTGAGTCAATACACTTCCTCAATTATTTGGTCAATTTTAAAAGAAGCTCCTGACTTAAAAGCACTCTTAACACCCTGACTTTAGTGATAACTGAGTCAACACCGCCTGAAAATATCAAATAAAATGTCAACAGTTTCCACATGCTGATGCATTTTCTGCAATGTGTTCTGCCTTTTTAGCTTTAAATAGAAAGTGTCCTTCCTGCAAACCACCAACTTAAGCTACAAAAACGTTTTGAAAGGACTGGAATAAAGAATTAATAAATTGTCCAAAAAAAGAGAGTGTGACGTGTCCAAAATAAAAGACTGCGGATCTTCAACCACACCATGCTGTCCTCTCAATGCCAAACGTTTTTCAAAATCCACACCCTCAAGTTGAAACAATGATCACCCCTGTGGATGACCATCCTCCTAATTAAGCTCTTAATGATGAAAAGCTTTTTCATTGTAAAGCGTAGCCACAGGATGCAGGGAATCAAAATCTGCAGAGTGTGTGTCCATAACTCTAAATCTTGGAAGTGTGTGGAAACCTAACAGTTGGCGTCTAGGATGAACAACTGACTATACAGTTGGTTGGCTCTTCTTTTCTTTACTTACAGTTAGTTTATGGTCATTGGTCTTCATCTCCATCCAAATAGAAAATGAAGAATTCCTTCAGCTTTCAAAGTTTTTCCCATAAAACAGCTTTTTTTTTTTTCCTTAAAGGCTCTCAGAGCAGTGGGGATTTGGTGTCGTGGCCTTGAGAGGAAACCTATGCCGCTACTTGTATAAACTGTAAAATAATCTCACCATGAAGCTCCGGTTTCTCCCCCCTCGCAGACCCGTCGGCAAAACACGATCTGGCTGGATTTGGGAATGGAGTAAGGGGGAGGCAGAGGGAGGGCTTATCTGATACTTTCCAAAAAAAGACCCCCACTGGCCCCCACTTCCCAAGGCAGGCAGAGACACCACATCTGGTAATACTGTAGGCACATTGTCCTTCCAGGTCTGTGGGCACAGCTCGGGTTTCCTCAATATTTTCCCGTGGTGGATTAGGTTACCCAAAGGGCACTGTGAGGCTGACGGGGCAGGCCGCCATCACCAGACTTTTCTGATGAACCAAGGATGTCTGGGATGAGCTGAAGGAGCTCTAAATTTAACCTCATTCTTCTGGACTGTACAGATGTCTCATCTGCTCACTTGTCCAGACTGCTCTGAAGGACGGAGAGGCTGACTTCTAAATTTTACTCATTCACTATCTCAATTCTTAAAAAAGGGCACTCTCTAATCTGGGAATTGATGAGGGGCTGGAAGATTTACTGCAGGCTAAAATGTAGTCATGTATGCCCCCTGTAAGAGGAAATAGGCTACTGCAGTCTAAAAAAAACCCACTTATACCTCAACAAAGCACTGTAGGACAATACACAGCTATTTATTTGCAACCCCTGTTCATAGAAGGCCTCAGTCTGTCTTCAGTGGACTTCACGGTCAAGAGAAGGAGTCTGCACTCCTGGATTGTGGTTTTAATGTGCTCACCTCTTTGCATGTTACAGTTTAAACCTACATTAGTGGATACAGCAACACTTGCTCACAGAGGCTTTTAGAGCCTATGCGGTGATTTCCACTTGAGAGTTTTTGCCTATCAGGGTTGTCCAGTATTGGTTTTCGTCCTTTTTCTGTTTTGTACAGAGGTTTCACCAGATTCACTGAATCGTTCAATTAATTTTCTAACTGTTTGGATAAAATAAACAAATTCTCTGCAATTTTCCAGCAAGGCACATCTTTCTGAAATAAATGAGCTGTTTGCTTCCCCAGTCTCTCACACATAGTGGTGAACCTTTTCCCATCTCCCATCAGCCACTCTGGGAAGCCCTTTCATACCCTGTTACGTTACTAACCTGTTGTAAATTAAAAATATTATTATTTGAATATGTTTCCTCTCAGTGTTTTTAAGCTTTAGTTAACCTTTTTGGTGTTTTGTTGTCGTTGTCTCAGCTTTTTCAAACATGCTGCTAACATCAAATTTAAAATGGGCATATGTGTCTTTTGCGCTGTTGTGCAAGAGTTGTATTTTTCTCATTCTCCTTTTTTCTTATGGCACTGATGTTTAACTAATTACTATATACATGTTGTGATAAGGATACAAATCTGCCCTGCTCTAAGGCCCTAAGTGAGATGAATCTTCAGATTTGTCGAGGAAAGGAAGACGATAAAGGACCCTGAAGTCAGATCATCACTCCTAAACCTTGTTAACCCCTCTGCTCTCTGGACACTGTCTTAATTCATCTCACCATCTGCTTTTTCGCTCCATTTCAGCCCCTCAGACCGGACAGACACCTGATCAGTCTCTATTGGCTGTGCTCCTCTAAAAATACAGAATATAATACTAGGAGGAGAGTCTTGATCTGCTTCATGAAACCAACAGGGGCTCCCCCACGGCCCAGTAATGAGCAGCTGAGTTTTGCGGCAGTTCACCTGGTTTGCGACCCTGATCTCACCTCTGAGTTATACACCAAACCAGCTGTTCAGAGGAGAGTGCTGTGAGCTCGTGCTCCAATCAGGGAAAATTATGGTTTTTAATTACAAATGTCACGGGTGAACTGAGTAACATGTCAGTTTCGATCAATCTCATTTACAGCTACATTTTAGGCAGATTGATTTATAATGAAGGAGTAGGTTATCAGTTCAGCATCTATAACTGAGGACCACTTAACAGGACACGAGTCTGGATGAACATGATGGCTCTAGATCAAACTCGACCATCTCTCTGGACATTTAACCTTTATATGTTTTTGTTTTCTTTACAGGTGGTTGAACTGATCTCTAGTGCCATTGGTGATTTAGTCCAAGGAATCTACTATGAGAACTCCATTAACCCTGAGGTAATCTTTTTTTCTCTTAATCAGGAAACATCTTAGTCTATTTAAAAATGCGGTCTGTTTATAAACTCATTTCTTAAGCATGAATCAGGTGAGCTAAGAGTAGATGCTTTTGATCAATGAAGGAGACAATAATAAATGCACAAAGCAAACATTCTTGTTCTTTTGATATACCAATACAACAGGGAAATGAATCCAAATTAATAGTTTAAAAACAGAGCTTTTACTGAGTTTTCTCCCCTAAAATGCCTAAACATAGTCCCACATTTGAAGATAATTTCGCTGATTCTAGATCTGGTACTTTTCCCTGACAATGAGGGCAAGCGATCTAAGCTGGTGTGAGCAAAGTACCTGCAAGTGTAAAGGGTTTACCATCATAACCTGAAACACCTGGAGTTCAGTCAGCTGATTCCATCTGAATATCAGTCATATTTGTAGCTGAATAGATGCATTTGTAAAACATGTTGATAAATCTGTCAAAGTGACTTTTATTTCCAAAAAAAAGTTTTTAAAATCCTTTGAAATTTGGTTTAAGGTCATGGTGTATTATTGTTTCTTTTTTGTGCCTTACTTTAGAGGATAGGATGGAGTATAGAGCAGGAAAGTGGGAGAGAGAGAGCAGGCCGTCCTTGTGGGGCATAACTTAGGTCTATGGGGTGTTTGTTTAGACCGCTTGGCCAGTGGGGCTATGATGGTGTTTTTCAAGATGAAGAATTTGGAGTCTGAGGCGATGCTTTCTTTATATGCTTTTATTGGTGATATAAACCTTTTCTAGATGATCAGGTAACAGTGCACAGTCTTTCAGTGTCAATTTTTGTTCATGATTGGTCCATCTTGTACACATTTACAGTTTGGCTTTTCTGGTTATTCTAGAGCACTATTAGACTGCTATTGCTAGACCAGTTCATCTGGATCCTCTTAATTCATTTCCTTTTTCCAGGGGGTGTTAGCAAAGGCTGCATGCAGAAAAGCACCTCTTTGAACGATGCAGCAAGTGACTTAGCCCATGGTAACAGAAAATGAAAACAGCATGCTGAGGACAGAAATGCACCTTTTTTTTTTACCAACAAATGCTGTTAGTGCAGCCAGCTCTATGAAAGAGCATCAGCCGGTTTGTTTAAAATAAGACCAGAATACTACAGGTTAATATGGAAATATAGATTATGTATATGGGAACAGTTGAGGTTAAAGAAACATAACATCTTCCAGTTTGCAATATGGAATTATAACACATCATCTTTTACCAAAACGTGGTCAATTATTTGAGTTGAGGCTCACAGTGTCCCTGCCACTTTCTTTAAAACAGAACAGTCTCAATGACGGCGTGGATGTGGCGTCATGGGAGGAGCAGACGTTCCTGTCCAATGGGGCACTGCTGGCCAAAAGCTGTCAGGCTGCGATGGAGCTCGCCCAACATGACAAAGAGTCCCAGAAATTAGCCTACAAGTACGGCAAGCACCTATCTCTGGGCCACAAAGTAAGTCTGATCTGTTGTTCCCACCGCACAGCAAATCAATCGGAGCATGTCAGTTGTTGTTGTATCAATGTTCAGTTAGCTTTTCACGACTTGAATGTAAGTCATCCTGCCAGAAATGGAAACATTTTGATGATATGACATGAGAAAATTGTCCAGCAGTGTTTCTGTCTCTTGGCTTCTCTCTTGGGTTGAAGTGGGCAGGGCTCAGCTGGAAAATCATGAAGTCACTTATGTCTGTATACTAATCAGGGAGAAAGCTGTGACCATGAATGACATCCTCGCAGGCTGCCAAATAGTAACACAGTGAAACAGAGTTGGATTAATGCAAAATATAAAACACTGATAAAATCGCGAAGCTCACTACAAATGAACTTACAAAAGTGCATTGGGCTGTAGGCTGTAAAATTAAACCATTTGTGATGCAACATTTTTCTAAGACTTACTGTAACACTCTCAACTCATTCCTGTTGCATATTCAAGATAATTTGAATGTTGTGCCAAGCTTTTGCAGGTTGTTACACAGTCTTCAGTCTTTTTTTGTTTTTAAAAGGATATTCCGGCATAGAATTAAGTTAGGGTCAAACACATTGTAACATCAAGTTGGACACCCCCTCGAGAGATGAATGTTGCCGAATGCTTGCTTCTCTAGTTATACCAACTTTAGTAACAACCACACGATAACAATACACAGCAGTAGCCTCAACCAAAAAGCCACTCTATAGCCGCAAATAATGCTCAGAACAGAACAACACCTAACTTCATCAGCAGTACATATAGGGCCCCGGCCATAGTACTAGCCATCAAACATCTTTTTAGCTTTGCCTGATTTCTTGAGCGAAGACTAAACACAACACACCCACTCTCCTCCAGCAGCCGCTTGTATGTGGGGAAGCCCTGAGGAGTCGATCGCCGAGTGCAGGGGATCATTTCCATGTAGTAATAGTCATCATAATAATCATTTTGGTGCCGTTCTGAGCATTACTTGTGGCTATAGAGTTGCTTTTTGGTTGAGGTCTGTACGTGGAGATGTAGACCGCTATGTATTGCTATCATGTGGTCGTTACTAAAGTTGGTATAACTAGAGAAGCAAGCAGTCGGCAACATTCATCTCTCAAGGGGGTGTCTAACTCAGTGTTACGCTGAGTTTAACCTAACTTAATTTTACGCTGGAATATCCCTTTAAGGTCACTCCTGCTAAACTTTGTGTTTGATTGCAGTTGAGTTCATTTTAAATAAAGGCTGATCAGCTGCTTGTTCCACTTATCTTATGCAGCATCAGTCTCTTAACTCCCCTTTTACTGTGTTGTTGGCCATAAGATTTCTTTGTGCCAGGCTCAGGTCATTGATATATTAAGTTAACGTGCTCTTAAGCATTTTTTAAGGTTCAGAAGCCCCCCCAGTTGAATGGCAGTAGTACTATCCTAAAAGTCATTCATAATGTTTCCAGTCTTGGCGCTGTGTCAGAACGTCCTCTCCTGCTGAGGCTCCCTGTAGCTGCCTCTCTGCAGGCCTCAGCTGCTACTGGGAATCTCTGCATGGGAGGAAACAGAAATGAGGTCTTTGAAGGAGAACCATCCTCATCAAGCCTGTACTGTCTTTGTCAGTTCATCACGCTGCTCATTAACAGGGTCACTCAGAGTGTAGTTAGGCAGCATGCAAGAACACCTGCTAAACTGCGCTCTTACCGTGAGGTTGGTCTAATTGGTCGCACAGTTGAACGTCTGTCTGACTGATGTCTGAGTGACAAGTGTACTTTCGCTTTTCTGCAGCTGAACTCTGACCTGCAGCCGTTTGTAAAGAGCAGCGTGGGGGAGCCCTTGTCATTCAGTTTGAGCGCCGCCCCAGTGGTTTTCCACCGTCAGATCGTAGGCCAGGAGAGATGGCATCAGCAGCTGCAGCAGGTATGAATGGACTTTGACAGCAAGATTGATGTTGTTTCTTTTCAGTCACTGCTGGTCCAGACTTTTGGTTAGAATTGCTGTTTATTTAGTGTTAACCTGTGAGACAATAGTTCAGTTATGAACTTGTCTTTTCCAAAATGTTGATGTTCAACATTTTGCTGAAGATGTTTTGGTCTTGATAGTGAGGAGAGGGAAATGTGATTGTACTGGATTTGAAAGACACTTGTTAAAACTCATTTAGCTGTTCAAGTCCAACTATGATCGTTTTTTTTTTAAGTGTTGTCAGTGGTCTTTAAGTTGTGACTATGAAATTTTTAGCAAAAATCACGTTACCTGTGTCATTTTTAAGAGCTTTTCTTCTGCAGAGCTCCAGTTGCCCATTAGCAATTCGTCTCTGAGTTGTGGGCAGAGACAGCGCTGCTCCGCACACTCCTCTTCACACTCATCTTTACACTAGTTTGCAGCCTAATATTGCCAGTGTAGTAGAAGTAGCAGGTAACATAGGAGCTACTCAGCTCTCGCACACTAATGTCTTTAGGGACATGATGAAAGTTAATATCATAATTAGCTTTCTTACAAGCATTGCAATCTGCTAACGCACACGCTTGTTCTGCGATCATCCTATTTCTCCATCTCTATTTCTCAAAGTCTGGCCTGTATGGTGAGGCTCTGGGGGCGGAGCTTGGAATTATGACATAGGAAATCTCACTGTGTCTGAACCTGCTGTTTCGGTCTGCTAGAGATTCACAGTGATTTGAATGCAGAAATACTTCGAAATGCAATTCCGCACTGACTTTTCTCATGATACGTCCTGTAGCATCAGAATTCCATATAAACATGTAGACAACAAGAAAAACATGACTTTCATCAGAGTGGGTCTTTAATCTACTTCACCTTTTCTGCACTCATTATTTATTCAATATTTCTACATGTTGTTGATAATCATTTGTCATATCTGATGTTGTGCTGTGGTAGTGCAGGTTGTTTTTTAAGTCAGTTTTTTTATGATGATGTTTAATTTATTTGAACTGATGCTAACTTTTCTAATCTGTGTTAGGTGCAAACACAGAGAAACCAGCTGGATTACTCAAAGGTAAGTCCCGCACTTTTTAAAATCTCTTTTATTCATAAGCTCCTCTTTCAATGAGTGATGGAATCACCTCAGAAATAAGTTTGTAAGGCAGCCGCATTTTACTTTGTTTTGTCTGATTGTGTTCCCCTGTTTACTCACTGGCACAACACCTGATCGAGCCCTCAAAGAGAAACAGGACGTCTTCCCACTGTAACCTATATCAAAGTTGAGAGATGAGCTTTCCAAAGTCAATGAGTGAGGGAAGAGGGGGGCAGATAGGGGTGCAAGGAGAGACTGGAGCTACAGAGTAGGGGTCTGATGGTGTTGGAGGGGAGTTATCTGGTCCCGTCTGAAACCAGAGCAGGAAGGATTAGTTACTGAGGCCTATTTGCGGAGGAGACACTGAGGCTCTGAGACAGTGGCATTGTGAGAGAATCTCCTTCAGCAGACCTGATGAAAAGGGGACATGAGGAGAAGTTTGAAGGCAAAGAGAGAAGAGGAGGAAAATGACTCTGAGCCCATGTGTGTTGAATTTAGTTGTAATTTTTCACACAAATATTTTCAGACAAAGCGTTTTATTGCTCTGAAAAATTGGACGAACTTTGTGTTTGTTTCAGGCTTTCATAAATTGTCTGAATGATTAAGCATGTGCATTCATTCGATTAAGTCTGTTTCATAACCATAAATGATCACAGAAGCTTCCTTTGTATCGCTCAGCACTCGCTTTATGATTATCAACATCCCCGGAAGACACTTTTCAGATCAGATTAGCAAGCTGCCAAATCATCATCATGTACAGCTTCTGCCAGTGCACTTGGTCATGGTGACCCACAACAGCAGTGTTATAGAAAACTGTAAGTTTGTATTGTTTCAAAACCCTGAGAAGAGTTTTTGCTGACAATGAAACAGACTGAGATAAAAAATGAGTCCTTCTTATGACCCGTCAAAGCATCAGAACCATCAACAACAAAGTTATCAATGTCTGTGTTCATTCCAGTGACAGTAATCACTGTAAAGGGGTATGTGTCAGAGCGGACAATGAGCAGGGTTATTTATCTCATCTTTAATTACCCCACTTTCTAACCGATCACCCAGCCATGAGAAATACTTGATTCTGATTGGTCAAAACCCTGTTACAACAGTTATTTATTCTGATTACTCAGTAGATGTTTAGAGTGTAACAGAGAGAATTGAGGTTAAACTATTTAGTGTTTCAAGCTCCTGGAACTTTAGTTTTTAGTCAATTTTGGTGTCCCCTACTAACTGCTTGAGTTGTGTCATAAGACAAAAAACTCATCCTTTTGACTTTTGACCACCATATGAACAATTTACAATAAATATTTTATGTGGAAAATGCAAAAAAGGCTGTTTCTTAAGCTGCTCCACTGACACCTACCCCCTTAAACTGCTTTTAGACATTAAACTGAAAACCATCAATCTTTCTGCCATGATGTTTTGCTTTTGTATTTCATTAAACGGCATCAATATGAAATTAGCCTGTTTCATTCATGTAAAAACAATACCTCACATATGAATATATTCATACACATTTACATACATGTAGACACACAGATAGACAGCATCCAATCAGGCAAGACAGATTAAATTTTACCCACAATCCAAACAAACCCATCAGCCAGGGAAACCTTTATGATCAATTCAGTCAGTTTCTTTTAAAGGGCAGTTTCACTGTAATATTAAAGTCATCTCAAGAGGAACAGATGTGTAAAAGGCCAAGGACCAACTAAATGAGAAGACCGGTGTGTCTCATTTAGGAGGGTAGACACATTTTTAAGAAAGAGATAAAAAGCTGCCTGACATACTGAAATGCCAAAAGCGTTGTAAAAGGAATATCTTTTCCTTAGTGCGTAATCATAAAATATTTGAGCTAACCTGCTAAAGTGCATCCTGACTTTGAATAGAATAAGACAAAGGGGTGGCAGTATAATATGTGAAACAGAGTTATGGTCTCTGGAGGATGGATATGACTGACTTTAGTGACCCTCCTCCAGCACCACTCTGGAAAAAGGATGGAGATAGAGTGTTGAACCCTTCTAATGCACATGCACACCAAGGAATTCATCATTGACAGATATAATGAGGGATTTCAGACACAAATGTACACAACAAGAACAGAGACATAAGAGGTTTGACTATGTCTTAAATTGACACAGGGTTTTTCACAGTAGCTTTAATATTAGGTAAATAATTGTATGGGCATAGATGTATAAAACAAAGCACACCAAAACTGTACTACTATACATACCCCTTTGCTTGTGTATACTGTCAAGTGACATTGAAGAAAAAGACATGATAAATCAGTAACTCTTGCCAAAAAGGCATTTTTAGATACAAATCCACTCAACTGAATAGTTATATTTCACAATGTGGCGTCTGTTATTCATCAGGTGTTGGTTTATTTGTTTAATTGGACTATACTGATTGGATTTTGTCCTGTTTGTACATGCTGGAGCTTCATCAGTGTATGAACACACGTCTGCTTCTCTAGCTGTGGTTGATTTCTCATTATAACTTGGCTTAAGTTAGTACAAATAGCTTAATCTGTCCTTTTAAAAAAACACAACTAATTCAGGCTATTGATGGGAACCTGGATGATCAAGATTTATCCCGATTAAAAGATGGACCTACATGTGATCAGAAAAGTTGAGGAAAGTATAAAATAACTCGGAACAAAACAAGATTAGCACACAAGATGGGGTGAAATGAGGGTGAAGCAGAATCTTTTTTTATATTAAATAAGCAGCCAAGTTGATGCCAAGTTCGACACTTGCAGTTCCTTTAGAGAAGAAAGGCCTGCGGGGCTTTCCACCTCCAGAATTCATGAGGTAAAACGCCCCCAGCAAGAAGATGTCCCAACACACCAGCAGTAAGGAACAAGGAGACGCCCAAATTCACTCAGTCTGTAGAGTTGGCTGATGTTTGGGGCTGATTTGACCTGATATTTTCACTTCCACGTGTATGAAATGGACATGCCGTGTGCATTTAAGTCAAAAGCCTTTTACCCACAGTAATGCAGACTTCCTTCAAATGATCAAGAGATTGATTTTTCTTTCTGATAAGATATAAAAATCCTGCTGGAATTCATTCAGAGCATAATTATAGGACATCACTCTTGAATTTAAAGGTCAGACACTCAAACCAATCAACAGAAAAGCTCCAAATAGTGAAAATATTCCACATGTACACAGACCATTCATCTTAGGATGCTCAGTTTAGACAATACTTTTGCTCTATGAGACACAACACCATGTTGGCCCTGTGCTGGTTTAAAGGATGCAGGACAGCCTCACATCTATTAAATAATGGCACCCAGCTACGGTACCAAAGGAGGTTCCAGCAGCCTCATCCTAGCAGTAAACACAGCAACAGTAGGCATAAAGAAGCCTTATGAACCCTCCAGACATCTATGAAAGCAGAGAGGTTCCCATCTGACAAGTTCATCTTATGCTGAAGAGTTTCTGCAATCAAAGAGGACAGCCAATGTTTACAAAGTAGCTGAAATAGGCATTGAGACTTAAAGCAAACAAGCACCTGTTTTTGTTTTTGCCTCTCAAATGTAGACCTTCAGCGCTCTTAGGTAGATATTATTCTGTTTTTCTCCTCTTCACCTTCTCTCAGGGTAAAGAGGAGTCCCAACTTTACAGACTGACTCTGTCCGAGTTTCAGAGCACCTCCAGCGGCACCCGGGACACTGTTTAAAACATTGTTTAATAACAGACTTTGATGGTTTGCAAGTCATGTAAATTTCGATTCAGTTGAAAATAGTGCCAAGGCTGGAGATCAGATATTGAAAGTTAAAATGTTTTGTTTTATTAAAAATAATTGCTCATTAAAATGAGTCGATATCTGCAACACATTTTAAAAAATGGGACAGTGGCAAAAAAACCTAAGATGTGTACTTAACAAAAATACTCCAACTAATCAGGTTAATCTGCAACAGTACGGTACAAAAAGGGCATTTCAGAGCAGTAAATCTCCTAGAGGTAAAGGGATTCTTTGAGGAAATAGTTAAACAATGTCAGAATAATGTTCCTCAAAGCTAAACTGCAAAGAAATCTTGGGATTGCATCATCTACAGTACATAATATATACAGACAATCCAGAAAAATCTTTGTGCAAAACAGATAAGGCCAAAAATCAATACAAGATGGCTGTGATCTTTGAGCCCTTAGGTGGCAGTGTATAAAAATCAGATATCACTCTGTTGTGGAAATCACTGCACTGGCTCAAAAACATTTGTATCTGACAGCGATTTGTAACTGCGTCCAAAAACACGGGCTAGAACTTTACCATGCAAAGAAAAAAAGTTGATATTAACATGACCCAGACTTCTCTTGACCTAATCGAACTGAAGATGAACTGAGGGAGAGAGGAAAACTGTCCTGACAAAGTTCTGACTAATCAGGATTTTACCCTTTTATCAGAAACCATGGACACTGCCTCCTCTACTCTAATGAGAGAGACAGCCTGGCTTTTTATTAGCACACAGTTCAAAAGACAGCATCCATATGGAGACACATTAATGCTCATAGCATGGGTAGCTTTTTACATCTGGGAAGGTATTATTAGTGCTGAACAATACATACAGGTTTTGAAGCAACATATGGTGCCAGTCAGACAATGGATTTTCAGAAACAACCTTACATAATACAGCAAGACAATGCCAAAGCCTACCTTTAAGCAGGATTTGAAGTCCAGGTGCTGAACTGGCCTTCCTGCAATCTTATGTCAAGCAATAATAAGACAGCATTTACTTCAAAAACTCTAAAAACTGGTCTCCTTATGTGCTAAAACCATTACCAAGTGGTGTTCAATGAAGAGGTGATGAAGCATGGTTAACATGCCTCTGTTTAAACTTCTTTGAAACCTGTTGATAGCATCAAATCTAAAATGAGCATTTTTCCCACTGATTCTCATTAATCAATAAAAAGATTCAGTCCCAACACTTGATATCATGTCTTTGCAGTGTTGTTAGTAAAATATAGGATTGAAATGATTTACAAGTTTTGTTTTTATAAACATTTTACACAGCAACATCACAGAGATATGCTATTATTGGAAGATAACTCAGATTTATAGGCCTGACTTTTTCCTTGAAGATGAATGGAGTAACCTGCCTCCAGTGGTGCCAGGGGCAGGAGCAAACACATAATAATTCTGTAATGGAGGTTATCTGTCATAAAAAGATGCACCTTGCTTTCAGGTAGCAGATTTTACCTGTATTTTAAGAGCTTTCCAACTTTCTCTGGCTCCTAATAGTTTGTTGAGTTGACAGCTGGATAGAGTGACACAAACATGGCAAACTAACATGTTTTCATCTCTTGACAGCTTTTGGCAGCAGTTAAGTCAGAGAAAGGCGTCAGCACAGCGGTGGACTTATGCAGTTACCATAGCAACAAGGCTCTAGAGGCCATCCAGGCTTTCCCCTCCTCCGAGGCACGATCTGCCTTGGAGAACATCGCCTCCGCTGTCACCAAATTCTGACCTGGACTCGTGCATGCCCCTGCCTCTAAAAACCTGGTGTGTGAGTCTGCAGGAGCAGCAGGACAAGAACCAGGACCACAGGACACTGGAGGGACAAATGAACTTCTTCGGATCCAGGTTCAGAAACTACTCTGCCTTTTCATGGCTGACAGTGTGCACCAGACTCTACCCATAAATGGTCCTCATCAGAATAAAAAATTAAAAACACATTACTTCAGCATCATGTCATGTGTTGTGTTGGCTCTAATATTCCCCCTACCTCTCCTGTGTGGAGGAAATATCATGCCAAGCTGCATTTTAAATTCTGGCACTTTATTGTTACCTTGCTTATCAGCAAAGGCACATACCAGGCAGAACGTAATTTAAGATGTTCTGAGGAATTGTTCTTGTCATCTGGAAAACGCGCCATGAAGTGCAAATGATGCACCGAGCAGCACTTATTCTAACAAAATTTCATTTTTTAGAATCACCCAGGTTCACCCTGCTCATTACTGCACACCTCAGATGGCTCTAAAATCATAGCTGCTGGATGTAGTGGGTGTTTGCCAAACTGAAGAGCAGCTCCAAACCAGTTGTGAAAATGTCTCAAAGTCGTGTTCTACCTCGTGTGTACCCCTGCTGATAAGCACAGCTGCAAAATCATGTATTTTTTGTGGTGTTTGGCACAGTTTCCTCCCTTCATAGGGGGAGAAGGCAGGAATGAGGAGTAATGTCGTCCATGTTACCTTATTATGTCTGTCCCCGTGCCTGTGTATTTGATCCAAGTCAACCCAGGGGCGGGGAAAGGTCACACAGCCTCTCCCCTCGGCCCAGCCAGCGAGCGCATTGAAGCTCCGCCAAGCAGTAATTATTAATGAAGAGACCTGAGCAAATGGACAGGAAATGCAGAGGTATTGATTGGGCTGGCTGCCCTGCTCTAAGCCGTACAGGCTGGCGCCAGCCTGGTGGCCTGTGGTTTCCCAGGCTGCTGTCTGCGGAGGGGGGGGACAGCCAAGGTGTGAAACCGTGCCACCGCTGGCAGCTGTCTGTCACATCCAGGCCACACCTGAAGGACAGAGGGAGGAAAATAGAAAAGTGAGAGTCTACGGCTAACAAAGAGGGTCAGTGTGGAGAGGAGAGAGCAGAGGTTCATGTTGGCACAGCATCAGAACATCCCTTTAAAACAGTCATTTATATGCATCATGGGTTGAAACTGAGCAGATGAAAGCAGACTATGTGGTTGGTTATACGATGATTTTCAGTCCTTCCAATGATAGGGGTACAGTGTCCTCCACTGTGGTCAAGTCAAAATTATGCCAACAGTGGGTAACAATGAAATGCTTTAAGGTGAATTATGGACCTCAGGGGATGAATCCTATTGGCTTAAGTGACTTTTATCCAGGGCTGCTCTGGCATGTAATTTTGAGATTTTCAACAATAAGTCTAAAAAAGTTTGATTGACATCCCTGAAATTTGGCACAGTAAATGCACAATGATTTGTGGTCTCTTTTGATCATCTGACTGCTCGTCTTGTGTCATTACTGGGTGAATTTTGAGTTTTTAATGCTTTCATGATTGACTAAGTTAGTGAAAAACTACTTTTATGATTGTGAACACGATCAAATCCCCTCACATGATCATATCTTTAAGCTTATACACTATACTTAAAAGGAAGTCATTATAGTGCAGAAGAACTTGAACATGTGTATGAGCTTAACCTGCTTTCAAACACGCTGCTTGTTGTTACCGACTGAGCCATAGACGGCTATTGGACGTCTATTTTTTTTTAGACCGAAGTCCAACAATCTAGATTCTGTATATTTTTGGACAGAATTTAGACATTGCACTTTAACCCATGACTCAATAACTATTTATTTAAAAAAGAAACTGTGAGTTGCATAACAGATTTCCAAGTACTTAACCAAAATAATTATGATAGTTGTTGAGCAATATACAGTGTAGTATAGATATAGCCCAGATTTAAATTTAGTCTAAACTTGGTCTAAATTTACACATCTAAAAAACTTTCATTTTTAGACCTGTGGTAGCCTGATTTTAGACCAGTCGTCTGGGCTACATTTAGACGTTTATTAGACCTCTTTTAGACCAAAAAATAGCCAGTGGATAAGAAGCTGCCCTACAGACAAAGGGATCAGTGGTGAACAGTTGCATGTGTTTGACAAGAAAAGGAGAACCACAGGGCTACTTTAGGAGTTGGTGAATTTCCTTGAGAAATAAATAAAAATCCTCATAGATCCAGTATATTGAAATAATAGGACCCCCCCAGATCAAGAAAGGGTGTGAAGAACTCCAAATCATAGCCTCAGTCAAAAGCTTAAGAAGTATCTCTGCCACCAATGTGTCCGTCATAGAGGAAAATGATAAAGCAGCCAAAGAAAGAGAGATTTTACCTGCTTTACACATCTGTATTGTGAAAAGAATCATGATTTGAATATGTGTTCTTTATTGGAAAAAAGGATGTGTAATGAGGAAATCAGGTCCCTTTATGAAGTGAAAATGTACTTTTTAACATTTCAGTATGAGCTTTAGCATTAAACTCATTAGCCCTCTAAATACCCTTTAAGGTGCAACACTGATGGTAGAATCATATTTATAGTTTCTGGCAATTTCAAGGAAGGTTATAGAAAACCAGTCCTGATCTAAAACACTGTATCTAGACAGAGCTGGACTAGAGAGTCTAAAGACCTTCTAAAATACTGTTTAAGGTTTGTAAAACTCTGGGAAAATACCAGAAGCAGCTCTTTTACTGTCTTTTTTTTTTTTGTTCTTTTGTCCATACCACATTAGATCAGGTCCTGATCCAAAACCTTTGTACCTAGACCCATCAGATCTGGCTTTAACTATACCAAAGGGGTTTAGATTTGTGAAACCTTTATTTCATTTGAGGCCGGTCAGGAACACACCCTCTCTGGTATTTTTATACAAAGTAATCTGGAAATGGTTTTTAAGAAGGCTAAAGTAATGTAGTCCAGGTTTAACAAGTCAGGGTGTAGCTGTTTTGGATCAGGACCTTGTTTCCATGACTTTCATAGTATCAGCTGAGTCAGAGGCACTTGAATAAGGAACTAACTTTAGCAGCATTGTCTTAAGGGAACATTGTATAGAGATCAAAATATTCTGTGATGACTGATGGTCAGGATCTAGACAGAAATGCTCCCCTGCTTGAACAAAACCTGAAAACGCTTTTGTTTAAACCTCATCCCTACTGTGCCAAACTGCATATTTTCCCGCTCTTGACTGTAAAATGAGGATCCAGAGCTTCAAAATATCGGCTGATGGGTTTGTGATTCATAAGAAAGGTTTGCTTTATTTTAAGATTCTAATAAAGGTTGCCAGTGGGAACTTTCTAATCAGATGTACCAGTCAGTGAAATTCAAAAACTTGAGTCAGAGCAGCAGTAGGGGGAGTACAGGAGGACTTCGAGGCATAAAGAAGGCTGAGAAAGACACAGGAAGGAGAATGAAATGATGGATCTGGAAGAGGAAGGTGGGGCTAGAGTGCAAGAGATGGTGATGTAGAGTGACCTATTCCAAAAAAACAAGCTCCTGTCTGTTGCAGGGTTGTAGGTCCACTTCATCTTCTGTTTTGGTTTCCGCTGCCTGGGCTTCCTGGGTACAGAGAGGTACAGCATGTGCCAGGGAACGCCTCAGGCTCTCCATGAAATATTTATCCTTGCCGTGAGGAGACATGAGGAAAGTTACATGGAAAGTTAAAAGGACCAAACATGGAAGAAGGCTGGGGCTCTGCCAGAATGACAAATATAGTTACGAAGCAGAACTTTTTCAGAAGATGAGGCCTGGCCTGAGCAGTGAAACCGTTGCATGGAGGCTCCCTGCAGAAATCAACCAGCTGCTGCAGAACTGGACTTGGTGGGATGAGTTTTTTTGTTTTTAAAGTCAAGAAGTGAACTGAATTTTCTAAAACATTTGACGTCTTCTTCCTCCCTGCCAACATGGCTCTTTTTTTTTTTTAAACTCTCCAGTGTTGTCTGAAGGAATGGCAAAAAGAGGAAGCAGTTTTATGTTGTGCTCAGCTGAAACCTGATCCTGTGTTTGCTTACAGTTTCCAGTATGAGAGTCTTGGGTGTCATGAAAGCAAGTAGTTGGCAAGACAGTAAGTTTACATGCAAAACATGACGTATGCAACAGCAGCCCCAGTGTGCCCGACCCAGACGATGAGGGGTGTAATTACAGCAGGGTCCAGAGGAGAGAGTCACTCTGATTCCATTACACACATACACAGTTATGCACATACACACACATACGCGTAAACAGAAAACAGACTGTCTGTTTTTTTTTTCTAAAACTACAAATCAGACCCCTTAATGCCAAACATTAAGCCACTTAGACAGATGCTGTAAAGGTCATTTAGCTCAGAGTGACCAACCTATTTTTACAAGCATGTTAAGAAATTATGTGTTGTTACAAAGATTAAATCCAAAGAGAAATAGCTAAGATGATTGTCACTGGTTTCTGGTTTTTAGTCCGGTCCCTTTTTAAAGTAAGGAACATTATTCAGGAATTGTGAAAGTATTTGCTCACATAATCCCTCACAGAGTGTTGAACCTCTATCTTTGTTGTTAAGACACTTGGCCTCTCTATAATGCTCCTCTTAAACTCACTCATGTTCCTAACTTGTTGCAGGTTAACCCTGTTATTTTACAGATGTTATTTTCACCACAACTTTTCTAGTGTTTGGTTGTCCTGACTTTTTAAACACACCACAGTGCCATTATAGCGAGAATAAACATATGTTTTTCATAATGACATTTTTCATGTTTAACATTTGTGTATTTCCTTTGCACTGTTTTTCAGTCAATGTTTCTGCAATATTTATGAAGACCTGTGCTGCTGACCTCTTGGCCAGGTCACCCTTGTAAAAGAGATCCCAGTAATGGGTTATTACCTAGTCAGATCAAGGTTAAAGCTCCTATGACGAGTTTTTTGCTTTAATGAGGGAAAGTGAAATTCATAATATTTAAATGTTATTCACAAGCAAACCAGCTACAAAAATTATTATTTGTAAATCATTATTTTGATACCAAAACAGCTGAAGAAGCAGCCTTGTTTAACAGTTTTTACATAAAATATCAAAAATAACGATATATTTTACCATGAAAAATCAGCAGAATGAGATGTTTGTCAAAAGGCACTGTTTCAGCAAGTGGAGAACGAGATAAGCAAAGACTGTTTCGTCCACAGGGGGGCACCAAAATTGGCATTAACCAAAAGTTCCCTATGGGAGCTTTAAATAAATTAAGATAAAAAATACAGGAATTTAATGACTTGTTTACGGTTGTTGTTTTGTTTCAGGATGACTAACTTATCTGTCATACCTTGTCTTATAACTAAACTCATAGCTATTGTCATTTAACATTTACTCTTTAAAAAATATCAATTTCTGTTAACAAGCTTGACTCTCCTCAGTCCATCTGGTTTTCAAAATGAATTAGAAAAGAAAAAAAACCTTTTAAGAAAACAAACGAAATAGTGGCTTAGAGTTTGGATAAACATTTGAAATCGCTGATTCTAATAACTGGAAATCGATTTTAATTACTGAAATTTTAGAAAAGCACAGAAAAAATATGTTGATAACCATTTAAAAAAACATTAGTGATTGATATTAACGCTCCATCAGTTAGTTATTAGTCAACTGCACAAAAAGAGGCAAATTTCTTTGAAGATTTCAGAGTTTGCATGTTTTCTCAGTTGATGACATATTGGATACACCTGCTGTGGGGTGTACACAGATTGTTAATGTCCTGATAATCTTTGCATTTCTGAAACCTCATCAGGTTGGCCTTTTGCAAAACTGAAAGATCTGACCTGGCAGTTGTAAAAACTATCCTGACATCCATTTATCCTGCTTTTTCAGGGGTCAAAAGAAGTGGAGACAACCCCAGCTGTCATTGAGTGAGAGGCAGGGTGCACCTGAACAAATAGAGAGAAAAACAATCATTCACACTCACATTTTGCCTTTTTTTCAAGGATATTTTTGCACTTTTTGCCTTTCTTTGATAGGAAGGCTGGAGAAATAGAGGGAACCACATGCACTAAACCATTTCAAGTCCTGCAAACGAGATCTGCAATCTCTGCGCATGGGGCGCACGCTCTTACAAATGAGCTGGACCAGCAACACATTCACACTCACATCTGTGAGTAATTCTGAGTTACTGGTAAACCTAACAAGTATGTCTTTGGACTGTAGGAGGAAGCTGGGGAACTTTCACATGCAGGAGGAGAACATGCAAGCTCAGTTCAGAAAGGCGTGTGCACAGCTGGGAATCCTCAGCAGGGGGGCCTTACTGTTGTGGAGCAAGAAAGTACAGACTTCTCATGCAGTCTGTTGTGAATACATAAGGTGTGTTTCTTTGTAGATTAGCTGGAAAACGTCAATTGTTAAGAAATTCACAATTTCATGTGTTTGAATAAAACATGTAAGCAAACTCTTGGATATATAATATTTGCAGGGTTTGTACTTTGCAGCACTCTGCCACATTTTGCATCGCTGCTTTGGTCTCTACACTTAAATTTACTATACACTATCACAGCACAAAGACTCACAGGTCAGCCACAGGTTGAATTTGACTTTAATTGTCTGTGAGAGTTTAACGCTGTGAGAAACTGATGCATGGGGTTTCTCTGCCTACCTTCACAGGGCATGCTGGGAAAGATTCCAAGCACGCCCTGTGACCTTATTAGGAATGAGCTAGTAAGTAAAAGGAGTGAGTGAATGTGAGTGTGGAGAGGTATTAGAGGGTCCATTTGTCTTCCCCTGAATGGCCTATCAGTAAACACCTGCTAATATCATCATATAGCTGACGCTGATGGATGAAAGTCATTCTCCTGCGATGGGAACAGTATGGCTGATTGGCCTTCGCGACACAGACGAGCATATTGGCCAAAAATGACACTTTAACGAGCTCTTCCCGGTGTTAAGTGCTGCTTGCCGGCCCCCTCGTCGCAAGCCGTCGCCTGGCTGACCCCAGGCCGTGCTTCCCCCTGCTCAGGGTCTGCTCGCTTCATTGGCTGACAGATCAGACTGCCATGGAGACAGCTCATTAGTGGAATAATGAGAAGCTCACCAGCCACACATTGTCTTGTTATATCATCTCTGTATCGACATATTTGTGGCAGGGAACAGAACATTGGGTGCCAGTGTGGGCATGAAGTAAGAAATGATTAAGATAGAATTATGGCACAGCAGGGTCTGCGGTTCATTTCATACTGAAATGTCTGTTCATCAGAGGACGCCAGTTTACAGGTAACCAGGTTTGTTTGATAGCTGCCCTTTTTAAATCAAAACTACCCCCTGATGGCAACAATCTAAAGTAGCTCCATATGATTAACTTCTTTTTCATCACCTCATTAGACTGATTTCAGCCACAAACAGCTCCAGTGCCTGCGTTTGATACATCCTTTTATTTTTTCAAGTTAACACAACATCTTTGAATCCTGGGGTGTCATATGATGGTTTGATCATTGATGTTTAGTCTGTCAGCTGTAATATGAGAGTATTTAAAGCTGAAATCCCTTACATCAGAGCCTTTTTCTGCACACTGCAGTCTTTAGTGTGCACACTTGCTCACATTGGTGCCTCTGTTTGAAGAGTGGATTGACAAACATTGTTGGCTGAAAGTATGAAATGTTTTTTATGCAAGTTTCAGGATGACATGGAGATCAGTAAAATCAGTCTCCAGGTATACATCCAGGAGGACTTTGAGTTATAGTCACAACACAATATACAGTTTCATGTTCAACTTTACCTAGTCTGAATATTTGGTTTGATTTGAGAAAAGCCATATTTTCATGACAAAAATGTTTTGTTTTTTTTGTTTTTTTCAGATAAGATTACTTTTTAAGGGGAAAAAATCCTCATTTCCTCCTTTTCAGTCTCTATAAATGGCATCTGAATGACATCAAAAATCTACATACTGATTTTAAATTGCAAAACCTAGTTTGCCTGAATTTTGCCTAAATCCTGGTATTCAAGCTTTATATTTGCAAATGTTAGCTCACTACTTTTACACTGCATCTTTCTGTGGGGTTTTTGTAGCTTTACTGTATGAGTCTGACTGTTTTGTTGTTAAAACTTTCTGTTGATGCCAGACTGGGTCTTCGTTGGAAAAGAGATCCTTGATCTCATTGGGACAAACCAAGCTAGAATAGATTAGTAAATACATGAAACTTTATTAGCAATTTTACAACAGGTCACAACCCTTTCTTTAATTATTCCGTCTCCTATCTGTAGAACAAAAATAGGAACTCTGACCAGCTGTTTACGGTTATGTTGGGGTCTGCAAAAAAGTGGTCTGAAATACTTAACAAAATTGGGGAAAGTACTTAACCAACATCAGTAAGTAGATGTGTAAGTCTCTAGCTTAGAGTAAGAATATAACCACTGTGGCTGATAAAAAGGCGGAATAATATTCTGATTTTGTTGCCAGTGGATCTGGAATAAAGGCTCTTCTGTTCAAGGATGGTTTAAAGTTTTAGCAGGAGTAGTTTCCTTGGACTATCTTCTAAGTATTGCCCTACCAAAACACATGAGCTCTACAGCTTTATCATGACTATCTGTGACCTGACCCCTTTGTTGTTGTCTTTGAAAGACTCTCCTTAGCTCTGAATCGTAACCATAGACTGTATATACTATATACAGTCTATGATTGTAACACGACTTGTGTACTACATGTAATACAAACTATTTTCTGTAACCTCCCCCTGTGTAACTTCCTTGTTCATCTGGCTGTCTCTGTTTCTATTTGTCAGTTTATCAGGGCGATTTTGAGTTCTTTTCCTTTTTTAAAATAAAAAAAATCAATAAATATATATTCAAGTGTTTTTTTACTTAATAAAGACCTTATTTTTTGCTGTGATGTTTTTCTGGACATGCCACATGAATTTTGCTTACATTAAGTCCCATGAGATATTCAAGACAGAAATTCCTCGATCTGAGTTCTTAAAGAAAACAGCTATTTGCAGATGATGTTGTGTTGCCCTTTTGTCAGTAAAGTTTGGTTGTTTGAGAACATTTTTGATGTGTCTGACTTTGGGGTTTGTAATGAGAAGCATCTTTGTAATTTATGCTCTGTGGTCTAATTTGATCTAATCAGTGGTCTAATTTGTGTATTTGGAGTCTGTGACTGTATGATAGTTTGTGTGGATAGCACAGGTGTGGTCTGAATTCGTCCTCATGTTCTTGCAGTGTCTTTCCACTGGAGGGCGATGTTGTCCACAAAATGTGGGCCTATACCTCTAAAAGAGCAGATCTGACCCTAACAACAGGAAGGTATCACTTCTTCCTACTCCTATTTTTCCCAACCAGAGATATAATAACAGGGAAAGTCTGTTTATTTCAATTAGTTTTTTTACATTTTATATTGTAATCCATTGCAAACAATCTTAAAAACAACAAACAAGTTTAAGGATGATAGAAAGCAATCAGCTCTACAACAATGACATTAATGTTGGCTTGTTGTCCCAGGTTCCACCAGCATAAATTATGTGCATAAAAGGGATAAAGACCCATAATGCAAAGAGTTAGAGCCATACTGTGGTTTGGGGGGAAAAAAATTGATCTGTGATAATAAAAGTGACACCACACCAAGGAGCATGTCCTCTGGCCTGGTTTTGAGTAGGCTACACCACGAGAGCCAAAAAGAAATGATCCAGTAGAAAGGCTTTTTAGGACCAGGAGCTGAGATACACAGATAACAGATAATTGAATAGATTTAAATTATTACTTCAAGTCAAGCCAAATAAGCATGAAATATTACATGGACAGAAACAAAATCAGCATGAAGATAAAATGTAATGTTTGCCTACAGGATCCACCAGGAGTAATAAAATAAAGCATTTTTTCACAGGTACTTTCAAGATACAGTGCACAGAAATGAGAAGTGAAACTGTTCCTCCCATTGGACTTCCCATCTGTCTAAGCTTTTTCATTAAATAAAGACTATCAGTCAATCATTTTTTTTATATTCAGAGAATGTGATACTCAACTAAACACAATTATCAATACTGTATTTAATCTCTACCAAGTCTGTCCTGCTAAATAAGATAAGAAGAACTTTATTGATCCCAAAGGGGAATTCCATAAATGCCACTTAAGACTGAGCACTGCACCTTTAATACTAGTGTAAAGATTTTGTTACAGTACAGGATGACATTCAGCTAAGTAAATATGCTTCTAAAGTCCTGTGCATGTGTAATAATTATATTTAATTGTGTGTCCCTGCTTTGTTTTCATAAATACCTGGTGCAAAAGTGTTTGTTTTTTTCACCGTGCTGTTAAATCACGTACTCTGACACCTACCCTCACATTACTAGTTTCAAAATAGAAAATCTTTTTGCCAGTGGTCTGCTTTGATTTTTTTAGCACATTAATAGGCATCAAAGTTAATTTCAGCCTGATAAATGACCATTTAAAAAACCCCTCACAGGAGCTTTAAATAACACAGTGATGGTGGGTAACTTTGCCGCCCCACTTAAGTCGCCCACGTGACATTCAGTAAAACAACATACAATTGTCACAAAACACCCTGTACGGAAGAGGTTATCCTCAATTAAAACCAAAGTTGTTCAATTATGATGAGAAGAAATCTTGTTTTATTTTTTCCCTCCTCTTCACAGCTGTGCGGAAGTGACACAGCAGGCGCGCGCGTCGTCACGTCACGCGAGAAAGCAGAGAAGCCGAGCGAGAAAAAAATATCAACAACAAGAACAAGAGTAACCTGCAAATAAAGCACCGTGACAGTGCGCAGACATGTTCAACACGTCGTTAACAGTCCTAAAGGGTTGCATGGACTCGTAAAGGTGAGCTCAATCCGCCGGTCACGCGCGTTTACCGTTAATTTAACAGTAGTCCTGGCAGGAGGGGGGACTCGTCCACGCAAACATTGCCGCGTCATTAAAATTCACAAACAAAATTTTGCACTGTCAAAGGAACACCGTGCACTGATATTCATTTCAGCTCCAGTGGTTGTGAGAAAGACGGGTTCGTGACGGGGCTTTGAGGAGAGTTGCTGTCACGCAGCTGGTTTGTCTTCTGTTTTGGTTCAAAGGTTCATGGGCGGAAGAATGAGGAAGTAGCTGGTTAATATGAGCTGCAGGAGAGCTAGGAAGCAACTCAGAATACGGTGGCATGCACAGAAGAGCCACTGGCCACAGTGTACCTACTTCTCCTCTATGTTTTCAGGAGAAAAAGAGTCGACATTTGAGGGTTTTAGCTTCTTTGTTGCACGCAAGCTCAGGCAGCAAAGCAGTTAATGTGCTCGCCTGCAGCTGATCACATGCTGCTGGTCATAACGGTAGCATACAAGCCTCCATAACAGCGCATAACTAGTTTACATGCAATACTGTTTCAAAGAAGCTGCAATATCTATATTTAATCTGATATAATGAATCATTTCGCACCTTTTGGTAAAACTGTCATTTCAATTCCAACCTGGAAATGTCTTGACCAGAGACTGAAGCTTGTGTGAATTTGTGAACATTACTAAAAAACCAAACCACTGTCATAAGTCACTGAGACCCATTGTGTGGACTTTCAGTGCACTGTCATGACAACCAACAGCCTCAGTTCCCGAAAATAGTCAAGTTATAGTCATCAAGATAAATTAAAACATAGTCACCTTGAAAAGTTCAAATTTAAGAATAACACCCACCTGTTCAGATTAGTGACTTTTCCTCGATCAAAATAAATCTATTGGCCAACCAGCTATTTCCACTGCTACACTATGTTGACCTGGATATGATCTTAAAAGAAAAATGACTAATTCGCGTGTTTGCAATGACTTTTTTTCAGGCTATGAGTTCCTCTGAGCATGGAGCAGTTTCAGATGAAACAATGCTTGAGAAAGGTAAACTTCACAACCTGTCCACCCTTTCAGCTGTTTCACATATCAACGAGTGAAAAACTGAAGTTAAAATGTTTAAAAACCATATCAAAAATACCTCAATGAGCACTAACTAAGAGTTCAGCATTAACATTTGAAAACAGGTTAAGTCTGGGCATCTAAAACCAAATCGATCAGCTTTCAAAGTGTATTTCAAGTATAAAGCTTTAAACATATTGAAATCCAGTCTATGCAAATACATACTATTACACATTTTATTTTTCATACAAATATGAAAAAAACTGCAGTTTTTGGGCTCTGTGATGTGAACAAAAAGGCTTAGAGACATTGCCCTTGATAGTAGCAAAACGACGATTGCACTGTTACCTTGGTTGTGCAGCTTCGCTGTCAAAAATATAGAGACCTCCAAATGCGAAACAAGTTGACTAACACCTGTTAGCATGGGTGTAAGGGGTGCAAGAGGGTTGCAGGTGTAGAGCAGCAGACGTGCGTTCTGATGGTTGTTTAATCGAAACCCGTGCAGCTCATTTGTTTACGTGGGTGGCTTTGATGCATGTGTTATATTCATCTTAGCTGCAAAATACATGATGCAAGTTAAAAAGTGAGGTCAATATGCTTGGGTATGTGGGAAGAATCTTGAGACTGAGGCAGATTTACTGGTGATATATGGTCTAAACGTAAACACAAAATCAATGTCTGGAAATAGAGTGGGAAAAAAACTTGACTTTAAGTCAGATTTTCAGCTAATTTTCATCTTTTCAACTGAAATTCTGACTGGAGAAAAAACAAACCTAGTGCCCCTTAAAAGATATGCAGAAAGCTACGGCATTAACAAAGAAATTATGGATTGTTTGCAGAGCACAAGGATGTCCAGGACCTCAAGGAAGAAATGGACGACTTTGCTATTTGCAAGCCACCTGAAGGACTCAGAGGGGCGTCTCCTGGAGTCACAGAGGCGAGTAAACGGTCCTCTGCAGAGATGGGTCCAAACACAACCCAGTCTACCAGCAGTAAGAGAGTCAGAGTCTCATGTGAGGTAAGTTTAATGCTTTAGCATGAAACAGGGTCAGCTATGGTATGTGTCTAAGGTGTGTCTTACTGTGTATGTATTTTTCATATTTTGTTTACTCTGTTCAGATGAGGCGGCACTTGATGGATGAGAGCAGCCGGCATGAACCTCTTTGCCTCACCACAACTGGAGAGAAGAGGGAGCGGGTTCAGCAGAAATCCAGAGCGTCCTACAGGAAGCCTCTCTTCAGCATCTCTCACAGGATCTCAGAGAAGAGGAACACACCAAGCCTGGAGCAGCAGGCTACTCATGGTGCGGGGAGTCCGCTCAACTACAGCATCCTCTCGTCCAAGCTCCAAAGTTCGGAGGAAAATGGCCCAGTGGAAACCTTTGCTACAGCAGAAACTTTAAGCCAAGCTTCCCCTGCAGACTCCACCCTATATCCCCTGATTGAGAAAATGTTTCTCATTCTTAATACCCTCAATTCAAGCATGACACAACTGCATAGCAAAGTGGATTTGTTAACCCTGGAAGTCATGCGAATAAAGAAGCAGATCAAACCAGCTGAGATGGTGACAGAGTTCCAGCCTCCACCTGAATATCTCTTAACTAGTGAAGAATTGAATCAGCTGATGGAGCAGACATCCAGCGCTGGAGAACTTGGGTGTCGGCTGCTGGTGCATCTCTTTCCAGAGCTGTTTAAAGCCAGGGAATGCTCCCATGAATGCATGGCAAGCAAGAGGACGCTGGAGTCTCTGCATCTGCAGCTGATTCGTAACTATGTAGAGGTGTGCTACCCTTCTGTTAAAAACAACAGCGTCTGGCAGGAAGAGTGCCTCCTCCAGATTAATGACTTGTTTAATCGCTTCTGGGCTCAGAGGGACATGGAGAGTGCTCGCCTGCTCAGGAAGCAGACAATCACAGGTTCTGGGATAAAGAGCGAGCATCCTCAAACCTACCGCTTCATTAATGAGCAGGGTCAGGAGGAGCATCTCTCTGTAGATAACCAGCAGAGCAGCCTGGCTGTGTCCGACCTCGCCTTTGATACACAAGCCACAGAGGAGCTGGATGAGTTTTCCTCCCCCGAGGACTTTGTTATTTTTCTTGTGCACCGTCTTTTCCCTGAGGTTTTTGAAGAGGGGAAATTGCCAGAAGGCTTCAGCAGTTTCAGTAGTGTGGGGCAGCTTATTCTGGACTCTGACAAGATGGAAATAATAAGGAAGTATATGGAAGCTAATTTTCCTGATGTGCCTGAGGACAGCTGGCTGCAGGTGTGCATTCAGCATATGGAGGATGCACTCGAGGGTCCTCTCAGTAATGGCAATGGAAGCGAGCCTGATAATATCAATGATGAGAGCTACGACCTGGCCAGCCTCCCTGAAGATGTTTCCATTATTAAAGTCCCAGAGGTGGGTGACTATGAAAGGCCCGGTCGCAAGTCCAAAAAGTCGCTCCTCACACCAGTGGATTTTGACAATCTTGAGATTCCTCTTCCTGACTTCACTGTTCCCCAGGAGTACCTCTTATCCAGGGAGCAGCTGAAGAACAACTATGAATGTAGCCTGTCTATTGGGAACTTTGCCTCTCGGCTGCTGGTGCTCATGTTCCCAGAGCTCTTCACCCACGAGAACACACGGAAGCAGTACAACTGCAGCGGTTCTCTTGGCAAAAAGCAGCTCGACCCCATTCGTGTGAATCTGATCCGTCATTATGTGCAGTTAGTTTACCCTCGGGCCAAGAACGACAGAGTGTGGATGTTGGAATTTGTGGGTAAGCTTGATGAGAGGTGCAGGAGGCGTGACACAGAGCAGAGGAGATCCTACCTGCAGCAGCGTAAAGCATACGGTCAGGAGTCAGAGCAGGACTTTCTGTGCCAGCTTAACCCAGAAAGCATGAGGGAGGATCCAGATATCCCCTCTTTACCCCCAGAGAAAAGTAGCAAAGACTTTTGTAAAATCCCCCTGGATGAACTGACTGTATCCAAACCTGACTTCCCTGTACCTCCTGTGTACCTGCTCTCAGACGCTGAGGTACGAGAAATCGTCCAGCAGAGTCTTTCTGTTGGGAACTTTGCCGCCCGTCTGTTGGTGCGCCTCTTCCCCGAACTCTTCACCCAGGAGAACCTGAGGCTGCAGTACAACCATTCAGGAGCCTGCAACAAGAAGCAGCTGGACCCTGTTCGCCTGAGATTGATCCGTCACTATGTGGAAGCAGTGTATCCTGTGGAAAAGATGGAGGAGGTGTGGCACTATGAGTGTGTGCCGAGCATCGACGAACGCTGTCGACGACCCAATCGCAAGAAGTGTGACATTCTTAAGAAGGCCAAGAGGTCGAGCACTGTGTCATAGTTCAGTCCTTTTCATTTAGGCAACACTTTTTGTCCTAAAACTAATTGCACAGTAAATAAGCTGACATGCATTGTTGAACTTTTACAAACTGTCCTCTGTAGGATGACGCCAAGCTGTTAAAAGAGTTTCTGTTCTTAGTGATACTTTACTTTTGGACTACACCAGTAGATGTTGTAGCTTATGTAGTATTATTATTGTCAGTTAGGGTTCAAACTGCTTCTATTTATAAGCCAAACTGTCATAGCTTATCTAACAAACTTTGTTGGTAAATGTTGTAGCCTTAAAAACAATATTAATGATAGTAGCTCATAGCATAGATCACACACTTGCTCTATGGATAGAAATGAATCACAATGATGTGATATCCTTCCTTTGCAGTTACTGATGTAGCATTGTGCCACCACTGTTTTAATAATACTGTGCTTATGTTAAGCCTTCTTATAGAAGTTTATATTATAAAGACAATTTAACATGACAATGGTTCATGATAGCCTATTTCTAATAAAATCACAATTATAAATATAACTATGATGGAAATGTTTTTGAAACCATACTTCAAAACTCCTATTAGGAGTTTTTTCACATTAATGAATCAGACTGAAATTCATATTGATGCTTTTGCATGATATCTGAAAGCAAACAAGACCACCAGGCACAGAATGACTGTAGTGACTATGCTGACCTGAATTTTAGTCACCGTCTAGGCGCGGCAGTGAGGTGTTTTTGATGCGCTTCTAGTACAATCCAATGTCCAATCCAAGGTTGTTGTTGAGTTATCTTTTTGCCATATATTGATTTAATGAAAAACAAACAAAAAAAGACAGATACGTCCAACTTACTATGATGGTGGTGTGCGTGATGAGGTTGAGAGTGGTGTCAGAGATTAGCGGTGAAAACCATGTGCTCCTCCCGTTCCCCAGATCACTGCTTCACCTGTGTCCCTTTGTACCTGCCCATTCACCTGAAGTTCTCCCTTGTGGTGATTGTGTGAGTAAAAAAAGACAAAACCCCAAAAATAACGTAGATAGAATGGCTCATACAAAGACTACAAAATATTAAAAATTAATTAGATATTGCCTAGAAAATAAAAAAATGCCCCTTAAAGTTATTATCCATAATCCAGATAAATTGTTGTGATGTGTCCTGGTTATCTACAACAGACCTTAACAGGAGAAGTGTATGTATGAGAAGTCAAAGCCCTTTACAAAACATAGGTATTTGCTGCCTTTGTCTTTGTTGAGAGCACATAACAAGCACGACCAAAGTTAACCACATCCATTTCTTACAGATGTGTGCATGGAGTTAAGACCTCTTCATAAACAAGCTTCAGTACGTTTTGATACTGTCATTGGGAACAATAACAGCTAAATCATTTTAAAGCACGAGAGCATTGACAACTTTTCATCTGGAATAAAAAAGAAGAAATCAGTCTTGATCAAATTTTGTAACTTTATTAAGAGACTCTCGGGAGAATGGAAACATTCAAAATCTTTCTCACAACTTTTTGAGAAGTAATTTAACTTGCATCTTATTCTCACATATTTTTGAGTGCATAAGCCGAAAGCTGTGAGATGGGCATGAAGAGCTATGTATTTATCTTCTGAAGCAAATGTTCCCAGTTATTATACATATATATACACACCATTATTGCTGCAGACACAAGCTTTTTTATTCAGTGTCTTCAAACAATATGAAAAAAAAAGAAACTACAGAAATAACATTTTTGATTAAGTGATGACACCTTTGTTCTACCACAAACAGAAGTCACATTTCTCTTTGTGTAATGCTACACTGTTGACAAAAAGAAAAGCAGTTTGTGGTTTACTTCTGTTTCGACTGGTACGTTTGTTTTGTGGTGTGACTATGTTCTGAGGGAAACTCCCAACCTGTAAACCACAGTCATACTTGAAACTACCTGGTAGAGGCAGCAGCACAGGAGGCAAGGACTTCTTTTAGCAACCCTTTCTGTGATATTTGGCCAAACAGTGAGAAAAACAAGCAATAAATTTATCTACTCTGATCAGGTGTATTTGTCCTGATATGACTGAAGCCTTGGACAATATCCTCTGAAGCAATTTGGTGTAGCAATTTGACAAGATTTTAAATCCATGAATCATTCAGTTCCAAGAACATGAAAAAAGTCCACATTAAAATCTGTTCAATTCCCATTTCATGTCTGCAACCACCAAGAGCTGTCAATACAGATCTGAATTGCTGGGAATAATCCAAAAACCACCTGTTTGATGACATTTCTCCAGATGTCACTTTTACTTGCTAACAGTAACAGTCATTACTGTCCTGTTTGAATTTATGGCTGTAAGACCTCATCCCTGGGTAGCTCTAAAGATTTCCATCGCCTTATAGAAATTTTGTGCTTCTCTTTGTCATTTGATTCACCCAAAACCTTGCGGAGGACGACTCTCATCAGTTTAACAGTGTTTGTTTCATGATTCTCTGACAGCACCAGGTCCAATTTGTCCCCAATTTTGACCTTTAAACAGAGCAAAAATGATCAGATTAGAGACACTGACAAAGCAATGAAGAGAAAGACAAAAAGTTGGCAGGTTTATCTCAGTCCTGAAAAAAGATGACTCACTGTTTTACTTTTCTTGATGAGTTTCCGTCCATTCAGCCTGAGCTTGTTGCTGTAGAAGGCATCGTCGATTTTACTGTTAAAACAAAAGACTGTGAATCTGCAGTCAAATTTAAGAGGATTAAGAATACAATTAAACAGAATCATACAACTTCATGTTTTTCAACTCTATTGATATTAAAAAAAAAAAGGTTTGACTACTTAAACCACATGATACTAACAACGTAACAGCACCAGAAAGATTTAAAACTGCTGCAGCCTTTAAGCTTAGAAATTAATCACTGAATCACAACAGGTTTTTTTTTTTTTACAAGAAAAAATCACAGCCTCGCCCTTTTTTTTTAAAATCAGCCAGCCAAACAAAACAAAATAGGTTAAACCTATTTCTGACAGCAGCCTACAGGCAGTGACTCACTTGCGTGCCAGGTCCAGGCCAGCTTTCATTATGACGTCATAGCGAAACCCCTGCACATATTTCTCCATGTCTTTATAGTCTTTTGGTAGATTTGGGTCCTCCTCAACGACTTCATCCTCATAATCACTGTCTTCAGGGTCTTTATCATCTTCTTCCTCCTCTTCCTCCTCCTGTGTAGTCCTTGCAGCACCTTTCTTCTTATTGCTTTTCAGTCTCAGGTGATGGACAGACCATCCCCTGACAGCGTCCCTGCCACAGACAGTGGGTCTGTGACAGGTAAGTGCGGGGAAAGCAGAGCAGCCCCACAGCTGCCGTGTGTGGATGGCCCTGGGGCACCATTCAGTCTGCCTCTGTCCATATCCAGCAGCCAGCAGGTGGCGGGGACTCAGCCTCCCCAACTGCCTCATAGCAAGTGCTTGTACCAGCAAACTCTGCATGTTTGCACTCCAACCAGTCACTAGAAAAAAAAATCATGAAGAGATAGAAGTATTATTCTGGCATAAAAGTGCTTTTCTTGTCTAATAATGAAATTCATGTAGCTGAATGCTGTTTTCATCTAATTATTTTAATTCATTTATTGTCCCTAACTCCCTCATCTAGGCCTGAGATCCATGGCCACCCCCTATTCCGCCTCTGCCTCTAAAAATAGCCATCTGTTGCATAAAAATGATTATTATTTTTTTGAATCTGCTTCAAGAGCCTTTATAACCTGCTGTACAACAACAGACTCAGTATTAAGTATTTACACAGCTTTACAGCCTGGCTCCACACACCACAGCGGTGAATGTTTGCATTAAAATAGTTTAATCATTTTTTAAAAATCTTGAGTTTAAACCCAACTTTGGTGTTGCTGCTACTTTATTTTTCTGCATTTCTGCTGTCTGCATGTTGGAGCTGAATGGGAATAGCCCAACAAAAACAAATGTACATTGAGGGACACACAGCAACCACCACACACCTTTGACCTGCTGCAATTTTTTTCTTTTTCAGTATCAGGACTTTTATCAGATTTGTTTTTAAGCTTCAATCTACAGTTCATGGAAAAAAGAAACTTGGCTTGGCTTTTTGTATTCAAGATGTCATTGCTTGAAAAATATGTACTGCATCAAACAGGAATGTCACACAAGAAAACCTATTTCTTATTTTGGCTGATAAAGGATAATGTTAACCAGTAAATCTTCTCAACGACCTGCCAAACTGGCCCGAGAGTTAAAAGGCTGGTTAATGACCTTGGTTATACCATCACAAAAACATTTAAAAACAGTAAAACACGTTTTAGATATCTTAAACTAAAAAATTAACGATCACAAAACAAAGATACTATCAAAAATACGTTTGTGCATTACAACGGAAACAAAAGTCACCTTCAAAATAAAAGTCCTCCTCCTGAATAGCCCTGTCACCATGTATTTCAAATCCAAGCCCGTGATTTTTACTCTCTATTATAACATTTCTGGACCACGTGGAACAAACTGAGATAAGTTATTTCACAAATATGCTTTTTAGTCCAAGGAGTTTTGTGCCGTTAGCTTGATACCCCCAGCAGTGAATCACGGTACAATGTTGTATTTTGCTTTTGGAATCAGCTTCTATCAGAGAACTAAAGTTGTCTGTCCTGCTTTTGATGAATGTCTATAGGTTAGTGACAGGGTTAGACATATTTACAGCAGACATTGAGATCTATCTGAGGCTGAACTGGCTAACTAGCTTCACTCATCTCAGTGTCATCGTAATTTCCTTAGGACAAAGTGTCCCACCCGCTCACTGACCCCCTAACAAAGCACAGCTTATTTTGCTTCATTGTTAAAAAATACTCAAAGGTGTTTACGTGGAATGTTTCATTTGTAGCCCACTCACCGATATATTAACCTTTCATTGCACGTTACTGCACTTCGTCGCCACCTCTGTTTCACACGGCTGTTCACAAGCTTCAAGTCTGCTGCCACCTACCGCCCTGGAGGAATGTTACATTACCCGCTCTTCGCTGGGGGACAATATAGATCACAGTGAGGTGGATGTTCCTTCATTTCCCTCGACAGTTTAGCGGGACACCTAGTTTAGCGTCCCACTTTACCTCCAAAAATTAATAAATATCAATCAAAAGGGAACAGAATGTAGCTTCAATATGGTGTTATAACACAGAGAAGATGAGGATTTTGGATAATCTTGGGTTTGAGTATCTTTGTATTATTGTTCCAAGGTTTAAACCAATATTTATCATTACTGGGAGATTAAAGGGTTCATCTTAAGTTATTATTTTTTATCATTAATAATAATGATGATAATAGTAATTACAATAAAATGACCTGTAGAGGGCTAATCACTTTGAGTGGTCAAGTAGACTCGATAAAGTGCTATATGAATATTACTGATTTATTAATAACAATGCTAGATGTGTCCTCATTGCTTTTAAAAACTTGTTGCTGGCATGAAATTTTTAAAAAAAAGAAAGGATTTTTATAGAACCTTTATCATTTTGGTTTAAATTTAAATTTTGGGTGTAACTCATGAAAGAGTTAAAAACTTTAACAAAGGGGTTTTGGCTTAAAACAATTGATGTCAATTCCCTGACAAGAAAATGACGGCTATTATTGATTAAATTCATGATTTATTTTTTGAGAATTTCATCCCAGCAGGCAACATAAATGAGACTAAATGCAAACTACTGAAAACCCTGAACCAATCACAGACTCTGAATTCAGCAAACAAAAAAAATTTGCCACAGTGAAATGTTAATGTGTTGCTGAAAATCACGTGTCTGTTCCCATAAAGCAGTTCCTTTCAGGGTTTCAGCAAAAGTTTTGAATACACATGGGTTCACCCCAGAAGTTTATTGCACCTTTTATTTTTCCAGCATAAGATTAAGTTGAATACATATTTTAAATGTTATCAAGTTATTTATACAGCCCGTTTAGTTATAATGACAACAAGAACAGTTTGAACACTTTTACGAGAAGCTTAGACTGGTTGTGTATTGTTTTATGTCTTAGTTGTTATGTCTGAGCTGATATAACAGCCTCAATACTCTTTTACTTTAAGGGGATTTACATCAACATTCAGCTTCACTACAATTCATAATGTCTATAGTGTCACTCTGAGTGCATAATACTTGTGTCACTACAGTACTGAAACAATGTAAGAACAAAATATTATTTGCAAGGATGCATACAATAAATACCTGTTAGATGGTATAGAAAAACAGTATTATTATAAAGTTCTTGTCCATTTTAAAACTTGAGTGCATTTTCATCCTTGCATATACTGCCTGTAAACTTTACTCCAAAGAGTAAGCAAACCTTCAGATAAGTCAAATACTCTCATCCACAGTCTCTTAAGAAAAGATATTGACTTGCTGAGTTGTGCTTTCATTCTCTTAGCACAGTCAATATACACTGCAGAGTGAAATCACCATTTTACAAATGAGAAATGGAGCATTATTCATTACTACAGATACAGTATGGACACACACTACAGTATATCATATGCTGGTGGTTTACATTCAGAAATGTGTTATGGTTTATAACACAGAAGAGTTTCATGCAATTGTGAGCATGGAAGTAATGATCTTTTTTGCAGATAAATCCATAATATCCATAATATGGAGAGTCAATGTAAACCAATCCTTGCCTTTTCTGATCACAGGACCAACGTGATGACATGTAAATGTGTCTGCAGCACAGCAGCCGGCAAGTTTTCTCATGGAAGTAGGTAGAACAACAGTCTAAGTAAAAGAAATGTACTTGCTTGATGATCAATAATAGAAAAATCAGTGTGTGGCTCATATGACTGCAGGGTAAGTGCTCCATTTTGAGGTCACAGAAATTACAAGATTTTCAACAAAGATTCAAACCTCAATCAACTTAAAACTTTATATGTTTTCATCAACTTTTTTTCAGTTTAACTTCCTTGTGGATACTGACTGGAACACTGTGTTACCAAAGTAAGATCTTCAAACGTGCAGAAGATAGTCTGAGCTTGTAGTTAAACTTAAGAGGAGAAAGATTTGTTGATATTTAGGATCACTCTATGAGAAGAAAGTTAAGACAATTATTGAAAATTGTCCAAATTTAAACAAATCTTTCCTTTTCAATTTTTCCATTATTCTCTCACATTAGTTTTTCTACAGAAATAGAATTTTGAATCAATTCTCAAAACGTATGATGAAATACCTTGCTCCTCTCTTTTTTGATACCTTGCCCAGCCACTCTTCTGTACTTTTATGTGTTGGTCCTTGACATGAATAAGAAATATACAATTCTTTCTGGAGCTCCCATATAGCACCAACAGTCAAAGGAGGAATTCATTGTAAAAGCAGCACATCACTTATGTGAAATTCTCCATTCTCAATAGTCTCAGTTACCTCAGAGGAAGTGAATACTATTTGTTTTCTGAGTGAGTCACATGAATTTCTATCAAATCATTTAGAACAAAACCTGTACATGAGAAGTTGGTAGAGCCCTTCAAATGAATCAACTCACAAATGCCTTAAAGGTACAGTGTGTACAAATGGGAATATTTTGGAATATAATCTTGCGGCTAGATTCTAGGTTCAAAACCTCCCCCTGCTCAACCCTCTCACTGGTTGGGTGATAGTAGCTCTTTAGGACATGGAGCTCCTATGATGCATAGTAAGTATTAAACTCCATAGTTGTTAGTTTGTCTCTGCTGGCGGTGCAAGATGGCAGCCTTTATAGAGGTACACCCACTTCTATGTAGCTATAAAAGACTCATTCAAGATGAATTAATACCAATCGATTTTTATTTAAGTGATTATAGCACCAAATTAATCATATTTATGAACACTGTAATTCATTTCTACCAAGTATGTTCTGCAAAATGTCCCTAAATACAAATGATAGGTGTCTTTAATTTGTTTACTTATGTCCTGACGAAGACTCTGGTGAGTCGAAACACGTCAACACTATCCCTATTAAATAAAGGATTTTTTACTTCATCAGAGTGCCTCTGATCTTCAGCTTTGACTGCCATCTGCACCATAGACTTTTATTAACACCTGATAGGCAAGTCACTGCTCTCATGCTTGTTTAATACTATTAATTTGTTGAAAAATAGATGCGAATATGGGCCTGCATCTCAGGGAAATATTATCTTGGTAAATACTTTCTAATGCACTGATACTTGTGAGGTACCGAAGGATCCACAGCTTATAATTATCTCGGTAAGACTTGGGCAAATCATTTGTTGTCTTAAATTGAAGAGTCTTTGCATGCAAACCAGCCTATCACACCACCACAGTATTTAAATGCATGATTATGAGCTAGTGGCACCAAAGCAACTAAAACCCACTTCTCATATCCAGTCTTAAATAGTTTTACCTGCTTAATGTCAATTTTAAAACCGATATTTAAAAGTAAGTGTTAACCAGTTTATGAAAGGCATACTTGGAAACAATTCCTAAGGTAGAAATAAACAAGGCATGTTACTGAAAACAAGTATGTACATAAAAAAAAAGATATGTACAACAATTCACATTAATAATGACAAAATTCAAACTTCCTCTATAGAGCATCCAGGAGCTCGCTCGTCCCCTTTTGGGGTTTGGTTCATAAAGTCTGATGTGTATTTGTGATATGTTACATTTGAGAGGGTGCTGTTAGACTTCACAGTTATTGCTATAATAAAGAGAAGGTTAAACTGATCCTGCTGACCAGTCCTGACAATAACAAACAGCATCAACCTTATCCTAACGCTCAGCTCTGTTGTGATGTGTTACCGACAATTTCCTGCATGAATAAGATGATTAAACCTGCCAGTCTTGTCCTTGGTCTCTGAAAGGTCTTTTGAGGTAACTGCTGCTTCAGTTTCACTTTTGTCTGTGTGGTACATATGAGATCTTACAAGCTATGAAAAATGACAGTCATTTCAAAGCCAGGCAGAGACATTATCTGAGTTTGTATCCAAAAAGTTGACACACCTCTGTTGCGTTTTTCTCCATTCACTAATCACTGTTATTGCTTTGGTGATTCACACATTCAGACTTCAGGCATTTGTTGTGACAACACAGCACAACTGTGTGTATCTCACAATAAGACTCTCACACACTCTGCTTCAGATGTGCAAACAGTTTTTATGCTACAGAAATGCCACTGTGTTTTCTTAGTGACTGCATAGTCATAATGAAGTCTCCACACAGGAGCCATTTCTGTGAAACGACCTGTGGTTGTGGCAATTCTCACTGCAGTGCACAATAAGCACCGGGTAGCAAAGTGCGTCCTCATAGTCTGGGGGCTCCTCTTCATCTGTGTTGAGGCGCTCTGACAGGCAGCGGGTGTTTTCACTGGGACTCTCCTGGTCATCTAAGCTGCCACTCCTCCAGAAAAAGCTGCGCTGGGACCCGTAGCGGCGCGCCAAGGAGAAACGACTGCCGCTGAAAGGGATGCGGGAGCTGGCACCAGTGCAGATGCTCAAGGCGCTCCTGGAAAACACTGAGGAGCAGCTGATGGCTCTGTGGCAGCGCTCACAATTCTGACGAATCCCACTGAAGCTGGACGGGCACTGGGCCAGATCCATCAAGCCAGCCTCTGAGTAACTGGGCACCAGCTGCTGGTTGGACCGAATGTGCCACTCTAGCTCGGTGCTGTCGATGGTGTTAACGCGAGGAATTCGACGCCAATATGGTCGATCTTCACAGGGTGTCACAGGGAGGTAATCATGCCCAAAGAGCTTCTCAACCCTGTAGTGGACGTAAGCAGTGTGATACTCTGTGAAGACTCTGAGAGGCCAAGAAAAAGTGAGGAATGAGGCAAACCAGAAGACATAGTGGGACAGATACCAGGGATGTCTCTCCGGGTCTGACATCACCATGACATACTCCTTCAGGTCAATATTCTTGAGGTGCATGCCCTCCCTGGCCTCCATGTAGTCATCCAGGCCCTCATTGTCAGTGAAAAACCTCGCTCTTTGTGTCAGGTAGGAATTCTCAGACTCCACGTTTGCAAAACTGAAGCACTTGGTGAAGCGCATCTTTGTGAGTGCAGACTTCTCCAGGCCCAGCAGCTGCTTTGATACGTCTTTCACACCACAGTGACTGTAGTCAAACTCAGCCTCTGCCACGTGGGTGTTGACACGTTCATGATAAACCTGCGTACTCGTGTAAGCGTCTCCATTGCGGTAGCGTGTGACCTGTCGTGTTCGGCGAACGTAGTGATAGCTGATAGCCTTCCACCAAATGCACGGTTTGGCTTGCTGCATCCTCTGAATGCGCTCGTAGATACCCTCCACGTCCACCTTGTGCTGCAGCTCGTTCTTCACATGACAGTGCCAGCACTCCACAAGATAGACCAAGTACAGCATGCCCAAGAGGGCCAGAGGGATGTAGATATAGCCATCAGAACAGGGGCTGTCATGGTACATCATGGATTTCCTGTCAAAGGTGAAGCGGGTCACCTTGGTGACATGACACCAAACCATGGCTCCCATGCAGCCATACATGAGAACAGACAGGAGCAGACATTTCCAGAAACTCTCCCGGCATAGCGATTTGCTCAGAGATTGCTTCAGGGGCCTTTGCTGTAGAGTCAAAAACAAAACAGAAACAGAGAGCGATAAAAAAAAAGATATTCTATGATCAATCCTTTATTTAAAAGAAGAAGTTTAGGACTTAATGCACTTTACAACACTGTTTACTAATTCTGTCTGTATTTTTAACAGTTAACATTGGCTCACTCAATGGGTTAGCTGGTCCATTCCATTACTGTTTACTCTGTCAACCAATTAAGATTACGGTGGCCCTGAGGGTCAACTACACAAACATTTTTAAAATTCACACAAGTATATGTCATAAACACAAATTAATAAAACTACGCTCAAAAACTACCACAAAAATATTTCATAAACTCCACAAAAACAACCCCCACCAAAAAAATGTCATGTGCAGAACATGAAAATGCAAAAAAAAGCTTGCAAAAATCAAAACCCTGAAACACTTGAGAAAATGCATAAATTTTTTTTTATTGTTAAAGTGTTTCGAGAAATATATAGGCCTGTATGTATTATATGTTGTTGTTGTTTTGTTTTTTTTTTTGCAATTTAATGAAAGTATGTCTGACATGAAATTTTTTGGTGTTTGGGGACATAAACTTTGTATTTACGCAATATTTCTGTTTCTTGAAATATTTTTGTGTCACATTAGATGTTTTTGAATTATGTGAAAAATAAATTTGTTCAGTTAAATCTTTTTCATGTTCATGAAACATTTGTGCAGTTGACCTCCTGGGCCACCATACAATCACTAATCTTTAATACAGAATGTATTATTATTTTAGATGATGCCTCAAATTGTCAATGTGCATTTATTTCATTTCAGTTTTTGATTCAAGTCATGCTGCAAACTAAACTATTTTTCTAGTCATGCAACAAAGCAAAAAGATAAATTCTTTGTACTTTTCAGGTAAGGAAGAAACCATTTCTCTGATTGTGGTTATGGTTGATCACAAAAAAAACATACTACCTTTGGCATAATAAGCAGATTTAGACCAGCAGGTAGTAACAACCTTACACTGGATACCCCCTGTGGTTCCCAGACAATCATTGTGCAAGCAGAGGATAGAAACAGAATACCTTGGAGCTCTGTGTGTTATTTTATAGTTATTGTAAGAGAGATATTAGGGTGAGATCAGACCTGCTGGGCCACTAGAGCAGATGATACATGGAAAGCAGGTGTAGATTCTTAAATCAGCAACCCCATGTGCCCAACCATTTATTCTGTATATAACAATATACACTGCATTATTATAGATATTCTCCTGTGTGAGCCTGTAGCAGAGAGTCGTTGACAAGAGCAAATCTCTGGTAAATACGATCACCGACAGCGTGTTACACTGACTGTACACATGGATCCATGAGTGCTCTGCGTCAGGATCCCACAAACACATCGCTACCCAAATTGCACTTCCTCCTGTGAGATGCTCGACAATAATACCTCCTCTCTGGTGTCCTCCTCGAAAACGGTGGTGGTGCTGCTTTCACTCGCTGTCGCAGCCGATGCTGGGGGGGACATGGTTGCCTGGGCAGCTATTGATGATAATGACAGGGCGTGGAATAGGAAGAGGAAGAGATTTTACTACCTTGCTCTGCAGAGTCTCTCAAGCAAGACTATAGCTACTTGTGAAGCGTGCATTCAATCTGTTTTCATTCAGAGCCTCTTCACCCTGAGAAAAGACCCAGACGAGTCGACGGAGGCATGATGGTCGGTGCAGTCCAAATTAAAGTGATCTCAACGCGTGTGTTTCTACAGGGGAGCCCGCATCCTGCCGTTTAGGTAGTAGCAGTCAGTGCCGCAGTAACATGATGGGAGATTATTAGCTGGTCCTCATCACACAGAGAGCATGCCCTGCCCCTTTGAGCCCGCTGTGTTAATCTGTGTGCGGAGGCTGACGGTCCCTCTTCCATCCATGGAGAGCTGGTAGGATCGCCGTGCTGACTGAGGCAGGTGCACGGTGAGATGGAGAAGCAAAAAAAAAACTGTCAGTTAAAGGGAAAGTCCACCCTAAAACTCTCCCTTTAAACGCACAGTGTTCACTGAAGACAAAAAGTAATCTTCAAATACAGACTAGGGGAAAGTGGGGAGTTGAGCCACCCCCTGTTGCTTGGAAATGGTCAAATAAATTGATCATGTGACAAAATATTTAGGAGATGGGCATTAATTCATGGAATCTGTGAAGGTTAGAAGCACATGGGTAAAGGGGTTAGACATTTATTTACAAAAAAAAAAAAAAAAAACATTTTTCACTCTTGAAAGTGTATTGAGTCTGTCATAAGTTTGATTAAAATTGTGTTCAGACCAGAAAAGATCAATTTAAATTTGTTTGGTACATAAATTGTGGTATCTATGAGCTACAACATGAGGTCAAAAATCTCACATAAAAGTCCACCATTTTAGCTTAGAGGACTAATAAAGTCATAATAGTAGTTCAGGGGTAACTGAGAAAGTAAAGGAGTCTGAAAAGAGGATCAGAGTTTCAGTTCAGATTGTTTAAATGTGTTACATTTCTTCTCAAAAATACAGCTGTGAATGTTCTGAATCACTTCAAGGCATTCTCATGTTAAAATGGCTTTTTACAAAACAGCTTTTTAGTAATTATATGCAACAACAATAAAAAGAATTATTGTACAATTTTGTACAATTATTGTAGAAATAAACATGAATGTAAAGAAGTGACTGTTATTTAGGGAGAGAGAAGTTGAGGGAGGCCTGGGGTGGAAAGTGGGGGGGTAGTAGGGATACGGCTCAACTTACCCCGCTCCTATGTCCATAGGAGACCACTTTTTTTTGGCATGCTATATTATCAAGACAGTTGTGTTTGATACCTTTGTTTTGTATTGTGTAGTTGTACTTAGCCTTTTATACTTTATTGTACATTGAATTGTACATAGCCTTTTATACTTTATACTTTATATTTTTTTTGCATGCTCTTATTAGTTTTTTATTCAAGTATTTTATAATACTTTCTGTTTAATGTTGCACCATCATGCCAAAACAAATTCCTAGTCTGTGAATCCTGTTCATTGATAATGGCAATAAAACCCCTTCTGAGTTGTGAGTTCTGAGTGCTGAGTTTACACTCATTCTGGAGGTTTGCAGGGATGCACAACATCTCAAAATATATGCAGATACACTATTTCAAGACAAAACTATGATTGCCTTGATGTGGTGATCCAAAATATGAAAAATGGCTCATCCTACCCCACTCTCTCCTATTTTTATGCCAAGAATACGATCAAAACCCTCTTAGATCATGCTGCTTTTTAACAGGTGGTCAATTAACAGTGTCAGTCATGTGTTTGGTATCACAGTCTGGAGACCTGTTAAAGCTCCTGTGAGGAGTTTCTTTCATTATAATTATGAAACTAATATTAGCAGGCCCTACTGATCAGACCATCAGAGGCCACCTCGGCTGCACAAATCTCTAATGCATGCTGCTGCACCACAAAGCAGCCTTTGATTATGGTGCTGAAGTTTTGAATTGAGTGACATGTTGGATCGTGAAAATCAGTGGTGTAGCTACTCAAAGGGTGACGGGGAGGGAGTGATCGCCTTTCTTGATGCAAAAATGTGAACAAAAATGTGAGTTCTTCCGTGATTTACTGTGAACGACGAAGCCAACAAACAATATGATTTTCACTACATTCATTTCTTACAACTGATCACAGTTTTGGGATCAAATATGATACCAATGGTTAAATTGGATTGTTTGACAATTGTGAATAGGTATGTTAAATGTTCAAACACTTTCTGAGGTGGTTGATAAATGTAATTAACACTTTCAATAAATGTAAAATCCTCTACAATGGACCTTGTGACTCTTTCCAAAAAAACAGGAGCCAAAACTGAAATTCATATTAATGCCTTTTTTATGTTATTCAAAAGAAAACCAGACCATTAGCTGCTAAATTGTTTTTTTATCATCATTTCGATACCTGAAACTGGTGCAAGGGAGTGGGTGTCAGCCGGACAGCTATCCGGCTGACACTAACTTTTTTTTTTTCTCATATAAAATATCCACAATAACAAATATACTTCCCTATCAAAGGTCAGCAGGATGAGATTTTTGTCAAAAGACACTGCTGAAGCAAAAAGATGAAAAGATGAACAAAGATTGCTTTGTCCTTAGAGGGCATCAAAGTTCACCATCTAAGTTTTAAAGCAAGTAGTGAACATATGTTTATTATAACTTATACAGATAAATAGAAGCACACTTAGTCTGCATTATGAATATTAATACAAAATCAATATAAAAAAAACATTGATATTCACATAATCCAGCTTTTTATAATGAACAGTCTCCTCCAAATATCAAAAACATTGAACTTTGGGTAAAGCCACAGTGACTTTAAAATACATCTATTACAAGTCTTTAACAGTCAAAGGAATTACTGGAGCAGGTTTGTATATTTTCAGAAGTGGTGATATGCGATAAATACAGCCACTGATGAGTGTTTTTCACATTTTTTTAAATGTCTGAATCTAAATGAGTCCTGATTTGTGTCAACTTTGAGATCATCTTCAGTCAGACTGTTTCTTCCATTTAACCAAATAGTGTGACACTGCTGCAGACTGCTCACTCCTTTTCCCACGGCCTCCTTTTCTGATGACGAAGGGAACCCTGAAATACAAAGAGAATAAACATTAATACCATCTGGAAGAAGATATTTGGCAAGAATTTGAAAGAGCTGTCCACTTCTATAGCTGTTGTACGATGCACTGTGTGGTTTAACTTTTTGTGATACATCATATCTGATATCCATTTTGGATGATTGTCAAATGACCTTAAATGTGACACAGGAAGAAATTATCCAGATTTTCAGGTTAAAGTGTCAAGAACTTTCTGCTCACATAGGCCAGATTTGGATATAAATGGCAAACTTGTGTTTTTAAAAGACTAATACATAAAAGTGTACTTAACTTAGTTGTACAATATTGCCTCTGGTGCATATGTTATCTATCTAGGTTCAGTGTGGCTCTTATTTGATTGGCTCAAGATTAATCAGCTCAAATGTGTTAATACTTAATTTTTCCTAAATTTTTGAGTCCTTTGATGTATTTCTCTTTAGTAACTTGTACGCTGCCTCTTCATTTTTAATTGTTGGTGCTGGAAAAATATACTTTAACTTGAAAAAAGACATTTCCAAAAGATAAAATTTAACAAAAACACCCCCTGTGCTCCTTAGTGAATAGAAAATCTGGTGAATAAAGGTAATGAGTTCACATAGACGCCAGATCTACTTACTGAGTACATGTTGGAGAGGTTGTTGAAGAGAACTTGGCCTGCGCTCACTTTGTTTCTCACTCCTCGTATGGTCCCATTCTTGCTGCAGATATTGATCCTCTTGTTGCTGAAGAGCATCTCTCTCTTGGCACTGGCGTACAGAAGCAGGTCATCAGGTTCGCCGCTGTTCTCCTCCAGAGCAGACCCCACCATCAGACCGTTCAGGTGACTGTTGGCCTCACTGGCAGGCGTTGAGCTCACCCGTTCTGTCTCTGGACTGCTGGTGCAGTCAGAGTCCACTGAGTCCGACACTGAGCCGCTCCAGGTTGTTTCATCCTTGAACACCTCTGTCAGGACCCGGCCACTGTTGGCAGATGCTACTCTGAACCGAACGGTTTTAGCAGCTTTTTCTTTGTCCTGTTTCAGTTTTGGCCTCTCCATTGAAATACAAGAATGCCTCACATGGTTTCTATCCCATTCAAAAAAAAAAACAGAGGAGCTGTGACAGCCTAAGCCACCATGGTTAACATTTATCAAACAATAATATCCCCATTCACTTGTCAAAATGAGCAGAAAATACCCCGGCTACAAACTAGACACCAGTGTTGTTAATAATAGATGGGCTTTTACCATGGCAACAGCTAAAACAGGCAAACAGTAAATGGATATTACCATGTTTAATTATTGATTAAGGTTTAACAGCAGATACATGGCAGGGTCTAGTCTCTAAAAGACACACAGTCAAAATATCCTTTATTACTCAACCAGTCGTCAGTAATGGCCCTTAAAGGACTAAGATGAACTTTTGCACCTCACGGCACCTGTCTTTTTTAACAAGAGAGAACAAACTTCCTAAAAACTAACAATCAGACCCTTCTGTTGGTCAGGTCACTATCAAAGAAAGAACAGAAGAGAGCTCTTTGGTCTTTCCATAAATTTCCTTTATTGAAAGATTTGACTGGATTAATTAATTTTCCAAGAAGTTCCATCTAACTTCTTCCTGTTGTCCTCAATATTTTTCCCTTTTAATAGTAGGTTGTGATTTCTGAGGGATTCCTAGAAATTTCCACCTTTTAAGCTATATCGGGAGAGAGGAGGTACAGGAAATACAGTAATTAGGCTGTGATAAAATTATCCTGTAAGCACAGTGTGTAGGTGTTATGCTGGGAAATAGAGCCCTCCCACGGTGTGCAAGTGTATAGTTGAACATGTGTATGTACCACAGGTCCCATAATGCCATTTAAGATGCTCTTATCTCCCTCTCATATCATAGAGATATACTGTATACCCCTTTGTCTCTCTTTACTTGTGCAGTCAAAAAAGGTTAAAAAAAAAAAAGTAATCATAAATAGAATTCATATTTTTTCATTTTATCACATTGACTGTGTTACAACCCAGCTCATAGGGAAAAGGATGTGAAACTTATTTATTGCAAAAAGAAATAATTAAGTGTCATTAATATATAAATATATTATATACTGCTAATATCAGCTGTTTTCCTAAGCCTCCTCCCGGTCATTTACTTTTGTTTTCAACAAAGCCTTGGAACGCTGTTGATAAAAACAAGTTTTTGGGATCTACAATTTAGGATGTCCCCCAGCAGGACAAGGGAGTAACCCAAGGAGCACTCTCCAGTACCCCTTCTAAGGACTCCAAGAAGAGTGGATATTCTGAGCTGCTGTTTCCCTGCGAGAGAGGTGGCATTCAACGTCCCTAGAGATAGTGTCTGCAGCCGAGGATTGGTGCTGCAGATGTTTTATCAGTCTGTGGTGGCAAGTGTGCTGTTCTACGCTGCAGTCTGCTGGGGAGGAAGCATCAAACACAAAGATGCAAGACGTCTTAACAAACTGGTAAAAAAAGGCTGGCTCTGTGGTTGGACTCAAGATGGACTCAGTACTCATACTTATATTTTATATTGAGTGCAATCCTATGAAGGTAAATAGATTAATAACTTGTAACTTGTCCTAATTTTACCTTCATGGATCAGTGAAATAGTTGGTGATCATATCTGCGGTGCAACATGTGGCTGCTTTTTATGTTTTCCCTTCCACATTTCTATCCCGTTTTTGATGAAAAATTGCAGGAAAAATCTCTTCATAGCGCGAATTTTGTTTACATGTAATATGTGTAGATTTGACATAATGTAACTCAAATTAACTCAAAATTTCTCCAAACGATTTGTCTGCAAATCTAGAGTTCCACTCTGGGCCTGTGGGTGGCAGCACATCTGTTACTGAGTCAAAACAAGCAGAGAAGAAGACACCGGAGCCTCACACGTGCAGCACAGTGTCAACATGGGTAAAAGAAGACAGAATAAACAACTTTTTACCAATCTATCAAAAAAACAGAAGAAACACCTGAAGGAATTTGGAGAGGAGCACCCCTTTCATGATGTGTAAGCAGCTATATACTCTATACTCTTCTGCGCGCTGTAACACGTAGCTACTTTTATGTTAGCCAACCAGCTAAGTAAAGATCTCTATAGAAATCTTCAAAGTGTTTAAACCATCAAGTGGTTGATTTTTCTTTATTTCTTTAATGCTAATAATTTACTCTCATACAGATCGAGTGTAAAAACTACATGTTCGTGGAATAAGTACTTGGAAACGGCTTGAAGCGGGTATAACTGTAGGTTAAAGTATTATTAGCCAAGGTTATGCCACAAGGTGCAATATTTACGTTTTCAGTCTTTTTCTCGTCTTTTGTTTACATTGAAGGTTTTACGTAGAGAAAGAAAAGTTTTTGTCGTGTAAAAAAGTTACATCAAGATAAATAAATTCACAACTTTTTCTGTCTTTAATGTAAACTGTACAACACAATTGAAAAACAAACATAAATCTAATAAAATAAAGGGAGGTGAAGTAAAAATAAACAACTGAGATCATGTGGTTGCATAAGTGTGCACACCCTTTAATAACTGGGGATGTGGCTGTGTTCAGATTTAACCAATAACTTTCAAACTCAGGTTAAATTGGAGTCAGCACACACCTGTTACCAATTAAAGTGCCTCTGATCAACCCCAAATAAAGTTCAGCTGTTCTAGTAGGCTTTTCCTGACATTTTTGTAGCCACCTCTTCCAGCACAAGCCATGGTCATCTCATTATTCAAAGATATCAGTCAGGTGAGGGCTACTAAAATAATATCCAAGGAAATAAATATACCATGGAACACAGTAAAGACCGTCATCATTAAATGTAGAAAATATGGCACAACGGCGACATTACCACGTCTTGATTAACTGCATGAAAGACGTTAAAACATGGATGGACCTAAACTTGCTAAAACTAAATGGAAACAAAACGGAGGTTATCCTGTTCGGCCGTCCAGACCTGGTTCAGGTCCTTGCCAGCTCCCTCGACCCATTAGCACCGTACATAAAATCCCATGCCAGGAATCTTGGGTTTATTATTGACGGTGCCTTCAAACTGGACAAGCAGGTCAGTGCTGTGGTCAAGTCCAGCTTCTTCCAACTGAGGCTTTTAGCAAAGATTAAACCATATCTCAACCAAAGAGACCTGGAAACAGTAATCCATTCTTTTATTACTTCTCGCTTGGATTACTGCAATTCTCTTTACCTCGGAATTGACTAGGCTGAGCTTAACCGCCTGCAGCTCGCCTCCTTTCTGGCACCAAGAAGCGCGAGCACATAATTCCAGTGCTCTCTTCTCTACACTGGCTTCCAGTTAGGCACAGGATCGTTTTTAAGATTCTTTTATTTGTTTTTAAATCTCTGAATGGGCTGGCCCCAGAGTACCTGGCTGACCTTGTTAAGCTACACCAACCCTCCAGAGCCCTTAGGTCTGCTGACCGGGTCATTTTAGACGTGCCTCGTTCGTTTTTAAAATCCAGAGGGGAGCGAGCGTTTGCGGTTGCAGCTCCCACTTTGTGGAATGCACTACCCCTAAGTGTGCGTACTGCAAATAGTCTCTCTACTTTTAAAACCCAACTGAAGACGCACTTGTTCACCTTAGCTTTTGACGGAGTATGATACTTGTATTGGTTATATATTTGTTTTTGTTTACATTTATATGTTACATGTCTTTTGTTGTTGCTGTTTGCTGTGTATGACTTGCTTTTATTGCTACTGCAAAGCACTTTGGTAGGCCACTGGCTGTTTAAATGTGCTATACAAATAAACTTGACATTGACATTGACCAAGAACAGGACATTTGTCCAAAATTGATGATACGACAAGAAGAAAACTGGTCAGGGAGGCTACCAAGAGGCTGACAGCAACACTGAAGGAGCTGCAGGAATTTCTGGCAAGTACTGGCTATGTAGTACATGTGACAACAATCTCCAGCAGTCTTCATATGTCTGGGCTATGGGGTAGGGTGGCAAGATGAAAACCTAATCTTACAAAGAAAAACATCAAAGCCCAGCTTAATTTTGCAAAAAGACATCTGAAATCTCCCAGATGCATGTGGGAAAATGTCTCATGGTCTGAGGAAACCAAAGTTTAACTTTTTGGGCATCATTGCAAAAGGTATATTTGGCAAGAAATCAACACTGCTCATCACCAAAAGAACACCATACCCACAGTGAAGCATGGTTGTGGCAGCATCATGCTTTTGGGCTGTTTTTCTTCAGCTGGAACTGGCGTCTTCGGGTGGAGGGAATTATGAACATTTCCAAATACCAGTCAGTGTTGGCACAAAACCTTCAGCCTTCTGCTAGAAAGCTGAAGACGAAGAGCAACGTCATCTTTTAGCACGACAATGACCCAAAACACACATCTAAATCAACAAAAGAATGGCTTCACCAGAATAAGATTGAGACTTTGGAATGGCCCAGCCAGAGCCCAGACCTGAATCCTATCAAACATTTGTTGGGTGATCTGAAGAGGGCTGTGCACAGGAGATGCCCTCACAATCTGTCAGATTTGGAGCGGTTTTGCAAAGAAAAGTGTGTAAATATTGCCACATCAAGATGTGCCACACTGATAGACTCCTACCTAAAAAGACTTAGTGCTGTAATAAAAGCCAAAGGTTGCTGCAACCAAGTATTAGTTTAAGGGTGTGCATATTTATGCAACCAGGTTTTTTTTAACTTTTCTATTTTTTATTTTTCCTCTTAAAGGTTCAGTTTGTTTTTCAATTGCATTGTACAGGTTACAATCAAGGTGGAAAAAGTTGTGAAAATATTTATCTTGCTGTCATTTTCTTGCATCACGAAAACCTGGCAGTTGAGCAGGGGTGTGTAGACTTTTTATGTCCACTGTATATTGCAATCCAATTCATTTGTTCTAAAATTGATAATTGATTTATTTTTATTTTTATTATTATTTTGGATACCCAGGGGGGACTGGGTTCTGCAAAACATGCTTAAAACTTGAGAATGCTTTTTTCTTAAAATCATACTTAATTTTAGGCAGACCCAGTACCAACCCAATGGAAATGATTTGCCTCCATTTAGCATCACTGTCTCGAAAACATCTATCATTTTATTTTTGAAATTACCTTGATATGGGGGCTTTTTGGACATTATGGACTTGGAGCTATCCCTTTTAAAAGGACTGGCAAAAGTGCAACCTACTGCTGCATTTTATATCAATCACGATCCAGCAAACCTCCTCCTTCTTTAAGATGCATTGTTATAACTGAGAAATACCACACGGTGGCTCTTAAAGGTCAGTGTTTGATCACGGGAAGGTAGAGGACAGAGGCTGGAATGAGGCATACAATGGAGAAAAGAGAAAAGACCCTTAACCTTTGCTATATTGTTTAAAATGTGTGTTATTACAGAGTCAAAGGGGGTCCTGAGAGAACTGAAATAGTGGAACTGGTGAGTTGGACTACACAGAGAATTATGGACCATCCAGTCATTGTTTTTCCTCAGTCTGGGTTTGATATTATTCATATCTTTTCATGATAAAACAGCCAGCAAGCCCAGAACACTCTGACATTGAGCCTGATGAGCCTGAGGATGAGGAGGATGAAGAAGAACCAGAGCAGGAAACAGCCTATCAGAAACTTCTTTCTACACTCAGCCAACCCAGTAATGAGCACAGTGAAGAGGAGAGCAGTGACAATGAAGAGGAAGAAGAGGAACATCTTGGTAAAGACAAGCTGTTTATTTCTTAGCACTTAAAGTTTAAGCTTTGCTGTTTGCTCAGTGTTGTAGTGCCTCTAATTGAAGGAGAAAGTGATGGTGCTGAAGATGAGAGTGGGGATGGTGAAGAAGATGAAGTAGGAGAGGAAGAACCAGAGGATGCAGATGAGGCCCCACCTGAAGGGATAGTAGGAGAGGAGATAGCAGGGACGGATGAAGCAGGAGGTGAAGAGTTTGAAGACAAAGAGAATGAGTCTCAGTTCTGTCTGGAGACCAACTTCATGGATGTGGATGGAGGAGAAGAGGATCAAGAAAGAACTGCAGAGGAGACAGACAGCAAAGGTAAAACCCATGGAAAAACTTGTCCCTTTCTTCATTTTTGAGGAATGCTCATTTGTTGTGTCGCATGGTAGCTAACTGCTCGGCGAGTAAAACTGAATCTTTAAGTTTTGGAGCTGTGTTAGACTTCTTTCTTTCTGTACATGCAGATATGTTTTTTAAGCATTTGGACACAGAGCTCAGTGAAGAGGATGTGCAGATGATAACATCTGGCAGCAAAACAAAGGCTCAGATCATGGTATTTCCTGCACATTTTGGCAGAAATTAATACAATTTTTCAGAAGTATGAACTCCAAATGCTCATGTGCCTCTCTCTCTTCATCATATTTAGTGGCCAAAGCTGGGATCTTTACTCTGTACCACTCCTGTAGATAAGTTTGCTTCCATTGGCCAACAGAAGGACACAGATCTTCCTGTTTTCCACAAACTTTTGGAATCCAACTGGAAGAATCTGAACCAGACATCTGACTCTAAAGGGGTGGCAGAGGAGATCAGTTCCCTGCAGCTTGAGCTGCTGGCACTAATGGGCTCATACAAGGACCTCTACCACCCAGAGACATGTCCTCTGAGCCAAGGCGCTCAGGTTCGCAGTGCATACTGTCTCCATGTGCTAAATCACGTATTAAAGGCCAACTCCCAAGTCCTGGCCCATAATGCACAGCTAAGAGAGCAGAAGACTCAGGCTAAACCAGGAGCTGAGCCACAGGAGGAACCCAGAGACCAAGGACTGACCCGACCAAAGGTAAACCAAAGTTAATTCACACATAAATGAAAGTCTCTGTTGCTTAATCCATCACTCTTTTGTTAATGTTTTGTTATGGTGTTCACAGACTGCCTTTGATCATTTCACTTCCTGCTTTTCCCTAAAACTCTCCCCCCTCATCTTTCTCACAGCAGTATTATCACTGTATAGAACAAAAAAAAACAGTCATAGCAGAGGTGTAATCATGGCTTGTTCTCCCTGACATTGATAAAGGAAAAAATCATTTTGATTCCTCATATTGATTAAAAAAAAATAACAAATGACATTTCAAAAAGGTCATCTTGTCCCTTTATTTTCAAATCAAAAATTGAATTTAAAAAACATCCCTGTAATTAGATAATAGGGCAATAACTGTCCTGTCCTTCAATGAGACAGAAGGTGCTGTGACATGAAAGTAACCAAAAAAAGATTTAATCAAAAGAATTTAGTATAGCAATGAACAAATTTTGAAGCTCAGTGCGGTCTGATTTTCTGCAATTCAGACAGAATAACTGTGAACTTTGACTTCCTAATGTTAAAAACAGTTATAAAGGTCCGTGTTCCAGCAAGTCATGAGGTCAAGTGTACAATTCAAGAACAGTAAACAATATAGAGGCCCATTGTGTAGTTGAAATAAAAGCATGAAAGTGTATTTTGGCTGTACCAGTACTTCTTGTATACTAACAAAGCAAAAGCCTGATCTGTTCTGTTACTCTTTGGAGAGACTCTCCTTGTTTTCACACTTTTTTAACTATTCTGAAGTTGTGCTTGGGACAGTCACTTGTTTTAGTTTCCCACCAATATGCTTTTTTTTTTCTTTCTTTTTTTTTTTTACTGCTGTTGTTTAGCTGATTGGTTGTTTTGACCATGTAAACACTAGGGGGCGCTTAGTTCCTGACAAGTCATGAGTGTGACAGAAATCCCATAAGTGCTTGCTTTGCCTGGAAACAGAACAGAACATAGTGAATCTCAACTGAATGCTTGATTTGCTGCCTATATAAAAACAGATACGCAGATAGGTGACTCAGCTTTTTTCAGGCTAATTCTTTTTTTCTCAGGACTCGTATTTTCTTTTTTCTTTTTTTTTGTAAATAGCTTAAGATTTGGCGTCTGTTTTACTATTTGAGAAAGCACAGTTAATATATGACATTGAAACTTGGTTTTTGTGCCAAAATGTCTCTTCAAATGTCCCATATGAGTTTCACCTGTCTGTCAGAGCTGATTATATCTCACTTCATTTTGAGAAAAAACATTTCAGCTATTTTATTTCTTCAAAAAATGTATTAAAAACCTGAGAACAAGGCTGTAGGTAGGTTTGATTTTTGTATCCTGAGGAGTTAATACACCAATTCAAAATATGTACAATAAATACAGACTAAATATACTAAACATCCTGAGATAAAAAAGTGAGATACGAAAAATATTGGGCTATCCACTGGTAGTACTAATAAGAAATGAGTAATAAATATGAAATGCGAAATATACAGATGGGATAATAAAAAAAAAAAACAATTTAAGAACATGCAGCAGTGTTGCTTACCAGATTCCCTCTTGCTGTTATGTAGTTTAAATAACTGCTCTGCCTTTCTCTTATGCTTAAATGACTTTTGAAAAGAAGAAAAAAATGTGCATATTTTTACTGCTGTCTGAATTATTCAGGTCCTGATCCTGGTCCCGTTTCGAGGTGGAGCTCTCAGGGTTGTCCAGACACTCATCAGTCTGATGGAGTCAAAAGGCAAGAAGGTGGTGGTCAACAATAGGAAGAGGTTTAAAGAAGAGTTTGGAGATGATGAAGATGACAAGGCATCTAATCTGCAGAGACCAGACGATTACCACGCCATCTTCTCAGGCAACGTGGACGATCACTTCAGGATAGGTACAGCTGAGTGAACATCTGTCCAATCTCTGTCTGTTCACATTATAAATGTTTCTATCTGAGGCCTTTCTCTCGTCATTCTCCTCATCAGGCATCTCCATCATCAGGAACAGCATGCGCCTCTACTCCCCCTTCTACTCATCAGACATCATCATTGCGTCCCCTCTGGGCCTCCGTACTGTGCTGGGGGCAGAAGGAGAAAAAAAGAGAGACTTTGATTTTCTCTCCTCCATCGAGCTGCTCGTGTTGGACCAGGCAGATGTTTTCCTCATGCAGAACTGGGAACACATACTAGTAAGAGCAAGTGTTCAACTTGATGATATATGAGTGTGTGATAACATCTGCTCAGCAGCTCAGGCGTGTCTACATTAGTGGATTTGCACAGAAGACTGTAGTCAACCTGGGGCTCCACACAGGAGTGTGTTGGTTGTGAGATGGCCTCTGATTGGCTTGACTTCTGGGGTGCATGATTAACAGATGATTTCCTTCTAATATCCTCTTTGAGCAACACGTCTAAGCTGATTTTTTTTTTTTTTTTTTTCCAATTGTGCCAATTTCAGCCAGAAACACACAGAAAAAAGTATAAATCATGGTGGCTGCCTGTGAGCTAATTGTTGTTATAGAACATCAGGTTACAGGATATTTAAATCATTTGCTAGCTATCTGTCTCTCTCTCTCTCTCTCTCTCTCTCTCTCTCTCTCTCTTACTGCAGTTTGGTATAGGATAGATACACTTGATTCTTGTAAATGGACAGCAGCTTACAATACAGAGCAATGATAATGAGATAGAAAAAAGGAATTGTAACCCTCTGATGTCTTTTTTTTTTTTCAATCAGTAAAACTATATTCAATCTGGGAGGGACAATGTGTATATATTGGTAACTAGAAGCTCCTCGGTGGTAAATTAAAGACAGAGAATGAAATAATAATAATCAGAAGATGTAGAGAAAGCGTAATCCTTTCCATAACATGAATATCATTCACTTTGTTATACACACACTGATCCTCTTTGAAAATAATGACGTCAATCATTTTTAGCAGTCCTTGGGATTTCTGAGCAAGACTTAAATGCTTCCCCAGTGTCCTTTTCTGTTGTATCCTCTGCATGAAGGCATAAATAGACTCAAAAATCCATGTGATCATCTCAGCTTCTGACAAGTAGACATGATAACCTTGGTGTTTCACTGTAGTCTTAAATGCTTGTTTGTTTGAAATCTTGTTTGGATTACATTTCAAGAGTGGAAAGCTTGTTCATTCTCAATGTGGGCATCCTGAACCCAGTCCCCATGTTTTGATGTTTACTCCTTTACAGCATGTGATGAAGCACATGAACCTGCAGCCGCTGGACTCCCATGGAGTGGACTTCTCCAGAGTGAGGATGTGGAGCCTGAACAACTGGGCCAAACATTACCGCCAGACTCTGGTGTTCAGCTCCATCCAGGACCCACAGATCAACAATATCCTCTCTAAGCACTGTGCCAACTACAGAGGACAGGTGCTCAACTTTATACACTAACAGTTAACATTTGACCTGCTCCTCAGACTGAACATTAACTGTAGACAAGCATTTTTCCTAAAACATCAATCTCAGCCAGAAATAACCTCATAGCTTCAGCTAATCCTGGTGGCTGGTGAAAGCGTTGTGTGCTGCTGTCACCATCATTATAAGTAAAAATCTCTGAGAGCTGCTGTATCTGCTGACTTTGAAAAAGCTTTTCAAATTAGTTTCCTCATTGCCATTTGAAGATGGGAGATGTTAGATAATGTTCTCACTGTGCTTTTCCCTCAGACTGCCACAAAGAACATGCCAAAAACAGGTTCAATCAGCCAGGTGCTGGTTCAGCTGCCTCATGTGTTTCAGACATTCCCCTCTGACAGCTTCATGGACCATGAAGCGCGGTAAGTGATTTCATTGATGGTGTTTCAGGGTGAATATGTTGCCCTGGTTCTGTGTGTTTTAATAAGAACCCCATTAACTAGAAATTTGTCTAAATGAAAAGCAGATATTTTGGTGTGTAACAGAGAGCTCTGGATGATTTCAGGGTTGATCCTGACATTTTTTTTTCTTGTTTTATTTCCCCATCCTGCCTGTAGGTTTCAGTTTTTTTTAGATAAAGTGCTGCCGCAGTACCGGGACGCAGTCATGTCCCACACTCTGATCTACATCCCATCTTACTTCGACTACGTCCGTTTGCGCAATTACATGAAGAAAGAGGAGATAAACTTTGTCAGCATCTGCGAGTACTCCAGCAAGTCTGAGGTGTCCAGAGCCAGACACTTCTTCCAGAAAGGAGACAAACAGTTTCTGCTCTTCACTGAACGCTTCCACTTTTACAAAAGGTAAAAGTGATTTACAGGGATGCAGCTATCTGTGTGCATACAGGGCACCTGGATTTGCATTATTTCTTCAATTATGTAATACTTACACAAAGTAAAAATAACTATTTTCAGTCTTTTGTGAATCACAATGCGTGTGCTAAATGTACTCCTTTGCATTTTTTCTTCCTGGTTTTCAGCAGGCTATGGCAGAGTGGTGATTGCATATTCATTAAGGCAGATGTACTAAATGGACAATGCATGTGATCTTGCGCACAGTCCACACTATGTACTGTTTGTAGATCAGCTTGTGCGTTTGTCAGAGTTTGCTCTGAATATACATGTTTTGAACATTCACATCTTAAGTTAATCGGGCCCTACAGTACGAAAAAAAAAACACAGCCTCAGTTTCATAAATACTATATTCTCCTTTAACTCCTCTTCATCAGTTGTTGATTATCAAGATCCCTGCACCTGTTTTTGATCCTTATCCCATCTTCTGACTCATGTGTTCAGGTACACCATCAAAGGGATCCAGAACTTGATATTTTATGGATTGCCATCCTACCCGCACTTCTACAGTGAGGTATGTAACATGCTGGCAGCAGGAGGTCAGAGGGAGGGGGCCAGCTGGACCTGCACTGCGCTCTACTCCCGCTATGATGCTCAAAAATTAGCCGCCATCACTGGAGCCCAGCGAGCTGGACAGATGCTGCACTCCAGCAAGGCTGTTCACCTCTTTATAACAGGAGGAGAGGACAAAGACTCCTGATATAGCTTTTCAGATGAGAGAAGGATGATTGTAGATATTTGCTCTGGATGGGGGGTATCAAGAAAGTAATTGGTTGCTGGTTGGTAATAGTTGCCATGCCATGAGACCACCTGCCAGATCAACTGTTCAGTTAAGTCTTACATACAAATGAAAAAGGTTTATTTGACGAGCTGTAAACAAACAACAACCAGAAACATCAAGTCACAAACTGAAGAGATCATAAAACTTAGTTTTGATAAGTTGAAGGTGAAGACTGTTATGAGATGTTGTAAATGATTACTAACTGGTTTAATGGGTGCTTTGTTCATCAGCGTGCTGATTACTATATCATCTTTACTTCCTTGACTCCCCTCGATAAGAGTTTTTTTATTACCTATACTTACGGTAAAAGTGTCAAAATGTAACTTCCTCAGGTGCATCTCAATAAATGAGAATACTGTAAAAAGGTTTTTCAAGCTTGTTTTTTGTTTTTAATGATTGATCAGGAATCTAGAACCTGATGTTACAAGAATATTTTTTTTAAATCAACCAAAAAAAGAAAATAAAAAAATGGAAATCATGTTCATATATACTCAATATTTGGTTTGGGTTTCTTGACCATGGATTACTGGATCAGCGGGTTTAGCACAGAGGCCATCAGCCTGTAGCAGTACAAAGGTGTTTTGAGAGCCCAAGTTGCTGTGATTGCTTGATAGATTTGATGAATTGTCTGTTTTGGATTGCATGTCTCTTATCCTTCTCTTGATTTATATCAAACAGATTGTCATCACAATGCAGTATTTAGTAGAAGTTTTGACACTGTGGCCAGGTGCTAAGTCCAGCTGGAAAAGGAAATCAGTGTTGTCATAAAGCTTGTTAGTAGATAAAAACATGGATTGCTCTTAATTCTTCTGATAGACATCCTTATTGACTTTGTACTTAATAAAACACAGTGGGCCAAGGCCAGCAGCTAGCATGGCACCCCAAATCAACCCAGGCTGCAAACTTCACCTTTGACTCAAGACATCTTAGAATCTTGTGCCTCTTCCTACTCTGGAGATCTTTCCATTAATGGGTATCGATTTAGCACTCTGTGAACAGTGAATGTTGTGAAGTAGACTGAGAGAAACTCAGTACTAATACTATTTTAAAAGTAGTTCAAACTCAAAATGAAATATTCTGATTTTTTTAAGTGTTTATTTACATGTTTGGCTTTAGGCCAGGATTATCAAAAATGCAACACTTACTGGACAGTTTATATATCTACCTGTAGATCAATCTGTGTATGAAAATACTGTTTTGCTCACCCTTTTTGGTAAGAACAGTAAAGTTGATGACATAAATTAGTCACTTTTTCTTGGGAGGGTCCTGGTGAATGAGGCTCAGCCTTCTGTCAGTAAAAATGGGGGAGGGCTAGAAGGAAAAATGGCTGGGGACCACAACTCTTACTTATTGAGTTGCACCCATATGAAGATTTTCCCAGCACATGTTTGTTTCTACACCTCTTTTTATATGATGTCATTGTTAATATCTGTCTGTTTCAAATTCAGCAGTTTATTGGTTCAATGTCCTTGGAAATTTCATGGAATTTTTTTTTTGTGTTATTTTGCAGGGCATTTTCACCTTTGTTAGATAAGAGAGAGAGGGTGGACCTGCAGCACAGGGTCTCAAGGCCAGGAGTCCAGGAACTAGAAACTGCTTCAATCTGTTGCCTGTAGTCTAAGGATGTCAGTTGTGGGATTCAACCACAAAGTCCAGCTGGTGCTCTTGCCATTAGTTTGTTTTTCATTATCACACCCTTTAACCTAGATTTTTTTTTATGGCACTTAAAAATCATGAATTAACTGTGCATTACAAAATGAATTTAAATACACAGAGAGGACAGCCTTTCTTTGTGGTGTTTGCATGTTTTCTGTGAGTACTTTCCAGGTCCTCCAGCTTCATCCCCTATAGTTCAGAAACATCTTCCACAGGTTGATTGGTCTTTCTAATTTGTTAATATAAATATGGTTATCTTATGTGTCAGCTTTCAGATTGGCTCTAGTACCATGTGACCCCAGATTGGATTAGCAGCATGGACACTTGGTTGCTTGGTTGTTTGTCAAACTGTCCTCAGGATTAATGAAGCAGAAGGCAACACATTTCTGTTCTCACTATAAAAAAGAATAATTACAATAAATAATATTCTGTGTGAAGTTTTTAAAACCAACCCTGCAGGCATGCTTTGTACCTAAGGCTGAAATGTCACTGAAGAGCCTTGATGCTACCCAGTACTGACAGTCCCATCAAGTCCAATTCAAATCAGAATACCACAATTGCAGGTGGAAATTATCAATCCATAGGTGTACTCCCTAAAATAAGAAGTAATTTCAGCTGTATCTAAAATAAAGATGCAGCTAATCTTGGTACCGTCACAGGATACAATTGTACCTGCTAAAGAAGATAAGAACAAGCCACAACAAAGCCAGTGAAATGGTCCACCCACATAATTATTAACTCCCTGAGCTGCTGCAAGTGTGACTTTGGCCAGAATTATAGCTTTCTCCTTTGGCAAAGGTGTTTGACTGTAGGCGCTCTGTGATTTCTCTAAATATGCAGGAAACGACAGAGAAGCTCAGCCTGAAGCGGGAGGTAGGGTTGATGGAGGCCGTTTCCCTCATTGGTGGAACAATGATTGGAGCTGGGATCTTCATGACCCCACAGACTGTGCTGTCCACCATTGGCAGCCCTGGAGCAAGCTTGGTGATCTGGGCAGCCTGTGGTTTATTGGTGATAATGGCGTCTTTCTGCTACGCTGAGTTGGGTACCGTAATCAAAGAATCCGGAGGGGAGTACATCTACATCCTCAGAACCTCTGGTCCAGTCGTCGCCTTCATGTTAATCTTCAGCTCTGTGTTATTTGTGAGACCTGCTGGTGTTGCTGGTTTGGCACTGGGTGTTGCTCAGTATGTCGTCGCCCCGTTCTACCCAGACTGCCCTCCTCCAGTGCTGATGGTGAAGTGTGTGGCTGCAGTTTCAATTTTAATATTAGCCATCGTGAACTGCATCAATGTTCGCCTGTCCATGTCTGTCCAAGTGTTTTTCATGGTGGCCAAGGTCCTGGCCTTGGCTGTGATCATCATAGGAGGTGTGGTGATGCTTATCAAAGGACACACTGCAAGCTTTGAAGACTCCTTTGAAAACACAAATGTGGGCATCAATCCAATCGGGATTGCTCTCTACCAGGGGCTCTGGTCCTATGATGGCTGGAACAACCTCAATTATGTTACAGAGGAGTTGAAACGTCCAGAGGTAGGTCAGAGGTCACACAGGGTTTCAGTGTCATTGCACCAAAGAAGTTATTAAGTAACCCAACAGGTGGGCCAGAGTGGATGACACTAAAACAATAAAGTGGCTGAGCTAAACCATCTTAAACATGACTGAACTCTAAAACTTTTGTAAATTCTATGGTGAGTTTTGAAGGTTCAGTCACAGGGTGTCACGTTTCAGTTTTGTTGTCACGATAACCTCTTGGTGTCAGACCAAGAGGTTATCTTCTCACTGCTGATTTAAGCTTTTTTATGTCCTACAGCAAAGGTTCTTTATGAGAGATGCATCTGATTATTAAAAGACAGAGGATAAGAACTTTGTCAGGAGGCACATATTAATCATGTACAGGAAAATGTAAAAACTGCTTTGTCCACTTGGGGGCACCAAAATCAATACATACACACTTGTTCATTCCTAATTTCTACTGTTGGCCCTTCCTGTACTGTCACAAACTAATCATCCAATGCAGATTCATTGTACTCAGTTCTGTTAGTGTTGAAGCAGTCGTTACAGTGTGAGCAAGGTCCTAAATTAGATGGGGGTTTGCAAGCTTTCTGTCCCCTTCTTTGCACCATAGTCAAGCTGCTGCTGTGCCTTCCTGCTTCCTGCTGCTGTTATGATGGAAAATGACCACATTAATGCACTTTGAATTGAACATTTCATGGCCAAAAACTCCTTGATGGTTCAGTTTACAAGTTAAAATAAGTCTGCACCAACAGAGTAATGTCAGGAGGCGTTGGTGGTAGGTGTTTGCTTTTTAATGAGCTTTTATTGAAATGTGCCGCACATTTTATACATGAAGTCCTTTATATTTCTTCGAGTGAAACTGTTTTATCATCAGAAGAAAAATAAATAGAAACTTTACCTGGTAGAGTAAGTACTGTGAAGCTGCTCCAGCCTCTAAATCCTGGTTTTGGACCGCTCTGGTAGATCAGTGCAGCCTCTATGAAATCTACTGAATATCAAATCTGAAAGTCAAGACCTTGAGGTATATTTCACAGCATGCATTTGATTCCCAAAGAAGGGAAATTTCAGAATAATTACTTCTCAATGTTAACATGGACAGAAAAACTCTTCTGAAACAGAAATGAAAGTTGCAATATGCAGCTGACTGTGATTAACCACTTAGATTTTGGGATCAATGAAGACTTTAAAAAAATGATTTTTCAACAGCACTGATTTAATTAAGGATTATTATTAAAACACTTAAGCTTTCAGATTTCTCTAAGTATCTAAATTTCAGGCTGCATCTGAAAACACTGCATTGGATGAACAATTTTTGAGGCTGACTTGATCACTTTCTCTTTGAAACAAGGAGGGCAATATTTTGAGGGTATTGTTTAAAATAGAGGAGTTAGGGTTGAGTGGTCTGGCCAAGAAGGAGGATCAGGATTTCACCACCGTTGGTAAAATCACACATTTTGGCCAAACACGGGCGTCACAAAGGTGTCATCAAAGCAACCGTGATAAGCATGCCTCATAGTAACTCATTGGCTAGATTACACTGTCCTAGTTTGATTCTGAGAGCCACTTTAAAGATCTCTTATTTTGATGACCTGCTGCTTGGATTACTGGTGTCATGCCAAAGAATACTGTGCGCTTTGACACACTGTACCTGTTAATAAATGACAAATATAATCACTACCCTTCAAGACATGAGAAACTATATAAACCAAAATATATAAATAAAAAAAGGAGTGTCTCCAAAGTCAGGGGTGTGAACGCTTAACTGCAGACTGCCAAGCATGTAAAAGTATTGTTGTTATACTCATGACATGACATTACATCCTATAATTGGGTTTACCTTTTCCAACCAGATCTGTCAACAGGTCAGTATTCTGATCTTAATCTCAAGAAATTATTAGTTTTACCCTTGGTCAGTGAGAACAAGTCTTTTTTTGATTGCTGAAACAATATTTTTCTTGTTGCTGTTGAACAAAAATAAATTAATCCAAGTGGCAGCAGATTTCTTAGCAGGAACTTCTGAAGGCTCAGTCCCTTACAAGCAAGGATGGGGCCAGGTTCACCACTTTGTGAACAACTGCATCAGCCAATAGTTCAACAGTTCCCACCAGAAAGATGATTTTTATATTCAGGAGATTATACATCAGTTAAAGTATTTATGAACTAAAGTCTGTCCCTCTAAATGCTACATCTATGATGTCACCACTTTGTTTGTAAAGCAGTGTTTTGAAGCCTATTGCTATCAGTTGACATGTTAGTGATGCTGTCTCAACCGAACTTTTGGTGAACCCACTAGAGGCAGACCATTATCGTACTTGCAAATGTCTACAGTGTGCCCACCTGTCAGTCAAGTCAGGCTCTGATTCGTTATATACAGTATATTCGTTTTATAAGATATATATCTTTGAAATGAATTCTCTCCCCGTAAGGTGGGTTTTCTGCAGTCTTTGGCACTTTCACATCAGTTTCATTTCTTGAAAAAATTTGGGGCTGAAAAATACATTTCTGTTAATTGATGATCCCCAAATCCACGAAGGACTCACATTGATTTATCAGTTTGGGTAGGCTGGATTTGATGTCAAAGGTCTGTGTGAGTCAGCCACTCAGACAGAAGAGAACTACTGACTGACCTACTGACCCTACAACTACAAGCACTATCTCTTTGGGGTTTTTTTGTGATTATGAAATCAGATGATACAAGAAAGAGCTATATAGTCACTCAGAAAGTGCCCATTGTGGACCAAAAGTACATGTAAATTTTAGTTCCTGGGACATTTTTCAAGGAACTCAATAGTTCCTGTGGCCTTTTTTTGTCTGCTTTTCAACCAAAGCCTGAATACCCGGGTAGAGAAAATGCTGTCTCATCAAACTGTGAACAAAAAAACAGAAAGTAAAATTAAGTAAAGTTGAGTAAAGTTAAAGTACAGTTAAAATAATCTGAGAACCGGACCAATCAGAAATGTTCAACTTTCAGGCCCTGCCCCCCAAAGTTTCTGGGCCATTGAAAAATAATTCTCTTTTGGAGGGAAACATAATTGCTAGCCATGCTCCACCTTGTTTTATGGGCAGTTGACAAGCCATCTACCCCTCCTATTGAGGACATGGTTCCAACATTACTCAACAGTTAGTTGTTAATATATAGCCAGTCGCGTGTATATCTTGTGTCTTTTGTATATTCCCCAGACGAAGCATATGCTCTGGAGCAATGGAGGGTGAAGAACAGAGATTCAACTTAAAGAGAGAAGTGGGGATTGTGGGAGCAGTCTCATTCATTGCTGGTACCATGATAGGATCTGGGATCTTCATATCACCCCAGTATGTGCTGCTAACTATTGGCAGCCCTGGGGCCAGCCTTATTATATGGTTCGGCTGTGGAGTGGTTGCCATGCTTGGGGGACTTTGCTATGCCGAACTGGGAACAGTAATACCAGAGTCTGGAGCGGAGTTTATCTATATCCTCAAGACAGCAGGGAGAGTAATGGCCTTCTCATTTGTCTGGAGCTTTGTTATTGTCATGAGACCGGCCAGTGGCACAGCCATTGCTCTGAGCTTTGCGGAATATGTTGTGGCACCCTTTTATGGTGGCTGCACTCCTCCGGTGCTGGTTGTGAAATGTGTGGCTGCAGTAAGCATCCTGGTTCTAGCCATCGTGAACTGTCTCAGTGTGCGCTCAGCCACCGCCATCCAGGTGCTTTCCATGGTTGTCAAAGTGCTGACAATGGCAGTGATCATAGTCGGAGGGATTGTGATGCTTTCTCGGGGTCATACTGAGAGTTTTGAGGACTCCTTTAAGGGAACAAATGTTGGCATCAGATCAATTGGAATTGCTTTTTATCAGGGCTTGTGGTCTTATGATGGCTGGAACACTTTAAATTATTTGACTGAAGAGCTGAAACATCCAGAAGTAAGAATTTCCCTCATTACTTTTACATGATTGATCACAATATGCATGCTGCTCAATTTAACAATAAATTATACATAAGAGCTACAAGACTCATTACTGACATGATGCAGTGATTAACAAACTAAATACACAAAACAAAGTTCAATAAAAATTTGAAATCTAATCTACAACCCATAAGACCTGAGATGATGTGCAACATGTTGATAGACACAAAATGTAATAGTGTGCAAATCATGTAGTCTGTATTCATTAGAAATCAAACAATTTTATTTTCATGAAAAATGAAAACCCCATTTCTTAAGTATTTCTGAAGTTGGAACATTATGTAAAACATGAATAAAAACAGAGAACAATAACTTATAAATCCTTTTTGACATGCACACACACAAAACACATAACTGGGACAGAGTCATGTATACTGCTGTGTTACATCACCTTTCCTTTAACAACACTCAATAAGCCTTTGTGAACTGGGGACACTAACTATTGAAGCTTTGGAGGTGAACTTTTTTCCACTCCTGCTTGATGCACAACTTTAGTTGCACAGCTGTCTGGGTCTCTGTTGTGGTATTTTGTGCCTTATAATGCTCCTCAATATTAAGGACCTGTCTCCTCAGTCGGAGATAGGTCTGGACTGCTGGGAGGCCAGTCTAGTACCTGCCTTCTTTCAACATGTCTTGCTGAAATAAGCAGGGATGTCCCTGAAAAACTTGCCCCTAATCCAAAAAACAATCTGAAACATGAGAAGAGAAGCTGGCAGCGTTTCTGGGTTCTTAGTTTCAGAGTTTGAACTTGCACTTGTAGATGTAGAGACAAACTGTATTTACTGACAATGGTCAGACCCAATTCCCTTTCTACATTATGAGGTCAAACTGTCTGGCAGAGGGTTTAGAGTGCACAGGACCAGACAAACATGTTACAGACAATCCTTCCGGTCAATGTCCATCAGTATGTGCCACACAGAGTTAACTACACCCATGCCATGGGAGTGTATGCATCCACCGTACCATCAGTATGCCAACAGACCTCTGAAATGTGTAATGACAACAACCATGTGGTCTCTCTCCCTTTTTACAGCAGAGGATGCAGCATCTGTGAATTCCAAAAAATGAATTTTATTAAAGAATAATTTAATAATTTAATAATTTATTGAAAAATAAAGATTTTAATTCTTAAAGGACTGGGGTTGTGAAACATTGGGAGCATTTAGTCAATTAATTGCATCCTTTTAATTTAACATAGTCAAAACACCTAAAAGTTTGTATTTTTTTATTTCTATGTATTAACAATTTAAAGACTGTGGTTCATAATCAAGATATGTTTATTTGTAATTTATCTTTACATGAATTTTCCATCGAAAAGAATTGATAAGTCCTCATGGTCATTGTGAGTAAAGGCTCCTATAGAGCCTTTACTCACAACAGATTACAGATTACTCCTAAAAATGAGTTAATATTCAACTCAAGAAGTTTTATAGAGCTGTTTTTAATGGGTCATAGCCAGTTACTGTTTGATTTTTTTATCTCATGCCAGATCACAGTAGATAGATTTGTGTCTTCTTTATCTCTATCCTGTGGGAGTGAAAAACAGTCCCATTATCTTTACCTTATGCGCTCTGATCGACATGGCCATGGCTGACAAAGAACCTGAAGCCCTGAAAATGAAGCGGGAAATTGGGTTGCTTGGAGGTGTAGCTCTTGTTTCAGGAACTATGATTGGATCCGGTATATTCATGTCCCCACAGTTCGTTCTGGCCTACATTGGAAGCCCTGGTGCAAGTCTGGTGATCTGGGCTCTTACTGGAGTTGTAGCTATGTTAGCAGCACTGTGCTACACCGAGCTTGGGACAATCATTCCTGAATCTGGTGGGGACTTCATCTACATACTGAGGATTTATGGTTCATGTCCTGCTTTCTTTGCTGCAATCACCTTCATTCTTGTTGTTAGGCCAATGGGCATTGCAGCTATGGCAATCAGCATTGCAGAGTATTTGTCAGCACCCTTTTACTCAGGCTGTCTTCCTCCTCAGGTTGTAGTCAAGTCTGCTGCAGCTGTGGCTATTCTGGTTGTTGCTGTGGTCAATGTCTTAAATGTCCGTATTGCCATCAAAATCCAAGTGGTATTCTTGTTAGCCAAGGTTCTTGCATTGATAGTCATTGTAATTGGAGGGGTAGTGGAGATCATAAAGAGCAGCAGTGTGCTTGTAGAAAATTTAAAAGTGGAAAATGCATTCAAAGGCACTCAGTACTCTTTGAGCACCTTGGGTATGGCTTTTTATCAAGGACTCTGGTCTTACGCTGGCTGGTACAACCTCAACTATGTCACTGAGGAGCTAAAAAGACCAGAGGTAAGACAAAGGATTTGGATTGCCAAGAAATAGGGCTTTCTTTGTGTTGGTCAGCCTATCTTTTAATACAAATTTTAATAGCTTGCATTACATTAAAGGTAGTTTATTAATCTACAGCTGTACTAGAGGAAGTTAAAATAATTAAATGTTTCTCTAACTTGAGGTTACAGTGCGGGGGAAGCAAGAAGACACTGACGGAGATATTTAGAGAGGGTTACTTTTTTACAGCAGTGATTGTGCTCTTCTCTCACTGTGTTAAAGATGTTTATCTGCCAGTGTTGTTATCATGTATGCAGTGGTTGTAGAAAAGATGTTATGGTGCAAAACATTTCCAGTAAAAGCTGACTTTTTCTTACCAGAGCCTGTAAATTCAAGCCTTAACTTAGAGATTTACACACCAGTTAGCTCAACGTCTTTCCAAAAGAAGAAGCAACATTAAACCATGAGGACATTAAACTTTTAAAATTCATCAAAGTAGATGATGCAAATGCATGAAGACACGTTAAAGTCATTAAGATCCCTGACTTTGACTGAATATTTTTCAAGATTGTGCTTGCTTTGAACAACTAGTTAGTAAGATAAACCAGTTTCAGCTGAATGCTTTAAACTTTATCAGAGAAGCGACAACATTTGTGTTTTGTAACCCTGACAGAGCTTCTCTAAACCCCTGAATCACCTTTGGAAAAAGAAAACCTGAGAAATTTTAAAACATTTTTTTTGAATTACAACTTCACTTTTTTTTCTATTTTATTAGTTGTGAAGAATGCAATTTTAAAACAACCATTAAATGTAGTTTACAGAAGTTTTACACATGCTTTTAACTCTAGGCTTTTACAGACAGTGTTACATGAAATACAGAGCTTTAAACCCAGAGAAGTGCAGATATGGATAATATTTTAACACACCCATAAAAGACCAAACCACCTCGTCAGGAAAGTGCTTTGTCACACCTATGGGATTACCACTCAAGTAAAAAACTATGATCATTTCAGATTTATGAGAGATCCTCGATATTCAAAGTCTCTATTAGCAATTTTGAGGGGTTGTGATTAATAGTGATGCCTCAAATTAGCAGACATGAAAATAGATGAAATAGATGACAGATGAACACAGCAATATGTGAACCCAAAGCAGCAAGTGAAGTAACAACTTTCTGTTAAATAAACGGTTGAATATAAACCAGACTGTAAATATGATGTTCTTTTTTCCTCCAGGTGAATCTTCCCAGGGCTGTTGTGATAGCCATTTCTCTGGTAACTGGCTTATACCTGCTGGTGAATGTGAGCTACCTGACAGTAATGACACCTAAAGAGCTCATGAGTTCCTCCGCTGTAGCAGTTACCTGGGGGTAAGACTGTACCTGATGTTTACATCACAGGTTTAGACAGACTGATGGTTGACTCTGGAGACAGTTTGACAGACTCTCTCCTCTAAAAATACAACCAGAGACCCAAATCTACTAATCCTTATAATTTAGTAATCCGTGATCCAATATAGCTAATACTTGACATCTAAAATGGCTCTGCAGCTCTGACACAGGCAAGAAACTCTATTGCCTCAGAAGTTCTTACATATCTGTAACTCAATCAATCTTTATCTATAAAGCACCAATACACAACAAGATAAGATAATTTAAAAAAATCCTCTATTTACAAAGACTTTAAAGATGGGATCAGACTGAGCCCCACCTTGTAAGATCAGACCCACTCCTATCCCATCTTCAACCACGAGTGAAACACTTTACAGCATTTAGGGAGTTACAGTGGAGAGGAAGAACTTCCTTTAACAGGCTGAAACCACAAGCAGAACCAGACCTATGTCATCCGTTGAGGCTAAGCTGGGTTTAGAGAGGAGAGAGGGAGATGGGCAGAGGTGAGAAAGATGCACATAATTGAAGCAACTGGAAAGCAAGCAGGTCCGTGGCACCTAAATATAGACTTTACAAAGCTTTATTTTTAGCCACAAAAAAAACATTTTGTTTTGCAAAGGACTACCAAACACCTGTTGATGGATAGGTATTACGGTCTGAGAAATTATACCTGTCACTGATCTGCAGCAAAAGCACATCAAAATAGTTTACCATTCAACTACCAGGAGATTAAGTTATAAACTTGTTTTGCACATTAGCACAGCTGTGAGACAGACAAGAAACATAAAGTTTCTGGCATGCTTTCTAATAGTAAAGAAATTTTTTGTATTCCTGGTAGATTGCTGGAAAAAAAGTATTTGCAGTTTTTCTGAGAGCTTTAACTCTTCGATTTCCACAGGAATAAGGTGTTGGGAGAGTGGGGTTGGATCATGTCATTGGCTGCAGCACTGTCTGCTTTTGGTTCACTGAATGGAACGTTCTTCAGCGGTGGCCGGGTTTGCTTTGTTGCTGCCAGAGAAGGACATATGGTAAGAATCTCTTCCCCTTATAATAATACTGTTTTACCTTAAATAATGTAATATCAGAAATATCAGACCAGGAATAGTTGCTGATTTGACCAAATAAAAGCCCAGCCTGGAAGTACATGTTATACATTACTGTAGTTTTCATGCAATGTGCATCCAAGCTTAATATTACAATACACAATACAGTTTTGTTATTGGCTAAGTGTTATTTGCATAACTATTTCACCTGACAGGGTTTTTCATATCATGGTCCAGCAAGTGTTTGCAGAATAAGAGCTTTGTTAAGAAATTAAGTAATCTTTAAACAGTAAGAGGCTTTGAATTTGAAACAGGAAAGTTCTGTTTTAACTTCAACAAGATCTTAAATCCTCAGATCTTAGACATAAAGATTAACTCACACTTATTCAACAGAAGAAATTGAAAATAAAGGTGCAGATATGACGCTGAAGTGGAAATCCCTGCATAGGCTCAAAACCACATCAAAAGGTTTTGTACATGAACAGTTTGTCCCTGTATCCACAAACCAGGTTTAAACTGTACCACGCAGAGAGGAAACCACAGCTGAAAAGCTTGTAATTCTCTAGGCCCAAGCTTATTTAAGACTGAGTCACTATAATATCTGACTCTGGCTGGAGACCAACACCAGATGAATGTGATCTTTGGCTCAAAATCTCTTCCAAGAACCCTTGTCTGTGAGCTCAGTTCATTGTTTCATCCAAAGATGCAGGTGAAAGCTGTACCATGAGAAAATTACACCATTTGTAAAGATGATCTAGTGATAAGTAGTTTTCTCTGAGTCTAAGACCATTTAAGACAAACTTAGGTATATTGCTGCATCAAATTTCAGATAAGTGAAAATTTTAATCAAATATGTTTTAGTTTCATCATTAGATGTGTTGCCTTTGCACAATTTTCAAATCAAATGTAGGGGTTAAATGATTTAAGAACCATCAAATTCTGTTTGTATTAACACTTATGCCCCAACTTCTGTGGTAATAGGGATGTCCCTGAGACTTGTGTTTGTTTTGTAGCCAGACATCTTAGCCATGGCTCATGTTCGCAGACTGACGCCATCTCCAGCCCTGATCTTCACCACTATTGTCTCTCTCATCGTGTTGATCCCGGGGGACTTCCAAAGCATCGTCAACTTCTTTAGGTGAAAAATGAGTCTGTTTGCATGAATTTCTCCCCAACCTCACAGTTCAGTGTACAGGCTGTAAATACTTGTCTGACATTTTTCCTCCCTGCTGTCATCAGCTTCACTGCCTGGTTTTTCTACGCCATCACCTTGTCTGGACTCATTTATCTCAAGATCAAGAAGCCAGACCTCCCAAGGCCCTACAAGGTCTGTGACACACACATGAACTCTCAAAACACCATAGACAATCATTCTATGATTGTCCTACTCAACGAGGGATGAGATTAAGTTTGTTCCTGTCTTCCTCTCTCCTCAGGTCCCACTTATACTCCCCATACTGGTCCTTCTTGCAGCAATATTCCTTGTGCTGGCCCCCATCATAGATGATCCTCAGATTGAATACCTTTATGTGTCTTTGTTCATCTTAAGTGGAGCTATCGTCTATGTACCCTTCATCCATTACAAGCTCTGCCCAGGACTGCTGACCAAGTTAACAGTGTTCCTGCAGCTGTTTTTAGAGGTCGCCCCAGCAGAGAAAAACCTCTGATTCCAGCAGTTTGTGTTTGGTTTAAACTCAGTAGTACCTCCAGTCCAGAGTACTGCTGTGCTTACAGACTGTACATCAGCAGAAGGGTGCAGGTAACCACATTCTGCCTAAAGAGTCCTTCATCAAGCTGTAGTGAGTTTGCTAGTACATTAGACTTTGTTGTTAATTCATGGATCACACATGAAAAGGATCAAATGTAACCTTATGAGTGAAATGGAACATTTTTGGTCCATGTTGCTGGTTTTTATTGTAAATATTAAATCTAAAAAGATTCCTGTTTAAAGAAACATCAAAATGAATATGTCACATTTTGCCAAAACAAAAACATCTGTACTGTAAATGCTGCCAAAGATAAAGCAATGTTGATATTGATATTAAGAAAATTTGACTGTGTGAATATAGACCTATGTGATATCCGGTTACTTAAATGAGATTTTGCTTCAGTAGAAGAAAAGCTCCCAGTATGGTTATCTGCTCTGGTAAATGTGAAGAGTACTTTATTTAAAACTAACTACTGAGTAAGTACTGAGTTGTTACTTTGCACACATGGTGGTGGAGTGGAGGGGAGGGGAAGTCATTTTTGCTCCCTAAATTATGTAAAAGCATGTTTTGCCAAACCAGTTGTAATATAATTATGATGTAAATTGTAATATAAGCAAATGCAATTATATGTGAAGTGATTTTGACTTGCATCTGGTCAGAGTTAATTAATTAAATATTTTTGCCACATCTTTCGTCAGTATAGCACTTTGTGTACAGTCCCTGCACACACTAATCAGAGCTGGCTGTGCAGAGAGCCAAAAGTAAGGTGAGCCAAGACTTGTAAATCATTATGATCATGTTTATCCAGCCTGGGTTTTAAAATACATTTTAACTCCCCACAACTTTATATAGTCATAAAAAATCAAAAAGAACTTCATAGTAAGAAGTTATAATTTCTCAAATGAATACCTTGTCAATTTTTGACACTATTAGTAGTAATATATTAACTACCATATTCAATAAATGAATCAATACACCATTCTGATTTCTGATTGGATGAAACACTGGACACAATCAATTACTAATTTACTCACAACTTTACTTTCCATGGTAGAATGTAGCTGGAGCAATATCCTTAAAACTAGGGTTGTCAAAGACCACAGCCTTAAATACACTTTGTAAAATAAAAAAGAAAAAGTCTCTTACTTTTTACATTTTAAATGAAAAAAGACCAGTTGTTTGAAGGCTCATAAGTTGTCACAATAAAACATATTAAAAAGACATAAAGAGCTTGTTTTGTTTGAACTCTGATTAAGCTCTATGTGAGCCTTAATAACTTGATAAAGCTGTGCACTTGTAGAGACTGTTATAAAGCCTCTTTAATTCATTTAAAGAGTTTTGTTAATGCATGCAATGCAGTGTAACGACTTACATGAATGTATGGAGAAAAAACAGAGAAACTGTCATAATGAATGTTGCGATACATATTCTGAGGAGCTGTTATCAATGACTTTTCAGCTAGAATCAGATTAATATTTGGTTATGCCTTGTCAATGATGTTTAAATTAGGTGTAATGAGATGATTTAGCGGTTATGCTGTTGAAAGCCTGAATGTTTCTTCTTTTTTTTTTTTGCTCATAAGACTATGCTTAGTAAAATGTCACAGATAGAGCACTTTCTTCAGAAAATGCCTGAGGGCAAATAAAAAAAAAGTATAAGCATGAAAAAAGTACATGTTGGCTCTGATGACTATGGACGACCTCATAGAGCTGCTGGTGTGACAGAGAATTTCTTTTTCTAACACAGTCTGGGAGTTTTGTGTCAATCAGTGGTTTTAAAAACCAGCACAAAGACATCCCCTGATGATCAGACCTTCAAAATTTCTCTTTTTGGGATTAAAATTGTAATAAAAAGTAACACAGATGACATGAGTTAAAAAAAAGTTTATTAAATAATTTTCATCCAAAAGGATAGAACAAGACATGGCCAATTCAAAGTGCAACACTCACATGACAAAAGATTGTTCAACACAAAAACAAAAGGGAAGGAAGGAGAGAATTCTGTAATTGTGTGTGCATCCTGTATGTGTGCATGTATGTGTGCGTGCATGTATGTTTGTGTGTTCAGCATGAGTTTCTGTAAGACGTCATCAGTCAGTCCTCTCTGGCTGGTTCTCTGGCAAGTATTTCTTTCTCACAGGATGTGTTTTTTTTGTTGTTATTGTTGTAAGCTTGGGGGGTCTCATAGCATCATACCAGGAAAAGAAGAAAACCTTTGAGGTGTTTCAAAGTAAAATAACTTTGCAGTGTTGGATTTCTTGAGCTAAATTACAGGTTCTCTGTAAACAAACAGTCTGAAAAGGGTTTGTTGTCTGAGTGTTTTTGGGGTGGGTGTCCTTAAAGAGTCCTTTTGTCAAACTCCAGTTGCTCAATCAGTCGGCTCCAGTTTTCTTGTCTGTGCCGTTTGCAGCCTTTGACTGGCTCTCAGTTGAATCTTCATTGCTTTGCTCCCCCTTCTCGCTCCCACCACTTTGTGAGAGCTGGTGGTACAACTTGTGAAGTCGCCCTGCGTCCATGTCTGCATCCTCTGCCCCCTCACAGCACTTTATCCATGACTGTGGAATAGCCTCGATGCCATAATGGGCCCCAGCGATAGCCGCCGCCATGCAAGCAATGGTGTCAGTGTCCCCTCCCAGGGCTAGGCTGTATGCTATCGTCCTCTCCACGCCACCGAAGCTCCCTGGGAGACAGTCCCGCGGCTCCAGGCAGTGGAGGACACAGAAGATGGCAGTGGGGACTGAGTGGAGAGCTGCGATGCCATTACCTGGAGGAAAAAACAGAAACTGATTAGTGACAGAAGAAGAAAGTAAACGTACACTCACCGGCCACTTTATTAGGTACACCATGCTAGTAACGGGTTGGACCCCCTTTTGCCTTCAGAACTGCCTCAATTCTTCGTGGCATAGATTCAACAAGGTGCTGGAAGCATTCCTCAGAGAGCTTGGTCCATATTGACATGATGGCATCACACAGTTGCCGCAGATTTGTCGGCTGCACATCCATGATGCGAATCTCCCGTTCCACCACATCCCAAAGATGCTCTATTGGATTGAGATCTGGTGACTGTGGAGGCCATTTGAGTACAGTGAACTCATTGTCATGTTCAAGAAACCAGTCTGAGATGATTCCAGCTTTATGACATGGCGCATTATCCTGCTGAAAGTAGCCATCAGAAGTTGGGTACATTGTGGTCATAAAGGGATGGACATGGTCAGCAACAATACTCAGGTAGGCTGTGGCGTTGCAACGATGCTCAATTGGTACCAAGGGGCCCAAAGAGTGCCAAGAAAATATTCCCCACACCATGACACCACCACCACCAGCCTGAACCGTTGATACAAGGCAGGATGGATCCATGCTTTCATGTTGTTGACGCCAAATTCTGACCCTACCATCCGAATGTCGCAGCAGAAATCGAGACTCATCAGACCAGGCAACGTTTTTCCAATCTTCTATTGTCCAATTTCGATGAGCTTGTGCAAATTGTAGCCTCAGTTTCCTGTTCTTAGCTGAAAGGAGTGGCACCCGGTGTGGTCTTCTGCTGCTGTAGCCCATCTGCCTCAAAGTTCGACGTACTGTGCGTTCAGAGATGCTCTTCTGCCTACCTTGGTTGTAACGGGTGGTTATTTGAGTCACTGTTGCCTTTCTATCAGCTCGAACCAGTCTGGCCATTCTCCTCTGACCTCTGGCATCAACAAGGCATTTCCGCCCACAGAACTGCCGCTCACTGGATATTTTTTCTTTTTCGGACCATTCTCTGTAAACCCTAGAGATGGTTGTGCGTGAAAATCCCAGTAGATCAGCAGTTTCTGAAATACTCAGACCAGCCCTTCTGGCACCAACAACCATGCCACGTTCAAAGTCACTCAAATCACCTTTCTTCCCCATACTGATGCTCGGTTTGAACTGCAGGAGATTGTCTTGACCATGTCTACATGCCTAAATGCACTAAGTTGCCGCCATGTGATTGGCTGATTAGAAATTAAGTGTTAACGAGCAGTTGGACAGGTGTACCTAATAAAGTGGCCGGTGAGTGTATATTCAACAAAGTAACAAAAGTATAATTTATATCTTGACGCGTATTTTCATATAATCAAACCAAACTTATCTCTTAATTTTACCACAGTTGGTTTAGGCTTTGGCCAGCAAATCTGCCACTATGGCTGCATAATAACTGAAAACAGTAATGAGCAATAACATTATTTAATATTGTTATACCGATAAGAAGTGTGATATATATGTTCAAAGAGTTCATTTCAGCCTCATCAAATCACACTTTCTACTGTCTATTTGCGATTCCTTCTGTCTAACAAATTCCTGCTTTGCAGAATCTTTTCTCTGCATACAGATCCATCGAAAGAGCTGTTATCTCTTCACCAAAGTATCCCCAATTATCCTGATGTTAGCTGACAGCTGGACTGAGATTCATTTAATTGCACCAAATGTTGTAAAAACATAACCAAAGACAACCAGGATCCCTTTCAACAGGTAAAACATACATGCCTAAGTAAGAAAACAATGACTGTGAACATTAAATGACTCCCTAATTTGCTAAAATAACTTTATATGTTTTCACTGCACATGTACATTTTTTAAGATCACTAAATAAATCCGCAACTTGTTATCAAGTCTAGTGTGGATGACTCAACACCTGCGGAAAAAGGCCGGATGAAGAGTCAAGCTTTAGTCAGAGAAGGCAGATACTGACCCAGCTCAGAGATGACTTCCTCTATGCTGACCTTGCTTTTGTCCATCAGGTCTCTCACTCTGTGGAGGCGCTCACAGAATGGCTTCTCTGCTTCTTGAAGACTGTACAGAAACACAGAAGAACAATATTCAATATAACAGCAGCGCCCACAACATGCAATTCTTAATATCCATCTATACATTTGTATAAATTGTTGTGTTTTTGTGATAATATAGAGACAGATGTTTTTTATCAATTAAACCTCAGAAAGATTATATGGGAGCCACCTGATAAAGCATTTAAAGCAACTTGATCCAAAGCCCCTGGATGCTTTAAAATGATCACCAGATGTTCACTCATTTCAAGTTTATTAACAAACTTATTGAGTGTTTTAGAGATTTTTGGCACCAGAACTGTAGATTAAATCTGTATAATTGTAAAGAAAAAGCCTAAAAAGTCTAAAAAAACTGGCTAAAAAATGTGTGATTGGTAGCGCTTTTTAAACATTTAAATTAAATTTACAACATGACCTTTAAATGCTCTAGTTTCTTAAAGCTTATAAGAATATTATTCAAAGTAGCAGGCTAGCAGTGATGATCTAATCAAAAAAATGATAATGAATGTAAATATACTCTATATGAATACAGAAACAGTACTTCTTTTGAACATCATTTTGTTCTATATCTTATCATCCAGTCCAGTGGTTCTCAAGTCCAGTCCTCAAGGCCCACTGTCCTGCATGTTTTGGATGTTTCCCTGCTCCAACACACCTGATTCGAATTATCAGCTCGTTATCAAGCTCTGTAATGGCTTAATAACGAGCTGATCATTTGAATCAGGTGTGTTGGAGCAGGGAAACATCCAAAACATGCAGGACAGTGGGCCTCGAGGACTGGACTTGAGAACCACTGATCCAGTCCAATTTCTAAGACGTTCAGGCTGATATCAGTTGCTTTTATTCTTCATTCAGTGATTTCGAAGGAGGTTTTCATTCCTGTTACACTCACATTCTGGCATCGTTACGTGTCTCCTCATTGGCCTCCACTTCCTCCATTTCTGTGATCAGTCTGCTGATAAACTGCTGAGGAAGGTCTAGCGCACCCTGCAGGGAGAGGTGCACTGCTAATGCCTGCAGCACAGCACCGTTATATCCAAGGGAGCAGGAGTGGGTCAGCATGGCACCAAGATGGGCGAACTACAGGTCAAAACATAAATAAATAAATACAGGATATGTGAGTTTCAATTCCTTTTTTTTATTAGGTAGATATTTTCTTTGAAATTCTTGTTGTGACACAAGACTGATTTAAACTTGTACTTGTGTAGTGGGAGTGTAAAAGCAGCATGAAAGCTCTACAAAACTACCAAAATCATAAAAATCTTCAAGACTTGAACATGTGATGTGGTTTTTGGTGCAAAGGAAGCTTGCTGCTCACCCTTTTAACATCTGCCAAATCAGGGAAAGACAGTGCAAAGGGAGCTGCCCTCATGGCGCCTCCGTTTCCAAAAGAACCTCGACCATTAAACTGATCTCTGGCTGGTTGGTACACATCAGTGAGCTGAGGGGACGACAGCTTCTTCAACACCTGGATCACTCCGTTACCATAACCTCGACCTGGAGATGCGCTGTATTCCTTTGCAAACCTGGAGGGATAAGACACCACAGCTTCGACTAATGTGCTTGTAACTGCTTCCTTTATTGTTTCATCAGCCTGTGGAAGTGGGTATTAACGCCATGAACTATAATGAGAAGCTTTAAGAGTCAGCTTTACCTGCGAGCCATATCCTGCTCATCAAAACCAGTGCGAGTTAGCAGAGACTGGACCACGCAGCGAGCCATGGCTGTGTCGTCACTGTACTCCAGGATTCCTATCACACATGCAAATACAGAAATAGTAACAGGTTTTATAACAGCACAAACCATCTGAGTAGTCCTGACTATGCATTTGTGAGTTACTGTATGTCAAATGTATTTGCCATTATTCTTTGTTTGAAAAACACAATGAGTGATAACAAACTGTTAACCCGTTATTTTAAGTTTTTGTGAGTTTTTAAAGTGTACCTCTACAGAAAAGGACCATACATCACAACATCACTTCACTTCAAGAGCTTTGAATTAACTTTGGTGACACCCCTGCTAATGCCAATGAAGCCCTTATGAGCTCAGCTGAATAGAAAATATCTGACAGATTGTAGTTTTACCAATAACTCCAAATTCTGGATAAGTCACCATGACTGATAGCCAATTCAGTATGTTTATAAAAACTGCAGTAAATGATGGTAGACTTGAACAATGTCAATCAAAATACGAACATGTTGGTCGTGCACTCTTATGCCATCATAAACCAAACCAAAGACTCATGTAATTTTTAGGGGTTTGAGGTTTGACAGGTAAATCCATAAATCCCTCCAGAATGGAAAAAAGTGACTGTGGACCTCAGCAGCTCAACTTACCCCATACACGGGGTAAGTTGACCATAGAAGACCACTTTTTTGGCATTCTATATTAGCAAGACAGTTGTGTTTACACTCATTCTGTTGGTTTTCAAGGATGCACAACATCCTGAAATATATGCAGATACACTAGTTAGAGACAAAACTATGGTTGCTTGGATTTAGTTATCCGAAACATGAAAAATGTCTCATCTTATCCCACTCTCCCCTATATAGTGTCAACAGCAGGTAGCTATATATATATTTTATATCAGCATATCTATCTGTATGGATGTCCTCTCCTGCTTTCAGCCCTACGGAGTTTTGCACACACTGTGATCAAATCTCTGCCTCTCTCTGACCATTTCCTTTGGTCTCGTCGTCCAGGCTGTTCAGATGCTGCAGGACACTCTCCATGGGAACCTCCTCCGCTCCTTCAAACTCTCCGCCGACACAGTCTCCCAGCACAGCCGCCACCAGTGCTCCTCTAAACCGGGACAAAGACGCCGGGCCCCCCGCTGCCACCGCTCTCACTGCCGTCATTGCCATTCATCCGCCGGGGAGGAAACTTTAAACTCCACGAAGAAAACACACCCCTGGTGCGTTAACAGGACAGTCCTTCGGACAAGAAGTAGATGTAGCCCAGGTGACAACAACAACAACAACAAACGTTGACCCAGCTCCTCCTCTATTTCGCTTCCTGAAACGTTTTGATGGCAGTTTGACCTCAATGAAAGCTCCGGGTCGCCGCACATAGAGATACACTTACATAGATTGGATCTACATTGTACAACAGATTGCAGTCTGTGCCGGTGGGACTGGTTCTATACCACGGCGTGCGCTAGATACCGTAGTGAATACAGTAGAAGAGGCCTACCTTTGTAAATGGTGATGTTGCAGCACAGTGAAACGAAGTGTATATCTCCCCCTGCTGGACGGGAGCTGTGCCGTGGATAAAATGAGACATTTCTAACCACTGTTTCGAATGAACTAAGATTATTTCAGAGAAAAGTGTAGAGTGATTAAGACAAAGACAAATTACATGAGTGGGGACGGGTCATAAACAATTAAAAAAGACGAATAATATAAATGAGCAAAACAGTGATACAGAAAAAGTTTGAAAATAAGATAAATGAACAAAATCTGAGTAATCTATCCTCCAAATAGTTTGAGATTGACATGATACCCCCCCCCCCCCCCCCTTTGCAATTTCATTGCAAAGATTGTTTCTACTATTACACAAAGTGATAAACTTAATGATAGACTGTCTATATCCAGTATGATGAGAAGGTACTAAAAAATCAATCAATCTATTAATTTCAGTTCAATTTGATCAGATTTGATGCATTCAGCATTCGTAATTCATACTTCAATGAATTTTACCTTATAAATCGGTCTTTTGACGGGGGTTGCCATAAATGTATCTTTGAATAATTCTGACAAAACATATGGCTGTGTGCTGTAATAACATTTCAGATATTGCCCCAATAAATCAATCTCAAACCAAAAACCTGAATATATGTTGACGATGACAGGCTGAATTCAGAAACAGTTTCTTTTTGTGCTAATGTAAGGTGTTATTCGTTTGTCAATTTATTTATATGTATGCCCTATATTGATCTTTATATCCTTATAGTTCCCCCATGAGTTGTGATCGCATTAGCTGTTCTCCACTCACAACAGAAAAAGGCAAAAACACTCAATATCAGACGATGTTCATCAACATCAACAAATACAATCAGTAAAATAAACACGAAATAAAACATACTTGAAAAACAAACATAGAAAGAGACTTTTTTTTGTCAAAAGCTTGGATTTTTTTTAAATCAAACTGTTGTGCCCATGACTGTTTTTACTTTGAGTGCCCAATTGATATTACCGTACTGAACCAAATACTGCGCATTATATTTGTAATGGAAATTTCATTCATCAAAGCGGAGTTATGTGCCCCACTTTGAGGGAAAACACAATAACTCCTACGCTTTTCAGTTATATCGGTACAATTTGCATATATTACACACATTTATGTCACTCCTCAACAATACCATCGCCCTGAAATTAACTGGACGGTTTCTTCTTGAGTTGTTTTTTACTCTAATAAAAATAAAATTTCCAACATAAGGGTGATGCCCTGGGTTGTAACTGTTAAAACACACATAGTATGCTTGTTCGTAGTAGGTCAGCTCTATTTAATTGACTTACCTGCACCTTTCCCTTTCTTTTCTATTTTTTTTTTATGCTAACCTCTAACCCCGGAGGAAGGAGGGTGTTTGGAAGCGCGGCGTCTGCAGCATAATTAAAACATGGCGGATTCGGAGGAATTTAGACTTAAAAGAATAAAGGTAAGAAAACACACGAAGAATAAATGTCAAAGCATGGGCAGACTGCATGTCAAATCGACTAGGTTGTTAAACTACATGATATGACATTTGAAAAAGTCGGAAAGCATCTGGTGAGATATTAATTTGAAGCTAACGTTAGCTCGCTAGCTCTCAGCCCTGTAACGTTAGCTAGCTGCTGTTCAGCAGTGATGCATGCCTGTGTGCCAAACCCCATTTAACAACAGGACGACCTCATCAGAAAAGCAGATAAACACATTTAACTATGTCTGATATCGGACTTGTGATAAACCGTCACTTGATTCCTCTGATATGCATTAGTATTCTGAGGTTAATCCTGGTTCTTTCAGCTCTTTGCATCGTGGAAAGCTGCCGCCAACAAAACAAAAGTGGAGATTTCTGGGGAGTTGTTTGATGCCTTGCGGGTCATGAAAATGCGGTTCTTACAAGAATAGCCCAGCAACTTTGGTGTGGCTGAATTGGCTGGTTGTGTTTTTCTCTGCGACTTCAATGAAAATGTCTTGTTTTGATCCAGATGTAAATTGTTTGTTCAGGTCAGCTCCTCCTCTCAGCATCTTCAGATCTTGAGGCCTAACGCCTCTATTCAGCCTTTCATCGGTTTATTACCTTGAGGCTCGGGTTTATGGTTTCTTGGACACAAATAATGGCTATAGCAAAGATTGGACGCTTTTTGATGTGTTTGTCAACCAGATTAAAGCTTTTTACATGAGTAAACTATCAGACGAAGAGGTTAAATCTGATGTTCCACATAAAGACAGCCCAATTCATTGTTTTACTTATTTTTATGTTTGTCTCTGATTTACAGGATGAGTGTAATCCTTATTCTGTGTCCCATGGGTTGATGATGATGATGATGATGTGGAAAAGTTGGCTTCAAGGCCTCTTGAATTGAAGAGTTTGATGCTAGAGGTTAGTTTGGTATTTTTGTGGCACCTGCTTGCATAAAATTTTCATGAAAATGAGCCATTAATGGATAAAGGAAGAAATGCTGCACCAATATATTGAAATATTAACTGAGTATTCGTATAGGGCAGTGGTTCTCAAGTCCAGTCCTCGAGGCCCACTGTCCTGCATGCTTAGGATGTTTCCCTGCTCCAACACACCTGATTCAAATGATCAGCTCGTTATCAAGCTCTGTAATGGCTTAATAACGAGCTGATCATTTGAATCAGGTGTGTTGGAGCAGGGAAACATTCAAAACATGCAGGACAGTGGGCCTCGAGGACTTGACTTGAGAACCACTGGTCTAGTAAAATGGATGCCAGAAGTGCTCACTGACTGTGTAGTCAGTGACAGCACCCCCTACTGACTGGCTGCAGCACAGATTATATCATGTTAAATCATTGAACACAGGTTCAATTATATAATTAAAATATTAATCAAGTATTGCTGTCTCAGATGGTTAATGTTGATATATTTAAGGTGTATATGCTCATTTTTCTGAGAAGCTTCACTCCGTTGATATTTGTTATCAAAAACATGACTGACTGACCGCCAGCCAGCCAGGACCGTTTAAAAGCCTGGTTTATGTTTTTGTGACTGACCATAGCATACACCTGTACCATGGACTGTATATAGAATGGACAGAGTCTGCCTCCTCGCTGGGTGAAGCCACTCGGAGAACAGCAACCCCTGTTGATGGGCTGCAGTATAGGTCATAAATCCCGCCTCCGCCAGCAAAGCTTATGGAGCTGTGGGCAAATGTTAGAAATTGATTACACAGAACATAATCCCCCCTGCTTGTGGTGTTGACATGTAGTTACAGTAAGACTGGTTTGTGCTCAAGTCCTCTTTTTTCTGTAAAGCTCCATTTTTAAAAGTTATTAGGGGGTTCATGTTTTCTTTGATTGACACCTGATACAGCCTATCGGCGTTCAGGGATTGCATAGCTCTCCCGGGGGATATGCTGTTTGAGCCGAGCGTACACTGAATGCACATGATGCTACTGCGCAGTGCTGGTTTTAGGAAATGAAGAAAAATTGCAGAAATACAGAGAGCTTTTTGGCTTCAAACCCATATACAGGCGGGAGGCGGAACCAAGTTGTCCATACAGTCTATGACCTTTACCCTATGATACAGACAACCCTTGCTGTCCTTTATTCTCTGTCTCAGCAGCTCTATAGTCGGTCTCCTGCAACATCCTCCTTTTTTGTCCTTTTTTTGCAATAATTGCTGCATGATCAATTGTTGCACAACATACATCAGCTTCAGCTTGAATATGTTGCGCTCAGACCAGTTGCCATGGTTTCCTGTACATATTCAAGCAGGAAACTGATAATATGATGAGCTTAGGCATTGCAAGAATAGGTGGAGTGTTGCAGAGCCATGCATATGCTTCAACTCAGAAGTATGTAGTGCTCACAATGGTGTAGAAACAGCTCAAATAGAGAAGCTTAATGAGGCTTCTGCAGCATTCTGTGCCATATTATCAGGGAAGCGGAAAAACCTCCAGAGAAAATATGACAAACACAAGAGTCATTGGACTTATCATGGCTAAAAAGATGTGCTTCAGGTTCACACAAGAATATGTTTGCTGTCAACAGTACTCACTCAATGAATATTGGACACCAGTCATGTCGTGTCTGTGCATGCCTTGGCTGTACCAGTGCAATAGTTTGAGCATCTACCAAGGTGTTTTGTTTTTTTGTTGCCATGTCTTTCAAAGCATTTTGTCTATTCTAGATACTTTCAATGGGTGATGGTCACTCTATTTACAGATACCAGTCTAGGGTTGCTCTGTGTTATTTTAATAATGTCAAGCAGCTGGTAGGCATCCATCTATGGCCTTTTGTAAGATTTTTGCTTTTACAAAATTTAGTATCAAGTACTTATTATACAGAGCCTGAATGATAACTCCTTTTTTGTGAAGATTCCTTATTTATATTTGCATTATTATTTGCTGATCTCGGAGTGATATGTTCATTTAATTTATGTGTAACAGAACATGATAACAGTCTTTACAGAAAAACAGGTTTTTATTTGGCAGCAGTTGTGCTGAAAATTGGTTCATTGTTGAGGTTATGATAGTAAAACTGCTGAAGAGGTGGTTATTTTCTTAACAAGAATCCTTTTGATGTGAAAGATGGTTATTTAACACACATTTAATTAGTGTCCCTGGCCCAGACAGGGGACAACAACCTTTAATTTAACCATCAGCTAGATTGTTCCTTTTTTGTTTCCATTAAACTGGAATCTGTGTTTTTAACCCTGGTTTCTTTGTGCAGCGGGACAAAGCAGCTCTGGCTCAACTGTTGCACACATTTCGGAGGACGTACTTTTTGTTTGTGGACATTTAAACAACTGATATGAATCCTACGTCTACATTTCATAACGATTTCCTCATTCTGTAGCTAACCCCCCTCCCGAGCTCTCATATAAGACATTTGGGTTTCACTGGTATGACTTTTAGACAGACAAGACAAGAGTCATATTTCATGTTAGAGGCTGAAAAATAGCTATTTTAAAAAGGCCTATGTAATCATCAACAAAAATGTATACGTAATGCTTATTTTTTAATCCTATACAAAAATAAGTATATATACTTCTGTAAATAATAAATGACTTGAGACATGACACATGAGACTACAGACAATTGAATTTCCCTTCGGAGATTAATAAAGTTCTTCTACTTCTTTGCTTATTGGCGTTAAACGGATTTGGCGCAGAGGTTAAGTTTCTGTTAGATGATATTAGGTTGAAGATCGGGGTACTGCAGAGTATCTGACTATGGTTAATGAAATAAATAGATGTTTGAAACAGTTGAATACTCTTAGTAAAATGCTTCAAGTGATTTAGATGATGGTGGCGATTGATAAAACTGAAGGGGATTAGGGTTTTAAAAGAAATCAGAATGACTGTCAGAACAGCTCATAAACTTTGCTCATTTAGAGAAGGTGTTTAGTTTCACAAGGAGCAGCAGGGTTATAAGCTGAAATGTATTACAGCTGAATCAAATCTACACAAATAAAACACATTCATACGATTCAATACTCTGCAAGTTTTGTGAACAGTTTGAGTTGTGTTTGAATCTGAAGAAAGACTCAAAGAGCGTGACATTGTCCAAGTATGAATGCTACACATGAATTTTCTCCTTAAGATCCCCTTTCAACTCAACTTTTATTCTCCACAGCATGAGGAGCACCTTTCCAGAGTGTTTGATGAAGTGATGGGCCTCGGAGAATTTGCTGACTCCTCCAGAGGGTCTGCCTCCTCTTCCAGGAGTGGGGGGCAGGATGAGGGAAAGGGTGTTGATGACACCTCAGGAGCAGGAGAGCCCCAACAGGGAGAAGGGGAAGATAGCAGCAGCAGCAGACAGGAAGAGAAGATGAAGGATAGAGCAGAAGAACCATCCTTTCCTCGTATATCCACTCGTACTCTAAGAACCAATGATGGAGGGGGAGGAGAAAGTGGAGGGGCAGCATTGGACAATGCTCTTGATGGCCTTCCTTCATTTGAGCCTGATGAAGAAGATGAAAATTGGCACTTTTCCCTGCCAGTAGACAGTCTAGATGAAGCTAAAGCAGGGAAGGCCAACAGAAAAGAAAGCCAGACAGGATCAATGAACAATGAAAGTCTGGAGAACCCTTTTGCCCAACAGCCTCAAGAAGAGGAAGAGGGAGAGCAAGACAGGGAAGAAAGTAGTGGGTCTGCTAACACCTCTCACTCCTCTCAGGACCCCACACCTGAAAATAGCAGAGGTAAAGCTGCACGCACACAAGAAATACAAATCACATGTGCTTCAAAGCAAGTGTTTGCATGGTATCTCAAATCTTTATAGGGTCAGGACACACTGGGGGAATTGTTTTCCAGTCACGGGTAACTCCATCAGCCTTACAAAGCAGTTTCAGTTAAATAAATCAGAAGCAGTACTATCAAACCTGTGGAAACAGGTTCAAATGTCTTTATTGGCTTTAGAGGGCCTCAGACAAAGCCCTGCAATTATGATTAAATCTTACATTCGGGGAGTACTAAGTTCTCTTCGCTGAGCAAATTTAGGGTGTGGGTTTCAAATAAAGAAATAAGAGGTTGCTTGTCAGGGAGTGTCTCACAAAAGAAACTATTGAGCTGCTTATGGAAAAGATCAGTTTTAGTCACTTCCAACCAGTGGCGATTGCTCTAAGACTGCAAGGGAAGCTCGGCTTCCCTTAAAATGTCACCCCTCAAAAAAAAAGAAAAAGTGGTGAAATACGTACTGCTGTGTGTACATTTCATTAACTAAATACGCACTAGAAAGCCTTCATCTTTTGTTCAGACACTGTGATAAGAAGCTGATAATCACAGGTAACCGGCATAACTTCGTTCTCATTCATCCTCGCAGCGCCTCAGCGCTTTAAACAGCCGGACGCTGGGCTTCTGCTGACTTCAATGTGGAAGCTTAAAGTGGGTTGTTCCAGCAGCGAAACTAGACGCTCATTGGATAAATGCTGGGCTTTGTCCCGCCCATCGGAAGCCCAGCTTCACTGGAGTTCTATGGCGAGAGGGCGGTCCCGACTTTCTCCCGGACTCCAAGCTTCTGCATCCATGATTGGATGAGCTGTCTGAGGCGAAATCCTTTTTTGATTGACAGCTAAACAAGCGAATCAGCGATCTTGAAGAATAAAACATCTACCAGAGCATTTTCCAAGTTATTCATTCCATTGTTCTTAACTGCTCCGGAGACCTTACCGATCCTCAGCGACTCTTGTCTTTGTTAAAAACGACTGCCGTTGTGTTTGGCGACTCTGTTCTGTTACATACTAATAAACAAATACAATTATGATGTAGGCCAGAAAAATGAGCTTCCCCTCCTTGAAAGACCAGCAGCCGCCACTGCTTCCAACCAATATCTGTCTGTTCAAAACCAAACTGTCCATTAGTACAAAATTAATGAAAAACAACAAAAGCTAAAACACTGATAACCAAACTAATTCAGTAAAAAACAGACACGGCAAAAATGTGTATGCAGTAAGCTGTTTTTGTCTTGCTGCGGTACCTTAGTTTGTTAGTTTTTACAGGGCTAAGCTTCATTGTAGGGTAAGTACAAGTTTAGCTTTTTGACCACTGAGACTTTCCCCCGGAACTAGACCTTATCTGTGAACTCTGTGCGCTTCCATTGCAGGATCTTGGGTCCAAACTTAATTCTTGGGTAAAAGATGTACTTGGCTGGAGTACAAAAGCAGTGCAAATAATTCAGATTCATACATTTAAGTTTGCAGAGGATTGTCAAATGTTATTATGGTCCTCTCTTTCTGGCAGTGAACTTAAAAGTGTGATCATGTCACTTCTTAGATGAGGTGTGCACGGCTTTAGGTGACATTTTCTTTTCTTCCCTTGTGTTAGATGGAGGGGCCCTGAACCAGACAGAGGAGACAGAAGACAGCCAGCAGGGGGAGGTAACTGTCTGTTATGATTATGTAGGGCTGCATCAAATGTGTTTTTTCAGGCGATGGTGAATAACTTTGGATGCTGTGATCATTCAGCAGTCAGTGGCCACACCGATGGAGGACAGTAATCCCCCGATGTCTCCAGTGAACATTAAAGATGAACCCATCGACGAGGGTTACGATGCTGCTCTGCTGCCTCAGAGCTCCATCAGGCAGATCAAAGAGGAGCTGGAGCAGCAAGAGGTTAGTGAGGGGAGATCATGTCATCAATATGCAATATAACACAATATTGTGTGATCCTATTTGTATCAACAACAATACAGAAAGAGGGCTTGAAAGCATAACTAAGAATTGAACCCTTGTGTTCTTATTTCAGGAAGAGCTCAGGATCAGCTCTGTCTACTCTGTGGGTGGTGCGAACACGTTTGTAACTCCCACCAGTAAGTTTATTTCTGTCTCTGTTTTAGTTTTACAGTGAGCATAATTCTTTGACATGTTATTAATGTAAGGGCTCATATTAAAAGTTAAGACCATAGGCTACATGTCATAACCTTCTTAAAATAGTTTGTTCAGTGTTGATTTAAAGCTCAACATCAAAAAGTTTTTCTAAAAAGCAACTAACGTGTGGATGTTCTCTCTCAAGTGTTGTGCCAACCTTTATCCTCTCTCTTTCTCAAGTACCAACACCAATTCCCACCCAGCCTCAGACAGCCATTTTTATCCAGGGTAGAGGCGCTGTCTTACAAGCCATGGCTCCTCTTCCTGTCAGAGCACCAGCTCCCATCCAGGGTACACTCCCAACTCTGGCAGCATTGCCCCCACGTCCACCTCAGCCCCCTGTTCCTGGTAGTGTTCGCTGCAGTGGATGCTCTAAGGTACTGTTTAACCCCCCATCCTGCATGTGTTTGAAGAAATAGACCTCGCCTTAGTATTAAAGCCGAAAACTGTAAATATCAAAGTGTGAACCAACCCTGCATTTCTGAGTTAGCACATTAAACAAAAAGTATGAAATATGTTTCATTGTTTTGAAATGTTTGTAGGTGCTGCTGAAAGGCCAAACAGCGTTCCAGAGGAAAGGCTCGACACAGCTTTTCTGCTCCACAGTCTGTCTGACCGGCCATCTGCCTCCAGCCAACAAGAACCGATCCTGTTTCCAGTGTAACAGGTACATCACTGTTTCTACTTCCACTGTATTGACACTACACTAAAGGGATGTAGCCTGCTCTTGAAACATGTTGTGCAACTAAACAGTTCAAATGTTAGAGTGATGTTGATGAAAGCATGAAAAGAGACTGGGAGTGTTTTGCTGTATTCACATCAATTCCACAGCATTAGGTTTGTCCCTCGTTGATGTTTGTCTGAAAAGAGAGGTTGTGTTGTTGCACTCAGATTATTAGCTTCACCCTTGAGATCACCTCTGTTGTCTTATTGCACCACGGTCTTACAGTGTATTGGGTTGGATATTATAGCTCTGGGCAGCCAGTAATTGCTGCTTGTTATTTCTGACTGCCTCATAGAAACATGCTCTCCTCTGCTCTCCCACTCAAAAGGAATCTGGTCTCTGCTCAGATATGACTATAAAGTCCCACTTAACATTGGGTTTTGTATGTGAAACCCATTTTCACATACAGAACCCTGTTTTCTTTGGTGCAACTACATGTATGTGTTTTTGTGTGTGAAATGTGAATGCAAAATTTCATCTCTAACAACCTTCAGGCTTCAAAAAAATGGTCCAGATGAGGCTTTAATTGACAAACACATCTCCTCTCTATTTGGGACAGGTGTCTTTACAGTACAGGCTTTTAATATTTCTGTTTTAAACTTTCTGACGACGAAGATGGAAAAATCTCAAAAAAAGGTCATTGTGTGAACCACGTGAATATTATCTTTATTCAAATAAGACTGTTGACACAAAACACTTAGTTTGATCTTGCTCAGTGAGACAGTGCATCTAGCTCAACCTGCTGCACTAAGAAGAGGAAGAGAGACCCCATTAGAATCAGCCCCTATGAATGCAATTAAAGCCAGACACATACAGTGCCTTGAAAAAGTATTCATACCCCTTGAACTTTTTCACATATTGTCACTCTACAACCACAAACTTAATTGTATTTTATTGAGATTTTTTTCTCATAGACCAACACAAAATAGAACATAATTGTGAAGTGGAACGGAAATGGTACATGGATGTCAAACATTTAAACAAATAAAAATCTGAGAAGTGTTGTGTGTATTTGTATTCAGGCCCCCCGTGTCAATACTTCGTAGAGCCTTCCTTTTGCTGCTATTACAGCTGCAAGTCTTTTGGGGTATGTCTCGACAAGCTTGACCCCTTGAAAAATACATGTCCAGTTAGTTCTTTTCTAGCATTATTGTTGACAAAGTGAATATTTAAAGTCCCGCCTCTAGTAGGTTTTCCTGTGATTTGATTCGGCAGTGAGTTGGAGAGGAGGTGATATTGATGAGCAAGGCAGTGTCTTAACAGTTGAACTATTTTCACCTGAGAGTATAGTGGGGAAAATAGCTGAGGGCATCAGTTGTTTTAAAATGGACAGTGCCAGCAGAAAAAGGAAAACCGTCAATGGACATAGTCCCTTAAGCTGCATTTGAATGTTAACCTTTTTTTTTGCCTTCTGCTCTTTGTAGGGAGATTGTTCAGCCCAGAGACATGATTACGATTCCAGCGGACGACAGCACCCTCATGCACTTTTGTGGCCAGTTCTGTCTTTCTGTCTTCAGACACAAAAGAAAACAAGGCGACAAGGGTCCTGATAAATGGCCGGAGAAACGGCTGGAGAGGAGGCCTGAAAAGCCACCTGAGAAACCAGCGGAGTGGTCTGAGAAACCCTTTTGTAGTGTGTGCAAAATCACGAATAAGGTAGGAGAGCAATTTTCGTTTCAAAGCCAATTTTCAAATCTATACTTTGAGTTGTGTTTTTCTGTGCTTTTGATTGTGATGGTCTTCCACAGCAAATTGAACATGAGGTCACCCATCAAGGTCGTCTGCACAGACTCTGCAGTGATGCTTGTTTTGTATCGTGGCGCAAGATGCGGCAGTTGGCCATGAACTGTTGTGAAGGCTGCGGACTTTACTGTAACAGCAAATTAGGCTCCTGTCAGACTCTCATAATTGACAGATCCCAGCTGAACTTCTGTGGTCCCACCTGTATCGGCACATACAAACAGGTATGCGTTAGGGTTAGTGTCCTACAAATCAATGTACCAAATAAAGCTGTCAGAAAGTTTGATACTTTTCATTACCTAGGGGATGATAATGTCACATCCTTGGTGCCCAAGATTTTTTTTTTCCACAGTGTCAAAATTAGTTTTTGTAGTGTTGATTTTGTTAGTATGGAAAATGGAAACTCTTGTTTCATGTCAAAAATGTAATAATAAAATAATAAAAAATAATAAAAATTTTCCTGTCATAAAATGTTAAACATTTTTGATAAACATCTCACTTCTGTTGTTGTTTTTTGTTCAGACATGCAGAAAAACAGTGGACTGTGCCTACTGTCACAAAATTGCTGTAGTGTCCTCTACAACCATGGAGCGAGACCAGAAGGGCAAAGTTCAGCTTTACTGTTCACCTGCTTGTGTGGAACGGAGTCGACCACCTCGAAACACGCTGTCTGGTAGGACACATCACATAGACGCTTGCCATTATATCAGGATTAGCTGCTGCTGCTGTGTGCTTTAAATGTACTGTCTTGCACTGAGTTGTCAGGGGCTATAATGAAAACTTAAATCACACAACCTGACATCAGGAGATTGTGGAGCAAAGTAAACGATTTTAAAACTTCAAAAAAAAATGTGAAACTCGACTGCAAAAGGGACAGGTCAAATAGATTTAATAATAAAAATGGACAAATATTAGATTGTAAGGACAGGCACCATATGATTGAGTTGAAATAGATGACCTCTTACTAGGTGTTTGTACTGATGATGTCAAAGACAGAGAACCTGTCTAACTTGTGATTAGACATGCACCGGCCTAAATCTGTGACCCAATATACTCAAGAGTTGGTCCAGCTTTGATTTGACCTGTTGTCCTTGTTTGGAGATGTTTTTATACCATCTAGTGGTAGAAAAAGCACAAAACAGTTGTCGATGCAAAAAAAAAAAAAAAAACAAGATGGCAGTCTCTTTCTACAGGTGGTCCAGAGACGAAAGTCAACATTTTTAGGGTCTCAATTTTTATTTTCATTCCCAATCGTTAAAAGCTAGAACAAGGTCAAGCTAGTGATAAATTTATAAAGTTGGACATTTGATGGTTTATAAGAACATATATGTGCTGAATGTGACAGAAAAAGACTGGTTTTGGTTTTGGCATTCTTGGACAAATCTCAAAATGGGCAACTCAACTTAAATTCCTGCAGCATATATGTCAACCAAAATGAAGGGAAGGTCTGTTAATCAGAAATATGCATTGACACTGGTCAGTGTTCACCTTTTGTAACGAGTTTTGTTTAAAGTGACCCTTTTCCCCTGCAGGTACTGCCTTCCCCTGCTGCCAGTGCAAGGTATCAGCTGTTCCTCAGTATCATCTGGCCATGGTGGACGGCACCATACGTAACTTCTGCTCCTATGACTGCGTTACTACCTTCAGGGTACAGGCACAACTTGCAGAATGACTTATTTCAAACGAAAGTTAATGATCAGGTGCCAGTGATACCAACTTTGTATTTTTTCTCCTTGTCCACACAGAAATCTGGGCAGATCCCTCCGCAAGAACCTATTAACGGAACCTCCCCTCTCAGGGACGTCTCTTTTAGGGAAGCCTCCAAATCAGGGCTCTCTGTAGGAGTCAGCTCAGTCCCTCCCATCCCCCAAGAACAACCATCCTCGGTCCCACACCCAGGCCACCATCCCAGTCATACCTCAGTGCCCCCACTGGCATCCTCCTATCCAGCCATGTCGTCCCCCTCTGTGCCAGGGCAACCCCAGGTCAAAGCATCAACCAGTCACCCTGTGAAACTGTCTGAGGGGGGTTCTGGTGACATCTCTAAGCTGACCTGCCATCAGTGCAGCAGACAGTTTAAAATGAAGCCTGTGCTCTTCTGTCACCAAGTAAGAGCCTCACGGTATATACAGTCACTTTTGGGGGGTGTAACAGTATTCAAAGATCATGGTTCAGTGCATATTTTGGTTTTGAAATCACAATTCAGTTTATTTTTTTGGTACTCTCTAAGAAAATATATTCATTGTAAAGAATCTCTTATCCTTTAACAAGAACTCACAGAACTTAGCTTTTACACAATCTGAACCACAGTAGTGATAATTCCACTGCAACACTGTCTGCTCAAGTGTGTGAACCTGGATTTCATGACCTTTTTGTTGTGTTTGCATTCAGTTTCAGTAGGCGTGCTCACTGTACACTGTAATTGGTGTACCTTATACTTTACCGTTACGGCTACAAGTCTAACACTCACTGTGATGAGGATGATTCTGATGCTGTTTCTCTCCTGCAGGGTCAGATCTCTATCTTCTGCAATAGGGTGTGCGCCGAACAGTATAAAACCCAGAAAAATCTCCAGGTGGTGTGTGACTGCTGTAAACAGGAGAAGGTGCTTCATGAAACCATTAACTACAACCAACAGGAGGTGTCATTCTGCAGTGAAAGTGAGTTCACTCAGCAGCGTCTCTGCCCCTCATCCTCCCCTTTAAATGGCTTTAAAGTTTCACTGTGGATCAGTGAACAATAACTGTTTCCACTCATGATTTCTGATTAAGTCTTAAAGAATTGACTCTAAACTTATATTCCAGTCTAACTACAGCACTAGAATTCAATCTGTCACATAAGAAATTATCTCCTCAATACAGAGCTCAAAGTAAACATTTTTATTCAGTGAAATGCTAAACTCTAATACCAGCATAGATGAGCCTCATGTTTAACTTGTAACCATACTTTAATCGTGTTATCTGGTTTGCACTGTCTGCAAATCTCACATACAAAACATTTCATTGACTCACTCTCCATCTTTAAATCCTGTCTGAAAACTCATTATTTTGTGGGATATACTGTATATCTAGCCTCATTTCTTAATTGTTGTTTTAATGGTGTGCGAAATACAAATAATATGTTTTGTCACCTAAACTTGCAAAAAGGTTTTAAAATATGCCTTGGGAGTCCTACATTTGCTGAATATGGCCAGATAGACACAAGTGTAGAGATTCTCTTGGAAACACCCAAATCAAATGTCAGTGTGAATATGAACCATTATTGGAGTCATCAACTTTTAAGGCTAACAGCTGAAACAGTACACCCATCAAATATCTCTACAGAACCTTTTTTACTTCATGCAATTGCTTGAGGTGGATGAAGTCAGGTTTTTGTAAATAGTATAGTATAGTATAGTATAGTACAGTATAGTGTAGTATAGTATATACTGAGGTCCAGACCTGCTCTATAAATATGTAGAGTGCCACTTTGTCCCTGTGATTTGGTTCTACGTGAATAAAAATGAATAGATTGAATCCTTCAGTGTACAGTACATCTACTGTAAATAACCAGTGTGTGGACCGGTGGTCTGAACTGTCATTTTCTTTCTGTTATTCTAAATTTAATGTCATTCCTCATTTTTACTGTGTTCCAGACTGTAAGCTCTCCTTCAAAACAGACATGCAGATTCATAACAAGGATCATCCCTGGAGGCCTTGCTCCTACTGCAATGGTATTAGCTACAAGATGCTACACAGCCACTATGGAGGCAGGATGGAGGAGTTCTGCAAACCTCACTGCATGTCCCAGTACACTGTACTCTATTATGGGGTAGGCGAATAACTGTCCTACTACACTGTTGGGGGGGCAGGAGTGCCAAATTGATGTCTTTAATTATTTCACATCCTCCCCTCCCCTTCTTGTGTTTTCTCCTTCCTTCTTGCCTTCCTCCTCCGTCCAGATGGGTCGATGTGACAGCTGTAGGAGACAAGGCTACATGAACGAGAAGCTGCAGTGTTTGGGCTCAGTCCGTAACTTCTGCAACCTGGCCTGTTTGATGCAGTACTGCGACCAACACTTTGAGAGAAGCCAGCACAGCAGCAGTAACGGTACCAGGACAGCTCCACAGGCACCCTGTGGTGAGTTGTGTTATCACAGCATTCATACACGGAGCGATCTGAGGTGCATTACAGAGTTTAACAAAATATCAGTGACAAAAACAAGATTAAAAAAGTATGACTTAAAGCAGACATAAGCATTGAAATAAGAATTTGTCTGCATTTATTATCAAGAAAAAAATATAACATTAAACAAAAACTCTGATACCGTGTCACAGATGGGTCTTACCTTAGTCAAAATGGATTTTGTGTACTATCCCACCCCAGATCCTCCTCCGAAGGACTAAGCCTCATAGTTTGAGTCACACCACCTGGCTGCCTCAGATGCCCCAAACCGGGTTGCTGTGGGATGCAATCCACCAATACTTGAGCTATTATAATTGAAATGTATGACATTCATTCAAAAAAGTTACTGACACTGATTTGAATAACTCATGAAAATTCACTTAGAGGCACGTATTTCAGAGACTGAGGATAGCAGTGTTATAAATAAATGACTGTTTTGAACTTAGACAGGAATAATCAGAGTCAGGGCTTATCTGGGAGATTGTTTTAAATCTGCGTTTTGAGATAATTCTGTGTTCTGTTTCGTTCTAACTCTTGGGTCAGCGGTTGGCTACATCATGAAAATAAGTTATCCACTTTTCTAAATAACAGATGTAACAAGTTATTATTATTATTATTATTATTATTAGTTTTTTTGGGGGGGGGTTGAATCCATTAATGATTGCTTTGACTTTGAAAGCCGCTGAAAACATTGACTACAAAAGTTAAATGTCTAAGTATATAAAAATATCAAATAAATATATGAAAAATAAAATCTGTAAAGACATGGACTAGCCATTGAGGGTGAGGATTAGTGTTTGCATTCTCCTGACATTTTTCCCCAAACTGAAAAATGTGATAGCTACAGCCTGCATACCCAGCCTGCTTCCATCTTTCACATCACTGTCTTTTTTTAGTAGAGAAATCAAAGATGGATGTAAGAGAAGGCTGGACGTGCACACAGAGGAGCCTTATTTTCCTGATCCTTTTTGATGTTACTTCATTAAAATCAGCAGAAAAGACGTTGAATACAATAAATGAAATGTTTCAAATGGGCACAATAATTCTGATCATGTAATCACAGAGAGCATAGAAAAAAAAATGTAAGCAGATTATTTGCACTCTGACGTCATGCATATAATATTTCATTCACCCATGGCTGCTCAGTAAATATATTGAAAACACACAAAACTAATTAGCTTTTATTCCTGATTTTTGAAGCCTTGGTAGAAAAATTCATCTAATAAATAAGTAAATTATAAAGCCAAATCATCAGTCCTGACGGCACCACTAAATACACAAAGACATGTCAGCACCGAAGAGAAATGCACTTGCAGGTGCTCAGATCAGATGAAACAAGCATAAACTTGGCTGATCTGCTCTATCAGGATGTGGTATAGATGTTTTGTTTCGTTGGCTATAATGATTGTGTCAACACAGTGTATCATCAAGAACCAGAGTGTGATTTAGATGTTCTTGAACCCTGAACAATATTTCCCAATAACTTCAAACCTCTCTATTTCCACATGCCTGTTTTTTTTGTTTTTGTTTGTTTGTTTTTATTTTAAACTGCAGGGACAAAGAAAGTAATGAAATTTTTTGCATGTTGCTTGTGAAGTAGTTGATGCTAAGTTGAATCTTTTAAGAGCTGGTAAACCTGCACTATTAGGTGTTTCAGAATCTGTGATCAACTCAAGATATTGAACCATGAAAAGCATTTTCAGTCTGTCTCTGTGATTCTACAAATGAAATCAGACCTCCAGGACTTAAATGAACTTCTTTTCTCATCTCCACCAGCTCCAACCCAGCCAGACCACTCCTCAAAGATGAATCCTGTCATAGCTGGTGTCGTCTCACTGGCCAATGGCTCTGCCACTCAGCCCAGCATGACAGCAGATACCGCTCTAACCGGTTAGTTTAAACACAAAGCTTTGTGTGACAATTCATACATCTCTAACCTGTTGAGCCTGGTCCAAGTTAACAGACACGGACAAATGATGTTCCTGATGTTCCACTGTTTGCTGTTCTTCACATCTACTCCTGTTCCTCTCAACTTAGAGTAAAAAGTGGCAAACTTTTAAACAATTTTTTTATCAGTGTTTATTGGGAAATGTCAATTATATGCCAAAATAATGTAGGGGCCCTCATTCCATACAGTTTACTGCACTTAAATGCAGTGTGTAACACTTTTATTATTTTTTTGTAGGAGCTCTTCCAACCTCCAATGTTGACGGCAAGAACCAAGACCATGTATGTATTCTGTCTGTGTTTCTGTTAAATCTTGATCAGGCCTTACATACAACTGTAGACTTCTACAAGAAATGGTGAAAATGATTTGGAAGAGTACCAAAAGTGTTACCAACGGTGACTGTTTTTGATATTTGACCTCAGATTTTTCAGAGACCAATACATAAGTTAACCATCAACAGTAAATCTCATTTAGTATTTTTGTTGTTTTGTTCGGTATATCTATGTCCAGGCCAGTACTCAGACTGATGCCATGCGAGTGCCAGCGTCCCGTCGGCGTCAAATGAAGAACAAGTCAGTTCTGTGTCGACCCTTCACTGTGGATCAAGAGAGCATGTGCCAGTTGCAGACTTCATCTTCAGATTCATCAGGTAACTAGCTCAAGTTTAAAAAATTCACTGTTTAATGCCTGACTCACTCAGGATACTGAATAACTGCAGTTCAGGATTAAGGAGCACAAGTTGTTTTTACACCTCAGCACAGCCTATTGACAGTGAAATGCATTATAGGATGTTGCTGTACCATGAAGTGTACTCAGATGTCTGTAAAGACATCTAAAGTAAAAATGCTTCATTAGCATAATAATGGCCATTGCATATAATTTTCTGTTCTAGCCACCATGACTGTTTGTGTGACACATTTGCTCCCTTTATACATGTGCAGTTTAATGGTGCGAGGAAATTTCTACAAAACATGTCCTCATGTTTACTGATTAAACCAAACAGCTGGTGGTAGAGTTCACTTTTGCTGCATTTCCACAAAGTGGTCCGGTTTGGTTTGGTTCTGCATGGTATGCAATTATTAGGGTTTCCCCCCTAAAAAATTAGTAAAGGTACCAGGATAGCTGATGTACACAGCGTGACCTTTTTGGTATCCTTCTGTTGGGACATGAAGTCTTCCTATCTGGACCTAAAAGGTGGAGCCAGATACACAGTCTGTTCATAAGAGTGAGGGGGAGATCATACGCAAACATCAGCTGAGCAGTAAAAGGGGCACAGAGGTGAATGCAAAGCAAGAGGGAAGTAAATAATTCATATAACCGAATGTTATGTAATGATTAACATAGTTTACCTGCAGTCAAAATGATAAATATTTTTTTTCCCCATGAGCTAAAAAGAATGCTATTCTAGTCACTACCAAATCTGTCCTGGACAATACTTCAGAATAACAGCACTGTAACACAGAGTGGGCTTTAACTTTAAGAGGCAATCCAGAAATACGACCACATTTTCCATGCTTCTGGCGTAAACATGGTCAGATTCAGTCCTCAGTTGATCATTTTGCTGTGTAATGTAGCCAAGATCTACATACATCAGGGAGGCTATCATTCAGTCCAAACAGTCTAACCTGTTGACATGGATGCCAAAATGAAAATCAAGGTGTTTCAGAGCCATCATGGAGCCCTGCCACACTTCCTGGATGCAGGGTCTAATCGGCAAGTTAAGGGTTCCCTGAACCAAATGATACCAAACTGTACTGAACCAAACCGGACTGCATATTTAAAAGTTGTTGTCTATAATATAGTCTTATAAAGCAAATAAAAAAAAGGAGGATGAACTGTCTTCAAAGTTTTTAGAGTTTAAGTAAAAACCTCTCAAGGTGGACAGTGACAAGATCCTCCTAACATTCTGGGAATCTCAAATATCAGACCCTCCTACAAAGGGATGGGTTCCTGCAGGAAGTCTTTGAAAGGTAGTCTCTTCTTTTTCTGTCGAGGCTGATTGGTTTAAGTTTTATATCAGACTTCGGTTGTAATTTAAGCAACGACTAGTTAAGTTGCATTTCCAGAAAGTGTCTTCTTCGAGCAGTTGACCTTATGTAGTTTGTTTTTGCAACAGCTCTTCTTACTGTCTGCATAATTGATCAATGTTTTTGGTTCAGTCAATCATTCATTGTTCACAATCAGCTGTTTCAATAATCACACCAGCTGTGCGGGACAGCTCCTCGCAAACCGACCACCCTGACACTCCCACATCTCCAGCATCATCACCAAAACCTCAGGGAGAAACTCAGCCATGTAACGGCCTGCCAGCCCGCCTCACCGGACGCCATTTTCTGGGCAAGAGAGAGACTGACTCGGACTGCAAGGTCTGCGCACAGCTTAAGAGGAAGAGAGAGGAGGAAGAACTGCAGGAGAGGAAGAAACAGAAGACTGAAGAGGATGAGGATCCAGAGGGGAAAACAGGAGAAGTAGCAGAGGAGGTGAAGGGAGGACGCTCGCATGGTGACAGTGATGTGGAGAGAAAACAGGAAGGCCACTGTGAAATGAAGAGTTGCGAGCATAAAAGTGAAAAATTGAGGGGACAGACATCATATTACTGTAAGACATGTTCAGGAGAACCCAGCCTCTGTCCTGTTCCATGTTTTGAGCTCTTTCACACCAGACTGATCTACAAAACAGTTCCTGAACTGGACATTTAAGGTGAGCCCTCTGAATAAAGAAATAAGATGCATGATTTATACCAAATACCTTAATTACAGCATTTTATACAAACCCAGATCCCCATGAAGTTTGGATGTTGTTTAAAACATAAATAAACATGGAATACAATGATTTGCAAATCCTCTTCTGTCTATATTCAATTGAATACTCTACAAAGACAAAATATTAAATGTTCAAACTGATAAACTTCATAATTTTTTGTATATATTCACTCACTTTGAATTTGTTCTAAAACAGTGGAGACAGGAACACCAACAGACTGGAATCTGGGTTTGTAGTGAAAAGAAAAAGTCAAGTTTTTGCCACAGCTGTATCTTCTATCCAAACTCCATGTGTTTTTTTAGAGTAGTAACAGTGATTTACTTAAACGATTCACTGACAATTACTTGCTTTTTCAATTTAATTCTACTGACTTGTGAGGGTCGAGTTTGTCACCCCGAGTTTTTCTCTCCACAGTTTCCTGACCTGCTGAAATCCTGCTATGATCCCGGACAAAGACTTTACATCTTCAGTGCCAGTTTTCAGACCTACATGACTGCAGTGACCCTTAAATTCCTAATGGGTGGTCGTCTGTTTTACTTGAATTTAAAGTTTGACTCGCAGCAAAAGCAGGACAGCCCTTAGTTTACAGCTGGTACCTAGACGCGCCGCTGCAAGAGGGGCAGTGTTGCAACGATATACAGAAAGTATTTAAGACTGGGACTTTCTAAGAACAGGATATTTCATCTTAAAGGACCCGGTTTTGCTGGATTGAACAGTTTATATTTACAGTGAAGGAGTTTTTCTTTCACCAAGGAGACCACATATAGTGCCAATGCTTTATTTTAGACCCAAACATGATCAACAAAGTAACACTGTGAATCTTAAGGAGGGAGTAAAATATTCATACATTTCACCTCCAAGAAAAATCAGAACAAACCCTCATAAAGAGTTACCCTGACATGATGCAGTCTATAATGTTGTACCTACAACAACACATCTGCAGATTTTGTGATTGGTTTGAACTGGACTCATAAAATTCTTAACCATCATAACAGAAGTTACAAGTAGTTTTTATCAAGCACAATATTTCCTCCAAGTTTAAAAGTTTAGGCTATTATTAAGAAATCTGCAGTTTTGACCCATTAAAGGGGAATTTGTATTGCAAGGGGGTAATACCATGAGTGATCTGTTACACATGGGGGAGATACTTCAAGTGGCTCACTGACCTGCACATGTACCGTAATATGTTCAGAAAATACCTCACTAATAGGTCTGTCTGTATAGTAATATTTCATTCGAGCTGATTCACAGTGTATATCTCAGCTGTCTTCAAAAGTTTGGGTCTTTTGTTATATTCTGTTTGTAATTACCTTTATGTGTCTTTGCCAAATCCTGTCTTCTTGTTTTTTTATACTCGGTGAGTGACACACTAAAGTGCTAAAACTACTTGACGACTTTCAGGGGTACCACCTGAGATTTTGGGCCCTGTAAAGAAGATCACATTTTGCCCCACCTTTTCACCCCCCAAGGAATTTGACATCACTTTTAAAGCCTCTATTAGTCATGGGCTGTTTGAGTCATCCTAACTTTTCTCGTCCACACAGCATTTCTGATCACTTTATATAACAAACCTTTGATCGTTTGCATTGACAGCATCTGCTGTAAAGTGTGTGAGCTGATCTTTGTGAATGAGGTCAGTTGCTCTTGCAGATGCAGCCAATAGAAAAGCATATTTCAAGGGTTTCTTGTGAAGTGGTGAAGTCAAGACTAGGGTCGTCTACCTCAAACTGATATGTGGAGTTTTTGAAATGGTTTACAAACTTATGACATGCACAACGATTACAACATTCATACAAGAATCCAACTCAAAAAAAATGTTTGTTCCAGGCAACTATGATGCCACATATGCTCTCGGCTTTAAATTAAAAAGAAGGTAGGTGTTGAAATGTTAAGTTATACTTTTTGTTTTTTGAACTTGCTACAAAATAGTGGCAGATTACACAGGCTTTTCATGCTAGTGTAGAAAAATAATTTTCTTAGGATGTCATAGTAGGTTAAATTCTTCCCTCAGAGATCTATCCTGACCTAACATCAGACTTACATGGTGAATGGTATATATCATTTACCTCTGCATGGGTCCAGATGATGGCTCAGTTCTTGCAAATGTTTCCTCTAAAAGAGCAGTCAGACCAGAATGTTGGTCTAGATTGGAGGTCTTTTGGTCAGGTTAGGTTTGGCACTGCCATACTGGCATACTGGCATGTCATATAAAGAAAAGATAAGTTTATCATTCCCAGAAAACAATCCTTGTGTTTCCAGCCAGCTGTTCTTTTACCTTGAGCTGCGCTGTCAGGATTAAATCTACAGTCACCTGAGTATTTCAGTCATGTGATTTAAGACCACAGTATTTAGCTAAATGCTCAGTTGTTAATTGACCGGTACTACATGTACTACAAGTTTTGTTATGGATGTGTGATGTGTAATATTAAGAGTTGAATTCCTCTCTCACTACTGAAGGAGTTGACATCTACCTGCTGTTGCATCTCTGATGTTTTGTTTACCTGGTGTCAAAGAGTTAAATACTATCCACTCCATTGGCATGTTTTTGTTTGTCTGTTCTTTATGATTATGCCGACATGGATCAAGTTTGAAGTTATTTCTCATTGTTAATGTGTTTTGTTTCAAATGACTGTCACCTGTAAAATGGAAGTTTTGTTTTCTCCAATGCAAAAAAAGTCAATAAATACTATACAAGAGCAATTTTTTCCTTGTATTTGTGTTTATTTCGTTTCTCTGCTCTGCCCTACACACCACTGGCCCAAGCCTGACAATGAATAAGCACAGTTGGAGTTAAATAATATTAAAAATGAACACAGGCTGTTACTGTATGAAGATCACATCAGCTGACAATCCTAAAAAAGACAAGGAGACCAGTGGGAGGGTCCTCTATATATACTACCTAGTGTACCCTGTATCTTTCCCATTAGTAGGAAACACTAATGGTGTCTAAACTAAGAGAGCACATCAAGGCTGTGACTGCCTAAACTTGCATGCTGTGAACAAAGTGTTCTCAGGAATATAAAGCTCTGTTTCCTGCTCAGGAATTTGGAGTGACATAGAGACTGACACTGAAAAGTGAGATTGTGACGGAACAAGGTGTCAAAAATCAAAGGAAGAGCACTCTTCTCATAACATGAACTCCCTTCAGGGGCATGCACAACACCATCACGGAAAAAAAATGAAATAAGATTCAGCACACTTGAATGTAGCTAAATGTTTTCTATTTAAATCAGGGCACAGAGAAGAACAGCCTCAAATCATGGGACACCTGCTCAACCAGCTGAGCAAAACCTGCACCACAAGTTTCTTTAACCTTTTTATTTTTCAGTCAAGCTCAGCGCTTTAAAACCCAGTGTTTCTTAAAGCTTAGTGCTCAGGGGGAAACGTCTCTCATTTACCATTACCTGGGATCAACCACCTTAGCGAAGTAAAGGGAGTTGCATTGTTTCTACCACAAAAAAACTCCTCAGAATTACAGCTTCAAATGTATCAATGGACCTCTCCTGACTTTAAAAATGTCTGAGTGTAAATAGATACTATATAGACTACAGTATGTCTGAGGAGTGCCTCTACATTTGTCTATACTTAAAACTGTCTATACCTAAAGTTTTTGTAAGTTTTATTTGAACAAAAGCACTGGTGTACTTATTCGAATTACACTTGGAAAAAAAACAAACAAATCTTGACAGTACATGCAAGTATTTACCCAAAATGTGTAAACTCAAATATCTTATTTAATTATAAATATCTATAGTGTTTTGATTTCCAGGTCTAAGGTTGTGTGCATCCCAAACAAATAATGCTTTGAGTGCAGATTTCTTTAGACACATTCATTTACACCTTCATATTTAAAGGCTCTTTTTGAAATATTTTTGCTTCACAAAACGGTAATACCCAAGTAAACGAAAGGAGAAAGAGTAGAGAGCAATTCATAACCTAAAAGATATTTGAGAGGGCTGATTGGTTCTGCAGTTGTAACTGTTATACAGTAAGTGAGAGATGTCCAGAGAACATAATTGATACGGGGCCTCTCCTTGTATTTTTAATATATGCTCTCTTTATAGTAGACTTTTTCTTTTCAAAAACTGTACTTTTCTTTCATTTTTTAGCAGTATTAATTCACCATGAAGTGACGTTAGTGCCTGAGCGACAGCCGTTTGCTTAGTGTGTAGATGATCAAAATAACCTGAGAAAAGGGTTATTTCAGTGTGCCCTCACATTTGATGTTTAAAGAGATACAATAAATGATTGTAGCATAGTGATTATGTGGGTTGACATCGAGCCTAAAACAAGAGCCTTTAAAAGATCACTTTTGCCGGTCTAATTTTTTGTTTTGTCTTGATAAAAAAAATCTTGAAAGTCAGTGAAGTGTTTTTAAATGCCTGTTCTCTAACTTTCTAAACATTTGTATTTCTGCATTCCTCTAAAATCCATAAATAGCTCTTAATTCTTTTTTGATTTCCTTTTTACAACTTTTTTTTCATTCAGTCCAAGTCTTTTTACGCTGTGTCTTTGAGATAAAAAGATATGTATTGATCTAATCTATCTTTTTTATGATTTTAGCAGCACACAGATTTGATTTATCTTCTTGACTATCTCCTTTATATCTCCTTAATATCCCTTCTTCACTTCTCCCCTGCACCAGATCTGCCTCAGCCCCCTGTCACCTCCTCAGGAGAAGAGGAGAAAGTGAAGGTTATAATGGTGCCAGTTCCAGTACCAGTCTTCATCCCAGTGCCTATGAACATGTACTCCCAGCACACACCTGTCCCTATGCCTATGCCAATGCCTGTATGTACCATCTCACACATTCAGAATTATCAGTGGACTTTGCAGAGGATCAGCAGCAGAAAGTACAGTATTTATTTTCTGTTCCTTCTCATTGTGCAGATTCCAGTGCCCCTGGTGGTACCTCAAAACAAAGAAATGAAGGATGCAGCCGTCCAGTTTGAGGCTGTGGCTGTAGAAAAACAGAAAGACTCGCCTTTCTTGAGTGGAGGTAAGAGCTTATAAAGCACATTTGTCAATTTTCTGTCATAAAGGTTGTCTCAATAATTTTTTCCTACATTAATCATTAAAAGTATGTCAAATTTTACATCACCTGATCTTATTCTACAGACCAGAGCAATGCACCCACTGAAGATACAAAGTCAGAGGTGATCCCCTCCGTTCCCTGTGGTGATGAGGAAATTCAAGAACCAGTAAAAGCTGAGCTCCCAGTAAGTGTTAGTCCAGATAAGAGCACAGAGTCTGCTGAGCCTGAGCCCACTACCCAACCAGAAGAGAGTGCAGCAACTACGAATGAGGCACCTACAACTAGCACTGAGCTTCAGCCTCCCTCCTCCCCTATGATGGACCTGGAGAGTGACTTCCCATCTGGTGAGATACTATATCATTAAAGAAGTATAGAAAAATACATCAGCAAATAATCTGCCAAAGTGTGTCATATTTTGGATATTCAGCAGCCAAAATCTAAACACTTTTCCTACGGATAATTAATGAGAGCTAAACTTAAAAAATGTGATTTATTGTTCATTTAGAATGTCCTCACTTTTGCAGAACCGCCCGATCAGAAGAAATCTGTTCAACAGAGAGGAGTGAAAAGACCAAGGGAGGTTTTTTCAGGACGGAAACGGGTAAGAATCCCCTGATAGATCTGTAGTTTTTTCACAAACCAAAATTCTGTCTATTCAGTTTAAACATCCCATACAGTGAAAAGTATATTATTCCCAGCCTTGCACCCTGAGAATGTGGGAGTGAATAAGCCCGTGTCGTTTCTTCAGCCTCTTTAAGCCCATTTAAATTTGCTGCTCCTGAGGAGGAGTTACGATCTGAGTGATTTGGGTTAGGCAAATTTGCATAGGCTTGCATGCAAATAGAATCTCGCTCACTTCCGCCTCTCATGCTGTCCAGCTTCCTCCTTTGCTATTGTGGTTTGGCTCTGGTTTTGCAGAACCAAAAAGTCAAAGGTTAGAGCCAGACAGGGTGACTGCTGTCTTGGTGGTTGCAAAAATCAACATAAATGTCTCTGATCTGTCTCAGCACTGACAAAGCCCCCCCCAAAAAAACACAAAAAAAAACAATGTTCTATTGTAGCTGTGGTTGGTGCTTATTTCTTTGTTTATGCCAACCATTTAAATTCAGACTGCTTTAATAATAGGAGTCAGTACAAAGCTGCTCCAACACCAACAATAGACACAGGACCTTTTTCAATAGGTGATAAACCAACATGGTTGTTGTGTCATCTCCTTATGTCTTCACTTTGTGATAATATCGAGTAAATTTCTAGACATTCGGTTTGGTTTTGGTGTTTTCATGCAGGCTGCTCTGTAAATCTGGACCATGTGGGGAATTTAGGGGCCTAGAAATCTGTGGGGGAAGCTATGATTCCAGAAACCCTGTCCATGAGTGTTAGGATGTTCTATAACTTTTAAGCCATAAATACAATCAAAAAGATTTCAATCCGTGTGTTTCTGTCCATTTCTGCCCATCCAGGGTCGAAGGCGAACTGCTCCATTAGACCGCAGTGTACTGGTTGCTCCAGCCACCTCAAAACTGAACCATGTGTACGGTGTTAAAGCGTGGAGGAGCTGGGTTCAACAGAGGAACAAAGAAGAGTGTGAGTTTCAGTTCTCTTTTTCTCATGACTTTTTATCTCAATTTCTCTGATGTCCTTTGACACCATGACTCGTTCACTTGCGTCTTTATTTACCCCACACTCTCCTCCTTATAGCCAATCTGGTGGATATCAAAGAAGACATCATTCAGTGTGACTCTGCTGAGCTGAGCTTTGCACTGTCTCGCTTCATCAAAGAAGTGAGACGGCCAAACGGAGAGACATACAGTCCGGACAGTATCTTCTACCTCTGTCTTGGGATACAGCAGGTGCACACACAAATAAACACACACAGACACAATTTATCACCAGTTACCATGTAGTGACTTTTTATTCACTTCTTTTTTTTTTTATCTTCCTCTTTTTGGACAGTATCTGTTCATGAAGGGACGCATAGAGAACATCTTCACCGACGAGCTGTACAGTCAGTTTGCCACAGAGATCAGTGCGATGCTGAAACTCTGGAAACCCAAACTCCTACCTAAAGGTACGATCATTGATTAAAGTCATAACCCTGAGCCCTCTCTTATGAAATCACAATCACTTTTTTTATCATTTTTAATGAAGAACCTTCTTTCTTTGTTATAGCCTTTTAAGGTATTTTGAAGTTACTGACACTCTGCGAGTCTTCTTTACTGCAGTAGCTGAGTCGCTGTATAAATTGTTGCTTTGGTTTTATCGACTCCACTTTGTTGTTTTTTGTTGAGTACTGATCTTATCTGTGTTTAGAAATAGTAGTTAGTTTTTTATTCTACCAGGAGACTCAGATTAGCCAACTTGAGGTCACTAAACGGCACACAGACAGTCCACAACTCGCTAACACGGCATGCAGCAGCCAAAGAGCTCAGTAACATCATTCAGCTGCCTTTTCGTTTCCTTTCTTTAAAGGTGGTATTTTCCCCTCCCGCGTCGCTGAGTCCTACCTGTGGGAGTGTAAGCAGCTGGGTGCATACTCACCTATAGTGCTGCTCAACACGCTGCTCTTCTTCTGTACCAAGACCTTCCGCTTCAACTCGCTGTCGCAGCACCAAAGCCTCTCCTTCACCAACTTCACTCGATCCTCAAAACCCTGCAGCCGAGCCGGCAAAGTCCACTTCCTCAGACACCAGAGGAGTAATCGGGAGGAAACAGGCAAGTCTGGGAAACCTATACATTTATAATATCAATACTAAAGTACTGACTTTAAAAAATAAAGACAAGTTTATTGTGAAAATTATTCAGGCAAAGGAAATCAGACAAATACCGATTTTTTTACCGATCACTTCTTAGTGTGTTTGGGAAAAAGAAATCTAAGTTTATGTTGTTTTTTTTGTTGTTGTTTTTTTTTTTTTAGAGCGATTGAGAAAAAAGCAGGTGGAAGTTGAGGCAGACCTGGAAATGCTTGAAAATGCCTCCAACCCTCTGCGCTGTCCTGTCAGACTCTACGAATTCTACCTCTCTAGATGGTGAGATGGACACACACACATATGCATTCAGTATTGCCATTAAAAATAACATCCAAACATGCTTAATGATATGCAAACTCTCTTTACTCGTCTTCAGCCCAGAGTCGGTGAAGAAGAGATCTGACGCGTTTTACCTCCAGCCTGAACAGAATGTGCACACAAGAAGGTCAGAGTCAAAGACACCTTTTGAGGTTTCTGAGGTTATCTACAGTACTGAGACTTTCTCAATCCAGTGCTAGCATTGAACTTATCCCAAGCCACGATTTCAGTCAATACTCTGTGGTAATAGTGATGAATTCTAAACAGCCAACTATTGCTAGGAACAGTAGCAATCCCATCCTATGTAAAATAAAAAAATCAACTGTTGACACTGTGGCAAAAATGTTTGTGAATTTACTGATTTGTCTTTCATGTCCACTTGGTTATTTCCTTTGCTGGTTGCTGGGACATAAGCTACATGATGTATTGTGAGTGTTTGGATACAGCTGATAGGAACACCAACGGGGTGAGCAGGACCCCAATGTAACAACGAGGACCTTTTCTATCATCAGACATAATGAAAAGCTTCGTTGTTACCTTGATAGCAAAATACATTCCTGCAGTCGCTAACAGTAATGTAAGCTAGGACCCACAGTATTTTAACGGTAGCTCATCAGTGAACAAATATGTTGCTTTACCTTAAAATGTGAATGGAATAGAATAGAAAAGTCCTTTACTGTAATTGTATCAAGTACAACGAAATTTAAAAGTGCCAGACGTTCAGTGCTTAAAAAAAAACAAAAAACACTACAGTAATAAATACTACAATAATAAAACACACACAGTAATAAATACTACAGTAATAAAACACACACAGTAATAAATACTACAGTAATAAAACACACACGCACATCTACCATACATTCCGTCAATTGGTAGCGTACAATCCCACTACATGTATACATTGTGCTGCGGGTTATTCATAAGGCATTGAGGGTAGTTAGTGCTGTTGGATAAAAACTGTCTTTGTGTCTGTTTGTTCTGGATTTGATTGTTCTGTAACGTCTGCCAGACAGCAGCAGTTCAAACAGGGAGTGCCCGGGATGGAAAGTGTCTCTGACAATGCTCTGAGCCTTCTTAACACAGCGAGCACTGTGAAGGTCGTCCAGTGAAGGAAGGGGGCAGCCGACTATCCTCTGGGCTGCGTTAATGGCCCGTTGGAAGGCCTTTTTCTGTACTACTGTCACTGTGCAGCTGCTAAACCACAGACATAGACAGTATCTAAGGATGGATTCTATGGAGCATCTGTAGAAGGACAGTAGCAGTCTCTGTGTGATGCAGTTTTTCCTGAGGACCCTCAGGAAGTGAGTCTTTTTAAGCACCTTCGCACTTTTACAGTCCAGGTCAGGCCCTCCTCAATGTGAACACCCACGTTCCACGCTGATAATGAGTGGTGGAATGTCAGTCTTTTTTCGCCAATAGTCAATCACCAGCTCCTTGATTTTTGCTATATTGAGCAGAAGGTTATTCTCCCTACACCACACTGCCAGATGTTCAACGTGGATGTGTGATGCCCACTCTTACCCTCTGGGTGCGACAGGTGAGAAAGCTGTAGATCCACATGCAGGTGGGGTGTGGAATGCCTAGATTGACCAGTTGGTTAATCAGTTTGTGAGGAAGTATGGTGTTGAAAGCAGAGCTTTAGTCCGCAAAGAGCATCCGTACGTAGCTCCCCTGCTGCTCTAGGGGGGTCAGTGCAGCATGGAGGGCTGTGGCCATGGCTATTTGCCCTGTATGCAAACTGATGTGGATCCAGGCTTTTTGGCAAGTATGATGTGATGTGACCTCAGACCAGCTTTTCAAAGGATTTCATCACCACCAGGGTGAGAGCGACTGGTCGGTAGTCATTGAGGCCTGAAATGTGAGGTTTTTTGAGCTCGGTGGACTCGGACAGGGACTGGTTAAAAGTCCTTTGACACACGCCCAGACACTCCATCGGGCCCAGCAGCCTTCCTAGGCACGAAGGACACGCCTCACCTCATGTTCTGTGTGGGTGAAGTTGCCCTGTGCTGTGGGGTGTAGTGTGGCTGCCTTGGGTGGCACCACCTCAAAACGGGCAAAGAAAGTGTTCAGCTCCTCTGCCAGTGAGGCCTCACCCTCAGCAGCTCCCAAGGTGGGCCTGAAGTTGATGAGCTGCTGAACTCCTTGCCACACCTGCCTGCTGTTGTTATTTCCCAGGTGTGCCTTAATCTTCTGCCTTGGCCCCTTTGATGCCTCTCCTTAGGTCAGCCCGCACTGCAGAGTAGAGGGCCTGGTCACCAGACCTGAAGGTGATGTTCCTCTCTCTCAGCAGCTGCTGGACCTCCCGAGTTATCCAGGGCTTCCGGTTGGGGTAGACCCAGATCCGTTTTTCCACAGTAACAGTGCCTATGCAGTGTTGTATATAACACAGTGCACTGTCTGTAAACATCTCCAGGTCTTCATGAAAAAACACATCCCAGTTGGTTGTGTGGCCTTATTTCTTAGTGTGTTCTTATGTTAAAGTTATTAAACCAGTTTTCACTCATGTAGTCTTGTTTGAACTTCAAAGACTGAGTCTGACAACAAAGGAAAATGGTGAACATAATTTAGACTCTAACCCTCTGTGCCAACATGCATGTTGTCTTGTAACTGTAATGTATCCATGTTTTATTAACTTTTCAATTTCTGCTCTCAACAGTCCCTACTGGTACACCGCTCAACCACTAGAGGCTACCACCCTGCAGAGCATGCTGACACGCATCCTGGCTGTCAGAGAGGTGCACCAGGAGCAGGGGGATGTCAGTTTACAGTGATATGGAGCTCCGTCCATCACACCCAGCTTCTGATCTTTATCTGCAGAACAAACCTCTTCTGATGCTGAATGCTTCACAGTGAATCAAAGCTGAACATTCACCCATCAGTCTCTCAGAGGCTGTCAGGTCTTTGAAATGAGGAGATGGAGAGAAAAAAAATATATACAGAGTAATGGAAGGACTTTGAAAAGAGAATCTTTGAAGAGTGGATTTTTTTGGTTACCTCAGTTGCCAATCCCTGCCATGATAATTAATAACCTTACAAAATTTGATCACTCTAAAGCATAGAAAGTGTTTGAGAGTGTGTTTTTAACTCCATGGTTTATGTCCCACCTGCCTGATATTTATCCATCTCACATGGCAGAATTATTTTGAACTGTAATAGCCATGCCCAGCCTGGCAGATGAGTTTTATTATTTTGTGGGTGATGGATTGTATGTATGACCAGTCGGTGATGCTGTTTTAAAGTCACCACTGGTTGTCAAGGATTTCCTCCATTAGTTATCTAGTGCTTCTAACTTGAACACTTACATTTTCAGCAGGTTTTAGAATTGGACAGTGTGGCATTTAGCTGCACAAATGTAAATGCCTCACCAAAATGAAGTTGATAGTCCCAGTGAAGAACTTCTTTCAGTGTTATTCTGAGTAATTGAACATAAAATAAGCAGTTTCACTAACTGCATCACATTTATGACTTTGTCTGGTTGCTGCTGGGCCTTTTGTCAAATATGTGATTCAAATGTCAAACCAGTTTACATTATACCTGTGTGACCCATCTTGTCATTACAGAGGAGACTTGCAGTGCCTCTGTTCTTTTATTGTGAAGTTTCTTGATTTAATATGTTTCCATTTTATTTTACCATCTATGTGGCCTTATTTTCTCAAAATAATCAACTCATTTACATACCCACATGATAAAGACAGCCTAGCTTCTGTTTAAGTACAGTGGAACCTGGACCTGCTACCTGTACACTGTCCAAGTATATTAATCTGTATCTTTGTTTTTATTATGGTGCCATTATCCTCTACCTTGAGGCATTAAGTTTTTCTGGGACATTACGTTTTAAAATGTTTTTTCCCCTCCTCCTATAAGCGTGTATTCAGTTTAGTATGATATATTTGTGGTGGTCATTCAGACAGTCAAAGACCAGTATTATGACAGCGGGCCTACGATATCTACTGCTGTGTCCATGGTAGTCATGATTTTTGGTTGAAATAGCTCTGTGGTATGAAATGTATAAAAATGTGTCGAGGTTAGTGTGAGACATAAAATGGCTAAAATTTGTCTTAACATTGATTCTAAATCCAAAATTTTAAGCACAGTAACAATGTGGTGGAAAAAGTTCACAGTCAGTAGAAGTGCTGTGAATCAAAGTCTTACTCTGCTTCCATTTGAAGAACTTAATCTCTTAATTTACCAAAATGCAAAATCTAAACTAAAAAATCTTCTTCCTACTGTCCTCTCAATAATATTATTCTGTAGACAAAGATGAATAAGAGACTGAACTCTAAATTGGCCTAAAGACAGTCGCAGGGACCTCACACTGAAACCCACACTGTGATCAGTGCTTGTCTCAAAGATGTTAAAAAGATTACACAGACATGTCTGAAAATGTATATTGTTATTTTTCCTTATTGTTCTTTAGTTATTGATAACTGCCATTTAGCAATCTTTTTTGTCTTTTTTTTATATATCATAAAATTTACTTCTGGGGGGTTAATAAGGGTGAAGGTGGTTGAAGCGGAAACTTTCACATGTTTTGAGGGTTTAAAAATATATATTGCATTTATAATATGTAAATTGGTTAAAGACTTCACTACCCAGAACACCTTGTGGGTCAGTCAGGGAATGGGTGTTTTTTTTTGTTTAAATATCTTTATTGCTGTTGCTGTTGGTGTGTATATTTTCTTTTTTTTTCTGCTACTATTGTGTTCAGGCACAGAGGTCAACATGCTTTTTTTCTATTATCTCATCTTAATTTTTTATATGAAATTTAGTAATAAGCGCACAGATCCCCCCTCAGCCTGGTCCAAAGCTAATAAACCTCTTGAGCAGTTAATGCTTACATTAAGCATTTATGTTGTGGACTGGTGAGATTTGAGCATTATCCATTAATGCAGGTTTTTAGAAAGTAACATACTGTAATACTGTCACCACTGCTGGTACAAATGAAATATTACTGTCTGAATATTATCACTCCAGTTTTCAATATAACACCACAAGGCACCATGTTCTGTTGACATGCCCAAAATGCTGTTTAGTCAGATAGTATTTCAAATTCAATAGTCTCTTTTCATTTTAAATGTGAGGCACAGCATCAGAGAAATGATATCTAATGTGGGGAGTGTAACAACTTTGTGCAGTTATGAAACATGAAATCATAAACTGTGTCAATATTTTGTGTGTTTTTGACTTTTTTTGCTTTCGTGATTCTTTCATTTTTCTCTCATTTAGTTCAAAGCATTTCTCAACATAGTTATTATCAGAGTTACAATTAACGGGGATATGTAACTCTCAGACCAAATACTAGATAAGGCTTTAATAAATGAGAAAATCTCTGAGAACTTCAAGAGGAAAGATCTCAAACCACTGGGAAAGTTAGCAGGTGTAGTTGCTGCTCAAACTGCTTCTTTTTACTTTTCCCAGAAGACTGTTGATGGCTTATGTGCTGTATTTCAGTGGAGTGGTCAAACAATTTCAGTTTTTCAGTGGCTGATTCTGACAATTAGAGAGCAGGTCAGTCGATGGCTGACAGCTGACATCACACTGTTTTTTTCTTAAAGCTTCTGTGAGGAACTTTTGGTTTGTCTTGATTGTGGTATCCCCTGTGGGCATAGCAGTATCTTTTGTTGGTACTTGCTCTGTTTTCTGCTACAAAATATCACCCTGCTTTATTTTAACGCTACTATTGATCACTTATACAAATTATTGCAGTGGAAACCATGAGAAAGGCATTTTCTGTTCATCACATCAACTGATACCTAACCCCCTCCAGCAGTCTTAGACATTACAAACAACTCTATAGATAATCACTCGTGTTGCTGATTGTTTTATTTGCTTTTGTAGGTCATAAAGAGGCTTCAGTGTTTATTTCAGCCCAGAAATTTAGCGACCAGAAAAAAAAAACTGGAAAGCAAAATATTGTCATCAGGGATGTGTATTTAAGAAGAAATATAGACAAGATAAATATGAATATTCATTTTTATATCAAAATGCCATTAATCATTTCTATGTTAGTGTTATAATAAAGCAATGGGTGATCATTTGTTGGGAAAAAAACACTTTGTGAAGTATAAGAAGTTCTGCTTAGATCACATGGGGTGTCAAAATCAACAAGCAACAGAAAGCCCCAGTTAGGAGCGTCTAGTTCATCCCTTTTCATTTTTACATGTTGAGAGTAGACACCATTGGGAGATTAAGACATCGCAGAGGTTTACCTAAACATCCCCTTGTGCTCCAGACTAATTACGTAACTGATACTGATCATCTCTGATGGTATATGTCGTGTTTTCTGAGACCAGAGTCATATTTGATTTAAAGTCCATTTACGGAACTTTGTTCATCAAGCTGTTAACATGAACATTTACTCTTATTGCTAAGGGTTAGAAAATTTTTTAAAGAAGGACTTGTCTCCTTCTGATGCCCTGAATAGCTGGATATCATTACAACGTCTTGGATCAGTGAACAGATAAAATTGTCTTTAAGTGACTTGTAGAAAGAGAATACAAATGAAAGCTTAAGACTTTTTCCAAATCATCTGAATGCGCAATAAAAATCATGCAAATCTTTCCATTTTTGTCTGCATGGACACAGGAAAAGGAAATCCATGTTCAAGTCATTATGAGGTCTGTGTTATCCCTAATTCAAATGTTCATGATAATTTTTCCTGTTGCTAGAGATAAGCTTTGATGGTTGAACAGGGTGACTGCTGATGCTTATTCGTAAACTGTATCTTTAATTTGTATACCAGTACTTTACCCTGTGGGAGTGTGGGATTTCATACAATCTCATATGGTTTTTAATTTTTTTAGATCCCACCGACAGAAAAGCGATTTTATCTCAACTCAACTTTATTTGTAGAGTACTTTAAAACAACCACACTTGAACATATCTTCTGTTTATAAATCATTACAGTTACCTCTTTCCTCGCAGCTTCTTATCATTTTTTAAAGTAGTAATATTCAGAATTTTCAGGTCAAAGTGGATTCAGTTCAGCACAGCCTGCTTCAGTTTGTGGGGCTTGATAGGGGTATGTAAGCAGTTTTTCCCCTTGTTCTGCTGTGGACATAAGATGCTATCTGATCTATGACATCTTTTGCTGGTTGACTTCCTCTGATCCGATGGACAGAGAATTTACATAACCATTTTGCATCACTGACAAGGCTATAATGCTCTGATTAGATATAGATGTGATGATTACATTGTTAATGTTCTAGAGATGTTTGTTAACAAAAGGAATCTGATGCAACATTCGCTAATTTATAAATGTATCAGACTCAAAAAAAAAGGTCTCAGCTACTTCATTAGAGCTCCTCACAAAACTACTGCATACACTGTCTGTGTGCCTGCTCTGCATCAACTACTGCTAGTTACCATGAGATCTGAGAAGCCTACTTCTGTTTTCTTTTTAATGGATTTGTCCATCAGCTTCTCATTTCTCTGTAAAGAAGAGCTTTAAAAAAACAGCTAGGATCCCTCATTTGAAACACAAATTTCTGCCCACAAATAACTTTCTTAAAATGGAAGTTTTATAAAAAGCTTGTGGTTCCCATACAAAGTTGAATATTGAATTTCCCTTTGGGGATAACTAAAGTTCTTATCTTATGTGTACTGATGAAAAGTTTAATTTATACCAAGGCTTTTTATTCATTTAAATGATCACAGCGTACAGTATAGCACCAATTTGAAAAATCTTTATTAAAACTCAGCTTTGTGTTTCTACAGCCAGCAAAAATGTGCATAAATGTAACAGGGAGCAGTTCCTGACACCCTTTAAAGCTTTTAGTCCTTCAGTGCATCAAAGGAGAGTTTCTTTACTTTGGATAAGGTTTTTCGTTCTGATGAAAATGACGTTCTTCATGAGACAGAAGTGTCATTTTCAGCAGAGAGTGCCTCAAACTGCTAAGTGTCACATTTTCTTTCAACACAAACAAGAAAGAACAGGTTTCAAACATTCACATCTTAGAAGAAGGAGACAAGAAGTCCCGACAGCAAAATAAGAGTGAATCATAACCAGGATACTCGAGTCCATGTAAACGAACTGAGTCAGAACTTTTGTTTTTGTCATAAAAGAAAAGATGATTTGATTCACACTGTCCAGCCCAACAGTGAATGGCACCGTTTAGGCCATTTCATCATCGACCTCCTCCTCCTCAAACTCGCCCTCCTCCTCAGCAGTGGCTTCCTGGTACTGTTGATACTCAGACACCAGGTCATTCATGTTGCTCTCAGCCTCTGTGAACTCCATCTCATCCATGCCCTCGCCAGTGTACCTGAGACAAGACAATACTCGCTAATGAGTTTTGACACATGACACAAATGCATGACAACTGACCGAGTTTCGACATTTGAACAGTCCTGCACTAATATTGGGGCACCTTCTCACTGCTCTCACTAGTTTTCTTTCACTCACCAGTGGAGGAAGGCTTTGCGGCGGAACATGGCCGTGAACTGCTCTGAGATACGCTTGAACAGCTCCTGAATGGCTGTGCTGTTGCCAATGAAGGTGGCTGCCATCTTGAGGCCCCGGGGAGGGATGTCACAGACAGCGGTTTTGACATTGTTGGGAATCCATTCCACAAAGTAGCTGCTGTTCTTGTTCTGCACGTTGAGCATCTGCTCATCCACCTCCTTCATGGACATGCGGCCTCTAAAGATGGCGGCGACTGTCAGGTAGCGCCCATGCCGGGGGTCACATGCTGCCATCATGTTCTTGGCATCAAACATCTGCTGCGTCAGTTCAGGAACTGTCAGTGCCCTATAGAGTGAAGACAGTTCAAATTGAATTAATTTCACCTGCTTTGACATACAGCCTGATTAAGTCTGTAAAAGTCAGCTCCCTCCTTTCTACCTGTACTGCTGACTGCCACGGCTCGTCAGGGGGGCGAAGCCCGGCATAAAGAAGTGCAGCCTAGGGAAGGGCACCATGTTGACAGCCAGTTTCCTCAGATCAGCGTTGAGCTGGCCAGGGAAGCGCAGGCAGGTGGTCACCCCACTCATGGTGGCTGAAACAAGGTGGTTGAGATCACCATAGGTGGGCGTGGTGAGTTTCAGTGTGCGGAAGCAGATGTCATACAGGGCTTCATTATCAATGCAGTAGGTCTCATCTGTGTTCTCCACCAGCTGGTGAACGGAGAGGGTGGCATTGTATGGTTCTACCACTGTGTCTGACACCTGGGGTATGAGAGAGAGGGAGAGAGAAAGAGAGAAGGAAAGACATCATTAAAGATGAGACAAGCATATGGGTGAGGAAACATGCTTTTAGAATAACAGTGTTTGTTGTATGAACCTTGGGTGAGGGCACCACACTGAAAGTGTTCATGATACGGTCTGGATACTCCTCTCGGATTTTGCTGATGAGCAGTGTGCCCATTCCAGAGCCGGTACCTCCTCCCAGTGAGTGTGTAAGCTGGAAGCCCTGGAGGCAATCACAGCTCTCTGCCTCCTTCCTCACCACATCCAGGACTGAGTCCACCAACTCAGCTCCCTCAGTGTAGTGACCTTTGGCCCAGTTGTTGCCAGCTCCACTCTGACCTGTGTCACATGCAAATACGGACATCTATCACAGCTGCAGAGTAAGCACTTCCTGGATCATGTTCTACTTGAAATATGACACTATCATATCATTTACCTGCAGTGTGATGTGAATACTTTTCAAATTGAACTTTTCTAAGGCTGGGCAGTGGAAAACTACTCTACAGTTCTCACACCAGGGGAATTTCATCTATCTAGGTTAAGAGATGAAGTACATCAACATCCTATATGCTCACCGAAGACAAAATTGTCTGGTCTAAAGACTTGGCCAAAGGCACCAGACCTCACAGAATCCATTGTGCCAGGCTCCAGGTCGACCAGCACTGCACGAGGGACATACTTGCCGCCTGGTGAAGAAAACACAGAGGAGGCAAAAACTGGAAGTTACACAAAAATTATTGAACCAATTACTCAAGCAGAAGCACACTTTTAGTTACTGTTAAGAAAATTAAATTGTCAGTAGTCTGTTGTTGGTATACATTCAAGAAAAAACTCAGTTCAGGGACATTTTCAGTTCATATATGTCCCAGGCAGAGAATGTAATTTACAAACTGCCCATAGTTTGAGCTGTGAAATGCTAATTTGTCATTGACAATGGGCTTTGTGTAGCGCTAGTTAGAAATAATTTTAATTACAGTATAATAAAAGTCTGTAGCCCATTCATACATAAAGTAGCTTTTTTCTACTTCATATTAGATTAGATTAGATACAACTTTATTTTTCCTTTTGGGAAGGTTCCCTCAAGCAAATTAAAATTCCAGCAGCATATTTACAGAAAAGAAGAATAATCAAATACACAATATATTAAGAATAAAGATATAATAGAACTTGAAGATAAAATTAGTATTTAAATAAAAGCTGTAGAAAGATGAGAGGCTTTTCTCACTTTTCTCTTCAAATCCTTCTTTTCTGATTCTTATTTTCTGCTTTGAGCAGCACTCACCAGGTCATTTTCCATTGCCTCAAATTGCAAAATCACTGCTCCTTTTTAAAAAAAAAAATGGTTACACACACAAAAAAAAAAACTGTTTCTTATGCTCCTCCCATTTTCCTCTGTGGGCCCTGTCATTTTACTATCTCCATATCACAGAAAAATATATATATATTTTACAATCTAGAAAACGAAACAAAAGGTTGGTTGCTATGATTGGCAAGACAAAGACATCCCATGTTGCAATTGCCCAAAATAATAAGGTAACTCCTGCCTTTGTCTAAGCAGTGGAAAAATATAGTCATGCACTTCCACACTAATATTCGTGATTATAAAACAATGTGCAAAAGACATTTTAATGAAGCTTCAAGTGACTGAAATTTCCACAATGTATTATAAAACATGTTGATTTTGTGAGCTTTATGATTTTAAAATAAGAACTTTATTTATCGCCTAAGGGAAATTTAATTCAATTTCATGTTCTGTCATCATAAAAACACAATATAGTGTAACTTTTTAAAGTAGGACACTATTAAGACAAAAATGTTGACCTTAATAAGGTCCATGCATTTAATGTCTGTGAAGTTGTGGATGCTTCCGTTAAATGAGGGTTTGTTGTTCTTTCATTGTATCATGGGAACGAGGCCACGGTAACCAGTAAGGTGGGGCAAACTGGTTTGGCAGGTTGGAGTTGGGCCTTCCAGTGGTTTCCAAGCAGGATAAATACCCCCTGCTGGATGGCCACGGTACTATCAAGCCTTGTGGGTGGTATTGAATTACATCGGCTCACCCAGAAATGAGATAACCTAAGTGTGAATACTGCGAGCTTTAGCAAAGTGGAGCTAACCTGATGCTTCGTTGTAATAGACGTTGATCCGCTCCAGCTGCAGATCGCTGTCTCCCTGGTATGACCCGCTCGGGTCGATGCCATGTTCGTCACTTATCACCTCCCAGAACTGAAGTCAACAAAAAAAGCACGCAGTTAATGACAAAAGTAAATTTAGAGGCTCAACTCGAAACCTAAAAACACCCAAATGTGTGGTAGACCACAAGGCTATCATTAGCTTTGTCGCAAGGTAAGCTCATTTATCAGCCCGCCCAAACCAAATTAAAAATCTAAGCTCTTTTATAAGACGGTAAACCAATCACTTTGGAATCAAATATATTCGTACCTTTGCTCCGATTTGATTGCCACACTGGCCTGCCTGCAGATGTACAATTTCCCTCATTTTCTCGAAAATTTACACTTCTTTTCGCCGGAAGTAGATCAAGTTGTTACCGCTCTGGACTCAAGTAACGGACTAACCTAAACTCGCAGGCAGTGCCAAATATACGCAGTCGATATCTGCAATTGGACAAGTCAAATGTCAGTCAAAGCAAATGCGAGATATTATTGGTCGAGAGAAAACTTTTTCGAGTTTGATTGGTTGGCGCTTTGGGTTGTCGTGGTAACACGTATAGAATTCAAACATCTTATCTGCATAAATCTATGGTATGGGGCAGATTAAATGTTTAATCCACTGCTCTGGTTGGAACTATTAAGAATTCCATAACCCGGAAGTGGGGTCCGCCGGGCTCTACAGCGTATGCCTATGGGAGTGTCGCCACTCTGTTTTAACCCACTGCTCTGGTGTGGGGGACACAGAATTTCCCTGTTTTGGCGTGTTCAGCCACGTCTTAACGCAAAAGTTTGATTTCAAGAACGTCTAACAGTAATTTCATAACGGGGTTAAACTGAAGTACGCTAACTGCCCCTAAAAGCAGTGTCATGAGATTAGATGGTGCTTGACGGTAAAATAAGAAAATTACACCAACATCAGTGTTGGGTAATAAACACGACGTCCAACAAAAACTGCCATATGGGAGGCCCATTCTCAAACGATTAACAGAAACACGCGTGTTTTCTCTCGTGTGTAGGCTTTTTGAAGATAAAATAATGATAATGAGCTCGTGGTGTTTCCCACAAAGAAAAAAAATGATTTTGTTTTTTAGCCACAAGAGGGTGGTGGGGAGTCTTCAGTCTTAACCGGACGTTAACTCCCCCCCTACAGTCTAGGAGTTTTATTGCTAGTTTCAAGAGTCTTTACATATTTTATTGTTTGACAATTTATACTTTCTGACACTCTTATGAGAATGAATGGCTCTTTAGTCACTGTCACAGAAAGCTACTTTTGTTAGGAATAAGATAGCCTTTTGCAAGTTAGTAAAGTTTGCCTGTCTTCTACAGCGTGTAAATATCTGGGTTTGAGATTAAATCTGACTCCATGTGTGCAACAAAGCGAACAAGTTGAAGCCCAAACGTCAATGATTTTTTTTTTATTATTAGAAAACAACAACAAAATCCTTTTCGATTGGTGTTTTAAAGTAGTAACATTTTTCTATTCTTCCAGATGACTTTTTCTTCCATGGCTTTCACTGAATGAAAAAGGAATCAAAGTGCTTCTATGACAATTGAAAACCGTATAGTCTCTGATGATTTTCATTTGTGTAGTTTATCAAATATCTATAAAAGACACTTTTTATTTAATAAAATATAATTCAAGATTTTAAGAGATTGACCTTTTGTATGTTTGTTTTCATAAATTCTTTAAACGTGGGGATAGTGTACAAAAACACAACAAAATAGCTAGTGATATGCTGATACATATATATGTTGTTTTTTTGTTGTTGTTTTTTTTGTGGGGTGGTGGGTTTAAAAATGCATTATGCTAATTTTATCTGTACTTTAAATATAATTGTATAGTTTTTTTTAAATGTAGTTTTAATCTAACGCGCCGTTTACGTGACGTCACATTCGTGCGACTGTTTCCATGCAACACAACTGTCATGGCTCTGTTTCCAGCGTTTGCCGATGAGGCGACTAACAACGTTGAGGATCCGTCTAAAAGTAATGACTGCCTGGTGCTGAACCCATTTGAATAATGTTTTTTACAACTCTTTCTTGTTGCTATTGGGTGTCATGGAAACGTAATTAGCAGGGGGTCTGATGACTTCTTTAAAATGCAGCCGTGTACTTGGAGTCCTGTACTGTTTGAGCTCACTGACTTTGGTCCTTGGCTTTTGTTTTTTCATATCTTTAAGGCAGTACTGATAGTGTGCCAGTAATGTCATGCATCCCTACCCAATCCCTCTTGTCAATGCTCACCGCTATGTTTTTGCTCCACTCTCTTTTTGTAGGATTAGACTGGCTGACAAATAAAAGCTTTCAGACCAGCGATGCTGTCGTCCTTCATAACCGGTTCATTGAGAAGATTAGTGAGAGGCAGACAGAAAAGGAATCAAGGTACAAAAAAGTCATGAAGCACAGCATAAGACTCTTGAGTTTATACAGTCTTTTAAATTGTTATTAATGTGTCCCACATTTCAGTTATAAAAGCTTCTTTTTCACTTCTTTGTTACCTGAATTCTTCATTACATTTTCTTCCTCATTACTGTGTTCTTATTTTTTGTTTTGCACGTTTTTTTCTAAATTTAATCCTTTGCCCAGTGTAGAAATGTGAAACTGTATTTAATTTACTTTCAAATGAGTATAATAGTTATTTAATTTGATGTTTGGCATTTTTACTTCTGTTCAAAGCTTGTTGTGAGTCTCCATAAATCTCATTACAATTAAGTCACATTTTAATCCTCAGTGTTGGTAGAGATGTAAGCTCTGCAGAGCAGGAGGAAAGGGAAGAGAGTAATGTGCCGCACAAGAAGAAGAAAAAGAGGAGTGAAAGGAAGAAGAAAAAGAAGAAAAAACACAAAAAGAAAAGTGGACGATGTTCTGACAGCAGTGGGTCTGACTCTGACACTGTATACCCCAGTGATCTGAAAAGAGAAGAAGAGGATGATGGGTATGGACACAACTTTTAACACCCTACATGCATTACTATTTATTTTGCATGCAGGACTGCTGCCTACTTCTGATTTTTAGTTATAGCTGATATGTTTGTGGGTTTGTTCGCAGTCCCAAACCTTCTGCACTAGCAAGTCATTTCTCTTGGTTGGATGACCTCCAGACACCTACAGAGCAGCTGTTCTGTATTGACCATAAAGCAGACCCAGCCAACTGGGTGTACAAGTCCCTGTACAGAGGAGATGTAGCAAGGTAGGGCAAATTCCAAGTCCAAGTAGCACCAAAAAATGGCTTTCAGGAAGACAACATTTACTATGGTTCAAAAACGCGATGTAATGTTATGTTGCCAATAATTTTTAAACCTTCTTTATGTCCCAGATATAAGAGGAAAGGCAGCTCATCCCTGGGTCTGGACCTGCACAGGCAGGGAGTCAGCTGGGAGGAACCAGAGTCGAATAGGAAACAAAAAGGTGGGAACAAGAAGAAAGCAGCAGACAGATACTTCTCTTCAGTTAGTCACCAGCTGCTGAGATCTGAGCCTCCTGTTCCTGCAATACCAACTATTCCTGAGAGCAGTGACAGCATTACTTCAACCTCCTTCCTCCCACTCCATGAGAATGAAGAGAAACAAGGTAGGAAATTTTGCCTCCCGGGTTAGAGTGGTACATCAACCAAAAACATACACTTATTACAAAACCCAATTCCATTGAAGTTGGCAAATTGTGATACACGTAAATAATAACAGATTACAATGATTTGCAAATACTTTTCAACCTATATTCAATTGAATTCACTACAAAGACAAGATATTTAATGTTCAAACTCATAAACTTTATCTTTTTTTGCAAATAATTATAAACTCAGAATTTCATGGCTGCAACACGTGACAAAGAAGTTGGGAAAGGTGGCAAGAAATACTAAGAAATTTGAGGAATGCTCATCAAACACCTATTTGGAACATCCCACAGGTGAACAGGCTAGTTAGGAGCAGGTGGGTGCCATGATTGGGTATAAAAGCAGCTTCCCCAAAAATTCTCAGTCATTCACAAGCAAGGATGGGGCGAGGTTCACCACTTTGTGAACAACTGCGTGAGCAAATAGTTGAACAGTTTAAGAACAGTGTTTCTCAAAGTACAATTGCAAGGTATTTAGGGATTTCAACATCTACGGTCCATAATATCATCGAAAGGTTCGGAGAATCTGCACGGAAGCGGCACAGCCGGAAACCAACATTGAATGCCCGTGACCTTCGATCCCTCAGGTGTCACTCTATCAAAAACCGACATCAATGTGTAAAGGACATCACCACATGGGCTCAGGAACCCTTCAGAAAACCACTGCCAGTAAATACAGTTTGTCGCTAAATCTGTAAGTGCAAGTTAAAACTGTACTATGCAAAGCGAAAGCCATTTATCAACAACATCCAGAAACACCGCCGGCTTCTCTGGGCCCGAGCTCATCTAAGATGGACTGATGCAAAGTGGAAAAGTCTTCTCGGATCTGACGAGTCCACATTTCAATTTGTTTTTGGAGAACGTGAACGTCGTGTCCTCCGGGCCAAAGAGGAAAAGAACCATCCAGGCTGTTATCGACGCAACATTAATGCTGAAAGGTACATGCGGGTCTTGGAGCAACATATGATGCCATCCAAGCAGCGTCTTTTTCATGGTCGTCCCTGCTTATTTCAGCAAAACAATGCCAAGCCACATTCTGCACGTGTTACAACAGCATGGCTTCGTAGTAAAAGAGTGCGGGTACTTGACTGGCCTGCCTGTCCTAACTACTTTGGCACGTGTCACAGCCATGAAATTCTGAGTTAATTATTATTTGCAAAAAAAAAAAAAAAAGTTTATGAGTTTGAACATTAAATATCTTGTCTTTGTAGTGTATTCAATTGAATATAGGTTGAAAAGGATTTGCAAATCATTCTGTATGTTTATCACAGTTTCCCAACTTCAATGGAATTGGATTTTGTATTTGTTTCAGGAGGTTGCAAACTATTTCAATGTTTGTTATGTTTGTACCTGAAGAGAATTAATGTTTTGGACAGTTATAGGTGATATGTTAAGTAACCCAAAAGTAATAGGCAAGTAACTTTATTTCAGGACTTTAAGTAGTAGTTAACCTCTAAGTGATGGATTGTGTCCTCAGCTTTGTGACCACAGTTCTATTGTGGAAAATTTCAGGATTTGAATGCACTTTTTTTCCATGGCATAGTTTTATATTCATCATCTTTATCTTTCCATTCCAGTTCCTCATATCTAACTTGAAACCTATAAATATTTTAATTCCAGGCACCAGAGTGCAGACATCATTCTTCAATCCTCTTGGTGTTTATGACCCCTCCACAACCCTCTGGGTGCAGGGAAAGGGTAAGCAGGAGCAAACGGAGCAGCAAAAGCAGGCCACACAGACAGAGCAAAGTACAGTGCTGTTGGCTGGGAGGACTGAAGAGTTTAACCGGCGTCTCAGAGAGCAGCCAACAGACACAGAGCTTTGGATTCAATTCATCAGATACCAGGTATAAAAACTACTCTTGTCGTTGTGTTGACTATGGCTTGATTTTGTTCACTTGTCCTCAAAGTAATGTTAACTGTAGTGATATACTTTGCAATGTTTTCTGAATGAATTTCTACATGCAGTTACCAGGCAGATGTAGGCATTAACTCCTGTATCCAGCAACATAAAAACACTGTTTGTGTGAGTAAAGTAGATTTGAGGAGAGTGTTTCCTCGCAGTCAAAAAATATGAGGTTGTGTGATCAAAGAATCGTACTTTTTGCTCTCCCTATGCAACAGTATCTTCAACCTTCATTGTCCTCTTTCATTTTACAGGATGATCTGAGCGCAGCAGCATTTGGAGGTGAGGAGGACCAGCAGGGAAGTGATTTGGCTGAACGCCGCAAGTCTTCTTACAGAGCTGTCCTGGAGAAAAAAATGAGCATTGCAGAGCGTGCAATTGAGACCAACCCAAGCTGCATAGATCTGCAACTGGAGAGGCTCAGGATCTGCCAGGAGCTGTGGGAGCCCTCACTTCTGGCTAAAGAATGGAAGAAACTGGTAGACTTTTTGTTTTTATGTGCCATCATCTAAACCTCTCAATGCTTTGTGTGTTTTCGTTATAGTTGTGCTGTGTCAATCCCTGTAAAAAATGAAATGCTAACATGATCATATCTCTTGGCCTGTTAGTCATTCTAACAAGCTGTTTTGTGTATTTCATGAAGGTATTCCTGCACCCAAACAGTGCACCCCTTTGGAAAAAGTATCTTCTGTTCACCCAGAGCTACTTCAGCAACTTCACTGTGGCTAAAGTCAACTCTGCTTATGGGAAGTGTCTCAGTACGCTCAGTGCTGTACGTGATGGCAGCATGGTCTCTCATCCAGCTCTGCCAGGGATTGAGGAGGACATGCTGGGTAACAGATTTAGTTCAGCATATACTTATCCAGTCTTTTGTACCCCAAGAGGGCATTTAACAGTTGGATAACAGTTACATCATCAGTTATCCTGTCACTTTCTTGGTTGTCTCACTTGTTGCACATTTCTTGATCATTTTTTCATGCAGTACACCATATTCTTGCTTCTTTTAATCCAAAAAGATGCTCTCTGATAGAAATTGTCCTGTTTTGATTTTTTTTTTTTCCTGTCCAGATATTTTCACCCAGCAGTGTCACTTCCTACGTCAGGCTGGTCACTCAGAGAAGGCCATTTCTCTGTTTCAAGCCATGATTGACTTTACTTTCTTCAAACCTGACAGCGTACATAAACTGTCCACCAGGCAGCAGGTAAATGCACACAAACACAGCAGCATCAAAACTGAGATCACAAGTTGTATTCATATATTCTCTGTTTATGTCTAAATAGTTTTGTCCCTTTGGTTTCTGTTGAGCAGTATTATGCTACTCTAAATACAGAATCAATTTTGAATATTTTGTAAAACAAAAACACACAATAGTGCTCCAGTTGTCAAATTAAAGAGTGAATGTTCATTTATTTAAGGTAACGATGTTTCTGTGTGTTCCTACAGGTTGAATTCTTTGAGCCGTTTTGGGACAGCAGTGAAGCAAGAGTTGGGGAGGTTGGAGCCAGAGGTTGGAAAGCCTGGATGCATCAACAAGAGAGAGGAGGGTGGTTACAACCTAATGCAGGTAAAACATACATACATACATGCTCACATACTGACCTCTTAACTGTGCGAAGCAGGTTTTCTGTATTGGTGATATGCAACATGAAAATTTAGAATGCCATTAAAAAGAAGAGCTGTATGTTCTTGTTTTTGTGTTTTTGGATCCACAGAGGAAGAAGAGGAGGAGGAAGAGGAGGAAGAGGAGGTAAAAGATCGAAGCCAGCCCAGATGGACAGTCTGGCTTGATGTGGAGTCGTCTCGTGAAGCAGCTCACTGGTTACCCTGGAGGCCAGACAAAGCCAAGGGCCAATCAGAAGAGGACTGTGAGGACCCAGACAGACAGGTACTAGTTTAAAATGCATCTGCTCGTGTCTGCTTCGACTGTATGGTTGGTTGAAGTATTTTGCTATAAAGTAAAGAAAAAGACCTCCGATCAAAGCTTTATTTCTCCTCTCTTACTTATGCTTCTTCAATTTTAGGTGTTGTTCGATGACATTGGCCCGTCCCTGATTTGTCTGTCTTCACCAGAACTCCAGCTCCGTCTCTTGCTTCGATTTTTGTCATTGCTGGGTCTTCCTGTAGACTCTGTGCTCTCTCCTGCCCCCTGCCAGCCTGGCCTGCTCCTGGAGAACCTTTCCCTGCTCACTCAGGGTAAAGATGACACCATAAGTCACAATATCAGGTGTTTCGATTATCATGAAAAACTATCAGAAATAAATAAATCTGTCTTCATGTCACACCCCAGGGAATGCGCTCTGCAGCCCTCTGACATCAAGCTACCTACGTGACCACGGCGATGACTCCATAGGTCACATGACTACTCTCCAGGGAAAAAGGAAGTGGGCTGGGCTCGGGAAGCAGGGGGAAAAGTTTCTTGCCAATGTGTTAAGTATGGTCCAACCTGTTCTCCCTGCCCAGCACCAAGCTGTCCTGTCACACAGTTGGATGCAGTATGAAAAACTAAAGGTAACCCTTGGTTTATCTGTCATTCTAAGTTGTATTTTAATTGGAATGAAAAATAAAGTCATATATCAAGTTAAGATCTTAGTTGTAGGTATAGAAGTCTTTGCACATATTGATATTTTTCTATTTTTGTGCCTCAGGTCTGGCGTTGCCTGAATCACAGCAACAAAAAGAGACTTCGCTCTCAGGGTAAGAGCAGCAAGAGGATTGCCAAGCAACTTCTCAAGGAACCGCACAACCGCTCATCGTTGGTGCTGTGGCGGGAGTATGCACACTTGGAGTGGATGCTGGCCAACTTTGATGAGGCTCGCAAAGTCTTCTCCACAGCCTCAGCTTTAGGGGGAGCCAAGGGGCTGAGGAGCCCATCCCTGTGTGAGCTGTGTTTACTGTGGGCCCAGCTGGAGGCCGAAGACAAGGCAGGTTCTCAAGGAAGAGGGCTCTCTGATGTTACCACGTCCCCAGCTGTGTGTGTGCTAACCAGGCTAGCAGAGGGAGCCTCTTCATCCTCCTTTTCCTCCTCCCAGCCCTTGTCTCCAGTTTCCATTCTGAAAGCTAGGAAGTCTTATGAGGAGGCTCTAACGGCCGCTTTATCAGCCTTTGAAAAAAATACCAAAAATCAAGAGGTCAATAGAAAAGGTAACCTCCAGTTTCATCTATATTAGCTTTTATCTAACAAAGGTGTGATATATTTGTCCCACAAAGACCATATTGTGGTTATTTAACACATCTTTCAGAGTTACTGTTCACTCAGTGTCTTTAAACCATCTTGAAACACCATCAAATTTGTTAAGATTAAGACAGCACTGTTTTTTGTCTTTCCATGTAGTCAGTGTTTTTTATTCATTGTTGTCTGTATGTGAGCAACTTTAATCTGCTGCATTTGGTCAAGTTATTAACTGTCTTTGTACTTTGTAAGTCATTTAAATGATAATGTAGTCAGTATATGAAATATATTGTACCGTGTCCTCAGTCCTTTTCCCATTTAACCACCAGGTGAAGAAGACCTGTTTGGAGAAAAGCTGAGGCTAAGAGGTCTGGTGGGTTGCTATGCTCTGTTTCAGTACCTCACAATGGGCATCCAAGCAGCTAACCTTGTCTACAGCCAGACCAGAGAGAGGATAGAGGAGCTGCACTGCGCGCTGAAACTTGGCAATGAGAAAGCCGAGCTATCTGCTAGTGATGCTGGCCAATCGGCAAGAAATCCCAGTCACACCAGCCAGAACTGTGAGAACAGGCTGGCCTCAGAGTGTGAGGAAATAGCAGTACAGCAGGCAGCATTGCTCAGGCACCACAACAACATCAGTGTTTTTCCTCTGGTAACACTGAGACAAATGCTGACCTCTGCCCTCTCTACCTGGCCCAGCAGCGCCCCCTTGTGGAGGATATACATACAGGTAAGCTGCCGTCTCACTCTTTCAAAAATTATAATTTTACTATTTTTTTTATCATTATTGCTTAAATCAGTTAGTAAAGTTACTTGCTCTCTTCAAGGTCCTGACTTATATTCTCACATGAGTTAGTCTTTGTCTATTTGAGTAACTGGTTCACCCTCATTTAACCTCTGTTTCAGGTGGAGAACCGTTACCACAGTGCTGGACGGGCCCGTCGCTTTTTTCACTCTGTAATCAGGGACAGCTGTAGGGTGCTCCCACGCCTTTTTGCCATCGTTGCTGAACAACAAAGGAAGCAGCTGGTTGATTCAGCACAGAGGTATGAGCAGGACAAGGGATGGAGAGTGGCAAGGTTATACTTAACTGGTGCTGTACATGGAAAATACTGTCTATGAGTTTTAAAAGACCCTATCAAAATCAAAAGAGCTTTTTTGTAAGTCCATCAGCCCAAACTCTGTCAATGTTTAAGACAAATCAACACTGCTTTTCAGTAATTAAATATCAAAGTAAAAAAAGATTGGCCTTGATTATGTATTTTTGCTGTGTTTACAGATCTTGTTGCCATGACGCTGCCTTGCCCATCTTGCCAGAAAATGGTCTGAGCAACCGTATCCGTGGACTGTTTGAGAACGCCATAGCAACAGATCTTGGTTCTAACTGTCCCTTACTCTGGAGGATGTACATAAACTTCTTGGTGCGAAATTGTTAACTGATCTGATATAATTTCCAGTCTTTCAACACTTAGTTGTAGGAAAACACTGAAAGGGAAATTTCTTTATGTTTTAGTGAGTCAGTGCTCATAACAGCTGAAAGACTGACTAGAGTTGCTTTTCTTCTTCAATCATCAATTTGTCGAGACGGTAATGTTGGCCTTAACAAAAGGCACATACATTTAGAGGGTTTGGCATTAAATTCCCAGTCAGTTGAAATAACACAAAAGAAATGGGACATCATTTTATCAAATAGGGATTTTGTTAAAGATATTATAATTCTGCTTGAACCAATAATGTGAAATGATAAAAAAAAAAGTCTGCTGCATCATAGATAGCTCCCATTTCCTTGTAATTCCACGTGTTGATCTCTGACCTCAGCCTTTGTTTTTCCCTATGCTCCAAATATTTACTTAGAGTTAGAAGAATAAGAGCTGACACACCTATGCGTGTAAATTCAAAGACCAAATATTGACCGTCAGTAAAGCCTTTTGGTTGTACAATATGTATAATGTTTTTGCATGCATTTGCAATTGTAGGTGTCTGAGGGGAATGTGGATAAAGCCAAAGGCATCTTCTACAAGGCCTTACAGAATATTCCATGGGCAAAGGTGAGACTAAGACACATAAGTGATAATTTCTGATATTTTCTACTTTCTTTGCTTTTAATTATACTTCATACAATTGTCTTGTACTAATGTGTGTTACCTGGGTGTGGTTGTATATGACTGCAAATTTACATTAATGCAAATATATACTCTTGGTTCTTGTATAATCAGGGTTTGTACATGGACGCTGTGCAGCTGTTTCCCGAGCATCTTCAGGAGTTTGTAGATGTGATGACAGAGAAAGAACTCCGACTTCGACTGCCTCTTGAAGAACTGGATATACTACTGGAGGACTAAACACGCACACACACAAACACACACACTCTTCATTGAAGAACTGGAGTTTACTGTATTGACAACGTGCCAACCCACAAATCGGTACACATGGCCAGAATAGGCCAAACACACACTAACTCACATGCTTGGGCACAAACAGCTGCAGCTTTAAAGAGTAAAGTTGCAGTGATCTTTCCTAAAGTTGGGTGAAGAGCCATCCTTTGCACACAGTGGCTATTGATTGATTTTGATATCAAATCTCTTTTACTATTTAGTTTTAAGACAGTATCAATAAATACATGATTCTCATTTATGAGTTGTGTACCCCAGGTTTGTTTGTGCATGAGTTTACTGAAACAGTCTACCATCATACAAGCAACATAAATATTTATGAGCACATGAAAAATGCATTTATACATACTGACAGAAATCAGATGATAAATTATGATAAAGGGGTTATACGAACTTGGCATTAGCCACAGAATTGTTAGGTTTGAGCTGTAAATGTTCAAATAGAAATGCTCCTACAATTTTTTAATGAACACCTCGGGCCATGGTGTCAAAACAAAATTGAAGGTTATTGTATACCTACATTTCTGTCAGAGACCCCAACCTCACTCAGAAACCAGAAGTAGAAGTTAAGGAGCCAGGAAATTACGTTTAATCAAAGTATGCAGTTCTTGTTTCTATGCTTTTATATTACTACCTGAGACTATGACAATTTAGACTAATTTAACAAGCACATCTGTGCCAAGTTTTATCCATTAAGTACCCCCCGTTGCTTGCGACAGCATTCGACAGATCACCTGGGAACTACCTGGAAGTTTTTAACCTACCCCATTGGTTTATTCTTATCACAGACTATACTGTGCGCAGGGCGGGTGGATTCCCTCCCTCCTTCCACTGTCGCCGCGCTGTGGTTTGACGCATTGCAGATCCGCCTTGGCCAATGAGCAGACGGTATACAGAGTGCACAGTATTGCGGTTCTGATTCGTCCAATCAGAATCTGTCTTTCAAAATAAAAAACGCAACTTCTCCAGTGCCGTCAGCCGCGACGATTAAATTGTATCCTTCCGCCTGAATAAGACTCAATGCAACATAAAATAGTCCGCCATTCAGTGAGCAACTTACAACAGGCTAAAAACAAGGTTTTGCTTTGAGGAGACCTATTTCAATTGCGTTTTTCGTTACAGACATAAACTATGAAACATCCACAGTTTCTGGTTGAGATTATTATGAAGCCTGTTTTTGCTCAGCAGAACAGGCTTCACAATAATCTCATCTCTATTTATTTTATAGGCTACATTTTATGACAAGAACACCACAGTGTGCTGCCTGTCTAGGCATTTGATGTTTTAACTGGTTTACTATGAAAGAAAATGTTGAGTTTTTTGAGTCTGTAATGAAGACAGCATGATTATATTTAATAATAGGCCTACATAATACTGGTCTATTTTGAGCAAATCTAAAACAACCTGAGTTGCATTTGTGCTCACCAGCAGTAGCAATAAGAGAATAATGATGTTGAGCTTTTTAAAACAAAGGCAGCAATGGCATAAAAACTTTCAACTTGATTCAAGATATTTCAAAGTAAAACCTGAAGGGAATTGCTGGAATTAATGTGGTTTTAGGTTCACTGCATGTAGGTTCCTGGGGAAAATTTGAATAATGAACAAGCCCTCTAGTATTATTAGGCTATTGGTGAGGTCTTGGGAAAGGTAATGCCAAATTACTGTTTTCAGATCTTTGCTTTTGTGTGCATCTTCCTCTAATTTGCAGTGCAACAGCAGCAAATGTGTAACTCAGACACTTGAGGTTAACTAAACACACACTGTATATGTCACTCAATGTCAGTGGTTGTAAAGGGTAAAAGTAAATTACCAGTTCAAGGTCCCAAGAAAGGGGTTAAGGGTCAGGTCTTGTATCGCAGGCAAGTCTCATTAGAGTTTGATTTTACTTTCTCCTTCTTAATTGTATTACGCTTCCCAAGGGTAAATTAAGATTGACTTTGGTTGAGAAGTGGGCAGGGGAGTGTTTAGTCTAGAATCTGGCTGCTAAATATTAAAAGATATTTCTATAGCACAATGTCCCTGTAAATTGTGGCTCTAAACATTTTTTTTTAATTCTCAAACCAAAGTTAAAGCTTCTTCAACAAACTGTTAGTTATAGTTATTGGTTTTGGCACTTTCTGAACAAAGTGGAACCTTAGATCTCTTGGCTGATCTCTTTACTTATTTAAAGGCCTTTTCTTTACAAAAATCTTGTTCTGCTCTCTTTCAACAGTCAAATCTGGCAATCATTGAGTGCTTTGCAATGCAAACTTAAGAAAGGTTGGCATATAGGATTACCCCTCTTTGCCTGACATCACTGCCCCTATAGTAGCAATTATGGATGGTAAAATGTCTTGTTTGCTCTAGTATCTCATAAAGGGGCATTAACGTCTATTTTATGAGTAACTAGACACAGAGGTACGTATAGGAATATGATACTTCAATGATTGTTACCAACATACTGAAAGTTATTGAGACAAAGGGTAAATAAATGCTATTCAATTATTCATGTGTGTAGGCTATGCAAACATATTTCATGCCACCCCTACAATGGAGCCACAGCTAGACCTCCAGTTGAAAACCCTGTGCACCGGCAAGCTTGCGTGTGCGTGTGAGCGCGCATGCAAGTGACTGTGAGAGAGCGAGAGGATGCCTCATCGACTGAGCGCGCGTTTCCCCCACAGTGCGGAGGAATACACTGAGCCGTATCGCGCTGGTTAGTCTTGTCTGCCCGCCTCCTGCAAACCTTGTTCAGTGGCAGCCGTCCATTTCCTCTCTCCCTGTAGCGTTAGCAGATCAGCATCTACCACTTGAACAGACATGGTGAGTATTTAACCAACTGTTGATTGCTATGTGTACAATATTAACTTGTATTGAGTGGACTCACAGACAGTATGTGATCCCCAAGTATCTCTGTGTTTGCTGCTTAAACAAAGAATCCGGTTGCCTCTGTTGCTAAGCGCGAGTAGAATGATCTCAGGTCTGCCGTTAGGATGGCTAACATTAGCGTGGTAGTTAGCTGGTCACACTGTCGGTGTGATAATGGAGCATATTGTCTTCTTTCTTGTCGTCGTTACTGGAGCTACCTCCTACAATTAGAAATGTCTACAGTGTTTGAATTTCGCACTTAAGCGTGCTACTTGTTACAGGTGGCCATATATTGGTGCTGTGTTGCCGAAGTTAGCATCACAGCCGCTGTCATATTGTAAAAGATGGATTTTCAGGTGTTTTGTCAAGTTGTACCGCTCCGGAAATGCCTTTGCAAATTTTGTTGATGTTTCACGATAAGACTGGACTAAGTGTCAGAATCAAACGAGTAAGTTTTGGTACTCTACTGTAAAATATAGATTCAAGAATTCACGTCAAACGGACCTTAAGACATATATTTCCTGCGAAATTGGTGCTCACAGAACAAGAGCACTCTTTATCATTCCGCTACCCATTTCTCTTGCATTGTCAGAGTATGGGGGAATTTTTTTACACAGTATATCAAAACCTTATATGTTATTTTAATATTCTAGGAGTAGCGTATCGACTGTACTCCATCAAGTGATGCTTCCATCGAGTGCCTTACGCATGCGCAGGGCCTTCCATGAACTCATCTTTGATAGGAAACACAATAAGATAGAACCCCGGCATCCGATGGCAGCGACGTCATTCATATATTTCGCTTGGAATACACTCAGTTTGATTGGCTCAGGGAGTGATAATGCATGATAATCGATACGTAAACGGTATTTCCAAAGCCCTGGAATCTGTGGCTGCTGTAATGTCCGAATCACACATCAGGACATTAAAAAATGGCTGGGTGAGGTTTTGACGGCTTGTCTAGGAGATCTGTCCAGTTTGAACCTTTTTGCAGCGTTCACCTTCTCATATAAATTCTACTGTAATTGGTTATCTGTAACTGTTACAGGCGACTGTAACATGCACAGCACGGAACCACTGTAAAATCTGCAGTGGTATCAACTGTCAAACCTAATTAGGTCACAGAATATGGTGTTACTCCAGAACATGGTCTGCTTTCCTTAGAATAAACTGCTCATGTTTAACTTTAAGACAACCCTATTATACAGATTAACCGGTGTTGAGATACATTTTTTGAGAACTGATGTCGGAGTGGTTTTTGATAAATTTGTGTCTTTTAATTCCCACCACGACTAAAGGATAATCATAATCAAACATATAATGTTTCTGGATATTTGTCTAGTCCCAGCTCTGATATATACTGCTGTTTGTCCCTGGAACAGTCTCTAGGGAGTGGTATCAGGCATGCTATGTAGTTAACTGCTCATGAAGATAGCAGCATACCTTTACACACAATGCTCTTGACAAACTGGATTGTAACAAAAGCTTTTCTCACATAACACCCTTTGTAATTCTTGCATTAACACAAACCTTGTGTGCCAAATGATAGCAGCTGACCAGTGTCTTTAATTATGCAAGCAAGGCCTTTACTTCAAGAAACTTAACTAGTAGTTCATATTGATTAAAAACCCTGGAGCATGTCATTTGTAATTTATGTTGTTGGATTCTTTTTTGAATCACATCTCAAGTAAATTTCCCTTGAATCTGAAATTATCATTGCTTTCTAAGTATGTGATTAATGTTTTGTTTTTTTGTTTTTTGTCCTTTACTGTGACTCCCTTCAGACACATTAGAGCACGCCATAGAGTGCAATGTGAACTTACTTCAGAGTACATGACTAAAGACAGGATAGTGTTTTCTCAGAGCTTTAAATCTGACCTCTACTTCTTTGTCATGGCAAATGGCGACATTGTTGCTCAAAATTTGACCACATGGCTTCCTACCACAATATAATTTTGAAACAGTGTTGTTTCTCTCACCTTTTATTGAGTGTGCCTCCTGTTTTTAGGGTTTCTAATTGAAGTCATCACCTTGAGCCTAGTTCTTAAAGTGCGGTGCATTTTGTCATAATTGTCTGTGTAAAAGCTTGTGTGCACCTAGAACAAAAGTACTAGAGCAAATTGTTTGTCTGGCAGTGGGCAGCTAAATAACCACAGTATACCAGTGATCATCTGCATCTCAGGCGGGGGATATTTGCTGATTGTATTTCTTAAATATAAAGTAAAAGGCTCTTTTTCTGGCCCGAGCAGTTCTTTAAGACTGAATTATGTGTGAGTTTTTTTTTTTAAATTTGTGATAGCTAGAGTTGTTATCGTGTATGTAGTTGGTCTTGGAGGTGGGGAAATCCTGAAAAAAATTGCTGTGATATTTGATCTATATATTAGCCTAGTACTCCTTGAATGAAAAACATTTATGGCAGCTAATGGCTTTTTAGTTCCCTCATTCAACATTTCAGAAACTTTCACTACTTGCACAAAATGCACACATACATACACGTATGCATTAATATATGTGAACATGTGACATTGAGGCTATATAATGATATGTAACTATTTAATATTTATCTTGATTACTAAAATGCACAATTTTTTTTAAACTCTGCAATTTGAAATGACCACAAACTGAAAAATGACAGTAAACTGACCTGAAAAGGTGGAAAAATGGCAGCTTGGTTATGTTTTGGTCTCTAATGTGCAAGCTAAAAGCTGCAGGGTTAGGGGTTAGGGTTAGGGTTATAATTAGGGTATTATTCTGTGGGGTCCATACATTTTTAAGTGAATCTAGTGAAAGTTCATCTCTAAATTTGAACAATAGTTGTATAGCGACCCATTATGAATACTTTTATCTGCTGAGCCTTTTCCCAGTGATTTTAGATTGGTCTTGATCACTCAAACTTTCGCTATCTAATTTTTGTTCCTGTCAGTTGAATAAGTGACCGCAGAGCACAGATTGTGTGTGGTTGCTATAGCGACAAGGCTGACAAAGCATTGAAATAGGATGTAGTTAGTGGAATTGAGGTATCTCTGTTGCAGTTATTATGTTCCCTTTTAATAGGATTTTTGTACAGCCGAGGACTTATCTTGTGAATCAGCTTATTGCTGTTGGAGTGTGCAGCGTGTTTGAAGGTGAGGGAACATTCTAGAAACAAAACAGAAATGGTCGTGTTTCCAGAGTCAGCATTGATTATCATATAGAGGGACAAAGAGTGTGATCTGGACAAACTCTATTTGTAGAGTATCCTGAGATAACTTTTGTTATAGTTTGGGGCTATACAAATAATTATAGAGTGATTCGTTCAGTGATTGAAAGGGCTAAGTTGATGTGTGCATTTTCTTTCTCAGTAGTTTCCCCCTGCATGGTCATCTACATCATGAGTTGTTTAAATATATAAATAGTCATAGCTATAAGTCACTACCTATTGAACAGCTGATAGTCAATATTAATTTATTTTGATTGGTTTGGTAGCTGTTAAGGATCACTTAATTCAAATACTATCTCCATAAAACCCCCATACACTTAATGAGCTTTTGGCCAAGGCAAATGAAAGGGTTTCCATGCTACATTTGCACTATCTCACAACAACATAGTTTGGATTGCCAGGCATCGCAGTGGCTTGAGAGGAATTTGGACTGGGTATTAGAGGTGTTAGCAGCTTGTTAACCTTGGCTTGAGTGTACACACACACAGAGACATACATCATCACTGTCATTATCATAATCCCAATTCATAAAACCTGAAAGCTCTGCTGTTTTGTATATTTACCTTTTGCTTTTGACGGTAATTCACAACTCACATTGTCTGTTTTGCCAATGCCAAATACAGAAAATAATGAGTATTACACACATAAGTATAAGGAGTACTTGGTATTACTGGTGTGCTGGTGCTTGTATTTATGTGGGTGGATCGCCTTCCCTTGTACCTGAATTATTGAGAAAAACAAAAAGGATTGGCGAAAAAAAAATGAAGAAGTGCCCTTTTGGGTACCCTTGTAAAAGATAAAACATTGCCCTCTCCAATACCCTGTCATTTGAAAAATCCAAGAAAATTGCTGATGAAGCTTTCCTTTAAGTAGATGGGACAAGGTAAAGGGTCCTCTGGATGCTCTTCCAGTTGATAAAATCTACTAAAATGTCCCCTTTGAATGAATAAAATGTGATAGGGTGATCTGTTTATAACCTAACCTAAGTATACAGGGTACAAGGGTGGAGGTTCTGTCCTTCTGCCTAAAGTTCTTTTCTCCCAGCCTGCCTGTTTGACAGGCAGGAACCTGGCCTGTTGTGCACTTGCCTTATGTTTACAAAATGCCAAGGAGAGCCAGAGAAGTAAAGAGCTTACTTTTCTGCTGGGGCTACATGGAATACAGGAAGTGTTCTTTTCATGTTTTGTTTTTTTTTTTTTTTGTTGACCCCCTTCTCTCAAACATTTGGAGTAAACCACTGAAGGGCAGTCTTACCTGTCCCTTCCCCTCTCTAACAGACCCTTTATTCTGAAGTTGATTGTAAATCTTGAAAAAATATATATACATATATTTTATTTTCATGGAAACAATTGCAGAGGGGGCCTTTGGGGTGACCCATGATGTTGTCAGGGGGGTCACATGACCAGCTAACTGATCCTCCCTAGGAGGTGCAATTGTAGCGGTGAGATGAAAGGCAGCGAGCTACCGTATGCATATGAACCCACTCACAAAACCCCCATGACCCCCTAAAGTCTGGACACTGTTACTGTCACACATCTTGAATTAATTTTCCTGACACTTTGGAGTGACCTCCTCTGACATGGCCTCCTGGCCTCTGCACACACACATTCTGTTCTCCTTTCACAGTGTTGAAGGCTCTTCATCTGTAGAACTACTGCAGGAGGTGGTCACTTCATCAGAGTGTCCATTTTTACCGTACGTCTGACAGTGAAGCCAAGCCATCATTGTCATGCCCGTGCTTAAAGACAAGCTCACACTGATGTGGAGGCACAGGGAGCTGGGTTCTCCAGAGACTGGCCCAGCTGGAGTCAGTTTCGTATGAACAGGACAGTGTCTAGTCATGTGCTCTTGTGGCAGTGAGATACAAGGAAAAGAGAGATGAAGAGTTTTGGAGGTAGCTGGTTATAAAGTTGACATATTTATTGAAGGACAAACAACTGGTTGGATAAGAAACCTGGACGACATCATCAGAAGAAAGAGGCATCAGCTGTGGGGTTGGTGCCAATTTACTGCCCTCTGCCATTCTAGAAGACTTTGGAAAACTTCTGTCATCCATCCATCCAGTCCACTCACTCTGGACTCATCAAAAGACAAGCTATAAGGTTATTTGATACCTGCTTTATTTACCTATCAAGAAGGACAAAGAAGATCGCTTTTGCCAAATTAAGACTCAAACCCGTCACCTTTATCTTCATAATGTAAATATTTAGAGATGTCAAAACCTGCAGTGTACCATTCTCTCTTTACTCTCTTTACAAATCAGAAGCAACTGATAGATGTCTGGCTATCGTTTTTTTCATCCACCTATCCCTCCCATTGTAAGACAACATTCTTGCCCTTCCTGCTGTAATCCCCTCATCATGCTGCCTAAGAAAGTTGCTCTCTTCCCTGCTGAGGATGAACTGGTGAGCTTGTCTACTGTTTATGACCTCCTGGATGAACAGCAGCTCTGCTACACTGAGCTCCTCCAGCAGCAGGAGAGAAACTACAGAGCCTTCCTGCAGATGCTAATGGACTCATCGTCCAGTCGAATGGACAGCCTGGTCAGAGAGCTACAGGACCTGAGAAACTGTCTTCAGAGAACCAAGACCGAGCTGGCTGAGGTGAAAAAACAGGGTGTCCAGAACAGCAAGCGGGCTGAGTGTCTGGCTGAAGGCTTAGTGATGGTGCGGGGGGCAGTGGATGGCCTCAGCGTGAAAATAGGAGCAGCCGGAGGAGGCTCAGGAGGAAGAGCTGTGGATCTAAAGCAGCGCAGAGGAGGTGGCGGGCTAAGGCTAGATGGAGGAGGACGAGGAGGAGTTGGAGGCAGAGGTGGACAGGCGAAAAAGCCCGAGCCGAAAGCAGTGAAGCTGGTGGCAGACCTCACAGATATCCACTTTGATGACATCAAGGTTGTACTCATGCACTCTTAGTGAAATGAGTGGGGTGGCTTGAACTTTAAAACACTGCAGTACATTGTTGTTCATCTCTGGCATGTTCTAGAGCCAGTGCTTAGAGTTTATGTTTGAGAGGAGTTTCGACTGAAATGTTGTTGCTGTGACCATGTTTTACATGTGCCCAGAGGGTTCAAAACATAAATGCCTCGAAAACATTTTTACCGTCACTCACGCAACGAGTTGTGGAACTGTTATGCTACAAAATAAGAGCCAAGTCTGTGGGTGGTTTGTTGTACTTATTTCAATTCTGTCCATATGTTTCGATTGCTTTATTCCTTCTCCACTTTCTCTTTTATGCTTTTTCTGATCATCATTGAAGATAGAAAAGAGCTTTGCACAATCGCAAACATTCTTGCATATCATATGTTCCTACAGCCGAATCTTAAACCTACATTTGTTACCGTTGATTTTCATGGGAAAAGACCAAGTTACTGACCTGCAACCTAAATAATGTCTCTGTTGAAAAGTTAGTCTGTGATAATAACAAACTTGTGAACACTTTTGAGTGAAGTACCTTTTGAAGAGATTTTACTGTGCATGTTCAGTTTGTGCCAACCTGCGCCAAGTGCAGTGGACTCAAAACGCTCATGTTTAAATGGGTAAGACTTTAAGTACACTCAGCGTCACACTTTGTTGGCTAAAGGTATACAACAACAACACTTAAGTGAAGTTTGCTTTGGCCAGAGAACAGTTCGCTGATGGTGTTATTATGTCTATTGGCTTCGTTGTGCTTCTGGGGCAGCACTAAGTATGCAGATTTAATGCATTTCTCTGTAATAAATGGGTTAGGGTATTTTTTACTTGTTTGGTCCATGTATGGTTGATAAAAACCCATCACAAGTCGATGGAATATTTTACACCGCACTAATTCACTCTTTTTTTCCGTCTTTTGTTTTTCATTTCAGGCTGATCAATTAACAGAAGAGCAGATTGCAGGTAGAGTAACAAAAAGCAATTACTGCACACTTTTTGCCTAGATCAACACAAGGTCACACTTAGTGCTGTTGCCAACAACTAAACTTTGGACTTTATGCTCCCTGCCCTTCTTCTGTTGCCTCTGTGCAGAGTTCAAGGAGGCCTTCTCCCTGTTTGATAAGGATGGAGATGGGACCATTACCACCAAGGAGCTGGGCACCGTCATGAGGTCACTGGGTCAAAACCCAACTGAGGCTGAACTCCAGGACATGATCAATGAGGTGGACGCAGATGGTATGCTGATTCCACCAGCTCTCATAGAGATTCAGTTAAAACAGGTGGTTGTGGAGCTCTTTTAAAAACATCGTCTGTTGTATTCTGTCCCCCAGGCAATGGGACCATTGATTTTCCAGAGTTCCTGACAATGATGGCAAGGAAGATGAAGGACACTGATAGCGAGGAGGAGATCAGAGAGGCATTCAGGGTCTTTGATAAGGTAAGCTTCTGTGCTTTCTGTCAGAAAGATTTAGTCTGAAAAATATGAGATTTTTAGGGTTCTGTAATAGCACTATAGAGTCCTGTTTTATTCTGAGACACTGTAGTAGTTCTGTAAAGAAGGACCAGTATTTCTAGCCCAGTGTGGGATCAAACTAACCATGCCAATATCATGCTAGAATGGGCATCTAGTTTGACAAGTAAAACACAAGTTTGGCTTTCATTTACACTCTCCATTAACCATTTGTGCAATCTGGCAATTGATTTTGACAACTTCTTAGGCTAAGTGGCAACTTCTGGTGTTGAAAAATGGAGCATGAGGCTGAAGTGCACTTTCCTCAGGTGTCCTCCTAGTCAGAGATGAAAAAAAAAAGCCAAGGAACCAACACTCGTAATCAAAAACTGTTTTTACAGCGTCTTAAACATGCATCATGGCTCAAAAAAGAAATCTCAAAAACCCTTTAGAATATAACACCATAAGTCGTTATTAACTTACATGTTTCATTTTGCATACCTCAAACAGTCTAACTCCCTCTCACTTTTTTTTCCTTGTTCATTTTGTCCTTTATTGCTAAACTGAGGGGAGTTTCTGTACCACAGGATCTTACTATGTCTGGATAGAAGTTTAGCCAAACTTGAGGTTGCTTACTGTATGGTCTGCTGTGATTCTCTTCTCACATCCTGTTTTTTGTACCGTCTCACAAATGATTTATATTTACATCGTCACAACAGGACCCAGCAGATAAATACAATTTTATGTGAACTGCAAAAAAGTTCCACTTTGGAACCGTCTCTCGATACCCAAGCCTAGTTGCCGAAGGGGAACTTGTAACAAAACTGGTAACAGCTGGCAGCTCAGACAAATAATCTCCTCAAAAAGTTATAGCCTGGTCCCATCCAAAAGGTCTAATTTTATGCAAACAAAGGCTCAGCTGTGTTATTTTCTCTGCTGTTGTGGTAATTGATAAACAACGCCCCCCTACTGCTGCATGTTCATTCCTTTCTATCAAGAACTGTGACACAGAAGAACAATAATGTCTCAGCTCTTAAGCTCAGCTCTTGAATTTCCCTCTGGAATTAATAAAGTTATCTATCTATCTATCTATCTATCTATCTATCTGTCTATCTGTCGATCTGTGTCGATCTGTCTATCTGTCTGTCTAAGCAGGTTGTGTAAAAGAAGATAGAGAAACTTGATGAAGACGATGACACGCTGTTGTTCTGTGTATGTGTTGACAGGATGGTAACGGTTATATTAGTGCTGCAGAGCTGCGTCACGTGATGACTAACCTGGGGGAGAAGCTGACAGATGAAGAAGTAGATGAGATGATCAGAGAAGCAGACATCGATGGAGATGGCCAGGTCAACTATGAAGGTACAGGAAAGCAGACTGTTGAAGACATTGTTTGGATAGACTTAGTTTTAGTGTTAAATTTTAGAGTCGATTCTTTTCTTTTTGAGTGAAAAACAGCTCCTGATTGATTTCTTGTTTCATTTTCCTCCACAGAATTTGTTCAGATGATGACTGCCAAATGAGATGGATTCACATTAACCACAAAGAATCAGTCAAATGTTTCACTTACCTCTTATTGCAAAAATCTACATTTATTCATACTGCTCTGTATAGACAACTTAAACTGAATGTTGAAAAACTGAAATTTTGTCCATATAAACAAGCTCAAAAAGACAAAAAGAAAAATCCTAAATGAATCTGCATGTACTGGCTTGTATTCCCCACCCCCCAGCGCTGAGCTGCCCAATCAGATCTCAACATGTTAGCCGAGCAGCCTCTCTGCAGCTAGCTGGTTTGGCCTCTGCTCCTCTGCTTCCTGGTTCCATCTGCCTGATGTCATGATGATTCTTTGGGCTGGCCAATCGCCTTTCTTCTACGACTTCCTGTTTTCTTTCTTTCTGTTCTTCATGCATGCAGCTTTAGATGGGTTACTGTCAGGGGGCCCAATGGCAGGAAGCTGTTGTTGGGCCTCAGGTTGGCCTGGACCCACAGAGAGGAGGGAGGGGTTAGTTGACAGATGGATGGGAGTGAGTAAACCAGCAGAAACTTTGCACGGTTTGCTTACCTTAATGAAGTCAGTGACGACAGAGATATTTTTAAGAAAAATATTAAAATGGAATAAATAAGAACTCATTTTAGATTCTGTGTTTCTGGCATGTCAGGATACTCGCTTTATCCTTTGTGTGTTTACCTTTTTGAAGGTGAAGCCTGGGTGGGGTGTAGATTTGAGCCCCTTGGATTTCAGCGGTGTTCCAGATTATTTTGAGGGGTTGGGGGGAACTACGAGGGGGGGTTGGTTTCAGTTTTGTGGGGACGGGGTCGGTGCTTTGCGGCATTTCTATCTTGTGTTTGTGTGTGAGTTTGCGTGTGTATGTGTGCGTGTGGGTGCGGCGAGGCCCGGCCCAGTCCAACTGTTCTGTTCAGTTCAGTTGATCTGCATTCCAAGTTGTACATGCTAGTCTTTACATTTTGTTTTTCCAATAAAATATCATGAACTAACTTCTTGTTCTGGGTACTGTCCGTTTTTGTTTCTTACAGTTGAACAGATCAAGTCTTTTTTTTTTCCTCTCAGTGTGGTCTGTGGGGGAAGTGCTGCTTCATCATGACTCAACTGTGCTACTTATTACATTCTGTGTCTTTTTGAGTGCAAGCATAGGCACCTGAAGGCACTGAAGCCCACATAAAGACATTTTAGGTTAGGGGGATAGGTCAAAATCCTGCATTCTTCAGATAAGCAGCAGAAAATCACATTGTTGGTCAGATCTTTAACAAAAGTATTGGAATAAGCAGACTCGGTTGCAAGTGACTACAGTCTTGCAGACTAGAACTATTTGCATAGAAGCTGAGTGATTTGAAAGTATGAAAATTCAAAGATATTGGCATAAAGAATCAAGGGTCAGGGTGACTTTAATACTAAGAAAAATCTGCAACATACTACCGTAGTTACTCTAATAAACCTGTCCTGTTGATACAACACAGATGTGTGAAAGAAAGATGTGTAATTACCTTGTAGCAAAGATATCCATCATGGTAGTTTTTACCTTAAAATTCAAGTGAGGATTGGTACGCAGTTGGGGCCAAGGCTCTACAAAGTGTGTATCACTGCGTCTAATGTGTTGTGTACATACATGTTGGTCATAGAAACTGTCCATCACTCGTGCTAAATTGTAGAATTTTACAGCTTTATGGCTCTGCATGGCGGTTGGCGGTTAAAGTCATCAGTCTGACTGTAGAGTACAAAAGTTGACAGACTTCACTGATCAGCAGTAACCTTAAGGCCTAGTATTGTGCAGGGCCTCCTCTCATTATGTCAGGGCCAAAAAAACCAGACCTTTTAATCACACCCTACAGACGCTTGACAGGATTAAGATCCGGGGGAATCTGGAGACCAAGTCAACACTTCCAGGTTCCTCCAGGTCACCTTCTTCAAATAGTCCATGGTCTAGTTCTGATGCTCACACTCTGTAGGCACATGGCCCAAATATTTACAGCCTAGTCCAAGACAGAATAATGAACCATACTCTTAAATTTTGTGGTACTGAAATATAAAGAGGGCAATAGATTTTATTCACATTCACTAAGCCAAAGCTCTGAAAATGACCAACTTGCCAGTGACCGGCACTGACACCAACTTATCCCCACTTACCTGTCAGTACAATTAGAGCGTATCAAGGGGATGCCACAAGGACTTTCTCTAGATTGGCTACAGTGTCTGTCTGCAGATGGGGAGGAGTTGCTAGGCAACAGAACCAGGCATGGGGTGGGTGGCAGTGAAAGAGAAAGGGAGCAGAAAACCGTGGGAGTTTGAGAAGAGAGGAGACAAGTGGGGGGGGGGGGGGGGGGTGAAGAGGATGACAGATAATAATAGAAACCCAGGACTGGAGGGGGGAGAGGGAGAGATCGAAGGATGAAAAGAGAGAAAATGAAAGAGGGAGATTCACTGTACATCCTTAAACCAATAAAACCTCTCCTCCTGCCTGTGATTCAGAGGATGATTCTCTGTTTTAACGGCTCGATCCGCTTCAAAACTGCAAAGACTTCACTGAACCAGTTCTGGTGCTTTGATGATACCACCTCAGTGAAAAAATATCAAGAGCCTGACTGTGCATCAATGAGAGCGAACAAACCGAGAGCAAAAGAGGACAGAATTTTGGGATGCACACACACACACACACACACACACACACACACACACACACACACACACACACAGTTAGCTACTGCAGTTATGTAACTGTCTGAAGTGTGTATTAATGTATCTTTCAGCTCACTGCTCACTATTAGCCCACTGCCACTCCAACATTATTAACACGCTTTCTGATCTAGAAGATTCTCTCTGATATTTGCCTCAAATTCAGCTCCCACACGTTTAAACAGTGTGTTTCCATCACACACAAACACAAACACAATCGCCTCTCTTCTCGCTTCAGCTCTCAACCACATAAATATTTAAGATTCTCACCTGACAGCTAAAAGAATAGAAGAGGAGCGAGTGTCTAAGTGTAAGAATATGAGTGTACATCTTCTGTAGCTGTGCTGGACAATTAATTTTCATTCTTTCCTTTTTGTCTAATTATACCACAGTTTTATACCCATTTAAGAGATACATTCAAAAGAGATCAACTCAAACTTCTAGCCGTTGAATAAAATTAAAAAGTTGCTCATATGTACATTAGATAGTCATTATTTTAATCTTCTCTTTAATGAGAATGTTTTTGATATTCTCTCAAATTTTACTTTTAAAATGATCAGTTAGGTTGTCAAGATTCAGCTGATTTGGCTTTAAAGCACCCATGAGGAGTTTTCAGCTGGTAATAAAACATACTAAAGTTAATACTGATGCCCTTCTACAATGTTAGCCCATCAGCAAAAAAACAATAATTTCTCAAGTAGTTTTTTTCATTACCCCTAGTTGAGACCAGGGGGGGTGGTGTCAGACAGCATGATTCATATAAAACTGAAGAAACAGCTTGTTTTTACATTTTTCACAGCAAATATTCAACATTTGACCGTTGGAAGAAAACCGTTTTTTTATTTCTTTGACTCAGCGACTTGGACGTGAATAGAAGTTCATTTTGTCTAAAATCAACCCAAGCTGAATGTTACTCAGGAGCTTTAAAGGTACAGTGTGTAGAAACTGGAATGTTAAGTGCTTTCTAATGCTCAGATCTAGATTATAGTGCTCCCTCTCTTACACCTCCCCTCTGTGAAGCCCCACAGGCTACGGTGGCCTTCAAGGTCACAAAGCTCCTGTCACACGTGATAAGCATAATTTTTCATACCCAATGTTTTCACCGTTAAAAATGATTACAAATTCCTCTCCCCTTACTAGCAACCACTCTCCTCCTCTTCGTCTTCTGTGCAGCGACTAGCTAAATACAAAATCAGATACGTTACCAGTTTGCCTTTTCTGTACTTCAGTGGAAACATGTTGGTTCAGAATGGGGGCTTTTTTCTCCCAATCAAAATAGTATATACCCTAAACTATGACCTCAATGAAAAAACTAACAACAACAACAGAAAAAAAACATGTATTTTTTTTAAGACTGCTGAGTCATCTGAGTGTTTTCCTCAGTGGGATAGTTTTTCTCTTTAGCAAAGTGAGGTTGAATGAGGTTTTTGTCAATAGTAAGTCAGGGGATGCCTTTCAGCTTGACTCCTTTTAGGAACGTGTGTCATGTCTGAGAAGAGTGAAGAAAAATAATGAATGGCACTGAATATCTTTAAAATCAAACATAGACTTACACCAATGTTAGTGTTTGGAGAGGAGTTAATTTAGAGGAGCTAAATTATACAGTAGAATGTGGTAGTCCATAGTTTTCTCTGGCTAGTTCTTCAGCTAAGTGACTGATCAGCATCCCCTGTGGGTCATACTCCCACAGTCGACAAGTACCCAGTTCAACCCTACTTAAAAAAAAGCTAAATTATCTCTTTAAAAATCTTTGGATAAGGTCATAAATACCAAAGGCAGAAACATGTTGGTGATATTGGTGTAGTGAGGTTATTTTTGGTCTAAACGTTTTAATCACTCATCAGATGTGTCAAAATTATAAAATTTTCAGAGGAATCAAACTCATGAAAAAAAAAAGACCATCTCGGTCAACAATTACTTTTTCTGTGTTGTCAGTGTAATAATAATCAAATGTGAAATCAATATGTAATGACTGATACCAGCTGACCATATTCAGGACACATCAGGACTGAGGCCATGACCTTTCAGAGCCCCTACCTGTAAGTGATACCTGAGGGAGCTGTAACACTGTATGAGGGTGAACTGTGGCTTCCTGACACTCCAGGACAAAGCCTGTCAGCGCTGTAATCCTCTGATAAAAACACACAAAAGAGGACGCACCTATCCACTGACAGACACACACCTGAGAAAGTAACACACACTGCTGCCCTGAGGTCGCAGCCGGAGGCAACACCACACACAGACACATGGGTTTCTGAGAACTGAAATAGTAAGCCTAAAGGTCAATATCCCTTTAGTGTCTGAGAGCAGAGCTAGTCAGGAAGAGGACTACGAGGAATAAGCACGAGTGTATTAGTACCTTAAATATCAGATACAATGAGTACACAAGTCCTGCTTGGTTTGAACCACTTTTATTCTCTTTGTCATCATCATCATCATCATCATCATCATCATCATCATCGTCGTCGTCATCATCATCATCGTCCTGATTTCAGTCATTCATTTACAGCACAAAGGACTGACTGAGTTCTGAGTCAGTCCATCTTCAATCTTCAAACAGCATCTCAGTAACATCATTCTCCAGAAAATAGAGTTATAATTTACTTTCTAAAATAACAATAATAATACACCTGGAACGATCAAATATACAACAAGAATCTTTGTATTTATACTTGAAAAATCAAACCATAAAAACTATATTTATCTAGTTTGACTGGACATGAGTGTGACTAAGACAACACAACCACTGGCTGCATTTACACACAACAGAACATCAGACTTTGGTGAAATGTGTGTAAAAGATTTTCGCATGGACAACTCTGGTTTAATGGCACCATCAATTTTCTTCATCTTTTGTTGTTGCAGCTGTTGATGCTGCAAATTGAGCATTTGAAACGAGAAAGACGTAAGTACTTATTGTGTGTGGTATAGAGTTTTATTTTCTTTTTTGTCACTATTGAAATATGAAAATATTATTATTGGCCCTATTTTTGGAAACCTTACTCCTAATTGTATCAAGAAACAAAGATTTCTTCATAATTCATGGAGATACACTTTGATTCTTGAGTCAACTCCCATTGCAGCAGCCGCTAAACAGTTAAATGACAGTCTTCATGATTATGGACAATGATAAAACTGTACTACCCCCGAAGTGGGTGTCAGGACCCCCAGAGGAATGCAAGAATCTTGCAACCGTCTAGGGGATGCAATATTATCTAAATAAGCCATCCAAAAGAACATCTTACTTAAAACGTCTCACTTTGTTCATTTAAACTATGCAGTGAAACTATGCCACATAATCCCTGAGGTGACAAAAACAGACGCACAGATGCAGCAGGTTATTTCACAGCCTAACAGGACACACAGTGACCTGCACTTTGCTTAACTAAGTATTTTAGACCTGGGTAAAGCTCATAGCTGCACAAAGACTCACCTGTCTGCGTGTTAAGTAGTCAGAATATGAAGATGATTTGTCTTCTGCCTCATGATTATTTTTCATTTAAAAGAAGCTGATGTTATGGTTGTTCAGCTGTTGTGTTCTTTTGTGTTGTACTGATGTCTGTTTTTTAAACAATCATGTGCCATGGAGGGCCGAGAGGCTGCAGGTTTTCTTTCCAACCCAAAACTCCACCAAGTGATTTCACTGATTAGTCCCTGCTCTCTGCTTGGAGGTAAGGTAATCAGTGAAATCACCTGGTGGAGTTTTGGGTTGGAAAGAAAACCTGCAGCCTCTCGGCCCTCCATGGCACATGATTGTCCACCCCTGACCTTGGGGGACAGTGGAGGACACGTGTCCTTTGGGTAGCCCAGTTCAACTACATAGTGCAGAATAAAAGAATGGGCTTAATTATGAACTGTTTTGGGGGCTGGGGTCTGCATCCTGATTCCATGGTATGCCTTTAAGTCATCATTGAAGACCAAACTATGGTCATTTTCTAACCCTAGCCAGCAACTCTGTCTAAACATCACTAAATTTGGAATAAAAGAGGAACAGCCTGCTCATAAGGACCCCAAAAACACGAGTGTGACCTTAATGTACAGACAGGGAGCTTATACAGTTTGACGTTTGATCAAGAGCAGCAAGACAGAAAAGAATTAAAAATGTTTTTGATTAAAAAAAAAAAAAACTTTTTTAAAACAAATAGGAGCAGACATAAAAAAAAAGTAGAGTGGTTTCCCATTGAGGAGAAAATGTGTATTTTGCACAGTTGTTTTGAAAGTTCAAAAAAAGGAGGTAAAACTTATCAATAACCTTTAATCTGATTTCTTCTCTGTGTGTGTAAAAGCAGCCGGTGTTTTGGCATTGAGACTTCACTGATTGATTGATTCTTCTGAGATCTATTCTTATGATTCTCCTCTGAGGCGGTCGAGATTATCAGTAACATTGAGCTCGTACAGGAAACATTTAAAACACATGATCTGCACATCCTTTTATTTTCGTCCCATCTGCTGGATGTTTGTGTGTGTGAAAAAAAAGTGAAACAGAGCGTGTGAATTTTTGGACTTATCATGTAAACAAAATGTAAACTCTTGGATTCTCTGACTGCTAAGTGGTGGTAGAGTGAGAACTGAAATTTAACATTATTTACATCTTTGAAGGGGATGAAACAACAAACACATTCAAAGTGTACTACAAATCACACACAACCACACACAACTACGCACTTTGGCACACATACACAGACATGGGTGGATACTTACAGACACAAGCAACCAATCATCTCACTGACACATGCCCTCACACAGAAATGGTCACAGCAAGGCATTGTGGGAAGGATTTGTGGACAAGGGGCAGCATGTGCGTGTGTGTAGTTTTGTTTAATATTTTAACACAGTGTGTATCTGAAGTTATGGCAGTAAAACTTTGTGTTCTTGGCATGCAGGCATGCTGTGTGTGTATGTGTGGGTATCCATGATTTGTGCCACTGTGCTGAAGTACTGAGGCAATAACTGTTTGAGAGAGGGAGAGAGAGAGAAAGAGAGAGAGAGAGAGAGAGAGAGAGAGAGAGAGAGAGTGTGTGTGTGTGTGTGTGTGTGTGTGTGTGTGTGTGTGTGTGTGTGTGTGTGTGTGTGTGTGTGTGTGTGTGTGTGTGTGTGTGTGTGTGTGTAGTGTTTTATAGTGCTCTTGGAATGATGGTGAAGGGCAGGATGGGGCTGCTGGCCTCCAGCTCCAAAGCGGTGAGGAAACACTCAGTGGCGGCGGCAGCGTTTCCCTGAGCCTGCAGGACCTCCCCCAGGCTGTTCCACACATCATGGGCCGTACTGAGGACAAGGAAGGGGGGAGAAAGAGGAAGGAGAAAAGTCAGGGTGAGGACCGAGAGAGGAGGGAGAGGATGACCAAAAAAAAGAAAAGACAGGAGTAGATTGGAAAAAGAGGGTAGTAATGGGGAAAAAAAAGGAGGAGGCAAGGAAAAAGGGGATGAAAAGTGCAGACAGTCAAGGAGTAAAGGAGAGGATGTGAAGTGAGAGAAAAGAGGCAAGTACAGAAAAGGAAATGAATATTTACACAAGTGCCCTGAAGTCTAAAGATTCAGTATATTACACAGACAGATGCAGAAGCACACACTCTCCTCTACCTGTTGACCTGAACAGCATCTCTCAGGACTTTTTCAGACAGACTGTACCGCTGCAGCTGGTGAAGAATCAGACCCTGCAGAGCAGAGACGCAGACAAAGAAGAAAAAACATGATTTGTCATGACAGTATATTACTTATAGGCAAATGCACTGAAGTACAGGACAAGTACAGCATTTTAAGATGAGACTTATCTTCCCAAAACATCAACCTTTTTGGCTGTTTGGCAGTTTTTTAATGTCTCTGCAGCACTGATAACCATTTACTTTAAACGAAGCATCTAAACTTTGACTCAGTTTTTAGTTAACTTGTCCTCCTTTTAGCAACTTTGATCACATTGTCTCTCCATTTCTCTTCCCCCTGGCACTGGCACAATGAGAGACAACTGGCCTCAGTCATGAAGGGCACACCTGCTTTATAAAAAAGTTGCACTGTCTCTAGTAACAAATGTAGACCTTTAATGAATGAATCCTGAACATAAGGCCATCCCACTTCATCCAGATGTATTTCAAAGGTTAAAAAAAAAAAAAGTCTTATATTCACATCAGTGCATAACTCTATCTTGTATATTAATGGATATTAACTTTGGTGGAATAAAGCACGATTAGTTATCTCTGGTGCAAAATGCTCTCTAAAATTTTTATGGTCTCTTCTGTGAGCAGAGGGTGCAGTGGCCATAATGAGGTTGAGCCAATAATAAAGCAGAGAAAAAAGAGATAGTGTCCCCTCTCTTCGCAGAGAGGGGACAGTGTAGCTGTCCCAGAGGACTGAGGCTGATTACATAAAACAAACAAACCTTTTAAGGACACAGCAGGCAGACAGGACAAGATTTGTTAAGTTCTCAAGAGACCGTCACAAGGACAGAACATCACAGAACATCACAGCACATCACAGCATTTGTGTATTACCAGTCTCTGCATGGTCTTGACGTGTGTCGGGTTGATGGACAGGGCTTCCTCATACCAGCGTTTGGCCTCGTCCGTGTTGCCTCTCAGCTCTGCTATCTGCCCCCTCATGTAGAGCACATTATGGGACGTGGGGAAGAGATTGGCTGCTTCCTGAGTGCAGGCTGTGGCCTCAGCGGGCTTAGACATACCGGTGTACACCTCAGCTATGAGAGAAATACAGACGACGAGGAAAAAAAAAACATCACAGAAATGACAAGAGAACTGTGAGTGCAACAAGTCCCTGTCTGAAAGTATGCATCGCTTTTGAAACCCAGGGTTTCTGTTGAGTCATCTTGTAGCTCGTTAAAAGCACCTAAAACAAAGTCTATATAAAACACCCTCCTGATAAAATTAGGACTGTTTTTTCTGATATATAAAGAGGGTGCATTCCCACCGCTTTTTGAATTTTAAACAATTGAATTGATGTGTTGTATTGACATTTAAACAGTGCAGTAGATCTTGTGTCCAAGGGGGATCAATATTTATGAACTTGTGCCCTGTTGTTACATACTAATGGGTCTCGATCAGGTAGAAAAAGTCTCAAAACAACACGAGTAAATGGGCAGTACTGGGCGCAATAAAACTTCTTTACATCTCCCCAGATCAGTACAGCCATCTGCCTTGATTTGTTTTTGCCACTAAGAGGCTTGGTGGATATTTGAGTGTCTTATACTGTGGGAAGAATAACCTTTCTGTTGATGTAAGAGTTGTTCAGACTCAATCTCTTCAAAGCCACCAGACTCTGTTAACAAAAACAATTATTTTACCTTACATAACCTGAGAGCTACAGCTGCCTTAATCAGTTTGTTGTTGTGGTTTTGTGGGATTTTGGCGGCTTAAAAGATTAGTTTAGATCCAACACAATAAAACAGCAAAGAAACCTAAGTGGTTGAGGCAGTGGTAAACAAACTTTTCCCAAGCTCCGCAGCATAAAACTACTGCTTTCATCAATGGTATCAGGTGACTTTAAACAGAGCAAGTTCAAAAGTGTTTCTTGTCTCAGGACAGCAATGTTTAATAACGCTTACATGAGAAGCTTTTCAGACTGAAATGATCAAAAATGATCGTCAGAAGCAAGATTTCTTTATAAAAACCTGCATTTGCTTAAATTGGGTTGGTTTCAGACTAAGTGATACTGCAGAAAAAAAAGTGTTTTTGTTTACAATTCCCCAGAAAATCTTCACAATGAGTGACATGAGGGGTGACAGATGATTTTATTATTTTGCCTGGTGATTAAAAATGACACAAACTAAAAACTAACCACAGGAGCTGCAACAACTGGGTCTCACTGTGTTGCACTGACATTTGTGCGATGTTTAATCTTAGCCTGTTATAAGCAAACACATGATTCTCAGTGGTCACACTTTAATGAGTTACAGTGAGAAATACTCTTAAAATCTGCGTCATGAAAGAAAACTAAAAGAGTGTTGGAGTTTTGTATGAGGATGGTGCTGAGATAAAGAGTCCCAGCAGTGAGAAAGTATGATAAAAATATCCTCTTAAGTTGCATCAGTAAAGGTCAGCCAGTGCATTCAACATGGTGACATGATGAAGACAGAAAGATACAAACAAAGACTGAGATGGACAGGAAGCGGCTCTGAACAGCCTGCTTGTCTGTCTTGTGATTGGATGATTACATTAGCTGTGTCGCCAAGCTGGAAATGACCACCTACATCAGGAAGCAGCTGGACAGATAAACAAGGACATAAACAACTTCTGTTTGTGTGTGTGTGTGTGTGTGTTCTCTCTATCTCCATCTGTTTATGTATCTGTATACTCTACAGTTTGTTGATGTTTGTGTCTACAGCTGATGCAAAAATGAGAATCAGGATTCCACTTTACTCCAGAAGAAATTTAATCTGATCTGATTTTAGGACTTAAAAACTGCAGCCAAATGCTACCCTAGCACTCAGCTGGTTGCATAATATAGTGGATGCTCTAAGAAAGATTGTCATGTGTGTCATTATAGTAAAATTGTAAGGTTGAGGGACTGGCGCATTGCAGTATGTGATGGAGGGGAAGTACCAGGAACTTAGTGATCAATGAGTACCAATATTAGGTGTGTCCTGATACAACTCATTTTTACTTTCGATACGATAACGATATTGTAGCCTTCAGTATCGGCTGATACTGATATTGATCTGATATTGGCACAAACTTGTGCATGACAAGTTTTGCACTCAGCTGCAATGTCTTTTTTGGACTTAAACAAAAAACACTGCCACACAGCCGACATCACTCTTACTCCTTGCTACTTTGTTAGTACCTTAGTACACACTGTTGTTGTGATTACATGGGCTCTGCATGCTGGATCCAGGAGCTGCTACCTAGAGGTGCTGGAGTGGAGTCTGAAATGGACTGTTTGTATCGGAATGATGATATCGGAGATTTTAGATGCAGGCCAGTTTAATCTGATATTTGTTTTTTGGCTGATATTTATATCTATATCCTATCGAGACCCTAATCAATATGTCTGTAAGCTCCCCCTTTGAAATGCTGACCTTGGAGCATATAGAACTTACCGACCATATTTACAACCCTGTACCAAAGAAAAGCTGGGTTAGTGTTAATGAAAACAGATTTTGATGCTTTGCCAATCATTTTGTAAATAATTGCTAAAAAAAGACACGACTCTGTGGTGGTAATTACAGCATTTCATTTCCATCCATTTTCTACCACTTGTTCCCGTTCCCGGGGTCGCGTGGGGGCTTGAGCCTGTCCCAGCATCTTTGGGCAAAGGCAGGGGACACCCTGGACAAGTTGCCAGTTCATCGCAGGGCTGGTAATCATAGCATGAGCTCAAAACACTTCCAAAAAACATCATCTGTGAACAAAGTTTCTGGCTGTATCCACAAATGCATGTTAAATCTGCACTATGCAAGGAGAGAACAATGTACGTACTGTCCTGTGACCAATTTATTTCTGGGAGGGCATCATAAATGCAGAACAATACAGGTGTTGGAGCCACACATACTGCCATCCAGATGATTCCATTTTCAGGACAGACCTGGCACATGTATTATAATAACATGGCTTTAAAGTAGAGGAGTCTTGGTACTTAATTGGCCTGCTAGAAGTTCCAACTTGTCAACCGGTAAAAACATGTGACACAAGGAAACTCACCAAAAGGAGACCCCAAATTGTTGACCAGCTGAAATCTTGGATCAGTGTAGGATGGGACATTTCATTTTCATAAGTCCAGAAAAGAGCTCTGGATAAACATGCCCTTGACTTAACTGCTTCTAAATAAGACTCTGGAGGTTTAAAAGAAGTAGGTGACTTTTTCTCATAAAATAATACAAATTTCCAGTTTCAACATTAAATGTGTTGTAATAAAAGGGTATTTATGTAAGATTGTCAAATCTCTAAAATATGAACCTCTTCCCATTGAATCAACAAGAAATAAAAGCAACAAGGAGAGTCAGTTTCACTAACATTCACAATAAAAAAGGCTTGAAAAGATAAAACAACCCTAGTATTGATTATTTCAATGTTGTTGAGGGGCTGAAGAGATAAACTATTCAGTGTTTTTATTAACCAAAGACAGACAGAGATGAAGTACTTCGGATTTTTATTTATTTAGAGGATTTTTAAGCTCTGGAAAGATAAAAGTATTCAGTATTTTGGTGAATTTCTTTAACACCACATAGTTCTGTTGGTGGGTGTAGTTGGACAGGAATCACAGTCTAAGGGTGAGGGAAAGGGGGATGGTTGGTACTTCAATTCCCATGTATGTACATATAAATACCTGCATGCAGCCAGATCTGAGCCAGGGTCATCCAGGGGTGCAGAGGTCCGTGTTTGGGGGCACTGCTCTGCAGGGAGGAGGCGACCTCAGACAGAGCCTGCTCCACACGACTGGCTGCGATGGATGTAGCATGAACTGAACCTAAAGGGAGAGAATCAAAGCGTTACGCACACATCTCCAAAAGGTAAACACTTACTTCTACGACAGCAGCGTTAGGCAGCCATGTGCCACAATGCAGGATTTAAACTCAACCAAACACAGCAGCAGGTTTCAATGATCCACAACTTCAGACAGAGGCGAGGAGCAGTGAAATCTGGAGTGTTTGGGTGCAGTAATGAAGCTCAAAACTCTGGGCCCACATTGGCACACAGTTTCCTGTTCCTGCACTAAAGCTTTTAATCAGTCCACACCATTCCACACGCTGCAGCACACGGTGTTATGGCCCGGGATTAACCAGGTTAAAATGAATTAATTTCTGCACCGCCATGCATATACACTGCACCAGTCTGCACTCTGCTGATTAGTAAGTGAAGGAAGTGTGCCTTGGATTTTGTCTCTGCGTTGAATGACATCAGATTACTACAGGGACGCAAAATGGCCAGCAATAGGGACTGCAGATCTGTGAAAGCAGAGGATAGTAGGATGTTTCTGCTGCACCTCCAAACATTTCTTAATGTGTTACTAATAAACAAAAACTATACCTAAATTTTCTAAATGTGCAGCTCATCTGCCATCTTCTTTTTGTCTAGTATGTGCTGTTGTCATATAAATATCTTCTTTTGTTTCAATGTGACTCTGAGTGAGACACAAAATTCTTCACAATTATAATAAACTTTTCACTCTTTAGTGAATGCAATAATTCTGATACAGCTGCTGCACTGATTTAAACATTTAGAATTATACTATAGGTTTGTGTTGATTTCTGATGTTAAGTTGATGCTTTCACATCCTGAACAATATAAAAACTGTTAGACAACAGAGAAGAGGAAACATAAAATAGTCTGTGTTTTGGTATACCAGTGCAATGGGCTGAACTCTTCACTGCTACAGAAGCTTCATGTGACAAAACACCTCCCATGCACTTATCTGCCATACTTTTGCTCCATTATAGCATGCTTGGCATCAAATGAAAAGTTGGAGATTTTAAAGCACTCTGCATGTTGTACAAAGGGAGTAAATGTGTTGCTGACTTCTGGATCAGCGGTCATAAAGAAAAGATGTCTCTGTCATTTGTGCTACGTCATACTCAACAGGAGTAAAGGTGAAGTACAGTGGCGTGGTTTAATGGGCACATTGTCAGAGGTCATGTCTTAAACTGCCAACATGCAGCAGCCTGGATTTGTACAGTGGCCAAAGATGTAACAGCATGTTGAAAAGGACATGTAAGCCTAAAATGTATTTATGAGAATCTGACAGACCTGTGCTCAAGTGAATACAATTCCTCTTCCCTGAACATCACTCTGTTTAACTGAATCATGCATTGCAGGTCCCACATCACATACAGACAGAAAGGGGTCCAAGTGAAGAGCAGGAAAAGTTTAAATCAGAGAAATGAGTGAAGAAGTAGCGCTAAATAAATTCACAAGGATTCCTTTCGCTTTTTCCATTTTGTGTCCCTTGTATTTTAAATGTTTCTAAAACCTGATTAAAAAATAGAAAAAAAACAACAACATTGTTTCATTTTTACAAAAATAAGTTGTCACTCATAAAATTTAAAGATTTGTTCAAGTGTTGCTGAGTAGTTCCCTGCTGTGTCTTGTGCCTAAATGTGGACAGCTCACACAGCAACACATGCACCAAAGCTGCTCAATGAACTAAAGGAATACACTGACTTACAGGAACACAACACCATCAGCCACCATACAAGAAGCTGGTTAGTCGAGCATTATGCAAAATTTATTTGCAGAAAATTGGTGAATTCTCCTGTTTGAGTGTGTAAAAATGTAATCCTGACAGATAAAAAAGGACATAATAATGCAAACTTCGCTCTCTCTCTCTCTCTCGCTCGCTCTCCAGGATTTTCATCACTGCAGCTACTTATTCATCTTCCTTCAGGACCTTGCACTTTTGAGGACACAAAAATAAAATATTAGTATTCATAACATCATTAGTGATTTTCCTCTCATGCCTCGGATGAATCTAGTAAGTGCTTCAATTAGGAAGCTGCTCCTTACTCTCTTTTCAGATGTCACTCTGAGCGTTTTCTTTCCTTTCTAACTGGCAGAAATGTATTTACATGTTGGACTCACTGATCTGTCTGTAGCTCCATCAACTAAATATCTTGGAAAATGAAAGCAATGCAGCAAATTTCCAGCAAATTCAACATGTTCATATGTCTTTATTCTAAAAAAAGGGTGAGATTTTTGTGTGCTCATCACCTTTTCCCTCTAAGTCGTTGTATTCCTTTAAATCAAATACTGTCAACATGAAAACAACTCAGAACAATTCTCCTGTAAACTGGCTGCAGACGAAGTTAAAGCAGGGGGATATATGTACATATTTTCTTGGTATGAATACTGTACATATATGGGGACCTTGTCAAGAACAAAGAGGGTCTTCATGGACCAAACGATGAAGAGAACAATGGATGAAAAAAAGGAAGATCAGATGGGGGTTAGATGGCTACTTACAAACAGAAAACATGGAGGAAAAACCAAGAGTGTTAGCGTCCTGAAGGCCGCCTTGAAAAACGGAGGGATGTGAAAAAAACAGAAAGACGATTGTTAATGATTAAAAGAGAGAAAGAGGCAGAGAAGAAATAACCAAATTATAATGACAGAAAAGAATGCTGATTCCAAAAGGAGGAGAGTAGAACACAAGGAGAAAATTTCCATTCGTCAAGTAGCTCTGCAGATTACTCGGATGAGACCAGATGTTTCCACTTACGCCTTTTTACTCTGTAATCTGTAATCATTAGAGCCAGAGAGTTTACATGACAAAAAGCTGATAGAGGCTTATCTTCCCCTGCTTCATAGCTCAGGATATTAACTTGAAACATATTCTCAAAATGAGGCACAGAGCAGATTATCATTGATGCAGCATTTTGTTGCAGTTGGTTTAAATTCGAAATGTCTGCACCAAGTATATAACTCATGGAGCTTTTGATCTGCCTAACAAAGCATGAGAAAAGTGCTAAACCGCCAGAGTAATACACAAATATATTTACCAAAGCATCTGGTACAATTCAAAACTCCACAATCACAGCAGTGGATGTACTTTCACAGCTTTGAATAATGTAAATGTTCTCAGGCTGACCGAGAAAATAAGGAAGAAGAAAAAAAAAACTGCATGTTTTTTGAAGCAGCTGAATTATTCATGAAAAGAACATCCATTATTTTTAATAACAAACACCATTAGCAGGAGAGATGACATAAAGTTGGAATTTGTATCAAGACAAATTAAAGATGGCCTTATGATAAATCTGCAGAGAAAACAAGGGAAGGAGAAAAAGGGGAGAATACAGATGTTAGCTGAACCAGGACACGAACAGACGGGGTAAAAGCAAATAAACCTGAGACTCTAAAGCCAGAAACGTTCAAAATGATCCCAACTGATCAATAACTTTGGAGTTTGAGATGTGTTTGTGAAGTTAATTACAGAAAAACCCTCTAAAGTTCTTTAAGGTTCAACAACACTCAGATCAGTATTCAAATCATCTGCAAGTTTACATGCACAGATTAACATCAGGCTAATAGCAGGAAGGAGGTTATTTCGGACTTAAAAACACACAGTGTTCTTCCTATGGATTAGTGGGTTGGGATATATATGTGTGTTGGCCATGCTTGTGAGGTTTAGACATCTGGTCAAACTCAAGACTTGCTTTGTGTTTTAAGTCATAGAAGGAGCAAATTGGGTTGTTGGGTCATTGGTTGTGGCAGTGATGAGAAAATACCAAAATTATCTACTAGTGCTTCAAGCGAGCACCAAAGAAAGGTCTAAGAAAAGTGAGCTGCTAAGTTAAACTAAAACTCAGTGTAAAATGTTGGTATAAACAGCATTTGATAGTCTGCAAATCCCATTGAGCCTACATTTGATTGGATACAGAGGACAGAAAACACATCAAATGTTGAAACCGAGAAATGTCCCTGTTACACAAGAAAATAAATAAATACACATATATATATATATATATATATATATATATATATATATATATATATATATATATATATATATATATACATATATATATATATATATATATATATATATATATATATATATGACGTTATCAGAGTTTTTTGGTTTTTTTTGGAGCTCAAAATCACTTCCAAAACGTAACATTTGCTAACACTGTGTAGCTACATCCACAAATGTGGGTTAGAACTGTACCATGTAAAGAGAGAACCATGTATAAACATGATCTAGAGCAGGGGTGTCAAGCTCAATTACGAAAGTAGGCCAAAATTTAAAACTTGAACAAAGTCACGGGCCAATGTTGAACAAATTAACCTTTTAATATGGACCCAAACATTGTCAAATGAAAAAACACATCAATGGCATTCATTTATTAAATAAAATTTAAATAAAAATTGTATGCCTATTTTCTATTTGCAGCCTTCTGATTTAACTATAAAAATAAACTTATAGCTAATAAATTTAAAAATAACAATAATAAATGAATCAACCATTCAAGCCCCTGCCTTGGAGTAGCAAGAAAAAGTGCATAATGAAAACGTTAATTATTGCTCAGTTTGCTACACACTGATCTAATCTGATGTGCCCAAGCCAGATACCTGGCATCTCTTCTTGGATGCTAGTTCATTGATGTCTGGGCTTAGGCTCTGAGCTGAGGAAAACCTCAGTATTGAGCAAAGGTTTTGGGAAGGGGTAACACAGTGATCGTTGTAGTATGAGGTCGCTATGACTACTGTCACAGAGGAGAGGGCATTTCAGGGTCCTGTCCTGTTTGACGTGCCAAAACAACAGCAGAGCATTATGGGATTTGTAGTATTAGAGAATGTGCTGTATAATACCGGTGGACCAGCTCTAGTAGTCATTTGGTATTGGCTCACGGGCCAAATATAATTACACAAGAGTAACCAGGCGAGAGTTTGACACCCATGATCTAGAGACTCAAAACTGCTCTCTGATCAGACAAATTTAAATTTGACATCCTTTTTGGAAATCCTGGACAACATGTCCTCCACTCTAAATAGGAGAGGTAAAACCCTGCTTGTTTGAAGCTTACACATCATAAGCCAGCTGGTATGGGGATGCACATGTACTTATAGCAAGGGTAGCTCACACATCTGGGAAGACTCCATTAATGCTGAATGCTGTCTTATGTTGCCAACCAGACAAAGACTTTTTCAGAGGAGATCATGTACAATACAGCAAGACAATGCCAATCCACATTCTGCACATATTGCAACAGCATGAAGCTCTGAGCTAACCCGGCCTGTCCTCTGTCTCAACTCATCACCTGCTGAAACCCTTTGATGCATCATGAAAAAAAGAAGCACAACAAAGGCATTCTGACAGTTGAGCAGCTGAAATCTTTTATCAAAACATCCTGATGTTTCCAGAATGAGACAACACTCTTTTTTCAAAACTTCAGGAACTTGTCTCCTCCAAAATGGTGTCTAAGGGCAAAGTAGTAAATGTGTCCCTGTCCAGACTTTTTACAAAATGTTGCTGTCATCAAATTAAAAATAGTCTTTATTTTACATTTAAACACTTACTGGCAACAATATTAGATAGGTTGTCTTTACATTTTTTTTTCAAATACAGGGTTTAGATGATTTTCAAACTGTTCTGTTTTTCCTCCACATTTTACATGTTATCTCTAGTTTTTTCTTGGAATCAGTGTTGGTCAACTTCTACTTTTATACATATTGTACTTGTAGCTGTTGTCTACATGAAAACTGCTAAACTTGCATGGTTTGACTGTGTTGTGTACATTTTATAAGAACACAGGATCTAAATCTTCCAGTCTTGGCTCATTTTCAGGCCGCATAAATCTTGCCTTTAGGCAAATTTTACAATATTGATATTTCCCATTCCGTTAGGGGCTTATTAAAAATGTTCACACTAATAATTTCAAGCTATTGCACTTAGGAGCATCCAGTAAAATGAGGCACAGAGGTCATGTATTTTATTCACACAGGTTGGTAGGAGCTTTGCTAAAAGGGACAGTTAATCATTGATTTCCAACGATCCCATCTACATCTTTGTTTCCCACAAAGGAACAAAGTTTAATAGTCCTAAATGAGGTTAAGGACCATGTGAAATAAATGACACTTATCCATAATGTCTATGCTTAAATAAATAAAGTATCTCAAATAGAGACCATCACTCAGTGTTCTTATCCCTCTGTCACAGGAACTCTGGCTGTATTAAAACAAATTAAAAGAACATGGATGACTCACACTATTGCACTGAGTGGTATTTGCCTCCATTACCGTAAACATGGGAACTGGCCTTTAATTTATGAATCAATTAAACCTTACACCACCCTGGTGCCATTTGTATTTGCTTGTGGATCAAATAAAGCTTACGGAAAGTTTACTGCCCTAAGAGTCTTTCCTGTGTTTAGGTATTTTTAGCATGAAATAACAGTTAAATTTGTGGCCTTGGAGCTGAGACTCATTGGCTTTTAGAATCATTGAATGATAGATACTGCTACACCATAATGAAATGCGTTTTTACAGTCTCACATGTTTCTGAATTTTTTACACTGAGCAGCTGACATTTCCTTATCTTCTTCTAGGCTTTTGCTAAAGTACTAAGATCAAACAATGTTCTGTTTAACTTGGAGCAGATCCCTAAACATTTTGGAAATGTTCTCATCACAGAACTTGCAACCTCCTCAATGAGCCAATCCCTCAGAAACTTTGTGTATTCCTCTCTGTCACTCTTCACACCATGCCAAAGGCTGAGTTTATGTGGAGGCGGATTACTAGAGGAGGAGCGCTGGCGAAGAGTGACTGCATTGGAAAAGGAGTAAGTCCTGATCTTGGTGGGCGCAGGAGGAGGAGAAAGAGCAGCGGGAGGAGAAGACGAAGGGAAGAAGGATGGGTTTTTTGGTGGGGGGAGAGGAGGAGGTTGTAGGATGAAGACAGGGGAAGTGGGGGAGGACAGTGGCGAGGAGAGGGAGGAAAGGGTGGATGGAGAGGCAGGGAAGACCAGTTCAGAACCAGAGTGAGAAGATGAGGAACCTGAGACTATAAAGACAAATAGGAAATAAAACAGAAATGAGTGAAATCAAACAAGAAAAATATTTGAAAAAAAATAAAAATAAAAATTCACTGTTCCTCAGTATTCAACATTTTCAACGAATGAGAAACAGTATTTATGAAATTCTACATTTTTGAACCTTCTCAAAACAGCAGCAACTTATCAAACACAACAAAGACAAAAATAAAAAAAATGAGAATGCTGAAGCCGTCCATGACCATGACATTTAACAAAAGAGTGAGGTCACATTTTCTACTGAAATTTCCTTTGAAGGGAGAGTTGGTCAATAATAAGAAACAGGAAGCCAAATCTTTGGTGCCAATTTCACAATAAAATCATTATTGCAAACTAAATTTGTAAAAGTAAAAATAAAAATAAATAAAAAAACAAAGTTAAAATGAAATAAAGTGAATCCTGTGTGGGGTTTTCTGGGTTCCTAACTCTGTGAAGTAATTCAGGTTGGCAGTCATTATTAAAGCTGGTCTTATTTTCTAACTAACTATTTGCTTCAATGCTTCTGCTCTTATCTATGTCAGCCTCAAATATCCCAAACAGGAGAGGAGATAATTAACTTTTGTTCATTTCTCTCTGGCGTCATACTCAGGTGAGAAAATCTGAATATGTTCATTAAAAGAATACTGTCCTTCAGCTGTGTTCCAGTGGGAAAAAAAACATGTTTTATGGATTGTGTGTGAGTGTGTGTGTGTGTGTGTGTGTCTACCTGTCTCAGGATCGCTAAAATCAGGTAGAGTCATGGCGTTCAGCTGTCGTCTGTCTGCTATAGCTCTGTCCAACAAACTGCTACCACGCCCCGAGTCACTGCCACAGACACAAACATGTTTAAACACAGACGCAATGAAGACAGAGTATAACTCTACAAAAACTTCTCATCTAAAAAGAAGTGACGTTTGAAAGAGTGATTAAACATTGAAGATAAACTATTACTCAATAAAAAACAGATCCTATCTCTTTACATTGCTTTATAGCATTGTACTGTATATGGGGGCTTTCACCAATCCAGTCTTCGAACACTGTTTCTCATTGTGCTTTGAGGTTTGTCAGTGATTGTGCACGCCTCTCTCACCATTGTGACCTGAACATAAACTCTGACTGACTATCCTTGAGTGCACACCGGTATATAAAGTGGCTGAGTCTGATTTACAAAACCCTTCTACCTCTTTTTTACTATTACCTGTAAAACAGAGGATGAATCAAAAACAAATAAACAAAGCATGAATGGTGACCCTTTAATATTTACTTCTCATCGCTGACAAAAGGAGACTGTACAAAATACTACCTCTCCATGGTAAATAATGGATTATTTTAAAGCGGATTACAGACAAAGTTCTGTTAACAACACACTGTCAATGATTGTTGTGTTTGAATGTGTCTCATTGGGTTATTTGACCTGTAGGATACGAACATGCAGAGATGAAGTGTAAATCATTGTAAATCAATCAACAACTGCTTCTCTGCACTTGATTTGAACTCTTTTTCTTTTGCATATCTGCTTTGTAGATCCTAACCTCTTGCTTGTATAAAATTGAATATGTTTGAAGGCAGACTCTTAATTTTTTAAGATCCCCATTTTGAGCCTTTCGAAAATTAAATAAATATGAATTGAAAAGACACAAACACTGACATTTGGTGTGCAGGGACACAAACAGCTGTCTCCTGGCTGTCCTGTGTTTGATCTGTCAGCTTTACTTCCAAATCAAAGCCCAGTAGTGTGAGACTGAGTGGTTCTCTATCAGGGGAATGATAATACACTTCTGGTAGCTATTCACAGCTTGTGATTATTCAGAAACACCAGTTCATTGAGTTCAATGCTTATAATGCAGTGTTTTTTACCTAGGCAACTGATTCACTCATTACACATCATGCCTTCACTTGCAAAGACATTCCTCGCTCTTATCTAAGCGACCTTGTGTATCTGATTATTGATTCGAATGGCGGAAACCACAACACACACCAGGCATAGAACCTTGGCACTGTTTTGTCTGGATGTGCGTACCTGGGGTTGGTAAGGTTGTAGAAGCTCTTCCAGATCTGCAGCATGTGTTTACAAGTGAGCAGTGCTTCCTCTGGTCCTCTGCACATTGACTCCAACTTCACCTTAGTATACAACAGACTGCAACACACAAAAAGCAGAAGATAACACACTAACAAGAAGAGAGAGAGAGAGAGTGCTTTGAATTGCATGCTTTGGGCGTCTGTAAATCTTACTTGAAGTTTTCAGGATATTCAGACAGAGCCATCTCTATGATATTGAGAGCGTCGTGGTAGTGTTTCTGAGCCGAGAGCAGCAGGGCGAGCAGGTGAAGGGAGTGGACATCATCACCTTGAAGCTGCAACGCCTGTCTGACATAGCCTAGTGCCTCGGGAATCTACATACACACATATACAAACTACAGGTTTCTCTACAGTTGGGATAAAAAGTTTCATGTAAACTCAGAGACACGTGATGTTCCCTGATGTTCCACTGGCTAGCATCCATGCCTCACAGCTGCATAGTTTTGATGTGTTTACAAACGATTGTTACCTGTCTAGACACAGCAAGCTGTAGAGCCAGGTAGAAGGCTGCAAGATGGTCAGTGGGAGACAGACTCTGAGCTCTAGAGAGGAAAAGGGAGAATGGATTTGTGTTTTTAGACTTGCGTAATAAAAAGTTAATAAGAGTCCATAAAATTTTAAGTATCCCGGTGGAGAAATTAGGTCGCTGCAGCAGCAAACACAGCAGAGTAAAAGAGTTTGTAAGAAAATCTAACAAGATGATATTTAAATATTGAGACACCTAGAAAAACTAACATCATATTATCAAATGAAATGACTAAATATAAAACAAGAAATGACATACCCCAGTACTGTTACAATGTGATCCATAATGCAGAGTGTGTTTATACAATTTACTTCGCATTTAACAACCTCACTGACAGACAAAACTTAGATTACTCAGGACATCTTTACTCAGTTTTAAGGAGGAAACTACATGTGTAGAAGAATGCATGTCTTTTCAGTGTAACAGTTTCAAAAATGCATAATCTGATGACATGCTGCGTGAGTAGTTTGATATATTTTAAGACGTAACTAGGATCCTGTTGAGTCAGACAACAGTTTTCTAATTTCCTCATTTGAGTTGCTCATTTTTTGGGAACTTTATACAATTTAGAAACTTTCTGACCCCAAAACATTGCTTATTACATGGTTGAAAATTTTCATCCGCTCAAACATGTTAAGTACTGACAAAGCTATGAGGAGCTTAATTGTCTTGGCTCTGGCACCCCTTGTGGATGAAGCAATGCATCGTGCCTTTCCTTGTAAATGCTTGTGCAGTATTTCCTTTACTGAAATTTCCTTCTGCCTCCTTTTCTTTACTAAAAAACTGACTACTTTATAACTTTTAAAAGGTGCTGTGTGTAGTAGGATTAATAGAGTAAATATTACATTTATCAGTTTGTTTAAACTAGCATATAATAACCTGAATATGACAATCTTTTAGATTTAGTTAACTTAAAATGAGCCTTTTATATCTTCACAGGAGTGGGTTCCCTTCCACAGAGGCTGCACTAGTGACTAGTGACTGATGTGTTTTGGTATTTATACAAAATGCACCAATTGGGAGACAAAGAAGGAGAGGGGTTATGTGTAAAAGAATTGGCACTGTTCAGACATTTTTGATGGAGAAAACTTGACAGATAGAAGACCATACTTGTATCCTATGGTAGAAGTGAGCAGTAGAGCCTTTCAGTCTAGAATCTGACTGCTAGATACTGCTGGATATTTCAGTTCTACACACCATACCTTTAAGGTGATGCTCACAAGGCTTTGCATAAAACTTTGTTAGACTTCAATGTGATAAAGAAGGTGACAAGCTTCAGTAAATGACTATGTAATCTTCACTGGTGGTCACTTTTTGATGTTTTACTGCTGACTTTGGTGTAACAAACACTGAACTCTTTCTTTAACCGATGAAAATGCAACAACAGTTAGACAATGAAACGTCACATGCTGCAGGACACAGAAACAGAAAGCCTGTTCATTAAAAAATGTTTGAATACATCTTTTTGCTGTAAAATAAAACCCTCTATATTATATCTTTTATTTGCATAGACTTTTATAGGTATTTCTTTTTGTTGTTATTAAATTCTTTGTTTTAGTTCCCTGCATCCTGTAATCAAAGGGCACTGTTGGATGGATTTGTGAGGTAATACAGTCAGAGCTGTTTTAATGTTGTTGCACTGGGAAGCTGTCTCTGCTTTGACAAAAATCACTCTGAGGGAAAATGTGGGTGTAAAAGAGGAAATATTGAGCTGCATGGCTCAGTCCCAACCTCTGGAAGGCTCCCAAAGCTTTCCGCTGGTACTCCTCCTGCATGCTTCGCAACGATGCTGGAGAGACACGGAGAGACAGTCAGGGACAGGCAGAGACTGACAGAGAGCAGTCAGATACACGATACAACCAGATAAAACAGTGCGACAATCAGTGAAGATACACAGTGCTATACACAGACGATAGAAATCAACCATTGGAGAATATGAGACCAAAATGGATAAATCCTGAGTCATCTGAGAATTATGGCTCAAACTGCATTGTTAGAGTAGGTGGGATAAAGGTACACGACACCACAAAAGCACGAGAGTGTTTTAGATTATCCACACCATCAGTCTAAAGATTCAGAGATGCACAAAAATAGGCAGAGGACTTACCATCAGTGGCTTTGAGGCTGTAAACCAGCCCAATAGCCAGGTATCCTTTGGCTCTGAATTCAGCTGCTTTCTCCCCCATGTCAATCACCATCTTTGCAAAGCACTCCCCCTCATCCAGCTGGATTGTAACAGGAGAGGATGGAGAATTATTACTGCAGCAATCATTTATGGGTATGTAAGATAAGCATCTGTATGTGACGGCAGTGAAACTCTACATTCTTTATATCTGTACATTTTATCTCCTTTGTTTTGCTCTCAGTTCCCAGATTTGGTTGCTTGTGGATAGAATAATGAGTCCTGTTTTTGCCCCTACACTATCATAACTCCCTTATGCATTTATGTTTTCTGTCTATTCAAGGCTCTACCTCTCCTTGATCCTGCCCTGGATATGCAGGTATTGTATTCTCCAAGGAAAAAAAACCTTGTCAAGCTTCACATTACTTGTGTAACTTCACAGCACTACGTACTGCTACTTTCTATCAGGTTGAATGTAAACATTAGCTCTTCAACCGAACGCTTTGAATCCAACAATCAGGACCAGGCCTGGGACCAGTTAACACTCCTTTTCCCATGTTAAAGGGATATTCTGGCGTAAATTTAAGTTATGGTCAAACACACCGTAACACTGAGTTAGACACCCCCTCGAGAGATGAATGTTGCCGACTGCTTGCTTCTCTAGTTAAACCAACTTTTAGTTATAACCGCATAATAGCGATACACAGCGGTCTACGGAGCCACATGCAAACGTCAACCAAAACGCCACTCTATAGCCACAAATAATGCTCAGAACAGCACCTAACTTCATCAACAGTACATATAGGGTCCCGGCTATAGCACTAGCCACCAAAAATCTTTTTAGCTTTGCCTAATTTCTCTAGCTAAGAGACTAAACATAACTAACCTACTCTCCTCCAGCAGCTGCTTGTTTGTGGGGGAGCCCTGACGAGTCGATCAACGAGTGCAGCGGAGTTTCGCAGCTCAAGGAAGAACATTTATGAGCATTTCTTCATGGAAATGCAATCAGACAGAGATGCTAAGGCAGAAGAACTATCGCATCTGCAGTGCAAAATGATTAATATGATGGTTATGACTTCAAGCAAATGATCTACTGCACTCATTGATCGACTCATCAGGGCTCCCCCACAAACAAGCGGCTGCTGGAGGAGAGTAGGTGAGTTGTATCTGATCCCTTTGCTAAAGAAACCAGGCAAAGCTAAAAAGATGTTTGATGGCTAGTACTATGACTGGGACCCTATATGTTTTTGAAGTTAGGTGCTGTTCTGAGCATTAATTGTGGCGTTTTGGTTGAGGTTTGCGTGTGGACCCATAGACCGCTGTGTATTGCTATCATGGGGTCATTCAACATTCATAACTCGAGGGGGTGTTTAACTCGTTGTTACAGTGTGTTTGACGCTAACTTGATTTCACGCCGGAATATTCCTTTAAACAAATGCTGAAGAGATTGTCAGTGAAAGCCTAAAAGATACTTTGATGACAGGCTTTGCTGAGTGTATGTCTACAAAGTTGTCCTTACCCAGTGCAGAGGTCCAATACACAGTTTGACAGCCAGCAGTGGGATTGTGGGGTCATCAGGCTTCAGTCGAATACACTCCTTCAGGACTTTAACGGCTCGAGCTGATTTCCCAGCTGCCATTAGAGACAGGGCGAGCTGGTACCACAGATGGAACTCTTCAAAGGCAAACTTCATGGCTCTCTCTAAACACTAGGGACAGTGAACAAAGGACAAATTTCATTAGTGTTATCAGGTTTCTCTTCAGTTTCATCTAGCCAGCCTTTGTCGAGCCAATTAGACTGCAATAAAACATTAATTTGTGAAGGGAGATGAATGTGAAAAAGAATTAAAGTGTAATTTTATGTGGGTGGACTAAGGGTGTGGGCTGAAACACTTTCTACAATCACTACGACTGTGACTAAGCAGTCCACAGAGGGATTACTCACCTCTGATAGCATCTCGTACTGCCCTCTCCTGCCCAGAGCTATAGTCAGCAGGTCGTACACCACAGAGGCAGACTGTAGGCTGATGATACGATCGTTGTTGTGTTCAGGAATTCTGCTCAGGACAGCGTCACGGTTTGCCTGAATCACACAAGCACAGGTATAGCTACAAAAATGGCACTTGATCATGAACTTTGCAAACACAGGGCTTTACAGAGGGGTGTAAAACTTTTCTAAAGAGTGTTTCTTTCTCACCATGGATTCACTGATGAGCAGCAGCAGCAAAGCCTCTTCTGTGTTCTCTTGGGGGCAAAACAGACTGAGAGAAAGCAATGCACCAAGAGAGTCGGACAGATGGAGATGGACAAGGATGAGAGGAAGAGAAAAGGGACAAATGGAGGACAAATCATCAGAGAATGATCTAGAGTAACTGGTAGACAAGTACACAGGCAACAGTTTTGTTTAGGATCCATCTTGGCTCATTTTTGACTGTACTTCCTGCTTAATATCAGCAAACACACATCATCACTTACTTCTCTCCTGAGTACACTCGTGGGCGTCGACTCAGGCTGTAGTTTTTGCATTGAGTGTGTCCTTGTCGTGTCGGATCATCTAATGGTGACACTGTTGGAGGGTCTTCAAGAGGAGACCAGTAGCTCTGTTCACACATTCCTCTGAGCAAGATCTCTGCAAGCTGTCTGGCTATGGTCTGCAGGTACACACATACAAACACACACACACACACGCAAATTTGGCAAAGACACTCCAGTACCAACATATCAGCAATCTGTTATTTGGGTGCTTATACTGCTTCTAATATACAGCTAATTCATTAGTCATCATGCACAAAAAATAATACTTCAATAGCCTGTCGTGGGTTTTCTTTCATCCATTGAAACATGCACTTCTGGAAAAAGGGGGAGGCAAAGTTTTTAATAAAACAACAATAAAACTCAAATTTTCCAGAGTGAAGCAGTCTGGATAATGCTGGGTATCACTGTGAAAGAAGAAGTCCTTCGAAGTTAAGATAGGTAAGTAATTCAACAATGCCAGAATCCTGTCCCTCAGTGTGAAACTGAAAATTGTGAATTTTTGTCATCTGCAGTATATGATATTATTAAAAGATTCAGAGATTCCGCAGAAATCTCTGCATAAAAAGAACAGAATCAATACAGATGACTGTGAATCCTTCGAGTGGCACTGTTTCAAACACAGACAGGACTCTGAAACACAAAATCCTTGCTTGAACTCAAAGTCACTTCCAAAACCACTGTACCACTTGAAACTGTACCACAGAAAAATGAATGTACCTAAGTATGATCCTGAAATGCGGCTGATTTCTTTGGGTTCAAGCCCATTTAAGATGGCCTGAGCTGAAGTAAAAAACTGTTCTGTGGTCCAAGGAATCAGAATTTGACTTTTTGGGGGGCTTAACTGCAGTTGTATCTTGTCACAATGTGTGGCATGCAACCAAAAAGTAGGACAAAAGAAAACTAAGGAGCAATAGTGAACATGCCCTTGTCCAAACCTTTTTGAAACCTGCAGCTAACAGTAAATTTAACATGAGCCTATATTTGGCATAAGTAAGAAGAGCCAGTTTCCTTCACAAAGGAAGAGTGGAAACAGGATCAAACAAAATAAGAATGAATAATGTATAAGTAAGATGTGTCCACAAGGTAGGAAAAGTGAAATACAAAAATAAGTGTCTTTGACCTCAATTACTTATGACCTACAAGGAGTGGCTCTAGTCACAGATGAAGTCTGACTGGATAGAGACAAACCAGATTTTCCTCCTGAATGTATGTTCTTCATTCAGAGTTGTAAATCTTCCTTAACATAATATGACATTTGTTTTTGTAGCATAAAATCTCATTTGGAGCAGAATAAATAAAAAAAAGAGTGTGCTTTTAGAAAAAAAAAGGATACACCTGATATAAAAATGTTGCTAAAGGATGCCAAAGGGAGGCGGCTTAACTTTTTTCCATGTGCACCTTTTTTTCTGCCTTCTTTTTGTGGGCCAAAATGAGGAATCCCAAGAAATATCAAAGTCACACTGTGAAACAGAGGAAGCTAGCGGACCAAGATAGTGTCAGCATCAGCTGATGACTCAGCACTTGCCAACGTCTCACTCCTCCCCTATTCCACCCTCTCATTCCAACTCAAAATAGTTCTCTGTCCAGAAAACAAGATTGTGACAGCCACACTGACAAACTGCTGAAGTCTTTTGGATAAACAGCTCAGCTTGGTCAGAGAACAACACCTGTAAAGTAAGATCTGCAACGTTATTTCTTAAAGGGCATAAAAAGGAAGAAATGGAGGGGTAAATGCCTCTTTTTTTCTTCCTCTAACCACCAGCACTTTCATAAAGATAAGTCTTAGCCACAGAGTGAAAAAGAAATTTAAGTCAAATCATATACCACTAACTCAGTAGAGACCAAACCAAAGACAGTCTCCCACATCCTTCCTTACCATGCGCAGGCTCTGGGTGGTTCTGGTCTCGACAGCCCGAAGAATCTCACGAAACCGCCCCACACCTCGGGTAAGGTTTCTATATGAAGGTGGTGAAGAAACAAAAAGAAAGCCATAGGTCAGAATGTGTAGCATGCATTTTTTTTAAATTATCACAGAACCGTCATTTGCAAACTTCCAGCCAAAGTTTTATCACAGTGCGAGTCAGTGTACTTGTGAAGATTTAGCAGCATCATCAGTAGATGTTTTTTTTTTCCTGAGACATGACACAGCAAAAGTTTGTCTTCAGGTGATGCTGGAAACTTAAGTTCACTACATTTGAACATTAACATTCACATCTTACGTCTTTGATGTTTGTTTATGTTTGTTGGATATTTCATGCTGTGCTAGCTAATTTGACATGCTGGCGGCTTCGAATGAGAGCGAGCTTTTAAGAGTTGTTCTAGTCAGGAATTCTGAAAGGCGATTTCAGTAAAGTAAATTCTCCTTTGAGTTTGAATTTGTAACTCCCTGTGTGATGAAGTTTAAACTCAGACACTCAAGTCAAATTCAAGGGGAAAAGGCTCATCTGCCGTCTGTGGGAGTTTATATTCCTTACTTGAACTATCTTCACAGATAGTTTCAAAAACAATAAACCAACACTGGGTGAAGACACAGCTACAAAGACAGAAAATAGTGCAGGTTTATGTAGTTAACTTAAGAGTTTGTTCATTTAGCTCAGCCCTGCAACTGAAAACAACAACTACTTTCTGCTGCACTGCGTATGTTATTTTTCACACTTTTTTTTCTTTTATCAAGCTGTCAGCAGCTTGAAAACTCGATGAGTGCAAAGTGGGTGGACAGTGCCCACAAAGGGTTGGTCTTTGCTTCTGCTGGGCAACTGACAGCCATCTAAAGAGACATGAAGTAGAAATTTTTTACAAGAGTGTAAACACACTCTTAACACACTGCCCTATCTATGTCTCTGCTGCCAATTATCCTACCCGTTTTTGAAGTGGATGACATGGGCTCTCTGTAGGCCTGTCTCCAGGAAGTAGCCTAGTTCCAGGTCCTGGGAAGTGGGGCCAGGCTTGGGGCTGCGGTTCTGGATTCCTGCTGACAAAGCCTGCAGAAAAAGAAATACAGTCAAACGGTAAGAGGTGTAAATGTAATTTTTAAAAAAAAAATGAAAAATGAAAACTTGGAGCAAGCTTTGCCTGAACACTTCCCAACTGAAAAGAACCAAACACTCAATACAAAGGTCTCCAAGCATCATTACATCAGAGAAGTCAAGCACAAAGTCAGAGGATACCCTTACTAATTCTGGTCTGTAGCAATGTAGTAAAGCAGCAGTCATTTCAAGTCCAACACAAAGTCACTGAGTCTCTAAAACACACATCAAGAGCTTATCTGATTTCTACACAGCACTGCATTAGACTGCAACATTTGCCAAACATTACTCTGTGAAATTTCTGCCATACTTGATCTACAACATAACATACCTGATACAAGTGTCAAGTACTGTTGTTGAGAAGTGCCTCAGAGCATCAACGGCTCAGCCAAACTCACTGCATAAAAATCACCTGTAATCTATTGCATCACTCTGCAGAGCTCCAAACTGCCTCTGGAAACAAATCAGCTCTCAAACGGTGCATCAGGAGCTCGGTGAATCAAGTTTCTTTGGCAATGCGGGCACATAAAAGCCTCACATCACCATCTGCAATACCATGAACCCTCTAGTGGTGTAAAGCTTGCTGCAACAGCACTCTGGAGCAATGAAAAAAGTTCTTTGGAGTGGTGATTCATACCTCACTACCTAGCAGTCTGATAGATGTCTCTAGGTTTGGTGGATGCCAAGAAGATGAGACCCACTGCAGTGTTTGGTGGGGGATAATGGTGCAGGGCTGTTTTTCGGGGCTTAGCAATTTAACTCTATTGGAGAGTGCTTATAATCCTGTATGATGTGAACAAATTTAAGCCACTTTGGAGACGACAAGTCGCAAAACCCTCTTTCTGCGGACACTCTGGCTATATCCTGTTTTGTGGACTTAAAATAAAGCGCAATGAACAAACGTGTGTTCAGAAAAGAAAGGGCTTTGTGTACTTGTGGTCCCCAGCTGTGGTGGCAGGCATTCTTTACAAACATTCACTTCATTGTGCTCTAAGCTGCAACATAGTCTCTGATGATTCAGAGTTGATCAAAGCTGTGAAACATCTCACTAAACTTTCTAAACTGTGATAAATTTAGGATTTGACAAGGAGCTACCAACAGCAGTTAACAGCAGAAGAAACAATGGCTGTCAAAGTGTATCAAATACTAAACTGGGGGAGTAAATATCATGGGACTTTAATGTGAAATGGTCTACCCCTAACTTTTAAGTCCCACCTCGTCTTGGTAATGAAAGCAAAACTTATGCTTGTGAGTTTTCATTATTAGTAGTGAATTCTCAGCTCATCATTGTCTTGTCTTTGTCATTAAAAAATGCCTTTGACGAACATTTAATGTCATAACTTTCTAAATTAACACTGTGCTGACTCCTCCAACAATTATCTGGGGGGATGAGGAAAAAAGCAGGAGAGAGGAAGAGGTGAATTTTAGGCCAGAGCCTTGTCGCTTAGCAAACAGCCACAGTCACAACTATGTTCAGATATGCACAGCTGTTTGCCCTAAAATCTTAGAAATAATTAATATATGAAAAAAAATACCTGCTGATGCAAACAGGTAAAGTTAACTGTTAACTTCTCGTAACGTGTGTAAACAAGTTAAATTCTACTTTAAAGTGGTCAGGGCTCAGGGGGCTCCATTAAAAGACAACAAATATCAGCAGCTAATGTCAAAACAATCAAGAGAGAATTCTTTAAAACTCTTTGTCTAAGAATTAAGTGTTTTTAAATGGAAGATAAAATATGTATTTATTAAGTTTTAGATCTAAGTTAGTTTGAAAGAGCCTTTTCGAAATGTATCATCCTCAACGCCTGGCAAGTGCACCAGGGGAGCCCAGGTCATGGCACTACATATATGACCCAGATCCTAACCCTGACCAGGAGGAGGAAACAGCTGAGATGTTATAGCTGAGGCTGTAGCAGCATGTCTCTTGTTGGTACATTAAACTTCCTTCAGTTATTCCTTCTTTCTTGTCTTGTCTATGTTACTTGATTCTGCAACACTGAAGAAAACCTACAGTGGTGTAGGAGAGAACAGATGTATCCCTGTGCAGAACCTGTCATTATGTATCGAGGAGCCAATGCAAATCCCCTTATAGAAGTAGTTTTTTCTCAGGTGGGCTCAAAAATTGTCTAGAGGATTTTTGTTTTAGTTGGATCCTCTTGTCTTTCACTAGAGTTAACTGTTGTTTACATTCTTCAGATACAGAAAAAAAGGATTGGTTAGCCAGCTGGCCGTCAGTGACAGAATGCATTAGTCAAACTTTTGCACTGTCAGCAGATTATTTATCACACCCCCACAGGGAGCAGAGCACTTTGAAGTCCAGTCACTTACAAGACTTTTGGAGAGTAATTGTGTGACACCATGAGAGAAAATAATTCAGTAGATGGTTTTCAAACAAGAATGATAGTAAAACAACAAAGCAAAACATTTACCTTCTCAGCCTCCTGCAGGTAGAGCAGAGCGATGTCTCCTGACTTTTCATAGCAGGTGATGATTTCCTGCTCCCGATCTGTTGTGCTCCTGTTAGATGATGGAGATCCTGTGTTCTTATTGGACAGAGATGGAGAGGCAGCAGGGACCTTTTCTAAACACAGTCCTGAGGGGCGAGAGGGAGAGCGAATCAGGCTGGCCCAAAAATAGCAAAAAGAAGCAGAAGTCATGGTACAAGAATCAGCAGGTCTGGTTTTGTAGATTTTGTAGATTTTACACTCATTGTCACCCTACACTACTGATGACTTCAAATTCATCTACTACATGTCTAAACCCATGATAAATGAATGATAGTCATTTCAAACAAAAGGCTTTGGTTATAAATAACAGTATAGCCTGTTACATGGATACATATATAATTATAAAATAAGATCAAAGGTAAATTTGATGCTAAAATTCAAAATGCAAATTCAATATATTTTCCAAAAGCAACAAGAGATGCCTCATATGTAACTATGGGACACTTATTCATATTACAGTTTCTTCCAGAGCTGCTCAGTATTGCCTATATAACACTGCCCCCATGTGGAGATCTGTAGTAGTGCAGCTATCTGGATGAACTGGATTATTGGGAGGTGAGCAGTTTCTCGGACATGAAAACACCAGGGTGACCCTTCCTCAGTTTCTCTGCAGAGTATATGGTTACTAATCAAATCTTATCAAGTCAGACCAGGTGTGTGAGTAGAATATCAAGTGGAGATTTTCTGCTAGATAATAAAGAATGGCATCATTCAAAAATCTAAAATAAACCAGCTGTTTTGAAATTTTGTCCAGGCGATGCAGAGATGTCAAGCCACCAGCCACCATCATAACTGCTGCTTCAACATAACTACTTTTTTCCATTTATTTATTATTGTGTTGCTTATTTGCATCATTTTGTCTATTTTAAATTGTCTCTTTTTCTCCTTTTTCTCTTAATGTTGCACAACTGAAAGCTGGAGACCAAGTTTCATTGTACTTGGTGCAATGACAACAAAGATATTCTACCCCGTCCTATTCTCAACATGATGTTAAGGATGTGCGCAATGAGTTGTCTATAATTTCAGTGTTGTCACCCTCTCTAGTTGGCACCGGTGTTACAAATTGGTATGAGTGATTAATATTTTATCATTGTAGGCCTGAAAAGACATGTTGTGTCCACACTGCAGCAAAGTCACCTGCCACTAGCTGCGGTTAATGGTGACTGCCATTCTACTGTAATTCCCCAATATTGGTATATAAACCAACACAGACAACAGATGGCATCTTGGTTTAGTATTTAGATATGGAAATGAAGGTTAAGCTGTATGCACTCTGTCTGATTGCCTCAACTGGAGCATTGTGTAACCAGCACAGGCATATGAACTATAACCTGCAGGCAGGGCATAAGGCATGTGGAAGACATACTCTCAAAGTAATTACTAAGCATCATTTACAGCAGTGAGGTGAATGGTTGCATGGAAGGACAACATGAAAACAGAACACCTGACTACTTTGCTGTTGACTGTGAAGAGCCATAACAATGACCAGGTGTGCATGTGTATACAACAGTCCATACCTTTGGTGGCATATGCCTCTGCAATCATAGACAGTCTGTACACAGGAGCTCCAACCAGCTGCATGTCATCAAGGTTCACTCTGCCATAGTGACCTGCCAATACATCAATTATGTATCGGTTAATACTCAGATAAGTTAAGTGTTATTTCATGTTCAAACAAAACTGCATTTTCAAAACCAGGAACATGAACAAAAATAACAGATGGAATAGAAACCCAAAGAAATATGTGTATTACCTAAAGCGTCTCTGTATTCTCCCTCCACATAACACAGTTTGGCCATCAACAGGCTAGCTTCCTGCAAATAATCAGCCTACAGGACAGACAACAAAAGGATCAGGATTGTGATGTGATCATAATGTGTAGAAGTATAAAAACATGAACATACAAAAGTGTGAAATATTGCCAAGACCTAAACAACGAGCTGTTTACTCAATGCGTTTACCATCTTGTCACTCACAGTTACCTTAAGATTTCCTCTGTCCAGTGCAGCAGTGAGGTGTTTTCTGACCTCCACCAGTTTAGGTCTCGGGCCCCTTGGACTGGCTCCCTGTTTGATGGGGTTTTCCTTCAGGTACGTCTGAAGCTTGCATTCTCCCAGCAACAGCTCCCCTAGGTCATCTGTGTGCACATAAACGTACAATATTCAGCACAAGAACCATTAACACACAGCTGCACAAACTTTGTCTCACCACCACTCCACTTTAGGGTTAGTAAACAAAGTCACTCCATATCTCAGGTGATCACTTAGGTCTAAAATTGATTAACTACCAGTCTTAGATGAGCACATATTTAATCCAAGGGTTATTCAGACTGTTCATCTGGAGTAGATGGCAACATAAACTTCTGCAGGTTTGAGCCTAGATACCATTAGAATCTAGGTTCAAATTTAGCAGCTAAATGCTGGTAAAATGTAGCTTGTAAATAGCAGGTAGATGTGTATCACTCACTCATTAAAAACCAACTGCAATCTTTTTAATAGCTTTCTTATTTTGAGCTATTATGCTCAGGTGTGATTACAAATGAACCCTTCAGGTGATCTAATGCTGTTACTGTGAACCTCTACACACAAGATGGCAAAAAGCACCTTAACAAATGTTCTATAAAAGTATATGTTGACTGTTTGACATGTGGTTAAATGTGGTGTAGTTTTCCTGGTGCTTTGTAAAAAGTTCATGTTTTGTGTCTTTATCTGTGTGTTAACACAATAATTAGGAAGTCAAATCACTACACAGGAACAAGTGGGATAATATCAGAATTTTACATATCATTCAGCATCCAAAACAAACATGACAGACTTTGTTTCAGTGACCAACTGACTTTATGGAAACATGGAGCTCATCTTAAAGAAAAAAAAACACACTATTTCTCTGACATTCTATCAGATAATTTTACAAATAAAAGCATTTCTAAACATTATGCATGTCCCCTCTGGGATTAGTCCCGGTCCTGAAAATCGGCAGTATGAAAATTCTCTTTGTAGTTGGCTTCAGTTCAGGTGCATTAACATGGGGAAAGACTGCAACACACATACCAGGCAGAATTATGCACAGCCTGAACAAACTTGTGAATTGAGTGTTTGAGAGTATTCAGGGTTTCAAAGGGTGGAAAGATAAGTAATCCTGTTTCTGATCCCAGTCAGTTACCAGAGCTCACAGCTCTCATGTGCCAGTGCAGTTTCATAATAACAACAGTTTCACAGTGTTCAGAAGTTGACTGCTAAATTCTAATCGTGTACAACTGTTCCATGGTCAGCTATCTTGTTTTGGTCATGTACACGTGCAATCACATATCTGCAGAAACTCGCATTAAAATAATGAAAGGAAAACATTTTCAACCATTCTACAGTTTCAGACGGAAACGGACAATAATGTTTAAGTAAAGCTCACAACAAACCTCTCTTGCATTCTGGTTTAGCCTCAAATCAGATCAGGCATTCTCAAACAAATTCACCAGGCCACCTGGAATTCTTGTGCTTAAAAGTTGTTCATTTGTCTGGAGAGTCAAAATCCTGAAGTGGTTCTCACCACATGCACATAAACCATAAAACAGAATCAATTTCTCTAATTGCCCCCTCGGCCATGGTTGTTAATGATCACATTTTTCAAATTCAGGAGCGCTCCAACAGGTTGGCCTTCACAGTCTTCATTTATGATTTATTCCTCAGCGATTCGCATGAGGCTGCTGAAGCTTCCTTCCATCTTAATTATGTTCACATGCAGCTATGAAACAAAGTAATTTAACACAGAGCTGCAAAGCTGTGCCTCACACTTCTGACTGTAGCCCAACTTTATCTTCTTTACCTGCTATTGGACTGTAACCAATGATTCACAATGTGTAGACAAGATACAGAAGCATAAAAAGCCTCAACTTAAGACCAGGTAGAGCATTAGAGGCTCTCGCTTCTGTCGCCTGTTCTGTTGAATCGACGAGACTCCCATAAGTGATATGTGGATGGCAGAGTGATGGAAGTGGGTAGACTTAGATCATACAATGAGATGGGACGGTTTAATGTTTTTCCACAATTCTTAGAGTTCTGTTGCATTAAAAGCAGCTCTACATCAAAACTGATATCTATGGATACTGCAACCATTGTTATTGAGCAGCATATACCTGTGTTCATCTCCCAGATTATGGTAAACTGCCCCAGACTCTGACCAATTTTAAGTTTGAACTCAAGTCTGAGCTAATATGTTTCTTTGCTAAACTTGATCTTCCTACAAATGGATGCAAGTTTTTTTTTTAAATCACTTTTTATCATTTTTCTAACCTACAAAACTTTGCAATATTAATCACTTTTAATGAGTTTTTAGGAACTGCAATACATTATTTTAATGGTTTTCAATTTAATATTTCAACACCTATTCATGATAGATTTACATTAATTTCAAACAATTCAATTATGTGATTAGATAGATGCTTGTTGGACTGTGTGAAGTGCCCCTGTGGAGGTATTTGGAAGTCCTGAGCCAGCCTGGAAGCTGTGATTTGACACTGGGTAACCTGCAACTCTAAATCTATGGGTGAATTAACCTGCATGGGCATTAAGCTACAGGACCAAGGGGTGAATTAATAATCAGGATTAAATTCTAGATAAGATCAGGTGATGAATCACAATCCAGAACAGGACTCTATTGTCAGTGACTTCAGAGCATAAACTCTTGTGAGTCCAAGTGTAAAGACTGTGGGTAGATTGTATCAACACAGTCCCCTGTATGAGGTTTTCAGGGAAGCTTGGGCTGTGTCTGACACAAACTGTGCATCCACTTTACTCAAGGCAAGGGGAGTAGATGAATCTGTGTATGTATGTTAAAACTCAAGACACACAAAGGGAATATATCAGTATTCATACAATTTTAGGATATTCAAATAATTGTAATAATTGGATTTTATTTTTCTTCCTGTTTCATGCCCTCCTTAATTGATCTTACATTTTAATGTGTTGCATATTTATCAAAATGTCATATGTAGTGCTGTTAATGCTATTGTTATTTTGTCTATTACTCTGTAAAGTATGTAACACTGCTCTGGTTTTGAGTGATGCTTTATAAATAAGCTTCACTTGGATATCCCTGGCTGTAAACCTTGAACACAGTCTAGAAATGCGACAAAATGACAGCATCTATGCTCAACAAGAGTTTCTCCTGTGTTTATATACAGTTTGACAGCTAGCATGAAGCAAACAGCCGAACAGCTAACAGATGTGAAGCTAGTTTCGATGTGAGTCCAGGATTCAAGACTAAATCCTCGTTTTTAGGAAGTCATTTCGACAAGAAAGGAAGACAATATTAACATGATGACATTTTTAATAGAGTTCCGTTTGGAGGAAAGGCGAACCAAGGGGGCAGAACTGTCAAGACTTCTGGGTCTGCTGTTTGCAGTTAGTTCTCTAAATTAGAGGATAAAGCATAGCACAGTGTGGACTACATAGATCCCCAAAACGCCAATTCGGAGCACAACATGAAATACAACGAGTCTCTATTCTGACCTAATAAGCTGTAACCAGAGTCTGGCTCAGAAAAACTCCTGACATCGGTCGCCAATGTCAGGAAGTACCGAGGACTGAGTCCCAGGGAGGAGAGGCCTCCACACTGAATGAAGGACCGACAGAGAAGCCCGCATGTTTCTTACCGTTGGATATGAGTTTGGCCGAGAGCTGTCGCACCAACTCTGGTATCTTGTCCCACTGACTCTCTGAACGGCACCTCTCTATCTCTGTCTCGAGTCGTGAGCCGGATTTCCTCGCTGTCATCTTGAAAAGTGGGCTCGACCGAACCAAAACACCGCTAGAGGAGACCTCCAGCTGGTTGCTACCACTAACAAGCCAACGTGTACGAGGAAGCCTGCATCCGGTTACTTATCAAAATAAAGCTCCGTGAACGTAAAAGAAAATTGTGGAGGTGTTCAAAGATGAAAATGAAAAGTTATTTGACAAGCCCAGTTACTTCCAATAGAAATACGAGTGTGTAAATTCAAAAACAGACGCAAATCAACCGCCAAAGGCAGTACATAATGACACGGGACTCAAGGACAGACGATCAATGACTGGATCAATAATTAGATGGAAAAATTATATCTTATTGAATTTACCAATCAGTGAATCAGCAATTAATATCGTTTTAGAACTTAGCCTGGAGTTAAATTTAACTCGTGATGAGAATCTACAGGGATAAACATACATACATACAGACACGCAAACATATATACATACATTCAAACATACAGTTCATACAAACTCACAGTTCATACATACATACATACATAGATGAGCTCATCTGGGAAAGTGACATTTTTTACCCTCAAGTTTAGAGTTGCCTTTTGTCGTGTTTATATGTCTCTTTGAGCAGGACTCCACATCCCTCTGTTCCTCGCCTAAACTTTATGCTAAATAGCAATTCTTTTTTTTTTTTTTGCAATAAATTTTTACATCACTGAACTGGGCTTTTATTTTGCGTCCTTTCCCCTGGTTGTAACAATGTTAAGATTACATCTATGTATTTACATTAGTGTAAAACAGGAACATTTGGGGTTTGCTACTAAGTTATTAAATAGGATTTACAACTTTTTATTCTCCATCACAATCCAATTCTTATAATTATAAGAAGAATTAACGATAATGTACATAGATCAATATTAGATATCAGTTGCAAAAAAGCTGCAGAATATTAAACACCAAAAAGGCAATAAAAAACAGGAACAATTGGTTGTCTTTATAGATAGTGTAGCTATAGCCCATCTGTAGCTAAATGCAAGTTGTTAGAAACTGTACGAAAGTTATCATTAACCAACATATATATTTGAATAACTTAGTGTAAGAGGAAATCCAAAGAGATTATGCTCCACCCCCTGACTTTGTCTGGTCTTGTCATTAGTGTATTATTACAATATTTTCCCGAGCAGTTTGTCTGTTTGCTTACTTCAAAATGCTTCACTTCTTCACTGGCAGTATAATCAGTAAATGACTTCTCTCATTATTTTCATGGCAGTGTAAGTAAACCACAGGCGTCAAACTCAAGGCCTGAGGGCCAAATCTGGCCCGTGGGACAATTATACCCGGCCCTCGAGATCATATCGTATTTATTGTATATCGTACATATTGTATTATTATAGTCTGCAGATTTCCTCCAGTGCAATAATGTAAACTCTAGCACCATTATTTAAAATATTCGTAATAAACCACAAAAATCTGGGAAAGGAAAGAGTAAAAAAGATTTTATAAATAGTCAAGAATGTGTGTGTGTGTGTGTGTGTGTGTGTGTGTGTGGGGGGGGGGGGGTAATTGGTGTTTTATTTATTTTCAATTTCAGGTTTCACTTAATCAAGTTTATGGCCTCTTGCTGTGGTTGGGTTTGACACCTCTGACTCTGACCATTGAATCAGTCTAGTTTTACTCTGAAAGGGAATGGAAGGAAGTGACGTTGGCGGATCGAGCACAACCGGTTCGCCGCAAACTGGACGGGCTGGTGGAGATGGCAGAGTTGTCGTTGTATTTAACAAATGTGAATGTTTCCCTGGGTCAAACAATGGAAACTGATAAGGTTAGTTTCTTATGCGGTAACTCAAGAATTCTTACGGTGGTAAACTCAAACAAAACATTTTAAGACCATTAAACTACTTCCTTAGCAGAGAGCTAACAGTCAACAAACAAAAAGTAGCTCGAGCTAATAAACGGACGAGCGCGAGAGCACTAACTGATTCCATTGTCCTGAGCTCCTCACCTGTGTAACATTAAACTAGTAATCAAGTTATTTTCACTCTATGGATATAATGCAAGTTTGAACTTTGATGTGAAAGTTTATGATGGTTTATTGTTGTTTTTATATAATATTATGATGTATAAATTTGTTTAATTTGTGGAGAGTTGACATCATATCCAGAATCACTCGAACATCATCTTAAGGAAACTTTTATATTTACAGTTTCTCTCATACTGAAAGTAAGTTTACAGGATTAAAGCTCTACATAATGCTGTGGCTGGTTTGTATGGTTTGAACTTCACTTGAACTCCTGTAGGCTTGGCTGGGCTTGCTTACCAGCACTTGCACATTACAAGCCAAACAAACTGAAGTGTTGTGTGCTTTTTATTCGACATCATGCATATCAGTTTTCTATCTCACTTGCTTCCAGACTTCAGGACGGGTGACAGACTTTGAGAGGTTGGAAATGGGGGACTGTACGGAAAGGCAGAAAGTCAAGGTTCCCCGCAAAACCATCTACTTTGCCAGTGGAGAGACCATGGAGGAGTTCAGCACTGATGAAGAGGAAGAGGAAGACCCTCTGAAGACAGATGTCATCACTGTAGATCCGGTATGTCAAGATAAATAATCACATTTTTGGAACATTTTTCAAAGATTACATCACCTGTGTCTGTTGATAAAACTTAAGCCCAATCTTTACTAATGCTCCACATCAGTATATGAAACTGCTGGTTTATCCTCCCTAGACCCCTCTAGGTAGTCCCCAAAAGTAAAATCTGCAGGTTTAAGTTATGAGTGGCCCAGGATAAATTACCAGGTTTACAATTTTGAGGTAGTGACCCAAAGCAGAGGTTCTCAAGTCCAGTCCTCGAGGCCCACTGTCCTGCATGTTTTGGATGTTTCCCTGCTCCAACACACCTGATTCAAATGATCAGCTCGTTATCAAGCTCTGTAATGGCTTAATAACGAGCTAATCATTTGAATCAGGTGTGTTGGTGCAGGGAAACATCCAAAACATGCAGGACAATGGGCCTCGAGGACTGGACTTGAGAACCACTGACCTAAAGGATGAGGTTACAGATATAGTCGGTTTAAGCGGTTTTTCTGTCACCGTTGAGCACAGCGGGGTTCAGCCTTAGAGATGAGTTAAGTGCTCAGACACCTGGAGGAAGCTCAGAGTAAAGCCACCATTTCTTTGCAGCCCATGGAGCTGGTTGGGGTGGTTCAAGCACCTGACAAGGATGCCTACCTTTGGAGGTTCTGTCCAACTGGAGACTCAGGAAAAAAAAACCCAGAGCTTGAGAAATTCATATAACCCATCTTGCTTGGGGAGGCCTCAAGAGTTCCCAGGATGAGCAAGAAGAATTTGCAGGGTAGAGAAGTGTCAGGAGTGATTTGCTTATCCTGCTGCTTTGCAAGATGCAGCTGTATATGAACAGAATAAAATGAATGCATAAATAACTTAACTTTTTTATTTTTGAAGTTTATTTTATTTTTTTATTTTATTTTTTTTCTACCATTTTTGCCTTTTTGTTAGCTAGGACAGAGGGAAATTTGGGGGATAGAGAGAGAGGGGGCAAGACATTGGATAACTTTTTTAAGACTTGAGGTGATACTATTCAAGTAATCCTCGGTTAACAAATGTATCATGTGGTTGGATTGTAATGGTTGTCTTCCTGGTCTTTTTGTTTTTTAGTCCAAACTGACCTGGGGACCATATTTCTGGTTCCAGGCATGGAGAATGGCCACTTCTACAATCTCAGGTAAAAAAACAAACTAACAACTACAATGGCGGGCATTTATGCTGAAAGCAACCTGTTTCATAAAAGTGTAACTTTTGAGAGTTTTTAAATATATAATGAACATGTGTGTGTTCCTGTAGTGTGTGACTACATGGGAGAGAGACTTGCCTCCCTCCTCGGCATCACAACCCCCAAATATCAGTATGCAATTGACGAGTACTACCGCATGAAGAAAGAGGTACGTCACAGGGACGCACACATCCTTGAGTTTCATTTGTCAGTTTCATGTAAACATGAGTTAAGTCACACCTTAAAAGCTGCTCTTGCGCCTAGGTCGCAGTTCCAACGTAGCAAAGATCCACTCTCAAATATGAACCATGAAATGGTTCACACACTGTTGTTTATCTGCAGGAAGAGGAGGAAGAGGAGGAGAACCGCCTATCTGAGATGGCAGAGCAGCGGTTTTCTGAGCAGCAGAGAGGTGAGCAGGATGATCCTCGCTCTGCTACAGTGGAGCAGCCTGAAGCATCTGGAGCTTCTTTTGTAAACATAAGCTTTGAGCTGGACCCAGAACCTCCTATCAACACTGCAGATGCAAACAGAGTCCCCTCTCCTCTTCCCTCCTGAAAACTGACACACAAAACACTACCAGTCATACATTTCAATCTGTTTGTAAAAACATAATTTAGTAAAGTAATATGGTTATTTTTACATGTTTCTAAAAAGAGATTAAATGACAACATACAGGGGGAAATTGAAGGGCTTTTTAGTGGCTACATTGGTATTACCTGAAAATGTAGATTTATATGTGGTGTAAAATCATATCCAAGACTAAGATATATGCATGAACTTCCTTTTGACTGAGCTGGCCCAGGATTTGTCTCTGTCTTGAATTGACATCAGTCAAGAAAGAGAAATAAGTGCTGTATCCTAACCTTCATCCTAAACAGTCAGCAATCATAATGGTAGAGGGAAATCATTACTGACCAGGGGGTGAGTAAAAGGTAACTTTACCTCATCCCAGAGATAAGGAGCAACACCAACTGGCTCATGCTTTAACCGCTGAAAAATCCTTAGTAGTTCTATGCAATGTAGGGCATTTCACTGTAATGAAATGGCCTGGTACTGAATGTGTCTGCTTCAAGTCTCTATGTGTATTTTCTCTGTAAAAATGTCTGCACCCCCTTGTGTGTCAGCTAAGCTGGTTCTTCCTCGAGTTTTACCTTTAATGATAATCAGGGATTGATGACACAAGTTGCCAGAACCAGTGCATTGCACTGGGAGTATGCTGACTCTTTGATTTCGGCCTGTCCTGGCTGTATGGTTATCTACAATTTTCAAATAAGGGTGAATGATTCAGTTCTGATGTAGATGGACAGATAACACAGAAATCACTTATACGTTGAATTAAAGTATGTGAATTTCTTAATATCTTGAAAATGTAATATGAACTGCAGTCAGCAAGATGTGAATGAATTAAACTCTGAAACTCTGATTCTTCAAATTTCAACTTAAAAAGTGCATAATGTATAACATATCCAACACATCGGCTTTAGCAGTGTAATAGTCACTGGAACTACCCAAAGGTGAATGTGAACTTAAACATTTCAACATTACAGTCTCCGACGTTCAGAAGTCAACGCTGTGACTTTGATTAGTTCATGAGCTTTAAGTTATGATGCAGAAATAACCTGGATGCTGCAAAAACAAGTGTCATCTATTATCGTTTAAGGCAAATGTAGGTCCACTCCACATGAACAGGAACTTACACCAAATACTGTATTTAAATCACCTGTGAGCATTAAACCTACTGGCGAATTAATTAAAACTTTTTGATATATCAATAACCAGAGATTTTGAACTGAGGAGGTTTTCAATTGAAACATTAATTTGAAACATACAGCATGTCAACTATCCAAATGTAGATTTACCTGATTTGTCCAGGATCCCGTATGTAACACATAGTTATGAGATACAGTGTTTCATAACTAGATGGCAAATATGGTTATGAAATAAATTTATTGGACCTCATTGCTTTCATGTATTGCTTCCCCAAAGCCTGAGATACACCTGCCCAAAAGGGTTGTTTTGAAAATATTAACTTAAGTAGCTCAAGTTAATTCATAGTTCTGGCTGACTCAGTAGAAACAGAATAAAACAACCTTCCAGTCGTTGTGGAACTTGGCTGTAAATGTCTAGAGTAAAAATAGCCAGGACTTTCATACAGTAAATTAAATAATATTAGGGTTGTCTTCATTCTTTTAACCACCCCTGTTATTTGGATATTTTGTGACTGTTGCTCTGTATTGACAAGAAAAGCTCCCTATTATCAGAGCTAGTACTTTCATGTCTGTGTCAGGGTTCATTCATGAAGTGTCCTTTTGGAAATGTTTTATTAGTGTACTGTTCAGACTATTCTTTTATATATTTCTGAATGACTATTTTTTTACCCTGTTTCTTTACGAGCCTCCCACTTTATAAATGAAGCAACCAACTTTTGGAATGTGCCTTTGTAACTCATACTGGAAGTAATATCGTAACCTTTGAGGTAGTGAAGTGTGGCTTACGGTGGTAAATGTCTTTACTTCTGTCAGTGGAGGATATTATTCATGATTTGTGTGTAAAAGGTCCGTTTTATGCAATATTCAGGCTATTTTGACAAACGTAATGAATCTGTATATAGATATATTTATATTCTCTAATAAACCATCAAACTTGTAAAAATTTGACTGATTGCGTTTGTCATGTAGAGTTCAAGTCATTTTTAACACTTAATACCTGATGTGACAAGAATTGAAGACCAGTTTACTTCTCAGAACCTTTGAGTAGGTGATTCCACCAGAAATCCAGACTGCTTAACAATTTTAGTCCATTCACTGAAACACATTAAAATCTGCTTTTTTTTTTTTTTATTAACACAAACAGTTTGATTTGAGAGCGGTGTACCAGCAAGATTAAAGGAAGATCTAGGGATACTTCACATGACAGGGCAGAATGTTCTCAACGTTACAAACCTGTTGGTAAGGTGATAAGTGTTGAGATGATTTATCAGTTTTAGCTGCTAGAAAAATTGTAAAAGTCATAGACTTCTTATTTATTTCTTACTTTTCTTATTTACTGTGTTTTATATGTATAGTATGACATATGAAACATGCATAAAATCTAAGAACTTATGCACAACCTTTTTGAAAAGTTTAAAAATGTTTTCTAATCCATGAATTAGAAATTCATAGTGCTTTGAAGAATCAGTTTTACATCACAGCACCAAATGATGATATACTTTTCTAAATAAGACTGTCTTTTATAGTTTTCTCGCATGCACAAGATACAGAAAAAAGATTTTCTGTGAAGACGTGTCTTGTGTCATTTGGACAAATTGAAGGCAATTTTTCTCTCTGTAAACCTAGTTTTGGGTCTTTATTATCTCCTGAAGGACATATTGAACTCCTGAACTCCCACCTTTGCTACCAAATTTATGAATGAGTAGTTTCATTGAGTTTTTTTTCTGCAGAAAACCATAACCTGTTACAGCCAAAAAGACGCTACAGTGGGAGGACTGACATTGCAGGTACGAAAAACCCTGACTTTGAGCTCCAAGTCACAACATCCAATCTACAGTTCAAAATAAAGAACTTTTAATGGACTCTTTCATTCAGATGTCAGTTACTGTTTTTTTTAGCAAAGGTCAATCAGAGTGTTTTTATGGTAAAAGGGAAAAAATGACACATTTAGGTGTTGTAGGAAAAGGTTAAATTTAATGAAAAGGTCAGTGACAAAAGAGAGATCAGTTTTCTTTACAGGAAAAAGAGGCAACATTACATCTGGCACTGCACCTTCAAAACAGCTCATTCTGTCTCCACCTCACTCTTTTCATCTTCTTGAGGTGTTGAAACTGTAACATTTAGATTCAGCTTAACCAGAAGTGCACGTGAACCAGCAGGAAGTGAATTCAGTTCAGTAGGACTCGAGAATTTCAGGCTGGGACCGCAGCCGAGACCCTCTGGTGACAGGAATGCCTTGAAATCATCTTCAGGTGTCATCAAGATCAGCTGTGTTGCTGGTGTCGTTGTCATTGGCAACCAGCACCTCTCTGTTCTCATAGGTCCAGAAGCCATTGAGGTCGATCAGGATACTGGTCACGGTATCACCCTGGCAGCTGTTTACCAAGTCCTGCAGAGTGATCTTATAGGGGTCTTTGGGCTTCACCATGTCAAAGATCTCATCCTGAGTAGACAGAGATGGTGATCATGGTTGTGTACTTGTTAAAACAGCATTTCTATTGAATTTTGCATACTGCACAAACATACCTTGACATCCTGAAAGGTGACAGGCTCCTGACCGTGGATTTTCATCTGCTCCTGAATGGCCTGATCAACAAAGCATACAACACTGCCGTTAACAGGGTTATATACACCTCCATACAAACAGCTCAACATCAGAAAGTCACGGGTGTTTGAGAACAGTTCGAATCTATGGGACAGATTCTGGGTTTAAATGATTTTAAGGTTATATAGAGGACCTAAAAGAAAATAGAGTTCCAAGTATATAAACGTAAGAGAAAAGAGTTAATGAAAGTATTTCTGAGGAAGCCAAAGATAATATAGTGAATTTTAATGGGAGATACTGTAGGTCAATCTAAATGAGATATTTTGGTTGAGTCTTGTTAGATATTTTGGTACATATGTTTGTGTCACAGATGTGAAGGTGGTACCCTGAAAAAATAGTTGAGGGAGAAGACGTTGAGGTATCCTTGATTCTCCATGTCGAGAAGTTTAAAAATGTACTGTAACGCTGCTGGCTCCTTCCTGTTCTCCAACGCCAGCACAAAGTCTAGATAGGTCTTATAGTCCTGAGGAGGAAGAGAAAGAACAACAATCATTTGTGTAGTCAATTCAGCACACTAGAGTCTACAAAATGATCACCAAAAATTCTATAATATGAGGGGGATTGAAACTGTACATGTTTGCTGTCCTGAGAGTTTACATTCAATGAGCTACTCAAGATTAACCTTAGGACTTTGGTCAAAGTTGAACATCAACATGCATCCTGGTGAGATATTAAACGACAACCCTATATCTTTCTAGGGCAGCAGAGAGTTAGAGCTGATCATACCATTTCTCCGTCATAGGTGAGGCACTCCTGAAACACTCTGTCCAGAAAGACGGAGGTGAGTGTGGCTGTGCCGTAACGTGAGAGCTCCTCTTTGCTCAGCATGCCGTTGTGGTCCTTATCCAGGTTGAGGTACTGACCTGTGGGTACACAAATAATTAAAAACATGCATGACAGACACCCACAAACACGTTTATGCGCACTGAAACAGACGTTTTCTGTTTACTCACCATAGACTCTGAGAGCTGAGGGGGCAGAGAACCAGTTGGACTCCTGACTCTCTTTGGAGAGCTCTTCATCTCTCAGCTGAGAGCACAAAGAGGGAGAATAAGAGAGAGTGAGGGGTTATGTTGGACTATGCAGCCAAGCATTAAGTGAAAAAAATCCATATCCATATAAAAAACCTACCTCCAATAAGTCATCTAGAAAGCTGCAGGCCAGTATGTCCTGGATTTTTATCTTTCCTTTAGAGAGAAACAAAAAAGACCTTTATTTAAAGGACATTTCACATATTTTCAACTTTATCTGTGTTGATTACAGTTAGGTTAGTGAATACTGTTTCTTCCTGCTCTCAGTATTTTTCAAATGCAGTTGTTCCCAGCCAATGGTGTCAGCATTTTGTTGCCATAAAGAACTACAGGCTATCCAAACATCAAATCATGGTCTACACTGTTATTGTACTTGCACTCTAGCTGAGAAACTATGCAAGAAAAAGACAAAAAGTGATTTCAAGATACTGGACTGGGTCAAAATAGGCTGAAGAAATAAAGCCGAGCAAAGGCTGGATGGTTACTTCTGTGCACTGAATCCTGAAACATGCAGACACTACTCTATCAGCAGAGAAAGTCAGCTTTCTTGGGCCAAACATTTAATGTCTTCATTCAAAACATTAACTTTTAACAATGATTAACAATCTATTTAGAAAGTGGCGACTGCCCTTGCGCTTTGACCCTCAGTCTTACCTGTCCTAAGTGGGTCGAGGAAGAAAAAGAACTTTCGAACTGCAGTGCAGACATAGAAGGAGTAGAACGATTTCTCCAGCCCGTCTAGCTGAGGCAAAGTAGGGATGAGCTCCAGGATGTAGTTTTCTAGATCCTACACAGAATAAGAAGCATTAGCAACAGTCATCCAACCAGCTGTTCATACATTTAAAGGGTGTGGTTACTGATGGAAACACTCACCGACTCTCTGAGGTGGCCCTGTCCTGCAACATCGTACAGACTCAGACCGATCCGTGTCTGATGGAGCCATACTAGATGAACAAAGAGAATGAACACGTTCAGTTCAGAAAATTGTATAACATCTGACATACTAAAGCTTTTATGTTGATGGGAAAGATCAATATAGGACTTAATCTGTTCAATAGATGTGAATTATAACCTTTTAACCTTCAAAAACAGGCTGTGTTCACTGCTAAATAATTCTAAAAAATATGATAGACAAAAAAGCAAATCAGTTAACCTTTTCTCATGACGTAGTTAAAGAACTGCATGATGGAGATCCTGCCATAAGGGTCGCTGTGGAGCAGCTTGGCATAGACTCTGGCTGTGAAAAATTTGCTGAAGGACATAGAGGACATGAAGAGAGAAACATTGTTCATTGTCTTAAAGCTGCAGTGAGGAATTTGTGTCCATTTTTGGGGACCCCTGTGGGCAAAATCTCATCCTGTTAACAATGAAAGCGTCACTATTTAGTGAATATTTGCTGAAGAAAACACTAATCTTCTGACTGCACTTTTCCTTCCCTGGGTTCAGCTTTGTTGCATTGTAAATTTTAAGACTTTTTGAAACACAAATCTGGCATAACATGAAAAAGTCAGATTTCCCCCTATATCTGAAGATGAAGAAACTTCCTGTTTTAACATCCAAACTTTTAAAAGTTGATAGTAGACACCTATTGAAACCTTCTTCTTCAGTATCCACATCCTGATTCAAAAGTTTATGAAGCAATGAAAACAGAATTTATTTGTTCATGCCAAGTTTCCCATCAGTTGAGACATGAGGTGGATATAAAATCCCTGTTATAGGGGGAATTTTTCAAGACAACCTTTGATCAAGGATGAACCCTTGGCACAAAAATGTGCTTTTAAAGGAAGTCAAGCAAAGGGGATTTTACCGTACTGTGGAGGTGCCAGTAAACATTGACTTCCTTTTACTTACATGCACTTTGGTCCGGCCCTCTCGCCCACCTGCAGGAAGGCTTCATAACTGATCATGGCCTCCTCTCCACTCACAGGAGGAACCTGGTGTTTATCAAGCAGAAACCACAGGTTCTGCAGAAAAGCAAATAAAAGATACAGATTTCACCCTTAACAGACACACAACATACACCCTCTGTGCAAAGGTGTGTCATTATGTTGTTATATTGACTATATCAGCATGTGTGTTGTTCACCTGAAGCTCCTCATTATCCAGCAGCTCTCTGCTCTTTCTCTGTAAGAAGACAGCTCTGGATTCCTCTCTCAGTTTCTGCAGCAAAATTTCATCCTCTGCTGGTAACTGCAGAACAACACCATCATCATAATGAACATCATCGTCATCATCTTCAACAGAGTTATCTTAATGGTGCAAAATATTCATCATAAGCCAGCTGACTATTATCTTCACACATCTGTTTGAAGCTGCAAAATGCAAATCAATAACAAGCTGATAATCATCATCAGCATTTTTAAGATAACACTCAGGTTGCCTTGTTTGGTTTTCATCCCTGTCTCTCATGTGGACACAGCTGATGGGCTGTAACTGTTACTTCATAAAGTTCATATGTTGGAGTAGTTGTGTAATACCTCCTCATTTTATAATAGAAACATAACCTCACAGCTTTTTCAGAGCTTGCTCCTTGTTTTAACACTGTAGAAATAGTGCTCCATTAATAACATCCGTAGTGGCACTAAAAGCCAATATGGACCCATAAAACACTAAAAGTCATGACTTAACTTGTGGTGCTGTGGTGCAAACCTGTGACATTTGAAAAAACTCTACAAACTTAGACCTCAAGGATAATCTAATGTAAGGGCAGTATCATGTAAAATAATAATAATAATGGTGTGTAATCTTGCAAACTTTTTAAGACAGGTCAGACCACAGCTGCTGCTGTCAGGTCCATACAGAGATACCATAGAAAACAACCAGGGGGGTGAAAACAGTCCTCAGCCTTAAGAGTTTGACAGCTTAGTCTGCTCTCAAACACAATAACACCGTGAACACCAGTATAAACTTGTTCTAAAAAGGTCACATTTTCAGTTCATACTCTGTAGTAAAATCGTGGTATCTTCTTGTAGGTCTTGTCTCTGTCTCCCCCTCCTCTCCACTCCGTGTAATATTTGGTGAACAGCTCTGTTTCTTCTGTTTTCTTTTCTTCATCGCTCCTCTCGTCTGTATAATATAAAGAAAATCAATCAAAACTTTAACGTTAGTATTGATATAATCACTCTGAGCAGCTGAGTATACAAAGTTAGCCAGTGTTAGCTAGTGTTCAAGTAACGTCGGTTTGATTTGCTCTCACCTTTTTTTGAGTTTGCGAGTCTCCTTTTCAAAATATCCGACCAGTGAGGCTGCTGTTCTTGGGCCATTTCTGCTAAAAGTGGATTTAATGTCTCATTGCGTAACCTTTTTATTCCTAAAGTAGGCAACAATCAATATATCTATCACAAAATGGAAAAACATCAAGCTGCCATGAAAGTAAGAATGTAACCCCGGTTGGACGTTTGGTATTTCAAAATAAAAGCTCGACTCTGTCTGTACAAACTAGAATTACAAAGTACTTAAGTTTTTCCTAAAGAACTGAATGGAGGAGATTGGGGTAAGTTGAGCCAATGGGTAAGTTGAACCACCCCCTGTTGCTTGGAAATGGTAAAAGAAATTGATCATGTGACCAAATAATTAGGAGATGGGCATGAATTCATGAAGTCTGTGAAGGTTAGAAGCATATGGGTGAAGGGGTTAGACATTTATCTCCAAAAATACATTTTTCACTCTTAAAAGTGAATTTAGTCTGTCATAAGTTTGATTGGAATTGTGTTCAGACAAAAAAAAAAATCATTTTAAATTTGTTTTACATCAATTGTGGTATCTATGAGCTAAAATATGAGGTCAAAAACCTAGCATAAAAGTCCACCATTTTAGCTTAGAGGACTTATAAAGTCATCATGTTAGTTCAGGGGTAAGTTGAGCCCGGGGCTGAAGTGAGAAAGTAAAGAAGTCTGATGAGAGGATCAGAGTTTCAGTTCAGATTGTTGAAATGTGTTACATTTCTTTTCAAAAATACAGCTGTGAATGTTCTGAATCATTTAAAGACATTCTCATTTTACAATGTCTTTTTACAAAACTGCTTTTTAGCAGTTATATGCAATAATAATAAAAAGAATTATTGTACCAGTTGAATAGTGTATAATAGATAAAAATACACATGACTGTGAAGAAGTGACTGTTATTTAGGGAGAGAGAAGGCATGCGAGCAAGGGCTGGGGTGCGGGGGTGGGGGTAGTAGGGACACAGCTCAACTTACCCCATAAACGGGGTAAGTTGACCATAGGAGACCACTTTTTTGGCGTGCTATATTATCAAGACAGTTATGTTTACACTCATTCTGTTGGTTTTCAGGGATGCACAACATCTTGAAACATATGCAGATACACTAGTTAGAGACAAAACTATGATTGCCTTGATGTAGTGATCTGAAATATGAAAAATGGCTCATCTTACCCCACTCGCCCATACTCACTTTTACCTATTTGGGATTGAGTAGAAAGATATGCAAGTATGTAAAAGTATATTTTTCAAGCTAACTGTTGCAATATAAACAACAGCATTAGTGTTCAGAGTGATTCAGACTCTGCATCTATCCAGGGGGAATGTGTTTAATATTTTGCGAGGCCATCTCTCAGTCTATGTTGTAGACACCAAAATAGGGCCAAAAGTAATTAGGCCTAGGCCTACTACTTCCCACAAATCTGATGGTTTTATGGTCTGTCTCACCTGCAAGTTAAGAAATCGGGCACAGAAACAACATACCTCGGAGACAAGACAGAATTTGTATTTAACCATAATTCCCAAAGTTTTTAAAGTTTTCAAGCATATTTCTTTTCCGTTAGAGCAATAAAATTTGAGTATTATTTTGAAATTGTCCTTCATTTCCGGGTTTTCTCTCTTGACCTTCAGTCACATGACGCTGCTCCCAAACGCAGCTGTCAAATGTTGATGACGTCACGTCTGCGACTCCAGTTCAGCATGCTGTTGAAGTTTTTTGACTGCGGTTACAGAGGCTGTTTTCTTCATTCAGACTGAATATAAAGGGATACTATTGACCGCGTTTCAGATTTGTCTATTTCGTACTGAGCCAACAAGCGAGGAGTTTTTAGCTTTGTTGTGCTGGAGCTTAACACTGTTAGATTAGTAGCTTCATGTTCAGGTCACTGATTAATGATGTACAGTAGTGGATTTATAGCTCAAGGGGTTTAATCTTCGTAAAAGGTAGTTTACATTTAGTTTTTTAAAGCCCAGAGATTAAAATTTAAAGATGGGCTCCACTTTGAGAATGACAGTGAAGATATTTTTGAAACCCATGAGCCCTTTCCTCTACCAGGGGAGTTCAGCTGTACCCACACCAAGGACATCACAGCTGCCCCTCTCAGCATGCTTTCTGTGCACAAGAGACTCAAACCACAACACTGGAGGCAGACAGACTGACTTCAGAAGCAATAGACAGGACTTGTTGAAAAACAGGACCACCAGACAAAGGGATGGGTCGTTTTGGGATGCTGTTGGTAAGGGGACAAGCCAGTCCGTCACTCTTCGTCAGAAGCCTGTCTTCCCCAAATCTGTGTTTGCTGCTGGGACAGCCAAGAGGACCACAGAGATTCTCATGAGGAAGAGAGCTGCTGTGGTCTCTCAAGAGGAGGAGCTGAGTGAGGAGGAGGAGTCTGACGAGAGCAAAACAAAGAGAGCAGGTAAGACAGAGGAGACTACTGAAGGAGACAGCTTTTTATACCAGGAGAACTTCTCAGGTACAGAAAAAACTGAATGTTAGAATGACTCAACAACAACAACACAAACACAGACACTCATCTGACTTCAGTAAGTCTTGTTAAATAAAACCATAAACCCAAAAGAAACTGAGACACCATGAAAAATGTCAATCTGAACTGATGTGGATGTTTTGCAAATCATTTAAACACTTAATTTATTTGGAAACAGTGCAAAAAAGAGTCCAAAATTAAAACAGAACACTTTTATTGTTTAATGAAAAGAACATGCGTATTTTAGGTCTAATTCCAGCAAAATATTTCAGAAAAGTTAAGAAGGGGACGTGTTGTCCATCACCTCTTCTTTCGAAAACACCCACTGAGAGTTTGGGAATCAGGGAGGCGAGTTTTCACAGTTTTGGAAGTCGAATGTTGTTGCAGCTGAACCTTATTAAATGGTAGATGTTCCCCCAGCAATGTATAATTTTTGTTGTGTCGTACAGTTGTTCTAGTTTTTTAGTGTTCCTGTCCCATGAAGCATGTAGCTGATGTCAAAGCTGGGAATGGCACGAGTATTTGTTTTTGATAAAACAAAAGTCTTTGTCAGTGTAAAAAATTAAATAAAGGTTTTGAAATATTAGTAGTTTCTGTGAGATCGTTGTAAATCACTGTTTCAGTAACTGGAGTATACATGTTTCAAAGGGAGGATGGAGCCCCCAGACCAGCCACTCTCTGTTACTGAGTGGAAGAACCTGAAGAAAACTTATGGAAATCCAAACCGCTTCGCCATCCAGATGATGAATGTGATCTTTCACTCTGGGGCCCACCTCAATGTAGCCAAGTAAGAGGATGAAGACAGTTGTCCTTACATTTCTTGTTTTTTCGCCAAATTGGTGAAATCTCAAACAATTCTATTCCCAATCTCATGTTGATTTACCTCAAAGAACTTGCAGTGAACAGTATGTTTGATAATACAGTTAACTGAACCTCTCCATCACAGATCTCTACTGACTTTTGTAGCCATGGAAACAGGGACACTCTCCTATGAGCTGCTACTACGGTACTTGACGCTGTGCGTGAACAGCGGCCATGACAGTGAGGCGTTAGATGTCTATGGCATTATGCAGGAGAGTTTTCCATCTTTGGAGACAGGAGCCTCCAGCCTCTTTATCAAGTCCTTCAGCCGCACAGAGAGGTGGAGAGAAGCCATCAACATCTTGCATGAGCTGAAGAAGGTGAAAGATTATTTTGTAAATTTCCCTGAAAATATCAAATTACTCAAAAACATGATGTCCCATCATCACCTTGATTTCATGTCATACCAACAGGTCTTTACCCCGTCACAACGCAACTATAGTGATATAATCTCAGCAGCAATGTTACATGGAGACACCATCACTGCCTGGGCTCTTTATGATGAGTTAATTGAAAAGGGTATAAGTCCAAACCAGGAGACCTGGGAAGCTCTGTTTAAGGGCGAGAAGCAGGCTCATGAAGAAAAAAAGGGGGAGGCAGAGGCCAGGTCTCAGTCTGAGATCAAGGAAAAGCTGCTGGGGATTTTGCTGTGCATGAGGGACAACCAGATCTACCCACAACTTGGCCTGGCCAGCAGCATCAAGTCTTGGTTTGAGAGGTACAAGAGCTGAAGTCAGAGACAGTGAGGGCCAGTGGAAAAGTGAGAGTGAGATGAAATCCACAGATTAACTCAACACTTATCCTAATGATACTGATAATAATAACACTGATCATCTTTATTTGGAGAACATCTCTTCCACAAAAATGTAGAGTAATTTGCTTTGCAGTGAGTAATTAGTACTTCACATGTAAGCAGATTAATGAGTAAGAATGCACTGAGTGAAGAAGACATCTAATTAACCAGTAGTATTCATTGCAGATTAGTGTATGTGAATTTTGTCTATGTAGGGTTAGCAGGGCCTCAGTGGTAGAGTTAGTCATCTGTAAATCAGATGGTCATGGGTTCAATCCCATGTCCTGGTCCCACTGGCTGCACCCTGTGAAGTGTGAATGAGTTTAGATAAAAATGATGGGTACTGTATTTTTCGCACTATAAGGCGCACCTGATTATAAGGAAATGAACCATAAATGAACGCGTCTATTCGCGTCTATTTTCATAAGAAAGGTGCACCAGATTATAAAGCACATTAAGCCAAACAAGACAGTCAGATAAGTCACACTTTATTTAACTCATTCAATAACTCTGCGAGGCTGCGGTAGCTGCAGTGCTACGACAAGCCAAAAGAATTTTAAGTGTGCCTTATAGTGCGAAAAATTTGTATAGCAGCCTACAGGTGAATGTGACCTTTAGTAAAAACACTTTGTTAAAAGGTTGTTAAAACTTTAACTGAATATAAACTGTTTCTGGATTACAGCATTTCATGCTGTAATTGGTTAAGGCTTTGATATTAAACCTTTTCTATTTTTTCCCTCTCATTTCCTTCACTCTGTCTTAATCGCTTTGTTCTCAGCCTCACTGGAGAGAAATGGACAGGAAGTTGGACCACTGCAACCCCAAAGTAATTCTTACACTTTATCTTAGCATGAACCTTCATAGGCGGAAATGTGTTTTTGAAACAGATCTGAGTTTGTTTGTTTGTTTGTTTGTGTGTGTTTTCAGGGGTGTATGTAGTAGCTGTGGGTCTGCATTAGAGACCATCAATTTGACCACTGAGGAGTACAGTGAGCTCAAAGACAAAGTGATGTCTGACATCATTGAGGGAAGAGATGTTTTTTGCAAGACTACACCACAGGTATGCACACACACACATTGGCAAAGTTTGACTGAATCAGTATTTAAAGTGAACATTTCAAGATTTAAATAGGACTTAACAAATCATCACATACCACTTCACTTGTGTCTCCATCATGGTTGTGTTTAACTTTTACTTTTGTAAGTCAAATACCTGTAAGCTGTGATTATTAGAAACTTAAAAGAGATATGCTAATAACCTTTTAATGTTGGGTTTTAAATTAAACCAATGAAAAACAATAACAACCAAAGAAACCCTTGTAAGGTTATTTTCTTTTGTCACTGCCAAAAGCGTGATATGGCAAGTTTTGCATATTCCAAGACAAGATGAAAAGTAATCAGAGAAACTAGAGTAACTTCTTTAAAAGGAAGGGTATCTTTGTACATTTTTTAGAGAGAAATTGTTTCATTCTTACCGGGGAGCCTACTCTAACATCTGGTGTGGGACTGCAGATGATTACTAGCCCTTTGGCTAACTCTGACGTATTTACAAAAGTGTTGCTTGATATGCACCGCGCCTGTAAAATAAAAATAAATACAATGAAATGAGAAATATTACAGTGTCAGACCAAGACTATACGATTCTTCCTATAGTCTGATTGCAGTTAAACTCTGACCCCCGCATCACTGAAAATTACAATGTTTTCACCTACACTCAACAAAGATACAAATATACATTACACTGAAATGTGAAAATGAATTACTGTGAAACTGCAGTTTTGCCAATCTGCTCTCTTAAACAAAATGTGAATAGTCTCTAATTGCCTTGAAAATGATGCTTTTGCAAGTTTCTTTTTTGGGGGACATATCTAATCCTTTATGTCAGTTTTGTTTAAAGAAAAAAATCTGATCCATTTCAGACTTCATCAACGTGTTTCATGTTCCAGCTTTCTACCTTTAACTTCTGCTAGATGGCGTCATGTGCACACTAGGCAACAGGTCGATGAGGTATTCAAATCAGTTTAGTCAACTCTGGACTTCAAGAAACTGCTTTCACTTGATAAATGAAAGTCAAGCACTCTCTTTACAGACCTCCTGTTCTCACACTTTGAGAAGCTTTCTTAAAGTTAGTTCATTTTAGCAGTGGGCTCAGAAACATTATTCATTAATATGTCTGGGCTGACATTACTTAAGAACTGTATCCAAAACACAGCGAATGCGCACTATTCAGCTTTCTCTTTTCCTGCCCTGTATGTGATTCAGATAAGTCTGTCTGGCCTAAACGGCTGTTTAGATACAGGCAAATATTAAACCACCTGCTGCTAACTACAACTGGCTTCCACAAGGGATTTTAATATTTCTAACCAGCAATCTGTATCACTCAAAATAAAACAAAAAACAAGGTAAATATTCGGAAAAAGAAACAAACAAAAGTTTTATTTATTACTATTATTTTGCTTGACCTTGTGATGGCATGCATCAGGTGATACTTTCAGATAAATCTTATATTCTTTAAAACCTTTTGAAGAAAATCAGCACATCAGCTGTGAAATTGAGGGTTTCTGTATTGTAATTTTAATGGCTGTAACCACCGCGAGGAGGAAAGTGTCGGACAAGACATCATGCACACACCAAGAAACACCCTTTTTATGCATTTCCCATTGCCAACTTTCCCTGTGAGTGATACACTGTCAAAAAACAAAGGGGTTATGTTTTCTGACAGAGACTACATCTGCTTTGAAATATCAGACAAAAAATCAGACAAATTAACACAAACACCAAGTTCCCCAGAGAGGCTTTGAGAACACAGCTGCGTCAAAAACTCCTTGAATAATCTACATTATTACCCTGTTGTTTGGTAAAAGTGGGTCTTGCGTGACAGAAACATGCAAATTGTCATTTTTAGTCCTCAATTATTTAACATATCAAACAAACCAGATGCCGCATGCTAATTAGTCTGATGTTCGATATTTCCCCGTCTTCTGTTCTGCACATACAACGTCACACAGATCTGACTGGTAACTGCTGGAATGATCTTAATCATCTTAGTCAAAATTACAAAGAAATGAGTTTTACGAGGTGTCAGACTACTCTGCTGCTTTGTGCTAAGAATTTGTCATATTTTACATGCATTGAAGAATCTGAGTTCATGATATTACACTGTGAACACAGTGTGTATTTGAAGGCCAAAGACATCAAGTGTATCAGTCCACTCAAAGTTTGCCAAGTGATGGTACACACACACCTGTCTGATGAACCAACACCATGAACAGATTATCAGGATCTAAATACTGGCACTAAGGTCAGCACGAACCAGTTTAAGAACAAGGAAACATAAAATGAAGACTGTATACATCTATAGAGTTAAAATCAGGCAGTTATCATCTGATCTTGGTTGCATACACACACACTGTGATGTTAAATAGCCAGATAGACACAAGCTTTTCACTGGATTTGAAGGCATTGACTGTAGCTGCCAGTGTCAATAAGGAAAATCACCTTTCATAGGTCCTGGAAAATCTTGGCACATTGTTAGCAATAAATTTAAATGTAATCTGTAATCTTTAATTTTCTCACTGTGAGATAGTTTGCTTGTGTTTTCCGTTTTTCTGAAGTCTGGGGGAGTTTGTCAGTGGAACGGTTAAATTTAGGGGATTTCCAGCATGTGGAGCACCATGTGAATCTGGACCACAACTGCCTCCCACCAAGGAGACATACTGAGGAAGAGAGCCAGACATTTTAACTCGACTTTATTAATTTCCAATTCAAGGCGATTCATTATGAGGGCATGCAGAGGGCCTCAGACAACAGTAAAGCAGCAGATGCAGACTGATAAAGGAAGAGAGTAAGGAAATAAACTGCAGGAGGGGGAAAAAGAGCTGAGTTTGTCTTTTTTATATTCTTGTGCCCAGACAAACTGACTGAGAAAAACTCACATGCAACAATGCAGACAGCAATCTTACTACACTTGTTTACGTACAAAAGTAATCAGAGACTGGAGAACTTGTGAGAAAGCCATGCAGGGATGCATCTCCATAAATCAAATCAGTGAAACTTTTTTTTTTACATACAGTCAAAAGAAAAGTTCATTTCTGAAACTGTAGTTTCAAATGTTGCTGTGTTGAGGAGTGTTACCAAGAAAATAGCAAAGCTTGGAGTTTTTCTGAACACTTAAACATGCAGCAAATACTCCAGTGAAAGAGCTTTTTCGTTTACAGCTCATTACAAAGAAAATTCCACAAAACATTACCAAAAATGTTTTACATGAGATGAGAAAATATTTAAATGTTATAACAATACTTGTCTTTCTGGGATGCCCAGTGGTTATCTGCACCACTAAGCACAGGCTATGGTCCATGACACAGGTGGCTGCGTCTCAGTCCCCGATCTCTCTGTACATTTCTGTCCTATATTCACAGTCATATCTGTCAAATACAGGCATTAAAAGGCCCCAGAAAAATGATTCAAACAACGTTAGCTGTTACTCATTCCTATTATCCTTTAGCCTGCTATTTTAGTAAAATAATCATCCATAAATGTAGAACGTAAACACTTTTACAACGTAAATGTAAAAAGTGTATGTATTTATTTTGACCTATTTGATGAGCCTCTTTGTCACTTATCCTTATAATGAGGAGAGACATTGTAATCTGTATTTTTATTCATTTCAAAAGAGAAAACTATGAAACTTCAAATGAAAACAAAATGATTACGAAAAGTCGCACAATGAAATGGTTGATCTAAAAAACAGGATCTCCTATCAAATTGTTGAATCAGAATCAAAGGGTGTTACGATAGCTTGTTTTCTCATGTCTGATTTTATGCATTAGTTTTCAAGCTGTTAGTAGTTTTTAAAAAGTACTGTCTAGCCATGGTGCATAAATGGCACAGAAGCCTATTTATGCAGGTGCAAATGTGTCTGTTTGTCTGAGTGTGTGTTTGTTTTAAGCAGTCATATAATCCACAGCAGCACAATGAGCTGGTTTCACATATCAGCCCTGGAAAGTCCCTGGATAATTATACTGGACTTTCTCTCTGTCTCTTCATTCTCTGTCTCCTCCTCTCACCCCAACGTTCCTCTCAAACTTTAATCCTTTTCAACTAGATTTGCATACTTTCTCTACCATGGTCACTTTTTTATGTTATCTCCTGAACTTTTATCTGTACATCATCCATTTTTTCTCTTTTCTAAGTCCCTCTAGGATCTGATGTGAAACTGCACTCTGTTGTTGCAGACTAGATAAGTGTGTTCATGTGTGCATCAGCAGGATTTTGCTGGCCTCTAATCTGATGTACAGTTTCATTAGAGGAGGAATATTACAGCCTATTTACATTTTTACTGACACATTTTGATTTTGCGCCTGTGATAGGGCGCACAGTCAAGTTCCAAGTCCAGGGGAATTCACAGCAACCCATTTCCATACTGCCGCTCTCTAAAAGTGAAAGTACTAACAGTGTTCACATGGGAGAGGCCCGTCATAAATTTCAGCAAAGCTTTCCTGTTGTGTTTCATAGCTGTAACAGAATATTGTACTCACTGCCCGGAATATTATTTAGACTGAAGCCTTCCTCATTTCTTGCACTTTAAGAAAAAATGTTAGCATTCTCTTTCAAACAGATGACACAGAAATATTCAGCTGATTGTATTTCAGCCATTCTCCTTTTTAAGTTATAGTTTGTGAAAATCAGGGTTAAATAGTTTCCACATAAAACTGTTCACTAACATATCTGATGCTGGCCACTTTAGAGGCAGTACATCTGAGTTTTAGACTGTCAAAATGCAGGAAGACCAAATGTAGGACGGGCAAAGTACAGATCGTTCCACTGACCGTTCAATTTAAACAACCAGGAAAAACAAATTGTATCAAAGTGTAAATGAGTACATTTTATAAGCTCTAAAACTGTGTCATATTGCAGAGCTGTAAGCAACCAGCTGGCTTTTTGTCAGCTCAGTGATGAGAAGGAAAGACAGAAGCAGATGTATTACTGGCAGGCCTGTGATCAGTCAGTGAGAAAAGCAGCCAACCATCAGACCAGTCAGCTCACAGGTGGAGCTGAGCTGTGCTGCGAGAACACAATGACGAACATGACTCTAAATCTGCAGACTTCTCTGCACATTTCTGGCACTTTACGTATTTAGTCAGACAGATACTAGATTTGTCACTGTGACTACAAATGGGAAAGTCTGCTCATTCATCTAAATATACATGAAATAGGACTCATTTCTGGAGCTCTGCAATGAAGGATAATTTCAATAAAACGTAAGAAAAACCGACCCTAACTAAGTAAATAGAGTTAGTAGTTAAAACTTGAGTTTACCAAAGATATTAGAAAAAAAATTTAGTTAATCTGTTAAAAGAGGATTTCTGCTTTTTATCCAACCAAAAGAAATATTTCAAAGTGAACTTTTGCAAGTGTCTGCCCTCAACAAGAGTAAAATAAATTACCTTTGAACTTAAAAAATACTTTCCCTGTTTGAAAAGAAGAGATCACTTAGGGGTGACTGGCTGAGTGGATTTTTTTTGACTGTTACAGATTCATGAAGATTTAAGTTTCACGTGACATTTAGCTCTTTTTTGCTTTGATTTTGTAAAAAGGACTTTTTCCTGTTGTTACATCCTAAATAGACAGCAGCATCACTGAAAGACACCAAAGTTTCATCACAAACAGATTCATATTTTATCATGAGGGTTACGTGAAGGAGGTCTCTGTGCAGCATGCCTAATTTACATATATATAACCATGATCAGGAAAGCAGATACAAAAAAAAAAAAACAGCTAAAAGTCCAATTAAATCACAGAGTGATCAGCAGGACAAACCACCAACACCACCAGGAAAGCTCCAGAGAGGAAGTCCCATGAACAAAGCAGTCTTTCCTGTGCATGTGAAAATAGGTTGTCTTCATAACAAAATCATTCTGCTCTTTATTTCTTCTGTCTTTCTTTCTTTTTTTCTTGTTTTACTTTTTAGAATTAAATCAGAACAGAAACCACAAAACTTCACCAGCCTACAAATGTAGCAGGGGTTACTCTCTACCTACATCCTCATATTCGGTAGTATGAGCCCAGGTTAGATGACAGCAGACTCTTTTTATGAGACTCAGTCCATTTTATTCAGTCTTGTCGTGACTCCGTGCTTTAGTTCAGAGATAATGAGTCAGTTTTTCCATGGGGTTTATTTCCTTCATAATATTTAACCAATGCTGGGTTTGACAAATCCTTTTTGATCCATCTCATGTGATGGCCTTTTTACGTGCAAGTATCAGGATTAAAAAAGGCTGAGGTTCCTTTTTTTTATTTATGTTTCTGGTAATCAGGCCCAAGTACATGATCTGGGTGTTTCTGAGTATCTTGTTGCTGATTCAGAGTAACCCTGTCCCAAAAAGTTTGTATTTTTATACATAGCCAGAAAATGTGTGATTGGCTTTTAAATGCCCACATTTTCCCATCACTGCTACAACTGCTTATTTTTATTTGGGGTGTAACAAAGAACTATCTAACTAAGTTATGAAAATCTTAGTAGATCCCCATTAACCAGATTGAACTGTTGGCCTTTTCAAAAGTTTTAATTGCCTTCCCCTTTGTAAATGTACATTAAACAGTTATTCCTTTCTCTCTCCAGGTTTAATTGAAGTCATTTTACAGCCTCATGCAGTTTTTTCTCTGGAGTTATCATATCTGCCTTTTGGTCTTCAGTATCTTTTCATCTAGTCTGGCCTGACACACTGTTCTCTTTTTTATAGCTAAATGTATCGCTCATCAAGTCTTTTGCTGTGCTGCATGTGAAAAAAGGTCATATCAGCAGCATACAGTGCAACACTTCTGGTCTGACACCCTCCTGCTTCTGGTTTCAGACAAAAAAAAAACTGTATAGACAGTTATAGAAGTGTTTGTACTAATAGATGGTCTTCTTTGAATTGCTGGGCCATAAAGAGACATCAGTGTTAATTTCAGTCTGCTAAAAACTCATCCCAGCAGCTTTAAATGCTGTTCATTTTTTCAGCTGTAAGTAGTTCTATAATCTGACTTTGTAATTCAGTTTTGAATTCCCATCAGCCTTAAAAGTTTTCATTCTTGCACACCTAGCTTTTACTGTTACAATTGTAAAAAATCATTTGTTAATATGCTCATCTTCACATTAAAGCCTCACTGGTTTTAAGTGCATGCTAAAAGACTTGCCATCAGGACAATACATTTTTGTCTTGTTGGTCGAGCAGAGTACTAGTCTTTTCACAGCATTATACAAATCCAGAAGAAGCATCTGTTAATATGAACATGCATCCATAAAGTCTTACAGCCTCTATGATGAAACAAAAAACTGTTTTTAAGCAAGCTGCTGATTCTTTAGATGTAACTGGACTTATCTTTTTATAAGTTTTTTTTAAATCTGCATCTCCACTGACCTATTTTATTTCAATACATTAATCTCACTCTTTTGGGGCTTACTGTCTGGTTGTGTCTGCTCAGGAGTTGGAGAGGTTTAAGGCATTTGTGGAGAGGAAGCCAGCTTTTGATGTGGTGGTGGACGGACTGAACGTTGCAAATATCAGCACCAACAAAAGCAAGTTGTCAGAGACGGTGAGAAAGCACACTGATTTTAATCTCTTTGAATAAAGCTCTGAGAAGAGGTTAGAGAAGTGGAACTTTTAGGGGTCCACCAGTCCAGCTGAGCATTTATTGGTCATGTGCATGCACTTTTACAGTCTAGACTTTGGTGGTTTCTTCCACCTTAAATGTCTTGTAACTCTGGGGGTTTTTTTGCTCGGTGTATTATGACTAGGAGGCGTCTTTTTAACCAGCCACTACCTAATTATGATAACACCTAGCCCACTTGCTTGTCTACATCTGTCTGTCAATCAGGAAGTGTGTGTGTGTGTGTGTGTGTGTGTGTGTCTACTGTCTTTCTCTCTGTGTTGAAGACAGTCAAATCTTTCTCAGATGTGTTGTGGCTCTGAGATAAAGGAAGGTACAAACAGAAAAACCTATTTACCTATCTTTTTATCTCCAACAGAAAACAGATATTAATTAAATCTGTATGAAACTGACATAAAATTTCATCACAGACACCTTTTTATGCAAATGGAGTAGAGGTGTGTCAGTGTGAAGTATGAAAATACCTGCTGAATGTCTGTTTAAACAAGTAAACAGTGCTGCCATAAACAGTTTGAGGCTGAATTTGGGTCCCGTTGCTCAATTTAGAATGGCAGTGATAACACAGTGCTATACAATACAAGATCTTTATTTATCCCCAAAGAAAATTCATTAAAGATGTGAATCTGTGCTTAAATTTTGCTTATAATACCGTATACAACATCTCAGCATGTTAGCAAGTTTGCATGTGCTCAATACAAAGCCTGATTGATTAATTTTCCAGGAATTTGATCATGAAGCAAAATTTAGATCTGATCAAAAATTCAGAGGACCAGCAATGTTACTGATATTAATCCCCTTCTTAAGTTTAATACATGCACCAACTTTCATGCCAATGTATTACATACATGCTGACAAAATTCACTTAAAACCACAAATGTTTACCCTGTGATGGTTCAAAAGGAGAAGCTTAGGGATCTTGGGTTATCAGATTCTCTCCTCCAGTGAACACAAATGTCCGGACAAATCTTGACTGCAGCCTAGCATCACCTAGAAATGTGTGTATACAGTAAACTAACTTTCTTATGTTAAAAAAGAAAAAAAGAGGCTTTATTTTTTGGCTCTCAGATACACAACAGCCTCACAAAACCATCCGATTCTGGGGAATCAAAAGTTAGAATGGATTTAAATCTTCAGTTCTTGGGACTGTGAATTTTGTTTTTTATGTGGGAAGTTTGCATTACTGTCTGTTCCATCTTTATAAATATAAAAATGGTATCCAAATAATTCTGAGATACCCCTATCGATGTCTCCTATTAATATTTGTGTCGTACATTATGTTCCAATTCTCACATTCATTCTCCCATTCGAACAAGGTAACACTGATAGATGCAAACATTGTAAAAGTGTTTCTTGAAACTTGTAAAGTTCTCTCTTGGCTTTTAAGCACTGCTATATAAACTTAAATCTAGTCATAACTGAGTGTTATTACATGTTCTGTGTCTTAATTAAATGTAAATTGGTTATTAAAGTACATATGTGTATGTTCCAGTTGCTTACGGTGGTGCGAGAGCTGCACCATCAGGGTCTCAGTGTGCTGGTGTTGGGAAGGAAACACATGCTGCGGCCCTCCAAAGCCTGGGAGAGAAACCACATGGACCTTATCCGGCAGAAGGCTCACTGCTTCTTCACTGACAACATGTGAGCAGCTGAGAATTGAAAGAATACTGTTAGAAATGCTTTGAAGCAAACCAAAAACACACACTTTTTTAGCACACACAGAAACCACACATTACTTAAAACACATAAGGGGGCCTTAGCTTCACAGAGAGGAAGACTCTTTCCTTTAATTTTATATGCAGCTGAGGTTCTTCTTCATCCATTACTGAAAGTGACCCTGGATTTAAGATGTCTTTGTTGCACTTAGCACATAATTATGCACTTGTTCCTTATCTAAGTCCTCTCCTCTGTGTGTCAATCAGCTCAGAGGATGACCCCTTCTTACTATATGCCGCTTTGCACTCTGGGAACCACTGTAAGTTTGTGAGCAGGGACCTGATGAGAGACCACAAAGCCTGTCTGCCAGATGGAGCCACCAGACGGCTCTTCTTCAAATGGCAGAGAGGCCACCAGCTTGTAGTGCATGGAAATGTCATTCCCGGCAAGAAAGTTCGTTTCCAGGTGAGGAAGAGGAGGGAGGGGTGTGAGAGGGTTGGGTTAACAAATAGACAAAAATGACATATGCTTATCAACTGTTTTTATATGTGTATGTTTAGAGTATCCCCAGCTACGACACAGTCATCCAGAACTCAATGGACTCATGGCACCTTCCCTATGATGAGACAGAGGACCGAAGCACCTATGAAGTACCCTTAAGATGGCTCTGTCTCACCAGAGAGCACTAACATGCACACACACACACATATACATATACACACACAATTTGTGCAGAAATTAAGCTTTGGACTTAAAAATAAAAACATTTTGAAAAGGTAACATAGTGCCCGTCATTCTTAAGTTATACTTTCATCTGTATGAACATAATTGTTTTGTCTGTTTTTTTTTTTTTTTTCTATCAAAACACTTTTCACAAAATGTCTGTAGTAGTGTCACAGTGGAAACAGTAGCTGGATTTTTCTTTTGAAACTCAAAACAGTCACAACATTCATAAGATTGCCTTGATGAAAATTCACAGACATAACTTAAAGGCTCTGATTATTACACGTCCCAGCAGAATATGATGTGCTGTGAAATATTAAAGCTTCGATGAGGAGATTTTTGACATGGAATTCATATTGAAGCCTTTTTATGACACCCTAAAGCAAACAAGACCAACCGCCACAAGAATAACCCTTTAACTATTTTGACTGTTAATACCTGAAACTGGTAAGAGGGGGTAGTATTAGCAAAGCAGTTTAAGAAACAGTCCCATTTTTTTCTAACTGGGCCAAGTCAAGAATTGTGGTGTCAAACAAGACAGTCTCTAGAGCCCTGAACAGAAAATGGACTGCGAAGATGCAGGCCACTTTTCCAAAAAAGACACCTTCAAGCCAGACTGAGTTATGCTAAGGACAATCTAGAGAAAGATTATACATACTGGAGACGTGTTCTTTGGTCAGATGAGACCATAACTAGAGCTCTTTGGTCACAGAGACATTGCTTATGTTTGGAGAAAGAAGGGAGAGGCGTATAACCCCCAAAACACTGTCCCCACAGTTAAACACGGTGGTCGGAGCATCATGCTGTGGGGATGTTTCAGTGCATCTGGGACTGGGAATCTTGTCAAGGTTGAAGGAATAATGAAGAAAGAAGGATATGTGAAGATTTTGAAAGAAAACCTCAAGCAGTCAGCAGCAAAACTGGGTCTGGGTCATCACTTTGTCTTCCAATATGACAACGACCCAAAACATACAGTGCTCCTGGTGAGGAGCTACCTCCAGGAAAACAAAGTGAACGTTATTGACTGGCCTGCACAAAGCCTTGACTTAAATCCTATTGAAAATCTTTGGGCAGCACTGAAGACCAGGGTCCATGCTAGAAGACCATCAAATCTGGAGGAGCTTGAAGGATTTGCCAAAGAGGAATGGGCTGGGATTCCTCAGGAGATGTGCCAGAGCCTTGTTACAAACTACAGCAAATGACTGCATGCTGTTATCCAGCAAAAAGGACACACAATTGACTATTAGCCTCAGGAGGCTAATAATTCTGACCCTGGGAGTTGTTGTTTTTGTGCAAAGTACAGTAATGTAAAGATCCAAAATAAAACTAGGATATTTGGGAAAGCTGTGTAAAAAAAATCATTATTCTGTTGAACAGCACTTAAAAACTTTGGGGAAAAAAATAAAAATTTAATAGGGGGGCTAATAATTTTGGCTACAACTGTATATGCAGACTACAGGATCTAAATCATTTTTTAGAATAGACCTTTAAAACAAAGTAAAGTCCTGTTACGTGTGGTACAGAAAGCTGAGGTAATAGACTTTAAAACACAAATAACAACAGTATAAAATGAGATAGGCAACCATCGGATTGTTGCCACGATGACCCGGATATGGAAGGCTGTGTCTACGTCACATCCGGGGTAAACTGTCATGTTTTGCTTCTGTTGTGCCTCATTTTAGTTTCATCTTCAGTTTTGATTTTTAACCTCAGTTTTCTCCAGCCGACATGTCTCGAGGGTCAAGTGCAGGGTTTGACCGGCATATTACGATCTTTTCTCCGGAGGGCAGACTTTACCAAGTCGGTAAGTCGAGAAAGAAGTGAGCAAAACTCAACCTGCCCTGTCATCACCGCAGCTAACTGCTAACAGCAGCTAATAGGTTCATTCATGTCTAACATTAAGTCTGAGTTTTATTTCGTACAATCAAACAAAGACAGAATAATTGTAAATATTAATACTAGAATATATTCAACTCAAAGTGAGCTATCTGGCGTGTATCTCTTTGTTGGTCATGCTCTGTGGTTTAGAGCTTAAGTTAGTGCTGAGCTTCAGTTTCATCATGAATAGTAAATAAAAGAAATACTTACAATTAGTACACTAAGGATAATTAAGAATCTAAGCAGCTTCTACGAGGGCCAGGTTGTGATTGTGATTGGCCGAGTCCGAGCATCTCTAAAGTTGGAGCTTGTTCAAGGTGTTCCTGGTCTACAGTGGTCTACACCAACTTAAAGAGGGCCAAAGAAAGTCAACCAGCAACAGGGTCATGGACAACTAATGTGCAGCAATGAGGAAGGCTAATCTGACCTAACAGAAGCGAGCTTAAAGGGATATTCCGGCGTAACACCGAGTTAGACACCCCCTCGAGCGATGGCTGTTGCTGACCGCTTGCTTCTCTAGTTATACCAACTTTAGTAACGACCGCACGATAACAATACACAGCAGTCTGAGGAGCCATAAACAAACCTCACCAAAAAGCCACTCTCTAGCCACAAATAATGCTCAGAACAGCACCTAATTTCATCAACAGTACATATAGGGTCCCAGCCATAGCACTAGCCACCAAACATCTTTTTAACTTCGCCTGATTTCTTTAGCAAAGAGACTAAACACAACTCACCTACTCTCTTCCAGCAGCCGCTTGTTTGCAGCAAGAGTCAGACCTCAGGCCAGTCCATTACGGACGAGTTTTGCACCTCAAGGAAGAACATTTATGATCATTACTTCATGGAAATGCAATCAGACTAAGAAGAACTATCGGTTCTGCAGTGCAAAATGATTAATATGGTGATTATTACTTCAAGAAAATGATAAAGAAATGATCATAAATGTTCTTCCTTGAGCTGTGTCACCCTGCAGAAGTCTGTAATGGACTGGCCTGAGGTCTCGCTACAAACAAGTGGCTGCTGGAAGAGAGCAGGTGAGTTTGTGTTGTTGAGTACTGTTGATGAAGTTAGGTGCTGATCTGAGCATTATTTGTGGCTATAGAGTGGCGGTTTGGTTGAGGTTTGTTTATGGCTCCTCAGACCGCTGTGTATTGCTATCCTGCTGTTGTTACTGAAGTGGGTATAACTAGAGAAGCAAGCAGTCAGCAACATTCATCTCTGGAAGGGGTGTTTAACTTGGTGTTACAGCGTGTTTGACCCTAAATTAAATTAAAGCTGGAATGTCCTTTTAAATTGATTAAAAAAAGAAACTGTTAAAGCTGATGGAAAAATCCAAACAAGCGTCTGTTGGATGTGCTGGTTAACCCAGTCTGATCCACGGGGGCCTCACCTGAGGACTTTAAAGACTTAAAAGACCTGCTGCTAACAGATACCAAATCACACCTTCATAGGTTCGGTAGAGGCCGTATCTCATCAAGTCATTACTGTTTCAGCCTAGAACTAGTTAGAGAGGGACTACACAATACTAAGCAGAAGGTCATAATGTTATGGCTGATTGGTGCGTATTTTTACTCTTTAAACATTTCAGAAGACTTTGATTCATATCTACAAGAACTACAAATAGGTCTTTGTTGTTCCCACAAGAGCTAAGGAAGTTAAAGCGGACACTTTTAGTCGATGACTCTATTTCTCCTTCTGTCTGTCTGCAGAGTATGCTTTCAAAGCCATCAACCAAGGAGGACTGACATCTGTGGCGGTCAGAGGCAAAGACTGTGTTGTGGTCGTCACACAAAAGAAAGTCCCAGTCAGTATACATTACAGCCTCGTGAAAGATTAAGTTTCTGTTTTCACAAAGCATGTGGTCACCTTCCACTGCAATCATTATGGTTGTTGCGTTTCTGGTGGAGTGGATGGTGTGTACATTTCCCTGTTGACAATGTTTTTGTCTTGTGTTTTTCCCAGGACAAGCTATTGGATGCTTTGACAGTCACACATCTGTTTAGGATTACAGAGAACATTGGTTGTGTTATGACCGGCATGACTGGTAAGCAATATCTTGTATACTTGTTGATCTGATGTATTGTTGAAAACTCTGAAGTTTAAGAAATTTCCAACAAATTCTCATGACCTATTTTGTTCCCCTGAATATGGAGCTGTTCTTATTTTGTGCCAGAAAGTACCTCCATCATTATTATTCACTGCTTGGAAAAAAATCAAGTGTGTTTTTAGTTATTTGTCAGCTCCTAAAAACTACAACAAAACCTGTATCACAATCTGCCAAGTTTTTAAACTGTGAGTACATAAATGGGACAGTATGACATTTTGCCAGTTAAAAGTGATTATAGAGAGTCAAAGAGGTAACTAAAAAACAAATTCACAGAGACCACCATTTTATTATTTTAACTGTGGCCAAAGCAGGTCAGAGAATACTTACTTTAAACAGTCAGGTAATTTGTCTGGAAAAACATGTTGCAGTAAAAACTAACCTTTTTTTTGTGCTTGTGTTGAACAGTTTGGCTCCATTCAAAAACGATAATAAATCAGGGATTTTCACTGCTGAATTTGTGCGTTTTTGAATGAAATGTAATGACAAACCGTTTCTGTCTCTAGCTGATAGCAAGTCTCAGGTGCAGAGGGCCCGGTATGAAGCAGCTAATTGGATGTATAAGTATGGCTATGAGATCCCTGTGGACATGTTGTGCAAACGCATGGCAGATATTTCCCAAGTCTACACCCAGAATGCAGAGATGAGGCCACTTGGCTGCTGTGAGTAGTGTGCAAAACTGCTTCTGAATACCAGAAAAAAAAATTCCAAGTCACTGATTAGATTTATACAGGATTTAAACAACCAAACAGACCTTTTTTTAATAATGTGCTGAATTAGTCTCTGTTTCTCCTTTTAAGATTTATTTATATTTATATAATTTGAGTTTTATTGTTGTGCAAGAGTGTTTACATTTGAATCAGATCTTTAATTTTGGTGCAGAATACTTGTTTTGCTGTCTCATTAGACACTTTGTATCCAGAAAACTGATGTTCAGGCTCTTGTGACTGGATAAGTTTTAAAAGATCCAAGTGAAATTTTTCTACCCAACTATGATTGAAATAGATGCCTCTCTCTGTTCCGACTGCTCTAGCTTAATTCCTCTCTGCCTTGCATTTTTCCTCCAGGTATGATGGTAATTGGACTGGATGACGAGTTGGGTCCTCAGCTATACAAGTGTGATCCAGCAGGCTACTATTGTGGCTTTAAGGCCACAGCTGCAGGGGTCAAACAGACTGAGGCAACCAGTTTCTTGGAGAAGAAAATCAAGAAGAAACTGGACTGGACCTATGAGCAGACCATAGAGGTAAAGTGCACACATAAACACGTGTTTGAGATGTTGTTGTAATAAATAATTGATTTTAAAAAAATCCATCTATTGAACTTCCCTTTGGGAATCAATAAAGTTTGTCTTATCTTGTCTATCTTGCCTTATCTTATCAGCTGCTTGCCTTAGCTGTGTCTGATAAAGCATATATAGATTGATGTATTTGCAGTGTACACACCTATGTATCATCTCATGCACTGTGCATTGGAGAAGACACACAGTCAGCATTTTGAAAGAACCTCCCGCTTAGTTTGACGTCATGGCAATTTCAAAGTTATCAGAAACAAACACATCTCAGTCTTTGTAATTCTTCCTCACGTGCTTCTCAATCATAACTCTCTTTCTTCTCAAACAGACGGCCATCTCATGCCTGTCAACTGTTCTGTCCATCGACTTTAAGCCCTCAGAGCTGGAGGTGGGAGTCATCACTACACAGGAGCCCAGATTTAAGTGAGTAACTTACTGTATCAAACAGATAAGACATCTTAATGGCTTTAGGGAAGGAATGTTTTTGTCACAGGAGCGTTAGATTTTCTTTACTTTACTGCGCTGTTCAAAGATTTGCAGAAAAAAACACACAACCTTTGTAAGATTTTGAAGCACTAATGGCATCAATTTTATCAGGGCATATTTCACAGATTATTGGTTTGGCAGCCAGTACAGAACTTTAAAAGAGATCTATTCTGGTGGAAGCTTGAACCACATGTGAATTGCTGAAAAGTGCAGATTCTTGTGTACGGTCTGTCTGAAAATGGCTTTAATCAACTTGTGTTTTGCAGGATTCTGTCAGAGGCTGAGATCGATACTCATCTAGTGGCTTTGTCTGAAAGAGAGTGAGGAAAGTTGGCTTCTATGAAAAGGATTGTGAACTACAACACAAGAACCCCCCCCCCCCCCCCATTCCCTACAATAAGGCCGTGTTTAGAGGGACAGTGAAGGAATTGGCGTCATCTTAGACCAGAACAAAAACGTGAACAATGAAAACAGTATGGCCTTTTTTTTACCAGGTGGCACTGGGACCACCACTCATCCATCCTCTGTGGTCATTGCCAGGATCTGACTGGATGCCATAATCCTCATGTCAGCCCCTCCACACATTTCCTTCTTCCCAGATGAGAGGGATGCTGGACACTCAAAACAATACAAACATTAGTCTATTGTTTTCCTTGGTTACGGTGCTACCAAAAATGGAGCTCAACTTCAGCACAGTACCTCTCTGTACCTCTTTCTCAGTGTGAGGACCCTGTGGTCCTGCAGCTTCTTGAGTCACTGTATTTAACAGTACTTCCGATCTACACTCAGGGCTGCCACGGTGCACACCTCCCATTTTATTTTTCTGCTTGAATGTCCTTCTCTCATGACTTCAGTTCAGGGGAATGTTAATGCCCTGACATACTTGATGGTGACTCAAAGGAGCTGCAGAGGGAATTCTGCAATTACAACAGACATCACTGTCACTGTCATACTCCTGTGAAAGTCAGCTCAGGTCAACATCAATCAGGAGTCTCGAAACTTCTCCTTCTCCCTCTTGTGTGTTTGAATCCTTTTACTCTCCTCAACTGCTGTAAATAACTCCAACTCTATTAAACACAATCTTTTTAATTGAACACTAAGATCTCTCTGTTTGCTTATTCATGTTCAACTTCGTTGCTCTGTTGTAAGTAGCATTTGGTATACTTCAATACTTTTATCTGAGCTGAAGAATCTATCAGAGCTGAAATATGGAGCGGTGGTGAGATATCCCTCCAGTGGTCCCACTGCTATCACTGTAGATTTGGGTGTAAAATGACCTTTTAAATCCGTGAACCAGACCAGATATCGGCACCACTCCAGGTGGCAAAGCTTTGTACAAATTTTTTAAAGGTCCATGTCTGTAGTTCATATTTTGGCACAGTAGATTTCTGTGGAAGCTGTGTCAAAGTTACCAGCTCATAAACTAAACTAACCCCCGTTCAGATGCTGGTGCATATCCTGGGTTTGGCTCATGTTCAGGATATTGTGTTTGAAATCATTTTGAAGGAGTCCCTCTGAGCTCATTCAAGCACAGTTGTGAATCATTCTGACAAACACAGAAGTAATTTTGGCTCTTAAAGCAGACTTTTTTTTTTTGTCTTGTTGCTCTGTGACATCTAGGAACATCAGGGACACAAAACACAGACACTGAAACTCTCACCAGAATCTAAGGTTTGAGGAAATATGTTCATAGTATTTCATTGTAAGATGTTTCTATAAGCCATGTATTTCATTCTATGAACTACTGATGTGACTGTTATTGTAAGTCCTGAAAGATCGCATATGCTCCTGATGACACTTTCATTCCAAGAGGTAAATAGTGAGTGTCATTTCCAGGAAAACAATCTCTAGTCTCTACTTTAGAGTCAAGGAAAACATAAAAAAGATCATCTTAAAAGTCAGGTTGTGATGTAGAAAGAATCTAGTGTTATGATACATATGATAGAGGGTTTCTGTAATTTAGTATATTGCAGTAAATCACTGCAGGTGATCCTCTGCATTTTTAGTAACCAACTTTTTCAGTGCTGTTGCTCGAACACTTGGGTACTTGTGGGCCAGTGACTCTCAAAATGTGAAACCAACTTAGTCCTTTGTTCATGGTCTGCCTATGACTAAAAACATCACAAGGAGAGTCACTCGCTTCTTACGCACTGCACCCCAAAAAGACGTAATATTGGTGTCCCAGTGTGAGACATGAGAGGCATGATTGTTTTCACACTGCAGCTCCACATACATACACACTCAGACGTGCATGTACGCACCTCGTTCCCCCGACTTGCCTCTTTCTCCACCTCTGAGGGAGGATCACAGTCAGAAAGATTTTGCCCCCCCCCAACTACACCTTACACTTTACAGACCAGGCATAAATATCACACCTTGAAATGGCAGAATGTACGCACCTACTGTAATAACACTTCCCCCCAGAGCTGGTGTTTACACCCTCAACTTCAGAGCTAATCTTTTGGAAAGTCCACCTCAGAGAAGAGGGGGGTGAGGTGAGAAGGGGGCTCCTTTGCACTTTGAGAGAGACACAGCAAAATTAAAGGTTATGAAAAAGTATGTTTGGAGCTTATTCTACAGGGTCCAAAACCTCCTCTGATGTATTGATTACATTATATTTTGATCAAAGCATGGCACAGATCAAAGAGGACTATGTCAGATGATTGATTAAAGCCCCTGTGAGGAACTTAAGGTTTGCAGTCTGTGGAGAAAATGTGGTGCCTCTTACTTCTTTGCTGATTTTGTCTTATACAAGAGTGAGTGGAGTTTTTAAACAAAAAAGTTCCCCCTGCTTTATTTTAATAGTGAGCTAAACACGGACACACAGTCTTTGCCTATGAAAATGTAAAGAAAGGCTGTTTTAGCGGCTTGTTTATAGCTAGAACCGGCACCTGCATGTGCTTTCAGACCTCCAGTCCATCTCTGTGCAGATGCTCTTGTTTGACCTCATAATTCAAAATGAGACATTAGTATTCATTTCAGTCTGTTTCATAACCTGCTCAGAGCTCTTCAGATGAGCTATAAGTCTAATATTACAGAAACCTTAACAGTATTAAGATCAAGCAACCATAGGCATAACTTTCAATATCTGTCATTACATCTATTAAACCAGGGGTGTCAAACTCAACCACAGCAAGAGCCATAATCTGGATTTAGGTCTAACCTGAGGGCCAAACAGGGTCAACATTTCACCAAAACTGTCATCCTCCTTTTCAAAAAAAAAAAAGAAAAAAATGGAACTAAAATAGCAATGGTAATAAATCATTTGGAAATTCAAAAAAGATTAAAAGATAAGTTTAAAGGCAATCTGAGATAGAAAAAAAATATTTTTTTATTCTATTTTTATTTATTAGATCAGAGCATGATATTAAAAAAAAAAGAAAAATAAGGCATTTAAAGAGCAAATACATGAGAAGAACGTTGAATCAGGTTTAAAAGGTGAAAATAGGACTTAAAATTTAAAATTGGAATCAAAAGCATAAAATGACACAAGTCTAAATACTGAGTTTTAAGTCTTGACGCACTCCACTCCATTTGTGTGGTCTGTCTCTTTCTAACCTGCTCTTAACTTATTTATTTTATTTATTAGTAGTTACTGTCCTTTGTATCATGCTTCTATGTTTTTAGAATGCTCTTAACAGGGTCATACTGGCTTTTTAGTGATATCCAACGACTTTTGTTTATTTTATTTATTTTAGTCTCTCGACCATGATCAGTGAGCCACTGGGAGTACCTGTCAATGTCTTTGGTCTGTGCTTTTTTTAATCTGCCTGCTGCATGTGTTCTGTGTTTTTAATGTTTGTGCATAACGCTTGAAATGCCTCTTTCCAGACTGCAAAACAAATCTACCTACAGGTATCAATAAAGTTACCTCAAACCTTGAGTTGCACAAAATCAAAGCATGAAATAAAAAATCCAATCATGTTTGACTTGTAATCTTGAGATGCAAAATTGAAAACATGAAATAAAACACCAAATACTTTTTCTCCCACATTCTTGACTGTTTATCAAATCTTCCTTTCTATTTACTTTCCCAGATTTTCATGGTTTATTAAGGACATTTTAAATAAAAGTTTACATTATTGTACTGGAGGAAATCTGCAGACTTTATACTGGTGGGCCAATAATAATACAAATATGATATGATCTTGTGGGCCAGATTTAATTGGCCCCGGGCCTTGAGTTTGACTCCTGTGTATTAAACAATTTGACTTCATATTTGTTTACAGATACTTTGTGCAAACTGATAAACTGTTTTTGGAAATTCCTACAGCAGCACAGAATGGCGCAATGTTTGATTTTTGATGGGTTTTTTTTTTGCAAATACTCTGCATTGTTTTGAGTGTGTGTGTGTGTGTGCATGACTGAGCTAATTCCTCAAAAACGGACACTTTCAAAGAGAAATCTTTCCATACAATGCCTCAATTGCATAAGTGTATTTTCGATTGATGCCTGATATTTATTTAGGTGGAGTTTTAGGAAAAACTCCCTTCCTCCCTGTTGCCCATAGTTGACTGAAGCATCCTGTTATTCAGCGGAGATTCCCTTCTTTGGAGCAACGAGAAGCAGGAATGTTACGAACAGCTGAGTGTTCTGTTCCTGGGAATTTCCTGCCCCTTCCCTCTGAGCCCCACCCGTGCATAGTAAAAAAAAAAAACTTCCTGATTTAGATGACTGAGCAATCGGCCTCATTCCACACACAGAAAATTTCCCGCAGTCTCTCTTATCTCTTTCTATCCGGCAAACATGAAACAAGGAGGAACTGTGTAGCAGGCTCAACACGTCCACAGTTCCTCATTCTGAGGACATAAGTTATCGACTTATCAATCCTTTCCTGCATGACATGCGTTATATAAAAATAAGAGAGGCCAGTCAGATCTGAAACTCAGCTGTCATGCTTCCACAGAGGTTTTTATAGAAGCACAGACACACTGACTGCTTTGGAGGAGCATGTGACTGGAGTACTTTCCCATATAATTGTAGCCTTGTTATATTGTCAGGCACTGTTGATTACATGCTGGGCTCTGCATGGTTTTATATCGTAATATTACCAAGTTTATGATGTTTAATGTAAGCATTATTGTCCAAATTCAGTGTGTTAGTTGCCATCCAGGAGTTTCCACTTACATGCCATCTGTTTCTCCTTTAGACTCCACAAAAATACGCTCACACATGTTTTTACAGTTAAATACGAGTGTTTTTAATTTAACTGGAGTGTGCTGGACTGTTTGCTGTCTAAAATTTACAGTACAACCTGCTCAAATCTACACATTCACAGCTTCCATAAAAAATACATCTCTTTATACACAGCATTTACAATATCATACAACAGAGCTGTTGCAGGTACATCTGTGTGGATGGATGTTATTGTGACAAATGGGACACAGAATACAAGCAATCCTCGAGGCATATAGCAAACCCATCCCATCATAGCGTGTCATGTATTCACATCTCAGCGATTATTTGCTCTACGACAACCCCACAGTCAAGTTTTTGGTTTTTTTGAACATCGGTCTCTTTTTGATCCTCCTTCTGCAGCTGCCTGTCCATCTGTTTAATCAGCGCTCACGCCGGCGCTGTGCCACCCACGCTATCGGGCTCTTGCGACGTCACTGCAGGAAGTAGTGGACATGCTGAGCCGTTTCTCATCATCACAGTCTCCTGCCTCTGTAACTTCCCCTCTTTCTCTGGTTTCCTGCTAGTGACCGTTCCACTGAATGTCGTCATAGCTCACCTGCAAACACAGAGGACAGGAAAGTGGTCAGATATCCACCAGAAATAAAAGCTATACTGTGGGGTAGATTCAGCATTTTCATCACACACCTCCTCATCAGACTCCTCATCCTCCTCTGCTTCACTGTCGTCTGATTCACTGTCGGGAAGCTCCCTCAGATCCGGCTTTGTCAGTGAGAACAGTTCTTTCCTGATGTCGTCATTGTCCCGACCATAGGTGAGGTGGTAGGGAGTGTGACCTCCGGAGGTGAGGAGGTTTGGGTCTGCCCCTTTCTTCAGCAGTAGTCTAACCAAAGAGAGATTCTGCTGGTCCACAGCCAAGTGAAGGGCACTGCGGCCGTTACGCTGCTCCTACGGGACAGAAAGGGAACATTAAACTTGGTTGGCTATCACCTCATCATTCAAATCTCATAAAATCAGCATTTGTAGCCTTGACATCCACACAACAATGTAGTTGTGTGATCTTTACCTTTGCGTTAATGTCAGCTCCTAAATCGACCATGTTTTCCACCAGTGAGAGGAAACCCTGAACTGAGGCCAGGTGGAAGCAGTTCTGACCTGCACAAATAACATCAGAAGAGGGGTTTAAACAACTGATATAAGACAATTATATGTCACCTTACACTGACTACTTTGTAAAAAGGATGTAGGATCATCTGAGTAATACTGAATCACAGCCAGAGTTCATATTCTGCCATGTAAGTGAAGACTACTAAAAGAAAATTGGGCCTTCATACTTTGATGCCCAAGAGAAATCCACAAAAAGTCAACAATGCTAACCACTCAGGGTTTAAAAGTATTTATAAACTAGTCTAAAATTAAAACCATCTAATGCTCTGTTTGGAGCCTTAGCATCTGACATTATGAGTCTTGTAATAGATAGGGGTTTTCTAAAGTTGTTAGGGCATGAATGTCTGTGGTATTCCCTGATTTCTAGCAATAATTTCCATTTCATGCCCAGCCTTTGATTTTTAAAATAAAGCTAAGATTAAGATCAAACTGTTTCATGTGTTTACAGGCACTAAAGCTTGGGTAGAACAACCAGTGCATTTGAATTTAATGCTCAAAGCTATTGTAAAACAGAGAAATTAACCTCCACCATGGCCCTTCCGTATAAATACAATCATCTATGATAATGAAGACGAAAATGTTGAGGATGTTTAAGTACTGAAAAATGATTAATATCCACATCAGCTCAGAAAGTCTCACCTTGATAGTTGCACGCAGCCATCACTTTTTGTAAGTGCTCCGGTTGACAGTTCTGTGTGAGGACGCTGAAGATCAAGAGGTTTCCATGACGACAGGCAATGTGAAGAGGGGTGTCTCCGCTGTCATCCACCAGTGTGGGGTCACAGCCGGATACAAGGAGATGCTGGCACACGTCTGCCTGGTTGGTTATCACAGCCAGGTGAAGAGGAGTCTGTGTAAGTAGGGAAAAGACAGGTGAGTTATTGAGTTACTGGCATTTCTGTTATTCTTAAAATGACACATTCAGTAGTTTATGAGCAATAAATTGGTAAATATCACAGTATCTCTTGTGTACCTGTCTCTGGTCATTTTGTGTGTTGAGGAAGTCTGTGTTTCTGGACACATCTATCATCGTTTTGATGTAGTCCTTTGCCTCGTGGATGATGGCCAGGTGGAGCAGCCTACAGTGGCAGAGAGGAAGAGAAGGGACCCGTTACAGTATATGTACACAGTACAACAATATCTACCAGACTACAGCAAGTTTCACAGGGACAGGAACAGACCCAGAGACCATTTTTCAGGCTTTTCTGCCTGTACTGAGAGGACAGTGGATGGAGCAGGAAAATGGAAAGACAGAGTGAGAACTTAACTGAACCTGGGCAAATTAGCTACTTGATCAAAACCCCACTCTGTAATTGAGCAATTATGTTCATACATTTGATCATATTATTTTTAATCCACATCATATTCTATTGCATAATTGAAATAGAAAGGTGATTTTCTTTTTTATTTATGTGTATTCTCCACTACACACATTTCTTGGATTTATAAACCCAACTGACAGTAAACCCTACGAAAAACTTGGTACACCTTTGAATTGTTCAAAAATCACCATTATATTGGGGTTTAATGTAAAAAACAAAGAATCTTACTGTAAGTAATAACATTTCACTTCTGCATTGGATTTTTTATGATTTTGTGCAAAGTGTGATTTTTTTTCTAGTGCCTCCAAAATGTGGACTCGGGGCAAACCGACAGTGAACCCTCTGCCTCTGGAGCTGTATCTGCCCTCAGTTGTTCCAGTCCTCAGCTCTAATGAAGTCACGCTGCTCAGCTGTGACCCGACAGTGCATCATTTGATGCACGTGAGAACACAGTCGCAACATTGTGCAGAGTCTGAGCTATAGTTCACTGCGGATGAATCATGATATAGCAAAAAATATAGTCACTTTTGGTCTTACTCCTCTCGGTTTCATCGTCGAAACGAGCCAAACAGACAAATATGGCTTTGCATGGTTTCGCCCTCCACCTCCACAGTCGAAGTTTTACGTAATTTAAGGTACTTTTTTACTTCTACTTTCGCGGGAGCGCGCTTCGGTTAGATTCCTTGGCGGCGCGCCTGGGACTTTCCCAGTCTGACCCGCGGCCATAGTAGATCCCCTCCTGATAATAGCCTTTTGTTTACGTTCAAAACCACAGTGTCCAGCAGCAGCTAGACCCATTATCAAACCCGACCCTTGCTCTATATATTGTCAACACTGCACCAGTGCACTTTTACAGGAACTAAGAGTCTAAAGTGACTTTTCATTGCGGACTACGTTCAGTCCGGGCCTTTGCATTGTAATGACAGGCTCGAGGAAGACGCACAGGAAAGGGATCAAATTACCTCAAAGACTGGGGTTAGGCCTACCCCAGCGGTTCTACCAGCCCAGCTATTCCCCGAAAACCCTCATGTTTGAGTCTTAGATGGTATTCCTGGTAAAAACTTACGTGTCTCCGTCCTCTGTGATCTGTGTTTTCCATTCGGGCAGCTCTCCGGTTACAGCGGGAGGCTGCTGGTGCTTCGGCGGCTCACATTCCACCTGGAGCCGACGGATCTCGGCCGCCACAGCCTGGTACTCCTCTTCTTTCAGGGAGTCCAAGCCGCTGTCGAGCCGATCCTCGGTCGACTGAACCGGCTTCCCTTCTTTAGAGTCTCGGTTATAATCCATTTGGTTAAATATACTGGTCCTGTGGAGGTCCATGGTGGATTGTTGTAAAGGACAAGGATCGTTTGGTCGTCTGCTGCTGTCTAGTGGAGTTGTGCAGCAGCCTGTGAATGCCCTCTATGTGGTTGCAGAGGGGCGGGGCAAACAGGCTAGGTGGGGGATTTCCAAAAGCTGTCACTTAGAATAACAGCTCACAGATTGCTGGCTCCAAGAGGGGATTTCTATTGAGACACATATAAATACACTCCTCAGTTTGTCACACAGAGAGCAGTCGTTTTGCAGGCTCTGTTTGCTGCACTTGAAACACACGTGTGTGCGTTACTTTAGGCCCACTGGGACTTGTTAATGTCACATTGCGATAAAAATCGTATTTTTCACTGATACTCATTCCATTTGCTTCATAAAACACCAAAAGACGACAATGTAATGACCAACTATCAGGCTACTCTTTCAGCATAGTGCTGTAGCCCTCCTAAATCGATTAAGTATACCAGTTAAAGTAAGGGTGCCTGATGTATCTGTAAACACAGTTGGACATTTAAAGGGACCTGGAGGTTAAACTCCAAAGTGTGAGTCTCTGGGTATTTCACAAGCATCACATGGATAAAAATTGTGCACTTGTAACTGTCTGAAAACCTGAGTGAAAAAGCCAGCAACTCTTGAAATGTCTGATTGAGGATGGTAACTGACTGACAGAGCTTCAGTTCTGTCTATCTTCAAACAGCATTTCTGTTTCTTCCTTACCAAAGAGAAAGGAGGAAGTTGCATTGAAAACATATCTCAAAAGACAAAAATGCTTATCTTTCAAAGGGAAAACACTGAAGTCCAGGAAATAAGACCAACGTGACACACAAGTCCATTCCAGTTTGATATTTTCATTCATGTTGCAAATGTGTTTTGCGAACACGACCAGGGGATAGTTGCATGGAAAGTCCTCAAAGGGCCCCTGCTGAATCACTTAGCAGCAGCAGCCCCTCTGCATCAAAGCGGGTGGGAGGGCCTGCAAGATAGGGGCTGCAGCATGCACAGGACTTTCCTAAATCTTAACAATGTGTGTTCTCATTGTTTGTTACATAGAGCTCATGATTTAATGATCACACCAGCAAACCAACGGACTTTACCACCATACAGTTTTGTGGTTTCGTGGCTCTCGATTTTTTTCAAGAGTTGGATTAAGTATTAACATATTCGGTCAGCCTGAGAAGTGCAAAATATTACTTACAACACTAAACAAAATCAAATGGGCAGAGTTGATGAGTTTGAGGGCTCATTTATTTCTCCAGAAGAGAAAAGATAAAACATGTTGAGAGTCTGAGAAATCCTGATACTGAGAGAACTCTTAGGCTCGGCTTTTGCTGCAATGGCTAAATCAAACTTAATATTTTACAATGAACCAATCGTTCAAAAGATTTTCAACAACTCTTTATATGAATGCTCCTCTTTTAATGCATCAAAAGCATGTTTCTTAAGCCTAATAAATAGATTGATCAGACTTTACAGTAAGCCTTGTGATTGATAAAAAACATTCAAAACAGCATATAGTAATGTTTATGATGTCTTGTACAGGGCATTGCTGTGGGACACGATATCTGCCTCATGTTTTTGTTCTGATAAAAATTTGTAATAGTAAATTTTTTAAAATCTTGCACACTCTTAGGTCAGAGGTTAGAATTATTTGCTGTTTTCCCAATAATGTGCCAACTGTTTCTAACTTTAGTGGATGATGCCACTGCAGATTTTGTTACTGAGCAGAGGATTAAACTGATTCTGTGACAGTGCCTCTAATAACCCCGGGATCAAGTCTCTCATTCACTTCCTTTGCAGATAAAATGGAAGGACTCCAAGTTCTGGTTGAGGTCGCGAGAGTTTGCGAGGCTCTGACCTACCTCTTTCCAAACAAACATCAAGTTGGACGTAATGTTCTGAGGGCCGGAGGGAAACTCCGGGCTTGTTGTACGTGCCATTGTTCAGTCTGTGTGACCAGTCAGACTGGGAAGCTCAGTCTGTGCTCTCAGTACATTATCACTGTCACGTTAGTACTTGTGGAGCAACATATGAGGATTATGCTTAGGGAAACATAAACACACATGCAACTGCAAATAGTCTTCCTTATAGAACAAAGCCTATGCAAAGGTGTGTGCACAATGACTCGCTGTTTTTTAAAGTATTCAGCAAGCTACATCAGGTTGAATTTTGTTATAGTGCACTTTGCAAAAGCTGTAATGAAGCCAGGATAGAAAAACTACCAAATGGACGACCAAACATTCAGACCACAATCACACCCACAGCTTGTTTGAAACACATAGTCTGTATGTAGCGTGCTGATCACAATCAGCACTGCGGCAGAGTGAATACAGGACCTCTGTTTGAACCAGAATAAAGCAGCTGAATGGAGGAGAGGAATGCACACAGCAGGCTGGGAGACTTCCAGACAAAGAGGAAACAAAGCACACATGTGATAGGAGCTTTATGTATTTAGATCGAGGGAAGAAAGATTTACCAGTTTATTCCTGCAGCACAAACTTGTGATGTGACCCAGAGGGAGAAATGTTCCACTTTACCTGACAGTACTGGAAATATCAGGGGTTATTGTAAGAGGGTATATGATATCATCTCCAGAACACATGATGTTGTCTTTCCAACTGACCCAGAGATGTGTTGACCCAGAAATTCTGCACATTATAAAATACAAACAGTCATGAGATCAGACTTAAAGAATTTATACTATCAGTATATCCCCTTAAAATAGCAACCTAATGTCGCTCTGGTTATATTGGGCTGTGTCTAAAACAATAAATGTGAGCCTCCAGAAAAAAGAGATTAAGGGTGCATAAAAGATCCTATACCGTGACAACTCTTCCTGGATGATATGAAAAACCTACAAACCTCCATCTAACATCCTATGAGGTGCCTGTGCTGAGAATCTGTTCCTCTTTAAAATGACCCTGTTGAGAATTGGGTTTGGGTGTCAAAATAAAGTTTTCTTTACTTTTGTTGAGGAGCAGGTATTGACTGATATACAATCAGTCTTTATTTCTGTAGCACTAATTCACAACAAGTGTTATGCCAAGATGCTTAACAATAACATGCTGATCTAAACCATACTCTTTTTACAAAGACCCAGTATAAAGATGGGATAAAATTGAGCGCCATCCTATAAGACCAAACCCACTCCCATCCCATCTTCAACCAAATAAGTGAAACACTTTGTAGCATTTAGCAAATTATAAGTGTAGAGGAAAAATTTCCTTCAACAGGCAAAAACCTCGAGTACAACCCGACTCACGTTAGACAGTCACCTGCTGAGACTTGTGTGTCAGTTTGTGTTTAGAGAGGGGATCGAGGGAGATGCAGAAAGAGAGAGAGAGACAGAGCAAATAGTTGAAACAGCTGGAAAGCAGGCAGGTCCACAGCAGGCAAACGTCTGCAGCAGTGATCCAGAAGAACATGTCCAAAGGAGGCACCAAAATCAACACTTATCCAATTTATTTTACAAAAAGACAGCGTGCATGACAGTACAGAAAAACATATCAGTCAGTACCATTTTACAATCCCTTTTTATTGTGCCATGCATCTTTTTTAAAGGCACCGTAATCATCCCCCCTGTTAAGTCAAAAAGCAAACTAATTTTTATAAGTTGAAGAATTTTTTGAGAGTTTTTTTGTTACTTCTCTTATTGTTGAACAAGACTAACAAAAAGCTTCTGAAGAAGGTCCTCATGAAGAACCCAAGGAGCAAAATGACGTCATGGCATTATTAAAAATGGATCCTGACAAAAAGAACCAGCCCTCCTGTTTCAGTTAAAATGCATATATGAGAGGAAGATATGATTGTCTTTGCCAGACCTGAATCATTTCATATCTTTACAGAAAGTGAGATGATAGTTTGAATCATCAAGACAGAAACCAAGAATGCAAATCAAATAAACGCTGATTTTATCAGCAGTCCAAAACACAGGACAAACTAAGAGAAACTAAATACCCTTGTAAAAGCAAGCACAAAAATGTCTTTTTTTGCAGCCTCTTTAAACAGGCTTTTTTCAAAATGTAAATCACAATACTTGTTTTTGATGACTTTGATTTTGTCATCAATTCTGATAAAATATCTATTTATGACGCTGATGCCATTGTGGTTGACACAGAGAAAGTTGTAACTTAATGTCAAGCTTTGGTTTCATACATCATCGCAGTTTCATTAGCTGCAGCGTATTTTACATTTAACACATTTTTGTAACCACTTTGTTTGAGTAAAATTTTACAGTCATGTAGAGTATACACACACACACACACACACACACACACACACATATATATATATATATATATATATGTTACATTTAAGGACTAACTGCTAACTGCAGTGACAGCTCTGTAAAGAAAATTGCCAGTCTTGGAAAATTTGTCCACAGCAAATATTTATGATCGATTAAAGATTTCACTGTTAAAAGAAAGATGAGGTTCTTTTTACTCAGAAATCACCTAAACATGTCCAACAAAATCAGCAAGAGCATGACAGGTTTCACTTTGTCCACAGGGGATGCTGAAGTCAATACTAACATCCTCACAGGATCTTTAAGGCCCTCACAGATCTGCAAAACAACCCAAATGGGAACAGCATGCAGGCTAGGATCTGGAAGTAAAACTTCATCATATTTAATAAGGCTTCAAATGCAGGACAGTAAAAGTAAAAATTCCAATAAAGATTAAATATTTATTTATAATTTATATTTATATTATACTTTATTCCATAAAACCAGATTTAGTCTTAGCCCCTCCATGAAGTTTTTAGCTAGTAATGAAAAAGACTGAAATGATACCTTTTAGTATCATGACTGACAAGACTGACAGTTTCTTTGTTATGATTTTTAGTGCCTGGAGCTCCTGCTGAAGAGATAGGTGATTGATAGCAGGCTGAGGTGACAAACTCTTTTACTTGTCCTACAGCAAATATTCACACTGAGTGTGTTTGACTATTATTAGAAAGTAAGGTGAGATTTTATTTTTTATTTTACTTTTTGTCAGGAAACACTTACAAATCTATAAGATGGGTCAGCAAATAAGACAGGCACCGAACCAACACACATACATACAAAGTTCAACAGCAGGGCTATTTGAGAAAAATAGTTCTATTTATTCATGTTTGAGTTGTTAAAG